CGGATGTCAGCTTGAACGTGTCATAGCCGGGATGATGCTCTGGTCAGATGCAACTCACCTGGCTACATTCGGCGACGCCAAAGCATGGCCAGTCTATGTATTCTTCGGGAATCTCTCCAAGTATGTTCGCCGTCGCACAAGTTCACTGTCTTGCCACCACGTTGCATACATCCCTTCGGTATGTTCCGGAGCTCCGCGACTGAACCTTGCTATTGTTAACTTGTCCCAATCTAGCTGCCCGATAGTGTGCGCTCGTTCATCAGGTCTTTTCGCAACGACGCGGGCAAGAAGAGCTCACCGATTCTAACGCACTGCCGCCGCGAGCTCTTCCACGCCATCTGGAAGCACCTGCTCGATGAAGATTTTGTCAAAGCCTACATCGATGGAATTGTGATCAAATGTGCAGACGGAGTCACACGCCGGGTGTATCCTCGTATCTTCACGTACTCAGCGGACTATCCCGAAAAGTACGTGCACTTTCCTTTTCAAAAGAATAGAGCACTGAGATTCCACGGGGCAGGGTTCTGATTGCGGCCATACGGGACAAGGGTCTCTGCCCGTGTCCACGATGTTACGTACCCCAGGCTGACATCTTCAAGATGGGGCAAAAGCGGGATCTTGCACGTCGTTCGGAATCGCGGCTAGGATTCCTACGAAACTGGTCGGAGGGATTGCGGGCGAGGATAATGAAGGCACGGGATCTCATCTACAACAGTGGCCTCGGAGTGGTAAGCGCAGCAGTCGAAAGGGTTCTCAAACCATGGTCACTTGTTCCCACCTTGGTGAGCTAACGTTCTGCGTGACTACTGTATGACATGTAATTGACGACGATCCTGTTCGCCTCACTATCAGAACGCCTTTGCGGCACGGCTCGGCGATGGCTTCAACGTTCACTCGATCTTGGTGCCAGACTTCCTGCACGAAGTTGAGCTCGGCGTATGGAAGGCTTTGTTCACGCATCTTGTACGGATACTGTATGCCGCAGCACCATCGGGTGAGCTCGTTATTGAGCTGAATAGCAGGTTAGAGACAGGTCAACTCGTCGGAGATTGTGTAGCTAACCGTGATATGAATAGATATCGTCAAATTCCAACTTTCGGGCGTGGAACAATACGACGCTTTGCAGAAAACGCTTCGGAGATGAAGAAAATGGCGGCACGCGATTTCGAAGACCTACTGCAGGTATGTTGTTGCAACACTTGGGTAGTGTTTGGCTCCGCTATGCACGAGATGCCCCGAACTCAGAATATCCAGCTGATGAACCGCATACTGAACAGTGCGCCATACCCGTCTTCGAGGGCCTACTCCCTGCACCGTATAATGACGCCATACTAACCCTTCTGTTTCGCTTCGCTGAATGGCACGCCCTTGCGAAGTTACGGATGCATAACGAGTCTTCGCTTGAATCCCTGAGGTCGGCTACCAGTGATTTAGGCCGACTTCTGCGTCACTTCCGCGACCATGTATGCCCGGCTTTCAACACAGTGGAACTCCCAAGGGAAGCCGAATCGCGGGCGCGCCAAGCAGACAAGACGGGTACGCGCACGTCTCGAGGTAGACAGGCGAAGACGTTCAATCTTGATACGTACAAGTGGCATAGTTTCGGTGACTACGTTTTCGCCATTGCTACATTTGGCACATCGGATGTGTACTCGACACAGGATGTACGTGCTTGACCACTTGAACCCTTTGATACCCTGTCGTGTTCGAATCATGCTGACATAATTCCTAAATAGGGGGAGTTTGCACATCGGCGTCTCAAGCGACTGTACAGGGTCACTAACAAGAATGATGCAACAAAGCAATTAGCCCGCCACGAGCGACGCGAGACTATCCTGCAGCGCGCGCATGATCCTATTGTTCCATCCGTGAACGTGGGAGGTGAAACAAGTGGTTCGGCGTCACACGGAAACGTCGCTAGCCATCCTCACCATGTGCAATGGAACGACTCGGAGCCCTTACCATACACAGATGTTCACATGCACCACCACATATCGGATTCACGACAATTCCCGCAGCACCTGGACGCGTTCGTTCATCGCCTGGGGACAGATCCGGCAGGTTCTGTGAGTCAAATTCGTCTTATTCGCGCACTCTGGAAGCTTCTACTGGCACTCATGCTCATGCTACTCACAGGGGTTCGTTCCGAAGCTCAAGGGGCATCTCTTATCTCGCCTTCTAGGGAAGGAGTTTGACGGCGACGAGGAGCAGTACTCGGAGGATGAATTAGACAGCCTCCAATTCATTGGGAACAAGATCTACTCTCACAAGGTTCTTCGCGTCAACTACACCACGTACGATGTTCGCCGAGGTCAAGACTCCATGAACCCACGAACACATTGCGACGTAATGGTCCGCTCTTGCGAGTCGGAGCCTGGCGCACATCCCTATTGGTATGCTCGCGTGCTTGGTATCTTTCATGCGGATGTTCTTCAGCGCGGACGCAACATTCGCAACCGCTCCGTCCAGCGCATGGAGTTTCTGTGGGTGCGCTGGTTCGGTATCGATACAGATTATCGTTCGGGACATGCAGCCGCGCGCTTGCCCAAGATAGGTTTTGTCGAGGAGAGCGATCCTGACGCGTTCGGTTTCCTCGATCCTTCACTGGTCATCCGGGGCTGTCACTTGATGCCCACCTTCGCAGATGGCAAGACATCACAGCTCCTGTCTCGCCCGAATTCGGTCGCGCGGCCTATGGGTGAGACTGAAGACTGGGAAGCTTACTATGTGGGGATGTGAGTGCTGTTGTCTCGGTGCTCAGCTTGTTCTGATATGCTACTTGTTCAGCTTCGTTGACCGTGACATGTCGAGGCGATATCTCGGGATCGGCATAGGTCATACCGCCTCACATTCAGGCTCACGGCCGCGGGACTCAGGCTCGGAGGAGAGAGATCTTGACGAGGATATGGCGGACACTGTGGAGACGAGTGAAGCTGAAGCTGAACTTGACGAAGACGAGGAGGATGGGATCGGCGCTGGTGCCATAGACGACGCGGTGTTGTATGACAAGGCGGATGGCGACCTCCCAGCTGCGGAAGACGGCGACTCAGATCCTGACGAGAATGAAGACGATGATGCAGGCCTCGAAGCTGTGCCATCTGAGGATGAAGACGAAGAAGAGGAGTGGGGTAATGAGATAGATTTGGGTCCGGAGGATGGTGATGATCCGTATGTAGATGATGACATGTACTTCTAAGTTATTGTCAATGACTCGTGTTGACTTAAAATTCCGACGTGAGTGGCGAGTGACTCCCCAATGCCGTTAATGAGTAGACAATGTATGTCAGTATATGCGCGGTCATATATACACATTACCATCACGCCGTCAACGCGATAAGAGGTATGTACATGCACAAGATTCTGGGTATCATCTACATGTGGTTGGCGGAATGGTGTTGCGGTTGCAAGGGCTTCCCACGATTGCATGACCTTGTCAAGCCATTACATCAGCCTTGCATTACCTTCCCGGTGCGTCAGATCCTGGCAAGTGTCGGCAGGGCACACCGCATTTTTCTGCTTTTGCTGATGGCGTTTGCTTCCTGTCCGAGTCCGATCAACATCGCCGTTCGCGTTGACATGCGGCACTACGAACGTGCGAGCCTTGTCGCCCTCTGGCCAGCCTTCGGCTTCCAAAGCATCATCGAGGACCCGTATGAACACTTCATGGGACAGAGACTCGGCCGATTGGATCCTCCCCATGTTCCGTTTCACGGAGGCCTCGGCCAGGGCCGTCAGCGCAGTAACGAGGTCAGTGAGAGGCTTGTTACTGCGGATCGTAAGTGTTCCCGTCGCAAGCCAGGCTATCTTGCTATTCTTGCTAGCAGCTTCGTCTTCACCACTAAATATTCTGTCGCAAGCAGCCGCACCCTTGGGATGCGCATGGTCTGTATGGCGTAGGACGATCCAAAGGACAAGCCAGTAGAACGATTCGAGATCGTGCTGTATGCAATGAACAACGGCCTTGAATGAGTCTAAAAGCTCACACGCCAAGTAATGGTATGTATCCTGAATCAATGGTCAGAATCGGTCATTCCAAACGGGCCTAGAACTCACATACCGTTCGCTCTTTGAGGTCATTCAAGTTATCAACAGCATCCTTGTTGGTGTCGACGAAGCTACTGCAATAGAGATCGCATACGAATCCTTTGATCGGTGCATTTTCCAGTGGCGGCAAGACGAGGACGTTGCCCGTGCCAATACTATCCCGCTGCCATACCCCAGTGCGAAAAGCAAACCGATGACCTGGATGTCAAGCGAGTCAACCGATGAAACGCTGTAGGAATGGCAGCGTAACTCACCGTCGACAGCCTCACGTATCGCCTCGATGAGAACCTTCGTGCTTGGGAATTGGTCGAGACTCGGAGGTATCCCGACAGTGTCCAAAACGACCCGCATGTGGTTATGGTCACGCAGCGATGGCGAATGGTTATCGTCAAAGAGGCTTCCAGAATGATCGAACTATAGATATCGTGAGTATGCATATGTAGCTGGCTTCGACGTCGTAGAACGATACGACTGACCGGGGGCGTGTACAGGCGTCGATCGTCCGTCAGTGACCGACTGCATTTTAGCCCGTCGAGCATTCCTGATCGGCGATCATCCGGCGGCTGGAATAGTTCACCAAAGCAAGCGTATATTCCGAGGAACTCGTCGATATCGCCTTTATAATGACAGGAACCTGCGACCTTGCACCTCTCCAGGGTCTCGATATGTGCTCCGAGTCGCATTCAAGTTCATATGGTGTCTGGCAGGGTGTTCAGACTGCTTGTAGCCCTCGTGGACACTGCTGGATGGTGATGCAAGCTTAGAAGCGTCGTTATTCGCCATAGTTCGCCATATTGGACGGAGAGTCGAATACGTACTTAGATGTTAACGGTTATGAGGGCCGACAGCCGCTGGCAGCGGACGCGTGGTGACGCGATCCATACAGCATCTCACGTGACCGCATCTCACAACTGTCAACATTGACCTCGGAGCCTCGGGCAAGCCTCGGGGCCTGCGCTTTGTTCAGATTCTTGATTCAATGATTGTGTACTGGCTCCCAGTTGGCTCCTCTCGATGGCTATTCCAGCCATTGCGAGCACTGCGTTTAAGACTAATGTTACGCACCGGACAGATAGCTTTGCGTTGACAAACGTCCACTCGTCCATGGTCCATCACCGCGGCCACATAACGCAAGATACATACGAGTCCCGCAGTCAACGGACAGGACACAGTACGTGTATGATAAGAGCTCAGAAGCACCTGGATGATGGCCTTCCGACCACCCATAGTTCCGGCTCTATGAAGTTCCAATCTTATCTGTATGCACTAGTGATATCCGGAGCTCTCAGACAACGTTCCACTGCGGCGTAAAAGCGCACCATCGACGAGCAATGGCTTCCGGCTTCCCGAAGGCTACCTGAGTTCCTTCCGTCGTCTCTCGTCTGTTCATAGCGCTCTCGCGGGTTGCAGGCGATGGGACTCCGGCACAGATTGCTCCAGAAGCTTGAAGTGCCCAACCAAGAGGAAGCACAAGCGGATCGGTGGAACAACCATGATCTGAAGCCTGTCGAACCTGCGCGGAGGACATGGGGCGCAAGGCAGTTCATCGAGCTATGGATTCTGGTCAACATGAACATCTCCGGGTACCAGACCGGCTCATCGCTCGTAGCCGAGGGGCTCAGCTGGTGGCAAGCAATCATCTGCATTGCGTTCGGAGACATGTACGTGCAATGTCTCGGAGTCGTTCGTCATGCGTCAAGCAGACTCACGTTGCGTGGTAGTCTAGCCGCCACCTTCTGCACGCTGAACTCAACATCCGGAGCCTACTACCACATTGGCTACCCGGCGATCGCCAGGATCGCCTTCGGCATGAACGGCAGCTACTTCGCCGTCCTCAACCGCATCCTGCTCTCGGTCGTGTGGTGTAAGACTCGCCCGTCTTCGTCACCCATTCACCGCTGATCGCTGCCCAGTCGCCGTCCAAGCCTGGAATGGCGGCCTCTGCGTGCTTGTCTGCCTCCGCGCGGTCTTCCCCGGGCACATCGACCGCATCCCGAACCCGTTCCCCGCGCGCACTGGCATGGACGGCGCGCAGTTCATGTGCTACATCCTGTTTATGCTGTTTTGCGTCCCCCTGACGTACATACACCCGCACAAGCTGAATACGTTCTTCAAGATCTGCTCGGTGATCGTGTTCATCAACCAGATTGCAATGCTCATCTGGGCGCTTGCGACCATGGAGGGCGGTCTGTCCAGCAGCGTCCTCTCAACGGGCGAGGCGCTTAACAAGTCCAGTTTGGCATGGGCGATCTGCAATGGGATCATGGCGCAGATCGGCGGCATCGCTGCTGGCATCCTGAACGACAATGACTTCACACGTTTTGCGAAGACTCCGGAAAGACGGGCGATCATGGCACAAGCTCGTAAGCATTCATACTCGCCTAGAAATCTGACCATGAGCTAACGTGTATTGTAAGTGACCTTCCCTGTAACGGCCTTCTTGACGTCTTTGTTCGGTATTCTTATTACCGCTGCTACGGCTGACCGATACGGCGAAGCTATATGGAACCCTCCCGAATTGCTGCTTGCCGCGCAGAAGGCGGGTGGCTCTGGTTCGCGCGCTTCGACTTTCTTCTGCGCGTTCGCTTGGATCATTTCTCAGCTAGGAATCAACATCCCCGGGAATCTCGTGCGTTATATCCATCTTCTTTGTGACACACAACGCTGACAGGCACACGCTTACTTCTTAGGTCGCTGGTGGCGTAGATGTGGCTGCATTGTGGCCGAGGTACATCAATTTGCGCAGAGGCGCGTACATGGTGCTCTTAGTCTCTCTGGCCGTGAACCCCTGGCAGCTCCTTAGCTCGTCAAGCGTCTTTCTGGAGGTGCTCAGCGCGTACTCCGTCTTTCTCAGTCCTATGACCGGCCTGGTGAGCTACCCGTCTCCGCTCTCTTCCCCACCACTGTGCTCATGGCTACTACTTACGTGTCTCAGCTCGTCAGCCAGTACTACGTCATCCAACGACGCTACTTCAAGGTCCCAGACCTCTACATCGGCGACAAGCGCTCCATATATTGGTACTCCCACGGCGTAAACTGGCGCGCCTTCGTCGCCTTCTTCAGCGGAGTCGCGCCGTGCATCACCGGGTTCGTCGGCTCTGTGTCCGACCACCAGGTCAGCGCGGCGGCGATCCACGTCTACGACATCAACTACATCGTCGGGTTTGGCATATCGTTTGTTGTCAACTGGGCGCTGCACTACCTCTTTCCGGTTCCGGAGCAACGCGAGTTCGTGCGACGGATGGAAGAGGCGGGTGCGCCGAAGCACTTAGATGGGCTGATGGTTTACTTGGAGGAGGTTGATGAGAAGTCAATAAGCGACTCGTACGATGTTGGTGTTATTGAGGAGAAGGCTAGCGAGGAGAAGGGACTACCGGATAGAGGTTGAATGAAGGTGTAACACACCGTGACCGGCGACGATCTAATGATGGCTCACTGTTTCATCTTCCAACGATACATGACTTTTCTATCTTTGCTCGTTCCAGCGAGCTCTCATGACGCGGGGTTGCCGTTACTTGCCTGCCGGTCGCACGGCTCGCGCGTGTGGATCGTCGTGAATTTCGTAAGGGAGCGGATGCGAGTTCCATAGAGCCAGGTTCTACTTTCTGCACTTCTGTCATCTCCGACGTTGAACGTTGAACTCTGCCTCTATCCCTTTTGACCTGATGCCCACTCCGCCGCCTTCAGATTCAACGGGGTCTTCGCGATGTGTGGTGATGATGGCAGGCGTTTGGTAGGAATTCCCGTTTTGGAAATCCTGACATGGGCAACTCACAGCGCTCGCAAGTTCCGTGTTCGCTTCCTGCTCACCAGCAGCCCACGACCGTTCGACACGACGCCCTCTCTTCAGTCGGTCCCTTCACGGTACTCTGATATTGTCTCGCTCTATCGCTTGCGCGTAGGACTCTAGTTCTGACGACCTCACGGCCCTCCCAAAACCGGACTGCAACACTCTCGAGTCTCTGACCTGCGCCCACGTCGTATGATTTCGCGGCTTTAACCCACAAGATTGTGTCTTCTTTGGTTCCGCGGAGCTATCATCACAAGTTTACTGCTAGGCTCATCCGGTAGCACGTCTGCTGCCTGTCCGACCACTATGCCACCACACTACAAAGGATGGTTTTACCCGCCCACCCGACGAGAGGTCACGCTCATACTGTTCTCGCTGACTGTCTTCGTACTGTCGTATAACTTGGAGGCTCCCTGCAACTAGTAGGCGTGAAGCCAGTCAAGCTGAGCGGATCTTACCTCTCGGCAATCGGTGAGTGCTTTCCACAGACTCGAGTGCTGAAGCGGGGTTACCGCGTACATTCTTCCGGGGAGTCTTACATTCGTACTCACCAATAATGCGCAGGATTGGGAGCCCAGGACCCGGGGTACGACCGGGACGGTCGAAGACCGAAGGAGTGGCGGGACGATTTGGAGACCATGATCTCTGGCGAGTGGGAGTGGGAAGAGGGCAAGGTGCTGCCGTGGCCAGCACGACGTCCGCAGGGCCCGTCGGGACGGCTGCCATCTACAACGTTGACTCGAGCAAGGGTTCGAGCCGCGCCGACGGCAAGGTGGACAGAGGAATAGGCGTGACGAAGGGTGTCAGTCCGCGCCAGCAGTTGGTGAGATGGGAGGAAAAGGTCCCGGTTGCAAGGGCGGTCGCGCATGTGCCAGGTGAGTTGTTCGCGCGCATATAGGGAGTGAACCCGCTCACGTCCTGTACTCGCAAGGGTTCACAATTTTGGACAACGTGATCATGGTGAATGGAACGTTCTACCTCGTCACGGACGACCCGTCGTCATTACCAGCGCTCGAGTACGTTGCCTCCTCATCAGTAAACAGCGCACATCCTCCGCGCGAGAACGAATGGGCAATAGTAAGCACAAGCGACGCAGTCGATAAGCTCGGTACTTTTGGAGGACGGTGTGTGGACCTTCCTACAATGAAGATGCGCATGTTCTAACGTGCCCAACAACAGTGTTTTTGGCACCAGCTGGTTTGCACTGGACCATGCCGAGTCGCAAGATCCTTATACTCTCTTCTCGCTCTTCCGCACACATAGCACCCTGGCTGCACCTACACTCTCTGCAAGCTTCTCTTCGGATTCATCCGCTCAAGGCAGGAATAAGTCGCTAGCGAATGTACCTGCTCCGCTCCGCTTGATATTCCCCAACGTTCCAACGTTCTCTAGCCCTCACATTCCACTGGCCCCCGGTGTCGACCCCAAGGTCCATCCAGAGCCCCGAGTAAAATCATTCATGGGTAAGTACCATTTCCAGCATCACCACGCAGCTCGCTCAAACGATCAATGCTAGGCATTCACCCGCTCCTGCAGAAAGCGGCCCTTCCGGCCCTTGGGATCTGGTATACCGAGGATTGGCAAGACCTCATCGCCATGAATGCCCCCTGGATCTTCGACCGGGTCATCATCGCCGACCGGGGCGCCTCCGAGCGCGGGCGGGATCTCTGGACCCGCGGGTGGTCGCCTGCGTCAGAGGACTTCACCAAGCGTGCTGAAGGCGACGACGGCAAGCCCTCCTGGGCGGCGCCCTTCGTCGGGCTTCGCATGAAGGCGGGCTGGTGGACGCCCGTGCGCAACGCGCTCCTGAGCTATTTGCGCCTGCCCGAGCTGCAGGAGGCTACGTCGGAAAGAGCTCGTTCTGGAGCAAGAAGCCGCGGCGACGAAGCCGGTCGTCACGTATGTGTCGATGCAGGATGAGCCTGTGGGCGCGGCCGAGGCTGAACGAGGATGACCATGCTGCACTGGTTGCGGGGTTGCAGAGCTTACAGAGGGATGGCGTGGTGAGCGAGGTGCACGTTGTCAAGGGCAATGGGAGTGTTGGTGTGCATGGGTGGGAGTGGGCGGACAGGATGAGTGCGATCGCTCGGTCAAGTGTGCGTGGCTATGCGTTTTGTGCAAGAATACAAGCTCATATGGTTTTCCAGATCGTGTTGGGTCCGTGGGGCCACCACCTCGCCGACAGCACCTTCATGTCGCCTCCGGCGTGGCAGGGTCGCGACGTCGCTGCGGCATCCTCGGTAGCCGGAGCGGAAGCAGAGCAATCCGCTGCACCGTTGCTCATGGAGTTCTTCCCACCTGACACCTTCATGCGGGATCAGGAGTTCGCTGTCCGTTCATTGGGAATGAGGTACATCGCATGGTGGAACAATAGGTAAGACTGCACGCTGCTTTCAATCTACAGAGACTAACGTGACGTGATAGAAAATTTACGGCCAACACCCTCCCGCCCGTGTTTCGAGCTGTGGACCCTAACCAGCGGGTGCCCATCAGCGTAGACGCAGTCATGCAGGCCATCCGAGATGAGATCGCGCGCCGGACTGTACCGTGACTATAATCTGAGACATACTAGCTATACACATCCGTAACGTATCTGTAGAGCTCACTTGATACCATGTGCATCTAATTTATCCTATCGACACTGCGTTTTGCCTTCCGTCTTACTGTAGACATTTACATCGTTGAAAAGTTATGGTACATTAGATGTACTTAGTCCGTGAGTCCGATGATATCCAGGTACAGTATATTGAAGCTCGCACGAGAAACTCCGTCTGAACGTCTATCAACTGGATGCAGCCAGGCAACGATCAGCTGACAAGCTGTAATCTGTGAAGGAGAACGGTGAGACCAGACTTGGGAGACACAAGTAGGCAGGATCCCGTACCATTGCCCCACCATTGTGGAATGCAACGGCGGTGCCCGCGGCCCCGAAGATTGCCTACAGCGCAGACCGCCGGTGTCTCAATATACGAGACAAAGGGTGGATAACAGCGAATGCTTACGAAGTTCAAAATGAAGATGACAATCTGGGTACCAGCGTCCATGGCCGAGGCGATGAGATAGCTGTAATCCGCTCGATCAGTGAGTCATGATGGTAGCAAGGAGCGAAGCTACTTACTTGTACTTGATGAACCACCGAGGGTGGCGGGTGCGTACCCACCACTGCGTGAACAGTCCGATGACCATTGAGGTACTGCCTCGACAAATTAGACATTTTAAAGGGGGAATCAGAGAGTGACGGACTTGACATAGCTATTGATACCGCCATATACTTGTCCAGCGAACTGTATGTGTCTCAGTAATGAACTCTCTAGCCAGGTGTCGGTAAGCGTACCTCAAAGATAATACTGGTGTTGAAGTATTGGAAGCCAACTTTTGGCCAAATACGGTGCTGCGAGATATGTCAGTCCCAATACTGCGTGATGATGACTGGGCCCTACACCCACCGCAATGTAGAAAGGCAGAGGAAGGAACAAGCCTACGGCCAATGATATTGGTACCATGCGATATAGTGCCTTCCCGCTAAACATCTGCGGACCCAGCGCTCCCCACGCAATGGCACTCGCTGTGGGATTATGATGAGAATTATTAAGTGGCGGTCACACACGGAACACGTACTGTTGTATACCTCGATACTGAGGCCCGACCAAAGTCTTGCGGTGAAGTCAGTACCCAGAAAAGCAATGCATAACGAGCATCATACCGAGTACCGGAGACCGATAAGAGCGCTGCAATCGGTCAGCATGCAGTGTTCGCCAATTTTCATGTCCCGAAGATACTCACCGTCTCGCTGAGAGTTCAAAATCGAGAGCGCGACGACGTCTGCGTGAAGCAATAACATCAGGATAGATCATTCCGATTGATTTCAGGCGTCACTAACAATTCAGGAGCGCTCCAACAATGGTGCCTATGTGAGCAATCTTTGTCAGAGATGTACATTCATGCTGATGTCGAGCGTCCTCACCAGCCATCTGCATGCAGAACGTTACGCGCGGTGCCAACTTCACGTACTGACCGAGCTTGAGGTCTCCCAAAAAAGCGAATGCTTGTATCATAGGTTGTCCTCCGTACAATGAGCCGTACATGTTCGCGACCGGGTCCCCAGGAACAAGGTAAGCTGGCGATTGGCGTTAGTGCGGAGCTGCTTGGCGAGTTGGCAATACTTTACCGGTGATCATCTCATAGAACGCAGTGGCATTGCTGTAGAACCCGATCAATGCGTCCAGAATCCCGTATAGAGCGGTGAGAGTGAAGGAGAGAGAAGGACGACCGTCAAGGCCCACCACGGAAGGCCAGAGTGACCAGTGTAGTTGGCTAGAAAGGAAGGCTATCAGCGCATGGACGGGTTCAAGTTTTTGTCGAAGGTACTCACTTGCTTGCGCGGTCACATAGGCTCCGGCCAACACGGCGACGTACCACCAGCGGGGGATCTGTTTGTAGGCCTTCATTTTCTCCCAATGCTGTGGACAGTGTGTCAAATAAAATCACAAAGATTATATAAATGAGCTAACGGGATCATCAATGACGTGCTCAACGCGGTTGCGCGGGTTCAAGGACAGGAAGAAGGGTACAAAGTTTCTCCAATGCCACAGGCCGACATGCGTGAGCAATGCACCGACAGAGAGGTTCGAGGCAATAAGCCCAAAGACAAATGTCCCCGACAAGTATGCTGGCTGTTTGGCAGGGTAAGGACACGGCGCAACGAGTGGCGATGATCCGAGACTCACTCCTAGCTTGGCGAACTTAGTAGCGTCAAACTTCCCGTTGGTTAGAATGGCTGTCTGGTCGTAGACGGTTCCATTTGCGGTCTAGAGAAACCATCGGTTCAGTCCCTCCTTATTTCTACTGCTCGTCACTAGACACTCACGTATAGAGACTGGCTCATGAAAGGGAATGACAGGGAGCCCCAGACGTTGCCATAATATATGGCGGAAATCATGATGTACGCCAGGAAGATGCCAATGTCGATGTTCAGCTGATACGACAGCGGCGCCCAGAAGCAGAGACTCGATATGATGTTCCAGTCGAGGCATATTGAAAGCATTCCCATGCCCTCGTTGCTGCTGGCGCCCCCAAAGATGTTCCGAATAACCGGGCTATGATTGTCAGCGAGACAGAAGACAGATATACCCGTGAGGACCGGAAATATCCCTGGACGTATGCACCCGCGGATCAGTAGTCGTCCGGTAGAACCGCTAAGGAATCGACACTCACACTCGGGTACGATTGCCCAGCAGAACATCACGGCAAACACAATCCAGAACATGCGCACGCGCTTTGACGAGAACTGCTTGTCGTAATGCAGCGCCTGAAACAGATTGGCTGTTTGGACTGTTGTACGGCCGTTAGGAGTCATTTTGTCCGTCTAAATATCGTAGGACTTACTGGATGCTGGCCAGAAGCACTTCGTGGGCTTTACAAGGACGTCCTGCAGCAATCCTGCGAATCCGTATCCTATGAGCTGAGACGCGAGCAGAGTGAAAATTGCGACGCCGGCGTTCTGATAGACTATTAATCAGTTGACTGCCATAACTCATGGTGACAAGACGCCAAGCTAAGTACCATTGAATGATCGTAGAATACTATGACAAGATGCTTCAGCGCAACAAATAGAAAACATTTTATTGAAGTCACTTACGCTCTTGAACAGCGAAGACTTGAATAGCCGTAGCAGATGTTGAGGCCGTGGATGCCATGATGACAATAGCAGCATGCTCTTTGACTGAATGGACATCACTATCAGAACACAGCAGACAGGCCCACGGACACTCACTGTTGAAGGGACCAGGGTTGAGCCACCTAAAAATGCCTTTGGACGGAAGCGCGACATGCATGGCATTCCCCAGCGCAAACGAGAGGATCAACAGAAGCAAAGCGGAGACAGTCAAGTTCTGAGGCTTGAAATAATAAATCTGCGCGAGCACGCTGGCATAGAAGTTCATGGTCAGCGTATGAGGGCACCCACAAAAAGGCGATCACATACGCTCCAAAGGCGGAGAATCCGAGACCAAGGAATATAGAACGGAAAGTGACTGCTGGAAGCTCGGGGTAGTCTACTGTAGTTAAAACCTGCGGAAGGCTGTAAGATTACGTCGGCACATCGAATGCGCGATTTCATACCTTCAAGGCCACTTCGTATGGTTCTTGCACCCGAGGCTCTTCAGGGAGGGCCGTTTCGTTAGGGGTGGAGTCGACGCCTGGGAGAAGCACAATCTCGCTGGATGCCACGCGTATCTGGCCATATAAATCGTCTTCCGTGGTCCAGCTGGTCTCCGGGGTGGACGGGAATTTGTTTAGAAGCATTACGTCCGTTGGTGAATGCTCTGGCCTTGCTGACGCAGACATAGCACAGGTATCGTGATGGTGAAATCAGATGATAGAAAAGGATATGACGCGAGGAAAGAGAGAACACAGAATGAACGACTCATGTCATTCATACATACATATATATGCACCATGCTCGAAGCTGAAAGCGACGCAGCTGTATTTCTGTCGCATGGTACTGCATTCCGCAGAAGCCGAGTAATTCTTCATCACACCTGTCATAGTCCTTAGGCTCGTCTCGTTAATGCATATACGAGGACAGCCACAGTGCCCTTTAGACCATGCGAGGAGGGACGCCCAATTGCGTTCGAAATACAATGTATGGCCGTTTGTAGACGGATCAACGCGTCGTCGCTACGATGAGCAACATGTCGCAGAAGACGCTGGAGTGGCGCAGTCTTGCACAGGCGGCTCACCTCGCCCGCAGGAAGGTCGCACAGGGCATGAAGACCGTTCGCACTTATCTGAGGTACAGGCGACTTGGATTTTGTTTCACTGCCAGTATTGCGGATTGGTCGCCCCGTCGTAAGCTGTGCGATGACAAGGTGTGCATAACCGTGGCGGATTCCGCAGACAACGGTTCGGCCACGAAGAGTCCGTGAGATTTAGCGAGCCCGGGCCTCACGCTCACACTACTGAAAGATTCGTGCGTTAGGACTGACCTGGCACTGAATACGACAAATGTTCACGTTACCGACTACTATATATATGCGACGTGTTAGTCGCTCACAATGCTCCTCGCATGATGCATCTTCGAGATTTGGATGTTTGAATCTGCCTAATGCTCCTTCTGTAGCAGCCAAGTATTCGCGTGGTACATGCTACGTAGACATTCGCGGCCACTAACACCGTTGACAGCCTGAGTACGGTATCCCAGTCACTGGCACCGCCACTCGCAGGCGCAGGCGACGACCTGACGCGGGCCAAGCGGTGCTTTCGCATTTCCATGATCTGCGTGATGCCGTGAGTTTTGTATCACGTCAAAATAGTCATTTACTAACGTACACAACCGTGATAGCTTCCGGGCCCTCGGAAAACGGAGGCTTGAAGTCAGGTTCATAGCATATTGGAGCGTGGGCATCTGGTGTAGTTTTTTTATCACGCTCGCTTAGCATAGATATACTGGATGAAGGGCCAGTTTGCGAGAGGGGTCCGGTGCAAAATGGACGTCTCCGGGATTGTTCTGACGATGTTCCGATGGAGATTGGTCGATTCCCATATTAGGGGTCTGCGCGCGCACAGAGCGCCACAAGCGGCAACCGGCGGCAAGCCTGTGGCTGAGGAGGGGCTTAGCCCATACATCCATCACGCAGCTTTGCGCCCTGTCGCTCACCGCAGTTCCAGAGTCTCGATACCTCCGTTCACCAGACCATTTTCTCACCCAATGCCTATGGAACACTGATGATAGGCCGAGGCTGTGTGTCGAACTCTCATCCAAGCAGCGACGTCGACTATCCTTCTGGCATTGGCTATGCACATAACTGTACCACTTGTGCGACCGCCATGAGACTCGCTCTCATACACTAGCCTAACAAAATCAGTGTACCTCGCAGCCGTCAATGCGGCCCATATGCACGTGGGATTCATGCTGTAAGTACTCGCTGGTGGCAGGGTGGCAGGGACTCACCGCAGTATCATTGGCAGGACTGCAGACGGGCTGTGTAGAGGACAATCACACTCCGACGCCTTGACAGGCTCACACGGAACAGTCATATTACCCCATGTTTGCGGGGAGCGGATCTGATTCAGAAGGCATCCATTCTTTCCCCATTCTCACCATCAATGTCCTCCAGTTTCCAGTCAAGTTCATTGTGCTGCACTCTACTGAATATTGATCGACATCGCAAAATGGCTACGCGCCGATATACATCACTGCGCAATATTCACGGTCCCAGGCTGCGCGAGGACACTATCATCATGGCGTAGTCCTGATGCTGTGCCATGAACATGCGTCATGCTTGGTCAGTGATGCATCCTCAGTTTGTCTTCTGTCGCTCATACGCAATACACTCGTCCATAGTGCGGGCCAGCCTCTCCTGTCGGCGACGCGGGCATGCAGCAGTGGTATGATAGCAGCATAGCTTGACTCGGAGTCGGAGGCGAGTCACATCTGTCACTTAAGAGCACCCGATTTGACGCTTCGCGCTCACGCCAGCGTTTGTTGGACGTGTAAGTTGTTCTGAAAAGCATGCACACCGCGATCCGGGGCCATCCCTTCATCCCCACAATCCACACTTAGAACTCATGCACCCCTGCCAGGTGCATCGATCATCACAGAGGACGATCTCTTCCGCCCCGCTACAGACTTCTCCTGCTCTCATGATCGCGTTCGCCAGCAGAACACGATTCAATTGCTATCGACTGCGCATCTGCAAGTGAGCACGCATTCGAGATCCTCGAACAAGGGATGCATCGGCACTGACGGCCGCATGCATGTAACGGGCCATGCCATCTGCAGCTTCTACCAGCGGCACTGCGCTGGCGGGTAGGTTTCATACAGCGCTCCTTGCTCCATCGGAGTGTGTTGGGAAGCAGAACTGTCCGGAGGTAGCCCTTTGGCTGACGCAGCGAACACATCCATCACCTTGAAGCCGGACTTAACCGTGGGCCCGACAATTCATCGAATACGACTGGCGGTGTGCTGATCCCCTTCAGGAAGACAGAAGAGTGCAAACCCTTCTCCAGCTCGGGAGATCCACTCGAGACTCATAGGACGGACAAATATCATTCTTGACGACTGAAGAATCCCCAGCCCGCCTGCTCAACCCAAGCCCGCATACGACCAAGCATCTCCACCGGAACCAAGCGCCTTCACTGGAAGCACGACTCAGAATGTCGCGCACCATCCTCTCCCCGTGCGGCCTCGCCTTCGAGACCTGGGACGACATCCTCGCCCTGCTCTCCGACGACCTCCCGAGCACCTCCGCCTGCGCACGCACCTGCCACGCGTTCCTCCCCGCCGCACGCACACACCTCTTCCGCGTGGCCCGCATCGATTCGCCCGCGCGCCTTCAAGCGCTCGAAGGCCTCATCGGGGCATCCTCCGTGCTCGCCCGGAGCATCCGCACGCTCGAAGTGCGTGTGGCACCCTGCAGCACCTCCGAGACGGAGGGGGGGCAGGGCCATTGTGAGAAGGAGGGCTGGCCGAGGCTCGTGCCCCGCCTGGACCGCCTTATGAGTGTGCGACTGCAGGGATTCGCGCTGGAGGTGCCGCCGGAGGTGGGGAGGGCGGAGTTACCTAGCGTCACGAGTGTGTGGATGAAGGACATGCGGAGCGTTGGCGACGACCTGCGGAGGTTCGTCCTCGCGTGTCCGCAGCTGTCCTCGCTGTACATCGACGACTCGAGCGACGTCGCGGAGGGGACACCCTCCCCGCTCACCGCGCCCTCCGACCTGCCTCGCGCGTTCCATCGTCTCGACACCCTCATATGGCATGTCCCTTCCCTCCCCTCCTCATGCAGTCCCTCCAGACCGTCGAGGCGCCCACCACTCTCCCCGTGCTCATCGCGCAGCGCCTCCGATCCGGCCAGGCGGTCCCCTCCGCCGGCTCGCCGTCGGCCACAACCTCCGTCTCAGCGCTTCCGTCCGGAGCACGGCCAAGCAGCTCGTTGCCTCCGCCGGCGACACGCTCGAGAGCCTCGTCCTCCGTCTCGAGGACCTCGGCGAGGGCTACCCGCCCGACGACGTCCGCCGCGGGCTCCTCCCCGAGCTCTCCACGAACCGCCGGCTGAGGGCACTGCACATCCTCGCTGTGGGCTCCGCATGGTTCGAGATACGCGACGGGCTGTCGGCGATCACGCACGTGCTCTCGACCCTCCCCGCTGCCCAGGACTCCATGCTGGAGGACGTGGTGATCCACTTGACGCCGTACGTCCCCCGTGCGCAGCGCGACTGGAGCCTGGCGGCGTGGGTCCAGCTCATCGCCGCGCTGGACGCGCTGATGCGCACGCGCCCGCGAGTGCGGTGTACGCTCTGCCTTGACTTCTCGTCCAACTTTGGGGCCCGGCCGAAGCCCGCGAACGCGCAGCCCATAGCTGAGTACGTTGAGAAGCTTGTGGAGGCGCTTCCACCATGCCGGGTCGAAGCGGGCCATCCTCCCTCGCGAGCGCGGATTGGGCTGATCTGGCAGACACACTTCAAGGATTGGGAGTGCTCTGGTTCACGGGAGACATATCCGGCCCACAACTACGTTGGGGAAGCGATGGGGGCGCCAGAGTGGTATTATCGTCTCCGTTATTGCGCTCCATGATCTGTCATGGTCAATGCTCGACGTGATCTCCCTTCCGAACTCACTATGGCCCATCTAACATCCCAGCAGAACAACTTCAGGCATGTGTTGTAAGGCAAGTACAAAGGGGGGTGGACTTCATTCATATATAACTTACCTCGAATGGCATCGGTGATGCTGCTGATAGGATACACTGCATATAATAATTATATGGTTTATTTTCCGTTGTATCCGTGCAACCAGGAGGCAGCTGTTTGATCAGCCACTGAGGCATAATGGGCTGACGCTTGCCGGCTATCATGGTCTGCAACGGAGACTACTTACCTTGGCCAACCTTGCGCAATGGCCTGAGTTTCCAGCGGGTACCACTGGCGCGACACGATCACCTGACCGCGTTTGCAGGGAGGGACGCGTGATGTCATGGCCCCGTTCGCCTGGTCGCGCTCCCTCAGCCTCTGATGAATGCATGACGTCTTCCCGCACCAACCATGTCTGCTATAAGCCATCCACGCCCGCTCGCCTTCATTCTCAACAATCCGCTCTTGACGACCACCAGTCTTTCTTCCGCATCTTCCGAGTCCGACACCTTCACCTCAACCACCACCATGAGCTCTGGAGGCCACGCACACGCACGCGAGCCCGCGCAAAAGCCACTTCCCTTCCTTGCGATCCCCACGCGGGCGGGAGCCCAAAGTACGTCGTCTCCCAGAAGACCCTCCAGCATCCAGACATATGTTCCCGCCATAGGCACTTATAGGCGGCGTCGCGGCCGTGACCGCAGGCCTCGCAGGCTTCTGGTACTACCAAATACTCACAAATAAGCAAAGAGGAGGACGTCCGCCCAGGCACGATCCCGACATGTACGTCTTACCTACCTGTTCAGTTGGGTACGGCTGACCGCGCACCTGCAGGGGAGTACGCCTGCAGCAGCAACGCGACCCAGTGACGCACCCAAGGACCCCCTCACAGAGCGGTGTCGGGAAGGAGCCCGTATCCGCCCGAAGGACGTGCCGTTGCCGGGATCGGGCTCGAAACAAGGCGAGGGCGGGGGCGCGGTGATGACCGCGGCGCATGTGAGCATCCTTCCTCTCACCTGATTTGCGATGGAGAGGAGCGGGATTCTGACGACGATGCAGGGAAAGGGCTCGGACAGTCACAAGGCTCGTCGGACCACGTCGACCAGCCGCCGCAGATGGGTAGGACCAACGACCAAGGGGACGCCGCGTATTCAAAGGTCAGTTCTCTCCTTGATGTCTGCTACAATGCTGACAGTCGGTGTGACAGCATTCGGAGTACGCGGAGAGCACGACCGGCTAAGTAGAACACTGGCGGGTGCTGTCGGCGCGACGTGGTTGCAAGCCCGGCTGTGTAGTGTATGAGTGTACCATCAACCGTTAAGGGACTGAACGACGTAATGTACATGTACCATAGACGTGCAGACACGCATATACCAACTTGAACGAACGCATATCGTTCACCAGTCTCGTCTGCGCGTTGCATGGAGAACGTCACTCTTGGGCAGTCAATCCCCATAGACACCCTCACCTGGAACAAGGACATGAACGCCCTCAGCATTACAGTAGTCTACAGCAGGATACTTTTGGGTAGATGCAGGTGCACCGATATATGCTCTATGCCTCCTGCATGACGACGTCTTCGCCGACCTGCTCTGCGGCAGCCTGTTTCAGCTTCATTTGGTCGGCGAGGAAGGCCAGCGTAGCATTGTTCTCTTCGCACCTTTAGCGCAACAGTCAGCATCATCGCACCACACCACAACAACAGCAAGACACCCACAACTTCACGATCAGGTTCTCGAACTCCCCCAGCGCCTTCTGCAACGCCCGGAGTACACCGGCGTGCTCGCCCGCCCGCTCGCGCAGGTACCGCCCATGCGTGCCCAACACCGCCTTCACCCACACCATGACGAACTCCACGCGCGGGCTGCCCTCCAGCGCCTCCGCGACGCACCGCACGAGCGCGCCCACATACACCTGCGGTACGCCCCGCACCACCAGCCTCACGTCGTCCCCGGGCACCGCCGAGAACACGCGATGCACGAGCGCGCGCTCGTTCAGCCTGAACGCCGTGATCAGCGCAGGGAGCCACGACCGCTTCGCCAGGAGCCCGAGCACGCTCTGCGGCGTGACGTCCATCGCCAGGTCCACGGGTCGAACGCTGCGCCCTCGTCGAGCGCGTAGATCATCAGCCCCTCCGTCGTCGCCGCCGCCCACGCGCGCCCCGTCGGCGCGAACCGCACGCACGTCGTCCGCACCTCCTCGCGCACGCGCCGCCGCGCGAGGTCCGCGCGCTTCGCGCCCGGCAGCTCGTCGTCGCGCTGCCGCCGCTCCTCCGCGTCGCTCTCGTCCCCGCGCGTGTCGATCAGGTCCGCGTTCCCCGCTTCGGTTACCCGCCGGCTGTCGAGCTTGTCCTGCGTCCCGTCCAGGGCGAGGTTCTCGGACGTCTTGAAGCGCTTGAGCAGCACGCCCGCGCGCACGTCGTACAGCGCGACGTACGGGCTCCGCCCGCCCGCGAGCACGCATCGCCCGTCGGCAGTGTAGCAGATGCTCGAGTGCGAGCCGCCCCCGGGCGCGGCTGTCAGGTCGCCCAGTTTCCGCCCCGGCGCGGCGTCCCGCCTTGTGTCGATGATGCTCATCTGCCGGCCTTCGGCGACGTCGAAGAACACGAGCTGCCCGTCGAGCGTCGCCACCGCGAGCTCGTTCCCGTCCGGGCGGAAGGCGACTGCGAGCACGTCGGAGGAGAGCTGGAACGGCTCCACGGCGCGGCTGCGGCCGAAGACGTTCCACAGGCGCACGGAGCGGTCCCATGATCCGCTTGCGAGCAGGTTTCCCGTGGGCGAGAAGGCGAGGGCACATACGGGGGCGGTGTGACCCGCGAGGACGTCGAGCAGTTTCCCCGTCTGGACGCTCCACAGGCAGATCTCGAAGTTGTCCTGCGACCCCGCGGCAACCGCCTCGCCGCTAGGGTCGACAGCCAGGGACGCGAATTGCGCTGGCGTGGGCGAGGTGAACGTCCGGAAGACGCGGTACCGGATCAGGTCCGCCGCGCGCACTGTCCCGTCCAGCGACGCTGAGAAGAGCACTTGGCCCTGTTTCGCGAACTCGACGGAGGACACGGGCGCGGAGTGTTCGGAGAAAGTCACGAAGCAGAACCGGACGTGCTATTCCACACCTTCACCTTGCCATCCTCGCCTCCCGTGGCCAAGTTGACACCGTCAGGGGCGTATGCCACTGTGCTCATCGTCGAGAAGTGACCCTGCTGCTTCAGAACGTAGCTCTGGCTCTGCCACTCCCATACCAGTAGCTGCCCGAGCTTTGCCGCACCGAACGCAAGCCATTCGCCGGAAGCGTTCACCGCAACCGAGGAGATCTTCTCTTGCGAGATGCTGAGCGTGTGGAGGTTGGAGAACGAGGGCATTTCCCATAGACCGAAGACGCCGGTAGAGAAGCCGACCACTAGCAGGCCGGAGGGACGATGGAACGTACTGCAGACAACGCGCGTGCCAGGCTGATGGAAGTAGTTCCGCTTGTGCACCCCCCATCGCGTGTGCGCGATGGAGTTGGCTATGGCTGAGGTGGACGCGATGGGCTCCGCGTCATCGCTGTCTGACTCGGCATCTGAGGGCTTTGCCTTCCAGGTGAAGACAGCGCCATCACGACTGACGGTGTAATCTGCCAAAACGAATCAGGCGGAGGCTAAGAGACCGCCAGCTGAAGACACTCACAGTTTGGAGTCCGCGGAGAAGTATGCGTTGATCACTATCACGGTGTCCGGCAAACGTCTTCGGGCGGAAGCCCTCGACAGGGTTCAGCGTGAACAACCTCGCTGTCATGTCCCGCGAGGTGGTGATGAAACATTTCGAGTCGGGCGACCACTCCACCTAACAACCTCGTCGTGATGCCGGTGTATGTCCTGTGAAGGTCGAAGGTGCGAATTCGCGGATGAGGTGGTTCGGGGTACGCCACACCTGGATGTGCGAGTCGTGCGTTACTGCGATGTATCTGCCGTCGGGGAGAACTTGATCGCCTTCACGGGTTTGTGGAAGTTGAAGTGATGCATCACTACGCCTCGCCGGAAGTTGACCAGTAGCGCACGGCCATCTGGGGAAGATGTGTCATGGTTCCGCCAGAGTGTTGTAATGGGACATACCTTCGTCCACGCTCACTAGCACATTGCTATCCGGGCTGAGAGCAATCGCGGCTATGTTCTTGCGATTCTCGAAGGGAAAGGTACGTGATTTGTTGCTAACATAGGTCAGATGTGTAATGGTGAACGTTACAGCTGTTGTAGAAACCATAGACCGCTCGCGCGCGCGGGTGTGTGGAGCGGGGTTTGGCTGGCGAAATGGCCGACGGGCAGCGAGTCATGCACAGCCCACCGTGCCGCAGAGAGATGTGCTCTCTAACTCGACTTGATGCAGCCTCGCTCACGGCTTAAACCCCAGCTCCATACATCCCCCAGTGCAGGCCGGCCTATCGTTTCTACAACAGCTGTAAGGAGCGACTCACTTGACAAGGTCAAACACCGAGACACGGTTCCCAACCGGACTAAGGACGGAGTTTCCATCTGGCGTAAAGACAACGTTTCCTTGCCTGTACACGGTTCCACATAGATTTGAGAACTGATACACCGTCAAAATGACTATGTCGGCTAGAGGACGCGCGGGACAAACCTGGAAGTTTGACTTCATCCGTCCGGAGAAGACACAGAGGCGTGGATCAAACCTCGCACGCGTGATTGAAGGAGAGGCTACAGGACCAGACCGGAGGTGTGGAGATTATCGAGGAGGAGGGTACTTCACGGTGGACGGGGCAATTGAAGTAGTAGTTTTGGGCGCCTCAAGAAAATACAGTATGCGAAGCACTCATTGCCTTATTCGGTCATACAGTAGCGCTTGAACCGCTGAGGCGTGGCTTCAGACTCAACTTTCGACCACGTCTCCACTGTAAGTTTGTAACTGAGTGCGAGTACCTACATCCTACATACCAGTCTATCTCGCGCTGACTGGAACGTTGATCGTTTTGAATCTCGTAGCCTTGCGATTTTCCTCTATGGAGTTTCTCGACCCTGAGACAATGTCGATCGACCGCTCCAAGGCGTTCGTTCGACAAGTTGCAGCGCGCTTCGAGGCCGCACTTGCATCGTTCCCCGACTCGGTGGCTGACGGGTCACAAAGGTCGAATTTTATCGATCAGCTTGCGAGGGAACTAGTGAGTCCAGAATTATGAGAGCACTCCTGCCTGAAACTAACTGAGATGACGAAGAGTCGAACATGGAACACAATCAGCATCCTTCTCTATCGCCATGAAACCCTCACGATCCCCGCGATACTGGCGAGCGGGTATGAAGAGTATAGCTCAGTTTATCCTGATCTACAGAAGTTTGACGCGAAGACTGTGTCGTCACGGGCTGAGCAGAGGACGTGGAAGCAGACATTGTTTCCCGCCACCCATGTCCAGCGTCTTCCGGTGGCACGACCGGCGGCAGAAGTTGAACTGGGAGAGAACCAGTGGTGGACACAACGTATGTGGTCATGAACATCGGATGGCCGGGGAGCTGCTTACACAACAGCACCTTTTCGCCTTAAGCCCACAGCAGCCATTTTGGCACCGCCTCGAGGAAACCAGCGGTGCATATTGTGCAGCCCCTGGCAGGCACCTCTGGACGCAGCAAAGCAACTACGAGCCAAAAACGTAGGAGGGACGAGGATACTGCACCGGGACGCCAGAACATGCAAGCTCTCGCTGCCCTTACACCATTGTCAGTGCACAAGAAGCCCCGACTGGAGGGCAAGGTCGGGAGCATGCTGTCGGACGCCACCGAGAAAAACATCGAGCTCGACGGACACACCCCGCCCCTCGCCTCAGGCAGTATGGTGACTGCTGGGGGTACTGGTGTCCAGGGTTCTATAAAGGGCAAGGCAAGAATGCCAGAGTCACAGGCGCGAAGCGTCATGGCAAGTATCATTTCGTGAAAGGTATCTCCATAGCACTTATGTAAAATACCATCAGGAAGCAACGCCGCGCGTCGCATCCACCACGCTCCAGTCGCAGCAGGCATCGTCTGGAACATTTTTGCAGCAAATCTCAATTCAGCGTCAAGACCTAGTTGATGATTTAGACGAGTACTCTCGCTTGAAGGAACAATTCTTGCTACAGCGAGCGGCCTGGCAGGGATGTGACAAAACCCCCCAACAAAACCTCGATCATCTCCGAGAACAGGCGGCTATGATTGGCCGGGCGCTCGCGAAAGTGCACGCCGTGAAGTCGCAATTTGATGCTCTCAAGGAGGATATGATGACATACCAGACACCCTAGCGAGGGCAGCGCACGTCAAAGGCTTATGACCTATCTAGCAGCGGCATGGAAACAACCCTAGTGGGTAGCGTCTATGTGGCAAGGGGCCGGGATCTCCCGTGTCGGGGTGGGAACGCAGACCGATTGGAACCTTGTACAGGCCAATGGTAGGGACATATAAATGCGCGTCCCTCGCCTTCAAGTTCTTGTCAATATATCGCATGAAGCAAATTCAATATACTCGTGTGAGTTCGACGAGTCACCGCGTGATCTCAACAAACCTCCCACTGGTGCGATACCTGCCTTTTGCATAAGGCTGCGAACTTAAGTCTTAGGTCAACCTCGAGATTGTTGATGGGAGGATGTGCACCCACCACCGCAGTGGCACTCCCTAACGTCAGGGCATTTCTGATAGGGACACTCCCGGGGCAGAATGTGTCGATTGGTACTTCAATTCAAACCACCATGTATGGTACACTCATATCTTACACCGTGAATTCATTACGCGTGTTGGCAACGCGTCACTGGGAGGAAGCACACAGCGATCTGTGGACAAGCTGTAGTCTAAGTGCATGCGTTAGAAATGAGTTGCCAAACAAGCATGCGACACGTACCGTTGCCCCACCATTGGGGGAATGGATGCGATGTCCCGACGCGCCGAAGAGAGCCTTGACCGCGAAACAGGTGAGCATCATCCGACAACAGGCGAGCTACAGAAGTGAACGCACAAATTGAGAATAAACATGATGACTTGTGTTCCTCCATCCAATCCCGCGGCGACAATGTAGCTACGACAAGGTATGACTATCAGTGCAGGGCGTCAAAATTGACATCATAGACATACTTGTATTTCGTGAACCAGCGCGGATACCTCGTGCGTACCCACCATTGGATGAAGACACCTATGGCCATGGTCGTGCTGGACCGCTCGACACTCAGTTATCCGGATGAGCATAGCAATGCGCCACTCACTTGACTTGGGTATTGATGCCGACCGCAAGCCAGCAAGAGTACTGCAGGCGCCGAATTTTCAACGAACCAAGCGTACATTTCGGCAAGTTTCATAACGTACCAGCATGATAATCGGTGTGCTAAAGTTGTTGAAACCAACCTTCGGCCACATGCGGTGCTACAGACGGAATAGTTATCAGAACAGAGTTCTGTCCTCGTGTACTAGAGACCCATCACTTACCGCAACAAAGAACGGCAACGGCAAGAAGAGCCCGATAACCAGTGACAATGGAACGATATGGTATGTCGAGCCAGGACTGAACATGTGCGGAGCGAGGGCGCCCCAAGCAATCGCATTGGCTGAGTGTTCGTCAGCGACCGTCGTTGTGCAGCAAGTAAAGCCACCGAATCATCACGCGCGATGCGACATACTTACAGTTATAGGATTGCGCGTTCTGTCCAGACCATAACCTGGTGCCCGAGATAGAGAGTAAGGCTATTCTAGATGTAAGCGATTACCCGAATGACATATGGTCGCACTCACCAGGCCTCTGGTTCTCGATAATAGATAGCATCATGACGTCTGTTCGACGTTCAGCAAAGCTTTCTATCGCACGAACGGGTGTACTAAATACTCACAGTTCAATAAAGCGCCGACGACAGTTCCTATTCTCAGACATCAGTGACGAGATGCACGCAGGACATCGCCATCCACCAACCGGTTATTTGCATGCAGAATGTTACCCTAGGTGCAAGTTTAACGTACTGTCCTAGCTTCAGATCCTGCAGGAAGCCGATGCCCTGGGATATTGGCTGTCCACCGTACAGCGCGCCATACATGTTCGCGACAGGATTACCCGGGACCATGTAAGCTACAGACCGATCATGTACATATCAGACGCGTAGTTCCATTGATACGTTGGCGGACGGCTGACCTGTGATCATTTCGAAAAACCCGGCTGCGTTGCTCGAAAAACCGATCGTTGCCGCAAGGGTCGTACAGCAGGCAGAGACAGAAACCGACGACGAGCAAGACCGTCAATGCCCACCATGGCAAGCCAGACTCGCCGGTATAATTCGCTTAATATGATTAAGTGACACGGCGATATTGCATAGACTGAAATTGTGACTCACTCGCTTGGGCACAGCCGTATGCCCCAATAAGCACGATAACGTACCACCACCGGGGAATTTGCTTGTATACCTTCATCTTCTCATAATGCTACGCATGCATAGCTATCAGAGCGTCACTCGTTCATCGCGAATCAGAATGCCTACGACGTCATAGACCAGGAAAACGCTCTTATTCCATGGGTTCATTGACTGGAAGAAGGGTTTCAAGTCCTGCCAGTGCCATATTGCGACTGTGTCACAAGTGCGCCTAAGGAGAGGTTCGCCGTGACCAGTCCAAGTGCATTAGTCGCAGAGAAGTACGCTGGCTGTAGAGTTAGATTCAGCATTTGGGCAAACGATCTCATCAGTATGTACACGTACACCGAGCTTTTCGAACTTCTCGGGATCAAACCTGCCATTGGTGAGTAGGGCAGTCTGGTTGTACTCGCTTCCATCTTCTGCGAAGATCGCCTGGCTCATGAACGGGAAGTTCTTGGCCTTCCAGATGTCCCCGTAGTACACGGCACTCATCAGGATGTACGTGAAGCATATCCCGATGTACGAGTTGAGCTGAAACCAGAGCGGCTGCCACATGCAGTTGCTCCCGATGTAGTTCCAGTCAAAGCATACCGCTAAAGGCCCATGCCTTCATTATTGCTAGCTCCTCCGAAGATGTTGCGAATCGTCGCGCTGTGATTGTCCGCAAGGCAAAAGACGGAGACGCCTGTCAGAACGGGAAAGAGCCCTGACAATAGACTCAGTGTCACGCTTCGACAGCAACTCAATGATGAACAGTGGCTCACACTCGGGGATGATCTCCCAACAGAAGACAATTGCGAATGTACTCCAGAATAGTCGGACGCGCTTGGAGGTCATCTGCCTGTCGTAGTGCAGAGCTTGGAAGAGGTTTGCGGTGTAGACTGTTGTGTATCACACAGTCAGTCAGTAGTGGAGATTTGTCAGACGTCGAGAGACATACTATCCGCAGGCCAGAAGCATTTCGTTGGCTTGACCAAAATGTCGGATAGTAAACCGGCATAGCCGTAGCCTATCAACTGTGATGAGATGAGCGTGAAGATGGCGATGCCTGCGTTCTAGGCTGATGTTCAGTAAGAGGTTGGCAATTACGACAGCACGAAGGCTTACCATGTTGTTATCGTAGAACACTGCCAATACCGCAGTTGGATGAGGGACATCATACGAAACGATCAATGAGCGTGCGACGTACACGCTTGGACGGAGATAACCTGAATCGCAGTGGCGGAAGTGGATGCGGTGGAGGTCATGATGACTATAGCGACATGCTCCTTGACTGAAAAGTATTGAGTAGTGTACAACATGTCTCGAGTACGCGACTTACTGTTGAAGGGGCCTGGGTTGAGAAACTTGAATATGCCTTTAGAAGGCAGCGCTATGTGCATCGCGTTACCAAACCAGTACGATAGGACCAGAAGAAGCAGTATGGAGACCGATAGAGTCTGCGGCTTGAAGTAGTAATCTGTGCGAGTACACTGGAACAGAACTGTGTCAAGCGATATGTATAACGCAAAATACAGGTGCTTACGCTCCAAAGGCTGAGAACCCGAGGCCGAGGAAGATGGTACGAAACGTAACAGCCTGCAATTCTGGATAGTCTTTCGTCGAGAGTACCTGTGATAGAACGATTCGCACGTCGACACCGACATCACAGGCGTCATGCGTGCCATCGTGAGCTCACCTTCGTAGCGACTTGCCAGGCCTCTTCCACCCGATACGCATCATCATCTACCTCGTCGTTCGCGAGCTTTTCCTGTAGATCTTCGACCTCGGCCAGTTTCTGAGCGTCAGGGTCCCAGAATTACCGCAGCTACGTCCTTCTCATCCTTCTCTACAGAATCTGTGGATCCAAGCTTCTCGCTGTTGTGGTCCGGCAGATAGCTGCGGACATGATGGCGAGGACGGGGAGAAACTGCACACGGGGTCCTGGGGTCTTAAACCCTTCGAAGGGCGCACTTATCTCTGGAACCATACCCAGTACTTCTTGCGACCGCGGACTATCATGACCCGTTCGTCGCGACTCGCAACGAGCCTATTGCGTGGCGCGTCGCAACGTAAATAAGTCATTTCCGCCGATATCTCAGGGGTTCAATGGCTAGTTTCCAGTAGTACGCATTCCTTGTGCTGTCGACGTCGTAAGTCAACGATAGCAAATTTGGGAACAGACCTGGGACGGGCGGTCTTTGGGCGGTCTCATTCGGCTCAACAGAGCAACCGGCATTGATACGGTGGAAGCGATGGCCTGAGAAATGCGGGAGACTGCCACGCTGTGCACCTCTGATAACTTACTAGTACTCAGTTTCCGGCCCGAAACACGAATGGCGAAAGTACGAACTGTGGAACATGTCAGCTCGGGCTCATCGGTAGAGTAGACTTGGCACTCACAATCGCACGGGATCTACTATCCCGAATAGTAATGCTATTACCTTCTGTACATCTGTCCCCATTATGATGGCCATGCTATCTCTCCAACAGGTCACACTGGTGGGTTACGTGCATCGAATCAGCGCTACGAGCTTATCCACATGACAAACGTCCGGTATGATCTAAGTAACTTGAAATCACTATTTGTTGTTAGATCGCCACCTACTGTACTGTACCTCTTCATCATGACGACGCAGAGTGTAACATCTGCATCCGGCCTCGGGCCTTGCATCCCCCTAGCATGTGCTATGGAGTTGATAGCAAGTTGACGATACGAAGAATCTAGACTGTAAATATCCAATCATCCTCAAGTGGAAGATACATGATAGCATTTGTTCATCCACGCGCGCACAGGGGGGGTGGCTGTCCTTCAGTCTGACATTCCCAAGTAGCGACATACCCAGACATGCGACCTTCTGACGAACATCTTCACAATGACCACATGTCACCGAAAGCATGGAGTGATGAGCGGTTGAACACAAGACGAAGACAAAAGAGGTTTCACCTCTTTGGGTTGTCTGGTCGTAATGTTGAGTGCACATTGGACTGTTTCTCCCATTATTGGAAATGTCCCTGAAGGCGTGGATGCATTGTAGAGTGCGACCTCAGTCAGAATACGCTTCTGGTGAGTCTTGGGTGAGGACTCACCGTGTCATGCCTCCGGTGTCTGAGATGCCAAACGTTCGATTGATCCGACAAGTGTCACTGAGAGCAAATGCGTCGTTGGCTTGCACGTACGATCTATCCCTCAGGGACCTAGCATTATACGGTGAGTTGATACGGAGACAATGGGTACACGTACAGGGTCATGCAGACCTCTGGTAGGGAACACAGTGACCGCATCCGGTAGATCGAAGCCAGCCAACGACTAACGCTGGCTGAGAAACAGATGCTATGTACCATCCGCACAACAACAGTGGTACCGGCGTACTCAGGCGTACTGGGTGCTGAGCAATGAGCACGCAGACATGATTCGGGGTGCAGGGACCGTCTGTGTGTGCTGAAGTAGTGGGCAGCTTCTCGATATTGCTACCTTGTCGGAGTCGCCGTGAAAGGTTATCTTACCGTGACAGATGACAGGTCAGAGCCCTCGTGCGACACGCCTGATTCCCTATATTCAGCGAGCCAATTCCAATCTTGAGACGACCTTAGCGGCAGAGCGATAAGGCCGCATTATAGGAACCGGTCGTAGCCCTGCATAGTATCATGAACATGCGATAGTGCCTGACCAGAGTATCGATAGACACTTTAAGGCGTACCTCAGTTGCAAATATACTTCGAGGCAAGCGAACCATCGACGCGGGTCCGTAATCGAAACCAGTGGTGCTGCGGTCATGCTCTGGCATACACGTCACCCGAGTCGTCGAACGGCTGTTGCGGTGTCACAGCCGACAATCCGAGTTCTAGGAGGGCGCTCAAGAGTTCATGCGACGTTACTTGTTCTCTTGGGACTATAAGGGAAGTCGAGCTAGGTGAAAGCAGTAGTTTCACGAGTCGTCATCGACGCAGTTGTCAAGGGACAGCTGCAGCAGGGTTAGAACTTGAAGCGCCCGCCGAACGCGATCACGTGTGCGTTATTGCTCAACTAAGTCGAAGGCTCGAAAAAGTGTATTGCTCGGTCCCCTTCACTCTATTCATCGATGAGAGGTCACCGACGTGCAGCCGAGAGAACCATTTGAATGCGATCGAACTCGCATGCGAACCAGCCCAGCGAAAAGCATGTGAGTCGTATGTATAATGTTCCCGTAAGTATACAGTAAATCGTGAAGTATGTTATGATCGTGATGTTCGTACAATCCCAGCAAAGGCGTCGGAAACTGCCTCCGAAACCCATCCAGAGTACGCGCGGTAGCTGCAAACCTACACAATCCCAGTTGAAAATGAAACGAGAAAGCTACGGGCCGCTCAATCATGCGCCCATCTTCTCGTCGAGCACGTCGTCCGTGTGCACCTCCGCCACACCCGCGGCGTGGATCTGCTCCGTGGCCTCCTTGCCGTCGAAGAGCGCGGCGGTCTCCTCGAGAGACAGGCCCTTCGTCTCGACGATGAAGAACCACAGGAACACGAGCTCGAATGCCAGCCAACAAATGTACACGATCTGTGTTCAGTGATCTCTATGTCAGCGTTTCTGATGGGAGATGCATCAAGTGGAGAACGTACGTAGTACTTCCAGCTGATGGCGTCGAGGGCGATCGGGTTGACATACTGATTGAAGATAAGCGCAACGGAGATGGTGAAGTTGAAGATGTTGAAGCCCTTCGCACGGACGGAGAACGGCAAGATCTCCACGGTGTACGACACGATGAGGGGAGTGAACGCGAGGCTGAGCAGTCGATCAATATCGCGTATGTGGACTGTGTACAGGTCTGATCACTCACTCGTAGAACCCGTAGAAGAGGAAGATGAATGCGATGACGGCGTGCGCGGCTGCAGCGTTACCAGCGATGAGGTAGCGGGCAGTGCAGACGGTCTGGAGCATGAAGAAGAGGAGCATGCCCACAGCAGACGTCAGGAATAATCTCCGGCGACCGACGCGCTCGACCATGAACGACGCGAAGACGGCCCAGACCAAGTTCCAGATGGCGAGGATACTACGTCGCAGACCGCACGTCAGACTCCGCACCAGGCCTATTCGCTCAAACAAGTCACGTACCCTGTGATAAGCAACTGGATGGTCGTGTTGGTGATACCGATGGAGTTCATGACCTTGGTGAGGTAGTAAGAGACTAAACCGTTGCCAGACCATTGCGAGAACCAGGCGATGGCGACGATGATGAGCATACGTCGCCTGTTGCCAGAGGTCGCCACGAGCGACTTCCAGCCAACAGAAGCTACCATGGAATCGTTCAAATCGAGTGCGCCTCCGGCGGAGAGGGATAATGAACTCACTCGTGCGCTCGAGCTCCAGGGAGGTCTTGATCTCGTCGTACTCGTACTGCACCAAGGCATCGTTCTCGTCGCCATCCGCGTGGTAGTACGCAAGAGTGCGCAGCCCCTCCGCATCACGGCCCTTGGAGATCAGCCAACGCGGGCTCTCAGGCGCGAGAAGGATGAGGAAGAACTGGAACAACGCGGGGACACCCTGCATCATAGACGGGAGACGCCATGACCAGGTGCTGCCGATATATTCCGTGCCGAAGGTTGTCCAGGAAGCGACGATGTTACCGGAGTACCACAGTGAGTTGTACAGGGAGGTAAGCTGCGGCCGATATTGCGGATACGAGAGCTCCGTGACCAACATGGGTGCGGAGTTGGCTAGGACGTCGGTAAGTACAGATTGTTCATAGGGACCCAGTCTGAGACTCACTGGCAAACGTAAGACCGAAACCGATGAGGAAACGAGCTCCAATAAAGAAGCCCAGATTCTGAGCGGCTGTCTGCAGGGCGACACCCAATAACATGATAGCAGAACCAATCCAGACGGTGCGCCGTCGCCCAAGTCCATCGGAGAGGTAGGGCGCAAAAGGATATGCCGCGAGCGCGCCGATGTTCTGAAGTATGTATGAGCGAATTGAGCCAGGGGATCATGCAATGGCGGCGCTGACCTGAATGGCGTTGAGCAGACCAAGCTTGCTGCCTTGCGGGTTGTTGAAATAATCCTTCCACTGGTCCAGAGACTGGAAGCTGTTCATCAAACTGCCGTCGAATCCATTTCCGGACGACGTAATGAGCCTATGGATGTCAGTGTCAGTGTTGCACTCGGTCCTACGGAGCTCCGTCCACTTACAGGAGAACCAGCCAGGCATGGAGGGTGATCAGCCTGTGCCGAGGAGCGCGTCAGAAACACTCATAGCGGCAGGGGGATAAGCATCACGTACCGCCTGTTGTTGTACCACTTCCGGTTTGGGTTCAACAAGTGTGCGAAGTTGGAAGTTCTTCCGCCCTCAGCTACCGCAGCACCGACACCCATCGTGAGGACGTTGCAGGAATAAACGTGTGAGCGAAGTCAAGGAAGACGAGGGCGCTGCGACCGTGGTAGAGCCGGACGACGAGCATCCCACGGGTGTTGATACAAGTCTTTATAGCGCGTATCAAGGCCAGGGGTGCAACGCGCCAGCATATAGGGCGGGCGACGCAAGGGCGGCGTATGGGACACAACATGTGACGCCACAAATCGAAGCAATTCTCCAGCGTTTCCCCGTGTTCCTTCCCCACATTTCCCCGCCGGAACTAGTCCGATTGAACTCCACAAATCTGGGGAGACCCTGATCCAGGCACGGTTGTTTGCCCGGTGGATGTGGATCAGCTGAAACGACCGAACACGGCGGCAGCGCTGCGGGACCGTACTGGGAGCAGTATGGTCGCGATGAGAGCCGTCGGGGAGGACAGTCAGCCTGGTGAACAAATTAGCAACCATCCGAGATGCACACATGCTTGGCGGGAAGGCGGGAGCACATCAAAAATTGGCCACGTCACACGGCCAGGTCACTCTGGCCGTTCGACCGGAGCTACCAGAGCAATGGGAGACATTCAGGCGCAGTCCTCGCTGGTCGTGCTTTATTGTCGTCATGGCCCGAGAGCTCACAGTATGGATAGAACACGTACCGCTTGACTCCTGACAACGTCTGGTGCCTCACTGGCATCCGCCAGTGCGAGGGGAGATCTCGTGCTCATGCGCGCAGTCACACTGCGACCAGCATTCCGTTGTTGATGCGAACAGCCTGCAGACGAATGGTCCATACGGCCGGGCCGCCGAAGAGTGGACGACAGGAGCAGTACACTTGGCGGGGGCGTAGCACGAGGTCAGCAGGGCGGCGTCCTTCAATGTCAACGGTTGCCAAATAGGGAAGGAAGTGTCGTTCGTAGCTTCGGAGCTTCTCGCTTTGTGCGCTCGCCGTGACAGCCACAACCCGGAGTACAACCTGTCGTTTGACCACTCCGAATCAATATTCAGCTCTGACCGAGTCTTGCTGAATCTGGTACGTTTGCGTCGCGGGTACACACGAGTACACTGGCTCGTATGTTCCAGCTAAGTGTTGGATCCACTGGCCAGGACCACGGTATGCTTATGAAAGAACCGTCCGCGCAGGCCGATACTGCACCCGAGGCACAGGCAGCCAGTGGAGTGAGAATCAAGCCACATTGAAGACGCAGGGAAGTGGAATTCGGTTCATGCATGCTTGGTTAGACTTGGGTCTGACGACGTCTCCCTCGACAGAACGATTGCATTATTTCTGTCCCGACGCATGCGATCCACCTAGAGTTGGAAACCCGGGTCGTCTGACGAGTCCCGGAAAAGTGCGCCCTCGCCGGTTCTTCAAAACCTTCCGGCAGGCACCCGCCGCGGGTACTGTTTTCAGAATATCACGTCGATGCGGGAGTGACGTTTCTGCACCGGCCTTGACCGACGCCAGGAATGTTTCTCCGAGCACCGCAACCACACCTACTTGAGTGCGTGCAAGCGTCCGAAGTTTCTGCAGGCGCGTCTTGACGCGTTCATCGAATTCGCGCTTGTGATGGTCTTGGCTTACTATATAGTAATGCGTCGCGGAAAATGACGCCTCACGCTCCAGATTTGCCGATGCAGTCTCTCTGGCTCGGCGTTCTGGCAGACCATCGATATCCTGGGTTAGGCCGAGACAACTGTATTGAAACCATGCTACTGTATGTGCATATCGGATATATGGCGCTCGGCCTGGTCTTCTTCATTAAGTTGAGTCAAGGCACAGATGATCCTTGATCGCTTTCAGCTGCGGCGCAAGTCACGCCTCCGAGTCGGTGCGCTTTAGATCCCTCTGTGGTTTCTTGTTTGTTGACTTCCGAACATGTGCCGGAAGGGTTCAGGCGTAAGGTACCGGTGTATCTGTTACGACTAGCCGGTTTGGGTCCTATAGATCCTCCCAGAATCCTGGGGAGATTATGGTACGATGAGCCTGACTGACAGAGACATATTCGCCGGCAAGGTGAGAGGGTGGTTCGAGGATATTCTGGTCTGGCGGAGAAGCCACGTATGATCGTCCGCCGAGAAATCGGCTGCCAAAGTAACAACTTGAATGCCTACGGTAGGAGAACCCATCAAAGTGCTTTGGCCATCGGTTGCACCGTACCAAACCTTTTTGGTTTGGATAACACCATCCTCATTGCCACTGATTCCGCTAGTTCTACCAACCTGACTCCAGATTTTACAGCGCAAGATACCAGCGTCACCTCGTGTTGAGGAGAGACGCAGGCAGTGGCATCTCGCCAGGACGCTCAGCTTTTGACAAAAGCATCATGATGATGGACGCTCAACAGCCATGACCACCCGGCACGGCGATGCTAAGCGACCACGGACCAGACGAGACATACGAGAGTAGTGTATGTAATGTCTACATAGGCTTCGCCCTCAGTGACATTAAATGGAATAAACAACAAACAAACAAACCACCGGCACGTCCGACTCCCCGCTGATGGATGTGGAAGTTCTACTTGAAGATCTCATCTCTCGTGGGTCGTGGGCGGAAGATCAGACAGCATCGATTGTTGACTTCGTGGCACGACGCACACAACAGCGCCGCCCAGGGCTTTTCCAATTCAAAGTCTATTTTCCGGTGAGAGCGCCTCTGTGATTGGATCTGCCACTGTGTGATGCTGAACCACAGCGCCAGAAATGCGTGCGCAAGATGATGCAGCGGGGCGGGACGTCTTGCATGTTGATCGGCGACCGCAATTACCGTGGTAGGTGAGTTCTGCATCAGTCATTCTACTCATTCATTGAATGTAGACATTCAGACCACGTCTACGGTGCGCCGCTGTGTTGTTGAGACTGTGTGTCACCGCCCCCGGCTCTGATCCGGAGTCGTCGAAGGGCAGTGTGGGCGCGATTTGGTGAGTTCCGTTCCGCCATGTACTGGTGCGGGGCTAACGGATCTTCGATCCAGTATTGGCAGCAGGAGACGCCAACCAACATTTCAGGCTGCCTATTTGTCTTCAAATTTGCACTCTTCGCCACAACCGTGACAACCGTGGCAGTTGTTGAAGAGTCCCAAGGTAAGTTCTTTTTATCGTCTCAATTTGAACTGACGTACGGGTCGTTTCCGGTCGCATCACAGGCTGGAACTACCGACAATAAGGACCATGAGATCTCATTATCGCTTCAATATGTTCCCTACCCTACTTATATAATACCGTTCGTACAACAGATGCCTCTTGACAGCGGACCACCGGGACCGGTTGCCGAGCGTATAGGAAAGCCCTCATACGGCATTCTCCTCTGCAGTCGTCACGTCCACCGACGTCATGAACCTAGCGGAAAGCAACTTGCACTCCGCACTAGTAGCTGTATCCGGCGGATATTGCCTATATAGCTACGAAGTGACGGACTCGCCACACACTTCAAGACAGGAGGCGGGCAGCGGATTCTCCACTGGGGCTGACAACCTCGTTTCCGCCTCTTCCGTCAACGCATTTGGATTGTCACCGGCAGCCGTTCACGTCATTAGCGATGCGAATCGAGCCTCCACGTTAGCCACGGGCTGACCCGCGGGCAAGATTCGAATGTGGTCTATAAACCGCCCGCCCGCCGCGCACCGTCCTTAGTCTGGTACTCTCACATCCTCGCACACATCCGAACTTCACTCACACTTTCAATCTATACAATCATGTCTGCCAGCGGCGCTTCTGCTCCCATGAGGGGAAGTAGCTTCGCGAAGAGGCCTCAGAGCTTCCCTGTCCGCATCACTGGTGCCGTGCCTCAGCCTATCGTCGTGCAGGGTGGCAGCTGGTCGGTGAGTGTTAGACCCATATGTACCCTTCATTTCTTGTTGATTAGCGTGCATCCCGGGTGCGTAGACGATGGCCGCCGGCATGGGCATTGTCGCAGCCGGACTCATCGGCTTCTACTATGCCCAATTCAGCATCCAGGGCAAGCGCACTTGCACGACGGTTAAGAGCCTAACGGAGATTCCGACCTGTGAGTACATGTTCCATGTCATTTCAACGTATTTCTTAACTGTTACCAGGGCAATTGCGCCACGCTCAGCAACAGGAGGGTGCCGTGGCGGGACTTCAGCTTCCGAAGCATCCGGAGGAAAGCCTCACGCGTTTCACACCCACCTTTGAGCCGAAGGCACAGTCTAGCCTTCCCCTTCCGGGGAGGGACATCCACGGGAGAACTGCTGTTTCTTCTGTTTTGTCTTACATTCACGTACGTGTGCTCGCTGCTGCTACCAATGTATGGCTCACGTGCGCGACCACAAACAGGGCAAGGGCCACGCAGACAACGACAATCATCCCAGGCGTGTCCCTCAGCCCGCGATGACGAAGCGGCAGGAAGGATTTATGTACACCAAGGTTAGTAGCGGTGAAAGCTCAACGAGGCACGGACCTAAACCGGTTCTTTCATTAGAACTCTGACTACGTGGATGGGTACAAGCCCACTCATACGGTCAAGTAAATCTGCCTGTGTTCTCTCCCATCCCATCTCTCCTTAGGCTCTACGTTCCCGGACACTGCTTGTGACGATTTTGTAAATATCGGATTGGACGTCACGGAATGAACTTGTAACTATGACTGCCGCCCTCCGCCTGGTAACCGTCCGCCGAGAAACCGATGCACTCGTAAGTACATTGCGTGTCCGTGGCAAAAGCAGTAAGCTTTTTATGACATGTGAGGAGGAAACGGAGAACAACTTGTTTGTTACTTAGCAACTACTTTTTTCGAACTGATTTCGACCTTGCACGAACGCGACGCGCAAATCACCTGATTGTATTTCGCGCGCACGTGTGGAGCACGCCACCATCGCGTCGCGCTTGAACTTGTCCTTATCCAGCATCCTCAAGCTGTGCGCCCTTCAGACAAATTGTCTACGCATTGTTCAGCTCATATGCATTCCACCCTTTGATTGCGGCGCGTACAACACATAGCGTCACTCCGCCAACTCGAGCCGCGGGGTAGTGAATAACTCCCAGAGGGCGTCGAAGCATCGCGATTGCCCTTGTCGAGAGCCTCTTTTCGTCTCAATAGTTTCAATTTGTCCTCCATGCAACAGAGGTGAGATGACCTCGACAGCAACAGTCTCTTTGACCTCTGCCAAACCAAGCAAACTCGGCCGCACCTCTTCGATACTCCTAACGCCTTCCAAAGAGACCAAGCGACGCAAACTGGACGGGAACCCGGAAGGCTCGTCAAATGCAGCTTCCGTGCAGCGTTCGCCCACTAGAGACGATGCAAGCGGCTCGGCCACGGCGGCGCCATCGCCTGCTGAGATATGGCGGTGGACGCTAACAAGGGAAGCCATGGCGCAGTGCTTCGTGCAGGATGTGTGGGATATGAAGGATAGCGGGCTGAAGGGTGAGTTTCTCAAGATATGTTTCCAAGCCTGCAATACGCTGACAGCTGTCTTCTGTGTTCTCCGGCAGAGGCGGAATACTTCTGGCTCGGCCGTATACCATGCCGCACAGTGGAACTGCTAGGAGTGTTGGTTGGCATACAAGCGTTCGAGCAACGGATAGTCTATACCTGTAAGTGAAGCCTTCTACTGGCGGCAACGTGGGCGCAGGGAGGCGCTTGGACGGCGAAGAGATGAAGTATGCGATGTTGAAGTGTACGATGCCCATGGCCTCCTCCGAGGCCTCCATCCAGCGCTAAGTAAGGAACATACATTGCCTGTTATGAATTGTGCTGGTACGGCACGCAAGTTGTTCTACACGCGCGTTTGTGGCTGATACTGCTGCCCCCCAGTCCGACTATTGAGATACGTCTGCTGAATAATTGTTCACTTCTTTTCACATAGTGGACGACGGATCGGCCGTCATAGACTGCAACCATAAAATGCAGCCTCAAATGATGTCCCCACGCAAGACAAGTACTTCCGATCCCAGGGCCGGGCGTACCCGACAACCATCGAACTCGGGTACCGCCTACACGTCGCCACGGAAAGGATCTCGACCATCAACTTCGAAGCCGCCCTCCTTACCACCTCCACCTAAACCTGTCGCCGACATAGGCACACCTGTGCGACTCACTGGCAGAGTGGTCCATACTTCGAAAGGACGGCAAGTACTTGTCGACGAGATCCGTGAGTTCGTTGAACTTGGTAGCGATGTTCTTAACCAACGCATATACCCACTTCCAGGGCCATGCTCCTCGCCAAATGACGAACCGAACCACTGGATCGCCGTACTCGAGCTCCATCGCACGCGATACTTTGCTGAACACCTCGGTCCGTTCGTGGTCCCTCCGCTCAAGAAACGCGCCCAGCCTGCGTGGATCCCAAAGAGTCCGGAGAAGGCTAAGGGAAAAGCTAGGGCGACGGACACATCCATCTCACCGGGCAAGTCTGTAAGGATGGACACGGGTGCCGTCGAGCCCCACACACCCTCTTCGTCGGGCTTGGCGTCGACGGATGGCTCGCCCGTGTCGTCGAGCTCGAGGCATAGTCTCAGACAGGTATGTCGTTCTGAAGGTACTGTGTCTATGCATGGCTCATCACTTCCCGCCTCAGTCTCCAATTCGTCTTCGGCATCCAACGAGACTGCACAGGCGCGAACTGACTGCCAATACCTTCCGCATCTACCTCAAGCACTATATGGATAACGCGCCTCCACCCAGTGTACTTGACTCGGACTCGGCTGCCAGTTCCCGCTCGGCGTCACCCACGCCCCATTCGCGGAGTCAGCCGACTGGTGCCCTCGGACTAGCTATGCGCAAGGGTCATCGCTCGCGACACCAAGGAAACATCGGCGACTGCAAGCAGTGTTGATGAGCGTACCCCTCGACCCTCGCAACTGCGTGCACGGTTGAGTGAGATGGAACGGGAACAGGACCGCACACCTCGCGCGGGCAAAGCTCCCGCCCATATTCCGCTCCACGAGAACCGGAAGACCTAAGTGGGAATGTGCTGCACGGTTTCACCCTGTCCCACCTACGGCGCGTCTCCGAGCTCATGATCATGGCACGGCGAGTGGTCGACGAAGAAGGCCGACGCCGCGCCAAAGAAGAGCGAGAGCAGGCCAGATCTGGAATTGCACAGGCCAAAGGCAAACGACCTGCTCGGCCGTCCGAGCCCAAGGCCAAGAAGATCAAGCGGCTCTTCCAGTTCGCCATCCGGCAGCTGTACGAGGAGGGCAGCATCGTGCTGTGGGACGGGCCCGTCCGGCCGCTCCCGCGCGAGGACACGAGCGCGACGCAGCTCTCGGGCCGCTCTGGAAAGCGAACTCGAGCACCGCGTCTGCGATGTCCGCAATATCGCCGTCAGCTCCGTCGCGCCGGACGACGACGACCCCGGCCAGCTGAGCGACCCGTCTCCCAGCGAAGAAGCCTACATCTCGCTCACGCCTGAGGTGCTCGCGGCATCGTCGAGCGTGCCATCACGGAGTTCGTCGCAGCGGCAGCGGCGAGGTCGAAGCACCGTGGACGGCCGCGGGCGGACGACCCTACGGCGCCATTCGCGCCACCTGCGCCTCCGCCTGGCCCGACGCCTGCTGAGATTGTAGCGTGGCTGCATCGCGACACGCGCTGGGCGCGTGTGGGGGAGTGGGCGGTCAAGGACGCGCTGGAGTGGGCGAGAGCGGAAGGAAGGGTGTGGTGTATTGGACACGGGAGATGGGAGCTGTGTGGTTGAAGTGACGATGCCTACAATATGCTCCGCTTGCAGTGCTCGAGTTACACAGAATACTTGCTGAAATGAACACAACGCATATTGGTCGATGTACAACTTCGTGTGTGATACTGTCAATGTTCCATTGAAAAGCGGGCCCAGATAGAAGCGGGACATAATCTGAATAGAGCCTGGGCATTCCAAGCAGTGGCGGATACCATATTTACAACGATGTTACAGAGAGGGGTGTGTAGCGGGCTAAAGCACGAGCAGCGTAGTAGCAGTGTCCAAGAAGCGTAGCACCTAAGGAACTCAAGCCATCTCGACGTCTCCATTCTGAGCGTCAGCCGCCGCAGCGGGCGCATCCGACGACTTGACAGGCTGGATGTCCGCGTTCATGAATGCATCCAACTCCGCGTCGAGTTCGCCTTGCGTTTTGGGTTTCTTGGGCACGCGCGCCGGCCGAGGGGCTTTGTTCCTGATGGGGCCGGTGCCGTTCCGTCTGAAGACAGATCAGCTACATGGCCAAAGAGGGTGCAGGGAACAAAGACATACGCAGGTTGCGACTTCGGTGCACCACTCAGACGATCCAGCAGGGGCGCCTTCTCTATCCGTTGCATGAGAGAAGTCGGTGCCCCGCCCCTCCTGGGGTTTCGCGGAGGAGTCGCGGCAGGCTGGTAAAACGTGATCGACATTGGCTGGCCTGTATCCATCCAAGTCAGAATTACTCAGCCAAAAGGGTGGCGCAAGGACTGCGCCAACGAATAGGAGGTCATACCCTTCGCGAGTTTCCCGTCAAACCTCGTCTTTGCTGATGCAGCCTCCGAAGATGTCTCGTACGTGACGACGGCGACACCGGACGATCGGCCACTTCGGTCGTACTTTATAGGCGAGCAAGCGAAAGGAGGTCGGGATCGGTGTCTCTCAGGTGAACGCGGTGCATTGCGAGTTTCGTACCCTGATTAGTGGCTCTCGGACGAGTGTGCCAGCTTGCCCAAAGATTTGCTGCACGAACGAAAGGTGATATTTTCTCAGGCTATGCAGAAGAATTGAGTGATAAATGGGCGTACTGCGAGGTCTTTGGTGGTAAGCTCGTAGTGCAGATTTGACACCATGAGCTTGGTGGCGCCAGAGGGCGCGTCCTCGTGGACGCTTTTTGAGACGGCGCGAGGCACGGCGCGACGGATTTCAGGAGCCATGTCGTGCAGCCATTCGCCGCCAGTACCACGCGGACGAGGAGCGGGTCGCTACAAAGACGCGTGTTGAGCACGACATAACCAGCCATCCGCCGGCGACAACTCACGCTGTAAGGCTTGTTTGACCGCTGCATTGTGTTATGTTACACCGAAGTATGTCCAAATTCGAGGAGTAAGAGATGTAGCGAGATGTAGCAGTCGCAGAGAAGAGGCGTTTGTAGAGGAACGTCGCGGTGCGGTGAGGGCGCTGCTGCACCTGCAAGCGCCGACCTCTGCGCGGTTGAAGCGGAGCGATGCAGATTCAGGCCCCGAACATGGCCCTCCTGAATAGGAAGGTCCTGACGTTCAACCAGTGGGAGACGACTTGACAGTTGTGTCTATGCAGCATTTATTCTTCACTTTCCTTGATTCAAGTTCAGGAAGACACAGTTGGCGCTTGGTAGTAAGTTGTTAATAGTAGAAGCTTACCCGGCACCAGCCTTAATGTAAAGTTTGATCAGCCGCAACAATATGTGCCTTCTCGAACCTGCCACAGAACATCAAGCTTCGAGTCTATTCGCAGACGAGGACGAGGACGGCGAGAGAAAAGGCGGAGTATTCAGTCGAGCGAACCACTGGACTTGGACGCACGGCATACGTGACATTGTGCGCACTACCAATATTGGCACCACCTAGGCCTCGAGCAAACCGCTAGTCAATGGAATGGGATCTCAACGTCTTCAATGATACTCAACATGGAGAAGCAAATGTCTGAGGCGACGAAGAATAGCCTGTCCTCAGTGTTGTGTCAAGCACGCGCTGGCCTTCATCTCTCCGGCCTAGTGATGGCAGAGACCTGCATGCAGTTAAAGAGGTTAGCGCCTATAGAGGCACATCATTACGAGTCCAATAATTGTGCAGGGTAACGAGCGAGAGATGACAAAAGCGAAGTCGCAGAAATGTCAATCCGATATGATAGTCCGAAAGTCCAACAGTCTCCTCGACCATTCACCACGAATCGCGACGCAGCCGAGCACATTAGGCCTGCACGAGGTGGATGTTCTGCGGCTGGCAGGTGCTGTACTGGTACGAGCCGTCGTTGGTCGCCGACGCCTGGAAGACCAGGATGTAATTCTGGTTGGCCGTCGCGCACATCGAGAAGCCGTTGCTGACACCGTTGACGGCCAAGGTAGCGTACCCGCTCGCGTCAGACTAAAACAGAGGGAAGCAACGACAGAGCACAGTCAGCGTTACGGGTGTGAGATGCAGCAAAGATAACAACGCACCACAGCACAGTACGGCGTAGCCTCGTCCCCGCCAGCGCCTGCATTGGTCACCATGAACTCAATGTACTTGCCAGCCTCGACAGCCATGTCCCATGCGCTCTGGCCTTGCTTCGCCGCATCCGGCTGCGGGATCAGTGCGCCGGACTCCAGCGTGAAGGTCGGGAAGTCGCTCGTGCCCGTGCCGAGAAGCTCTAGGAAATCCAACAATTCAAGTCAGCACGAGGCTTCCAAGTGGTGCGCTAGTATGCATTGACTACTCACCGAGAGCCAATAGAAGCTAGCCTCGCCGCTTGTGGTCGGCGGCCCGAGGTGACCAAGAGGTTTGATCCGGTCGCGTTGTCCGCGGCGCTAGGGTCCACCGCGGAGAGCGTGAAGTTGTACGAGAGCGAGTCGGTCGCGCCCGCACCGAGGTTGACACAGCTGTTCTGCGAGCGGCGGCGAGCGTGCCAGCGGCGAGGGCGAGAGGATAACAAGGAGGCGAACATGATGCACTAAAGGGGAAGTAAACGAGGTGGAAGGTGAAGGTGGTCTTAGTGCTGCTGAAGTTGTACGAGTCCCAGAGGATGGGATTCTGGACGAGAGAGGTCACTTTATACTCCGGTCCTAGAATTGTGGTATGCAGCATGTGCTGCCGGTCACCCTACGTACCACCGATGGCGATACACTCCAGCTTCTCGTCCGGGCACCGCTCACGGGCATGAGTCCATGGGACCGCTTTCATCGTATTCCGCGGCGAAGGAAGCATAGGAGACGGTAACGATGCCCTGCTGCAACCATGCTCTCAGCGAGCACAAGTGCACAGTTTTTCGGTGTTAACGCTTCCCCGTATGTAGCGATCTGCATAATATCAGCTTGGCTTGCTCTACGGTCGCAACTTGGCTGCAACGCGCATCCGAGGCATTCCAGCCCACGGGACGCGTATGGCTTTCTTGCTCAACGAAAAGGCGATCATCGTGCAGAGCCAGCATGAAACGTGTGTGTTGGAACCCAAACCGATGAAAACTGTTTGGTTTTCGCGACGCCCTAGAAGCCGACCAATCAATGGTGAACCATCGTCGAAGGCCTTCCAATTATACAGCATCGTGTTAGCATATCCAGACACCCCCGCCACAAACACAGATGGTAGCGCCACGACTGACGACTCACCAACATGGCACCAGCGACACAAACCACGTCTATGCGCATGAATAATACAACTCAACGCGCAACAACTGCACATGCTCTATCCAACTTGGCCGACTCCCCGTCAGAGTGATCGCGAGACCGTCTTCCGCTCGGAGCCGTTGCAGAACCTTTCGCGTCTCGTCATCGTCCTCGGAGTTGCTAGCAGCCCTGTAGTCCCATTTGATGACATGGACCGCGGGCGTGTCCAGCTCCCGTCCCCACGGGGGTCCCGAAAAACCATTGTGGAAGGTAACACGTCTGGGAGGCAGGTCGCCGCCCGTCTGAACCTCGAGTGATATCCAGAGTAAGTCGCTCCAAGCTTCACGCGAGACTATACACAGGGAATGGTAAGGCGCATAGGATATCAGCATCCGCAAAACCAGTCAGAAACCGCATGGTTGACGGGCAGTACCACGCACCTCTGCTGAACCCCCCGATTGCAAGTACCACTCTGCGGAGATGTTGTAAGCCTGCCGCCTGTTTTGGGCTGCCAATACGCAAAGTCGGGTGTTGCCAGTCTTGCACCAAGGGATAGAGATCTACGTGTCTGATTTGCAGCCAATATTCCGCTGTGTCAAGTATCTGCCAACAGATTTCAAGTGGCAAGCCCAATGAGATATGGAGCAATAATACTGTCTCGAGTACCTGGGCAGCGGTCTGTGGGATATGGCTTGCCAGCATGTCAGTCGGAAGTAGGGATGATGCATCATGCGAAAGACCCCACATACGGACGTCGAGCATCCCTGACCGTCGCTGTGAGTGACTTGATCGTCTCGCTCAAAGTCAGTTGCTCTTTCTTCGCTTCTGTTTATTTGAAGCCACCGCCCTACGACACCGCGTGTCTTCATTCTCTCGATCTGAGGTGCTCTGCGAATGTCGCGCAGTTGCTGGACGATCGCCCGAGTCGCGGCCAGTCCGACTCCTCGAGCTTCGTGGTATCCAAAAGCGGGAGCTCACGAGCGAGATCAGCAAGCTTGCGCAGATCGTCGCCGATACTTCGCGGATATTCAAAACTTGCGTCCTGAGCAGCTGATGCATGCTGTTGCCTTCGAGGAATATGGGTGCCCTCGAGAAGGCGTTCGACGGAGACGGCTGCTCCACCATGTACCGAGGTGCTGCATGGGTGGAGGTAAGTTTGCGCGGACAACACGAACACGACAGTCTAATCCTGCGATGAGTCAGGACAGTGGACTTCAATCGGAGCTGAAACCCTGATACATACCACCTGTCATGTCGTTGACGCTGCGTTTGAGTCCGAGCGATGCAGCCAGCGCGCAGCAGGTAATGATAGTCGTTAGTGTGTTCGTTAGTCCAGCTAGAATGTTCGCGCCAACCACATTATCGAGGAATGCATCAGGAAATCCGATTGTGTTGTGTACACAGCGACTACTTCGTGAGCCAAGTTCCGCCGATGCGAAAGCGAGACATAGCATTCGTCCGTGAGTCCAGAATCCATCGGTAAATGTGGATTAGTTGATCTGCGGCAGCGAAATCACAGTCGATGGATACTCACCGCCCTACCCCGACAAACCGCGCGATCCGATTCATTCCGACCTCGCTGTCAGACGCTGTTCGGGCAGGACCAGGAAGCACATTCACTTTGCTGCGATGGTCATACACAGTGATCATGACATGCGTACGCCGTGGTGCGCCCTTAGTCTTCTAGGCTGTATACATACCGCATGCTTGCCTGGACTCTCAGTAGACCACAGGAAATCGATAATTCACCAAAACACCGCGACAGATGATATACATGCGACGATTTGCCCAAGATGACGTTGGCATAGTAAGTCATACTCCATCGTAACTCGCCCCGCCAGCCTGTACAATCGGTTAGAGACGGAGAAGCACAGAGCAGGTCAGGTCGAACGCACCTTCCGCAGACGGACCACTATCGGCTCCTCCTTAAGATCATCCTTCTCGCGAGCAGGCACCTCGATCGAGTAAGTTCTGAGAACCTGCTTCACGTCCGCTGCATGGACGGAGATCTTCGTAACGCGTATGAGAATGAGTTCAGATGAGATGCATGCATATGCGATGTACCTTCGCCTTGCGCATAACCTTACACCCTGGCCCTATCCAGACGACGAAGATGAACTTCTCCCGCTTCGACTCCTTGTCGTTCGCATACTGAACGCGAACATACGCAAACGAGGCCTTGGTGTCATCCAGATGCTCGCGAAGTTCGTTCAGCCCTCCGGAGCCCGTCGACGTCAGCTGGAGTTTGTCAGAGCGGTCGGACTGCGGCAGACGTCGTGTTTTAGCGTTTCAGCGTCACTCAGAGCCATGTCTGGCGGGATCCCATGCATACCTCGTAATCAACAAGCAGCCAGGTGGTTTCCGACTTGTCCGAGCGGACGTCCTGGTACGCTGCAACAACATCCGGTGTCACACACGGCAATGCTATGCGTCTGGCCCACCGACGATCGCGCACCTTCGTCAATCTTGGGGTCCGAGACGTCAGCCATAGCGGTGCACGGAAGACGGGGTGAGGATGATGCGCAGAAGGACGAGGAGGAGGAGGAGGAGGTGTGGCTGCGACCCGAGTTGTGAGGTCGTTGCTGGTCGGTGTGCTGGGAGACCTACGCGCTCAAGCGCCGGACGCAACACTTATCGATGCCGATCGCACCAATCGGCAATCGCACCTGTACAGAGTTTCCTTTAATGGAAATCATACAGGACGCCTAGCGGAGTGTCGAAGTTTTGCTGTCGCCCACGGTGGCACCCACTTCAGAGCGAATCTCTACGTACTCCCCAATCTCTCGCACCGTCTTGCCATGCTGTCCGTCGCTCGGTCTGCATCGAAGCCACACCTGCTTCCCGCACATTCATCTCATTCTACTCGAGTGTCGTCGGCCTGACACGCACAAACTGGCGCACCGGCGGTCATCCAGCGCCGCAGCCTGTAACCGCAGAGGTCGGCAATGCTTCAGACATCGACGAGGGTGACGATGGCAGCAGCGCACCGAAAGCCCCTTCAAGCGCAAACCATCCAAAACTCCCACCCCGGAGTCTACCAAGCCCACCGGACCGCCATGAAGAAAGCCTTCCCGCAGGGTTGGTCTCCGCCTCGCAAACTCTCGCGAGAAGCCATGGACGCCCTCCGTGGCTGCATGCCACCGACCCGGAGACGTTCACGACCCGCTGCTCGCGTCAAACTTCCGCATCAGCCCCGAGGCCGTGCGCAGGATCCTCAAGAGCAAGTGGGAGCCTACAAACGAACAGCGCGCGCGTCTGGCGGAGAAGGAGCGCTGCATCGGAAGAATGGCTTAAGCAGAAACGGCTCGATGAACTACAGACGCAGCGCGTGCAAGAGGAGTTAGGACGAGGATCGGGGGGAAGGGGCGAAGAAGGATAGACTGATGTTCGGGTGAGTATCGCATGTGCTCTTATTGCGGCGTAACCTAATGCGTTCGTGCAACAGAGACCATTGAACCACCAGCAGTTCTTGACGGACCACGGATGCTCGCTGCGGGACTGACGCTTCACGTGCGTCGTCACTTCTGCAAGATATCAGTGGAGTCCGCCAGCCGGAGGAGTGAATGGAGTTGTTTGGCATGGACGGTATAGTACATATAATGGCACCCCCTAGTAGACACTGCTCTCGTACATTAGAAACCCTGTCTATACCCAACACGCCCCTCATGATCACACACGGCAGCCGTATACTGAAGCCCACCCACCTATAACGCAACTCACACGCCCCGGCCTGCCTACAATGCAGCGCATCGTTCCAATCCGACGAGGCATCCCCCCTCCCTGACCATGAGCTTCAACTACAGCCTCGCGAGGCACAGCATCGCCCTCACACCCCGCCCAACCCACGCCAACGGCATCTCGCTCTGCGGCCACCCCGGGTCGTACCGCGACGGGTCCGGATAGAGCTCCGCGCTGAGGTACACGCCTCGAAGGGCACACAGATGTGGCTGGGTAAGCCGGAGAATCTCGCCGAATCGTTGCATCGAGAGCGGGCGCTTGTTACTTCCAGGCGGCGAGGGGATGGAGGAGAGCGGATAGGCGAGAGACGGGCAGCGGGCGCGGTGTCGACGGGCTTGATGAATGCGTTCGTTTTCCAGGCTGGGTGGCCAGCAAGGAACGTGATAAGCCATGAAGCTGTGCGATCGCTCAATGGACTAAAAGCGTCCAAAGGCACGGACCTTTGTAGTCATTGACCTAGAACGGCGGGACTGTCCGTTAGCAGATTGACGGGTAGATAATCCTTTATCTTCCGTGGGCGTCAGCCTATGCCACGCAGCGAGCAACACTACCAGCAAACGCATGCGACACTGTCGCAGCACGCTCAGCCATGCGTATAGAAAGCCGTATCGAAGAGTATTGGTCGAAACATATGGTCTGCAAAGACGTCTCGCGGAGTTTGAGCTGCTGAATCCATCAATAACGAAGCCTCTTTATACGTAGTTATCCCATTGCGAAGTAGCGACATGAACATTAGTGACAAAGCTGCTCATCGCCGACGAAGGTGATATCTCCTTGGACGTATCATGACGCTGACGGAGCTGGCATAACTCGATATGGTAGCATACAAGGAGGTAGTAAATACATTCACCTGCATCCGCATCAGAACCCTAGTCGCACCTTATGCAGTTCGCAACACTCACCCAGACGAACGTTGCACCCGCACGGCGCATCCCCCCTCAGCTCCGAGTCGCCGCCTATACCGCAATGCGCACTCGCCAGCCGGCCTGCAATGCAACGTATCGTTCCAATCGGGCGAGGCGTCTCCGTCTCCTTCAGCACGCGCCTGCCCTCCCCCACCAGGTCAATCTCAAAGCCCATCAGCACCATCGCCGCCACGAGCTTCAGCTGGAGGCGCGCGAGACGCTGGCCGAGGCACACGCTTGCGCCTGCGCCCCAGCCGATCCACGCGAACGGCATCTTGCTCTGCGGCCGCCCCGGCTCGAACCGCCACGGGTCGGGGTAGAGCTCCGCGCTGAGGTGCACGTCCGCGAAGGGGTACACGGCGAACGCACCCGGGGGCACGACCTTGCCGGCGATGAGGACCGGCGAGGTGCTCGTGTTTTGGCGGAGCGCGGTGTGTGGCTGCGCAAGGCGCAGGGTCTCCCGGATGATCGCGTCGAGGGTTGGCATCTGCGACTCCCAGGCGGTAAGAGAGATGGAGGAGAGGGCACCAGGAAGAGACGCGAGATTTAGAGTTGCTGGGGTGGGGTGGCTGCCAGCGGTGCCGTGTAAGTGCGGAGCTTCGGCGGTCGCGTCGTAGGACGCAAGGAGATGTTGGATCTCCGAGATGGCCTTTGTTTTCCAGGTCGGGTGGCCGGCAAGAAACGTGATCAGCCATGACGCTATGTGAGCATGTTCCATTAGCTGCGAAGACACAGTAGCGATGGGATGCACACCTGTTGTCCCTGTTGACCGCGCACCAGCAACGAGGAGGCCCATGATGAACTGGGAATGCAGTCGGTAAGTAGTCCATACAGCAGAAAGATGAGACTTGCCCCGATGATAACGGTCCGATCATCCCCATTGTCGAGCATTGGTTGCAAAGCATCGTCCTGCGGCAGGACATGACCCCTGATCCGTGCGTCGACGGCCCCGTTGATGATATCGTGGATCTTCTTCGTACAAATGATCTTCCTGACGGCACTAGGGCTAGGAAGCCACGGAACCAGAACGCTTTTGGTGTCGTGGATTTGTCGAGCGCGTCGTACAGCGACCGGAGGCGCGCGGCTACCACGGGATCGTCGGCGAGCTCAGATGGAGCTAGACAGCGCAGGTTAGTCTGAAATGACACCTATCGAAAATCAAAACTCAGCCTTGATCATGCATGACGCTGACAGAAAATACTGACCTTCGGTATCTCGACGAACGGCGACATCGTACCAGACGCTCCCCAGGTTTCCATCACCTGCCGGACGTCTCCAGAATTTTTGGGATCACTATCTGTACGTTAGGAAGGTTCTGTAATGTGTGGAGTTAACGGACATACACCGCTCTAGGTTTGCACTGTTTTGCGTTGACGCTAGACGTTTAAAAATAGCTGCGATCTTGTTGGGTTCCGGATCGGATGTCACCCCAGGTAGCGTCGGTATCTATCCAGACGTTTGACTACATGAGGTTTCATGCAACGCAGGGCACTTACGGTACCAGACAGAACCTTGAAGCCAGCGCCAAGGTCGAGGTTCCTTGATGAGAAGAAGTCGCGCCGTCCTGGTGCGCCAGAGACAGCAACGACAGTGTTCTATTGAAGAGCAACATTGACTGATTACTAAAGTATGAGCGGAGGATCGGCGGGAGACGTACCCGAAGCAGCTTAAATTTGTAAATTGACTCGCCGGTCAAGACATAACCTCGTTGGAGGAAGTCGAATCGTCGCCGAAAGAAGGGCGAGATGACTCGCAGCGGACACTCTGGGAGAGTGACCGGCAAGTCGCCTTCTGTCTCCTGCGTGAGCAACATAAAGAGCCACACCGCTAGCATCACCAGCGGGAGAGTGCATACAACTACCGTCGCGATGCGCTCAGGCATAAAAGTGGACAGGAAGACGAGAAGACCGGCTGCAAACATGATTGCGCAGGTGTGAAGCGAATTTTGGCACAGCGACCCAGCAAGGATGAAGGGTCTTTTATAGGCGAAAGCACGAATCCTATTTGAAAATACTGCGACTGCGACACTGGCACACTTGCACGGCGCGGAAGGTCGGTTTCCGTCAGAGGAACGACTGATGTGGCACAGGACGTCTGGACGCAGCAAGGAGCCTAGTGCGTTTACGTTATGTTTTCGTCTGAGGCCGAAGGATTTGCCGCAGCAGTGTCAGCCCGTCGTCGGCGCGCAGACAGCTCGATCGTCCATGGCACCTGACATGGACAGACGGTGTCCATTGCGGGAGGTGCATTTCCTATCCAGAGAATGGACCAGCTGTTCCGTTGCTAGGCACTCACGAAGCTTCCTCTTGATTGACAGGGTCGATCCCACTCGCACCTCGACAGGTCGACATTCGAATGCCAATTGTGTCTGCAGATAAATAAAATAAAATCGTCTCTGTGAATGCTAGAGGCACACCAACAGTATGCATCACTTACGACGTACACACGCCATTGGCAGATCGCACTCAACATAACGTTGGCACGTAGCATGGACGCGACTGCCGTATCCGGAAGAAAACTGCGGTAAATCGCAATTAATCAGGTGCGTCACTTGCGGGCATTTTGCACGCTGGAGAGCCAAGCACAACTTGACGGACGTCGAGTGTAGGTCCCAATGTCTGCGTGCGTTCCGTTGACATGCAATCTCGAGAGACGGAGACCGTCATACCGCTGACGTGGACGGCGGTGCCGCACGCCCATCTCGATCAAACGCGGGGTTCGCTGTCAGCCAGGAAAGGCAGTTCCGTCCTTATCTGCACCGTGCGTCGGTAAGAGCGTCCTCGGCGCGCCCAGCGACGGCACGAGAAAAATATCAGTTTGCACTCCACGAGCACGGAGGCGGCGACCGAGCAGTAGGCATGGCGAGAGGCGCGCTGAGACTTCTTAGGGCATGCTGGCGCTCTTAAGACAACGGAAGACAAGGATGGTCAAAGGATGGTACCTTGTCAGCGGCCAGGAACTCGCAGGCGCCATTCGATCTTCTCCCTTCCGAGCCGATGGCACCCAGAAGGCTTCCCGCCGGCGGTACGCACCTAGGAGGATGTTTCCAGGCCCCGACCGGGGCCGTCGGACATCACTGACACGGCAGCGAAGGGCAGAATGGCAATGCACACATGCGACAATTTCGTGCATTATCCAATCAGCATCTACTTCCAAAACGCCACAACGTGAGTGCATGGTGCAGCTACATTGACATCCAATAACGACGTAAGCGGCACTTACAGTGTACATCCAGCTACGGCGCATTATGCCTATTGCAGGGATCATCGAGAGGGACGGGATTCAACACGAATGCCGACCAAGCTACGACGGACAGAACGGCCCCGCACGCGCGTGCCAGTGCTCGAACGACGTCAAGACGCAGACGTAATGCGAGAGCGCTGCGAGGACGACGCAGACGTGGAATATCTGATGGGACGCAAAAAAGTAATCGAAGGTCCCCGGCGAGAAGCGTTCAGGGATACGGTTCGCGCTGCACGCAGCAACGCCGAGGAACGAGAAAGGGACATAAAGGCGTTAGCAACTAATCGGCTCGCGCGAGTAGGGGTGGGAACGACGCACTAGAGCAAGGCACCCGAAATGTACAGCGCGCCGGACGCGATCAGCCAGCCGAAACCCATCTCCGTCCAGAGCTTCTGCAGTCCGTGCACGAAAAACCCGTGCGCGACGGGAAACACCGCGCTCAGCCCGAGCGCTATGAAAACTTTCGTCCGTGCGCCGCGATGCGTTGGCTTCGAGTACTCGGGATCGAGCACGATGTATGCGGCGCCTAGATGTGATGCAGGGGAGGGAGCCTATCAGCATACCGGAGGACAGTAGCAATGATCTATTCACCGAGGCCGACGAGCACGATTACGGACAGGTAAGCCGCTTGCAGGCGTGTGTCGCAGTAGAATTCGTAGTAGACGCACGGGAAGAATGAGCCGACCGTAAGGACCACTATTCCAGCATAATCGAGTGCGTGGCATCGGACAGCGACCTACGTCTACCTTCAGACAAGTATCATCGCCGCGGAGATCGTACATACCTCTCTAGAATGCACTGAGAACGTGTGATACCAAGAACTTGCGAGCAGACAAAAGATCGCCGCAGAGAGGGAGATGACAAACACAACCAGGTCCTGCCACGCCGTCGTCTCGTACGGCGCAAGGTGGACCTGGTAGAAGGTGCCGAGGAGACCGACAAACAGAGTGCTCCGAAGAGGTGTGTCTGGATGTTCACTAGCGAAATGTCGCATGTCACCGGCACAGAAGCAGCATTGTGAGCGACTACGATATGAACCTGTTTCGTTGTGCAGATCTGGGTGGTCCATTCAGTGAGACGGCCTTTTCATTACGCTCGCCGGCAGACGATCGGCAGAATGGAGACCTCACGTACACCAAACACGGAGTAGGCACACCCTCTCCAGCTAAATTGCTCTCTGAAAATGGTGAACGTCAGCAAACATTCTGCGCCATAACAGGGCAACCACGGCGGCGGGCCCAGGTGCGATCAACTTGCGTCGGACACGCACCGTCTATATCCAGTCAATATATACTCATTGTCGCGCTGCCATGCCGGGATCTCCATCCATGTCAGAGTTGAGTGATCGCGGTGCACGCTTTGGACGGGATCCGAGGTTTCCGGGATGGCATTCGGGTCCGCTTCATTCTGTTGTCCACCAGTCGCGCGTCAGTGCATGCCGTGCTTCAGCGTTAGAGACCCATCACCAGCTCTCTCGTTTTCCGCTCGCGTAGAGACGTGTCTGACAGAGACATTAGGTGCAAGTCGGACTCTAATGGTGAGGTGAAGTGAAAGGTAAGGGCCAGAAAGAACGACTCGCTCCTTCAACGAGGAGGAAGAGGAGGCGATTCCGTCCACGCTCGAGCGCCGCAGGCGTGTTTAGGGCGTCATATGTCACGTGACCATGACGTTGCTAAATTGAATGGACAGGAAACGAATTTGATGATACCCGCTCATGATCAAAATGAACGCGCCACAATAGTCGTTGCATGAAACGCATAGCACTAATATTGCATACGCCTACGAGTAAGGAGGAAGCATGTCAAGGCATACGATGGGAAGAGCGACGAACATAAAGCGAAAGAAAGCTATACGGCAATCGAGCACTCCGACATATCCGATGACCAGGAGTGCGGCGGCGTCGACGGGACCGCACCACTAATCTCCAGTAACCGTCCGTCGCCATCGCGAACTGGAACTGGCTAGCTGGTACCACTCAGGTGTCTGCGCGCTCGGATGGACTAGCGCGAATGGCGCCGCCCCGTTAGAATCGCTCGAGATACTCATCGTGTTCGCCCCGTCGTCGTAAATCGGCAGCGCCGCGCTAGGGCCTGCGAGCGCGGGGCTGATCCAAGTTCTTGCGGCTGTTGCCGTGGTGATTGAAGCTCCCGGGCATGTGGAATTCAGTCTCCCAGGGCGATGCTGTCGAGAACGTCGCTACGGTGTTGCACTCCGAGCTTGAGTCGTCGTGGGGGGCGTTCGTCCATCGTGGGTCACGGTAATCGGGGTACCACTCCGTACCCTGCGGCACATAGGAAGACACCCCAGAGTTGCTGAGAACGCCGCCTACACTGCTAGAGACCTGACCTTGAGGCATTGTGTACGTGTAGCTGGTGCCGCTTGGGGCATCGGGCTTCATTGGTTGAGTACACATCTCCTGCGCTGAACGCCTGCATCGCAGTTTGGTCGTAGAGCGTGCCTTGGGTTGATTCGGGTGAACCGTAATATTGCGGGATGTGACCGCCGTCCAGCAGCGGGGCACCGCCAGAGAGAAGTGCCGCCTCCAGGCTATAATTCGGAGGCAAGTACATGGCGTCTTCCGAGAATGACCCGCTTCCGGACGAGGAGATGGACATGTCCGTGATGTCTTCTCCGAAGGCGACTTGGGCGAGAGGTTTTGCGCAGGACGGACATCGCGCCCGATATTCTTGGCCGAAAGCGCGTCCACTGTCGTGCGCAAATCCATGGCGACTTCTTGCAACGCAGCTCTTTGTTCTGCATCCAAGGTCGCATAATCAAGCAGCGTGCGGAAGTACGTCAACTTCGATCGAAGCATCTTGATCTGAATCATTAAGGCAGCTCCGGTCCATTCGTCGAGGCGCGACCGTGCGTCTGAGTGTGGCGCAGCCTGTTCGGTCCGTCAGACAATGCGTTTGCTGAGAAATTGAAGTTCAAGACGTACGTGGAGTAGCGGCTCTGCGGTATACGACGTTGTCGCCTCAGGGACGTGCACGGTATGATCGAGAGTACGCGAGCTCTCGGCAGAGTCATACTTCCACGCCATCAAGGCTCTCCTTAGATCGTTCGGCTGCGAGCTCGGTTTCGGCGCGTGAAGATGTAGAGGCTCCATGGACGGGGCTAGAACGGGAGAGGTGGATGACTGCGGGACTTGCGAAATCGTGGCGTACATCCGGGGCGGTGTAAATCTTGGCAGGAACGTAGGCCCTGCACGAGCGAGATGGCCGCGTCTGAACGCATCTGGCAGCCATAAATACTAGGGAGGAGCGCCTGCCCGTAGCAGTGCGTATCAAACAAATTGTCAAAACGAGAGGACAATGGTGAGCGAATGAAAGAAGCGTACGTTGGTAGGGAAGCGGACTGATCGATAGCACGAGGCTCGACGCGTGTTCGAGTGGCCACTGAGGATGTTCTACCAGATTTAGGGCCGCGGTATTGGTACCGGGATGTTGTGTGGGTGGCTCTGCATCGATTGACTCACCGAACACCGGCAATCAGGGCCCATCCTGAACTTACCCAAAGCAGAACAAGGACAGTACTGCCACTCCCCGCCACCTCACCTGCAGCAGTGTTCATGCCATTTGCGAGATGTCTGCAGGTCAGTTTTCGCCGGACTGAACCATTTCGATGGAATGACGCCAATCGAAGTATGTCTCCTCCGCGTTTTCGCGCTCATGTCATGATCACGACGTCGAACAGGTGTAGGGCATAGGGGAAGGTACGAAACGGCCTTCGATAACGCTTGGTAACACTGGTACATACGTGTGATCTGACAGGCCAATCAGACTCCAGAGGCCAAAGACAAAGCCACGCAGCCTGATAATTGAGGAGTGTGCGCCTGTTCTCGTATGCTTCTATTGCTTAGGAGCTTAGTAGGGCATCATTTGACGAAGACTGAGGCGAACATACATACCTGTGGCACCAACTCGGACGAGTCAGAGTTTCAGTTACAGCGCTAGCACGCAGTGCCGGGTGAGGTGAAGAAAAAGCTTCCAAATCGCAACCTTCTTTCTTGTTTTATTCTCCGTGTATATAGCACGGGCTATAAACACGGAGAATAAAAAGAAATAGTGGATGTTGATTGCATGTCTGGTGGATGTCACTGTGCGCACTGCGCGCCACAGTTTGCCACACAAAGCGTGAGACACGAGGCCGGAGACACCCGAGCCGCCCTCAGGCACATGACGCAAGCGCTGGAGCCACACGCCTCGAGGCAGACCCTTGGCACCTTTTTGGAAGGCGGAGTTGGCGGGACGCGAATCCAGGCGAGCATTTAGCGCGTGGCCGAGCGCGTCTCATTGAGTTCAACTTCGACGTGCACGCGACTTGCACTCGTCCGCCCACCGCCTCACTGCCGCCACACCCCCTCCACGCGCAAGCCCTTTCTCAAACCAGAAAGCCCGGCTCCTTTCACAGAAGACACAGGCTATCATGTCTACCCCAATTTTGCGCAGTTTTGTTGTCTTTAGAGACGACGCGCCCCCGTCCCCCACCAGCAGCATCGCCTCCCTCGCCGACTCCGAACTCGCGCGACCACCGTCCCCCCCGCCGTCCAACGGGCCCTCTGCGCCTGATAAGGAGAACGTGAACCCCGTTACTGGCAGGAAGCCCCCGTCGATGTGCAGAACGGAAAGAAGCGAAAGGAGGGCGTGCTGGCTACGAAGGCCTACGTGCCTCCAGTGCCCAAGAAAACGAAAGAAACGAAGAACAGTCGCTCATTCGGAAAAGAGGTCTCAGTTGCAGCACCCAGAAGCTCTGCTCAGCCCGTCAAGCGAAGGGCAACATCCACTAGGCGAAATGGGACGTCGTCGTCCTCTCGCCCCCGCCGAACCCCCGCGCTCCCCCAAGTGAATGAGGAGCAGGAGACAGAGCTCGAACCGAGCAACCTCCGGCGAGCGGGTCTCTGTCTCAAAACCAAATCGATGCTCGATGCTACGAGCTCACCGTGCTGCCTCTGGCAGATTTGTCGAAGGCCTTCGAGCAGGCGCCGTGCCTGGAAGGTGAACATTCCTTGGGTGAGAAGTTGCGTCCGCAGGAATTGTCCAAGGTATGTCTAGTGCATGGGTATTCCCACCAACGCGAGTGTAACATTCGTTTCCCTAGGATGCTGTCGAGGACGCCCAGTCCGTGTACGCGGCGTCGGACCGTGCTCCGTCGCCCTCCCCGTCCGTATCTTCTAGGGGTTCGTCACCGTCCCGCTCTGACGCGGCGCTCTCCACGTTCTCGACTCCTGAACGCAAGCGCATCTACTCTGCGTTTACTTTCTCTTCTCCTTCCCCTTCTAGCGCTCGGTACGCTGCTCTACGTGGATCGAACGATGCGCGGTTCTCGGACCCAACGTTCGAACTCTGACGAGTCTCGCGACCTGACATATCACTGCGACGTTCCAACACATCACGCCCGACCCTACTAACGCGAATTCCGTCGGCGCTCAAGATATCCCGCACTCATCAGTGTATCTCGCCTGCTCATCTCTCTCGGTCGTGCTCAATCTCATATCGCTTCTCTGTACATATTCCTATCTATCTCTCCCCTACTTCCTCCTCTCGTCTCTCACATCACTATGTTCCCATCTGCTCCAAGTTGCATCGATCATCTACTCGCATTGCACTGTGACCCTGGCATCCGTTTCCCATGTCTACATCAAGGTCCTCATCCACGCATTCCTACGTTGGATCTGCAGTTTACGCAACTTATTCCCTCCCATCTCGTTGCTTGTTTGCACCGTTTCCTCTTGCTTGTTTCCTCATCCCGGCCTGCTGCCTCTCTCGCATACGCAAGGACTCTGTCACTAGTAGCCATACGTGTATCACTGCCTACGCTCTCACCTGCTTAGTCGATACTGCTGCTACCAATTGCATAACGAATAGCTCATCTGCTTTGCAGCGTCTGTCTGTTCTGTGGGACGTCGGCGGTTGAGGTGAACTTCGGGGTAGGGGTGCACCGGGTCCTTGCAGGTTCACCACGCAGCCACTTACGCTGAACGCGTTCATCATGTGACCGCGTCGTGGGGGGGCGTCTCCTATGGGCGCTTGGGACTCGAAACGGAAAGACAGAAATTGACTGATCCCTCGACTCGGATCCCTCATGGTAACGTCTAGTCGATTTGGGACCTGGGTGAAGGTCTCTGCGCAATAACAAATTTATACTTCTGATAAAGCGTACAATACGTCGTTACATCCAATGTCGGGACTCGTACACTGTTCGTCAATTTCGTTCAAACAACGTAACGGAAATTCGGGGCCTGGAAATCTCGACGTCAGCGAACGCTCAACTGGGCAAGAACAATTGGTGGTTCTTACAGCATCAGCTAGCTCGGACACGTCCACCGTTGCGTCTGGCTCCGGCTTGCCATATAGCTTGTCTCGTCGTCTGTTGTCTACGCGGTAGGAGAGCTACGCAAATGAATGAATTAGGTGAGCGTTCTCGCTTTCCGACGACAACGTACCGATAGGACCAGAGCCACCAGGGAGGAGAGGAAGAGCAGGGCGCAAGACACTGTTGTCGACAGCTTAGTGAGTTTAGATCCAAAGCGCAATATAGTCGCCCCTTACCGGCGAGGCCTTTGCTACGGCCATGATACTGTGATGAGACTGGATCTACTCCGTGAAAGATCTCCACTCACATGTACCGCGGCCCGTCGTCGTGGGTAGATCTTCGACCCCAGTATACTCCCGCACTGGCCGATCGCCATGTACATCGGGATCCCGTCGCTCTCTTCGTCTCCGATCCCAAGTTTGCGAGACTATCCCATGAGCCCCATCAGTATTCTCACACTCTTGCTGGGAGACAAACACTACGACTTACACCATGCGATGACAATCCCGATGACGTGTATGTCCCACTCGTGATGCAGAATACGGCGAAATAGCGGACATGGATGTTATCCGGGACCGCGAGGAGCAGACTGGTAGGGCGTTTGTTCGTAGGACTGGGGAAGATATGCGGACGACATGTAGCCAAGCCCCCTACGGCGCTCACGTACGCAACGAAGAGTCCGCGACTCTGATTCGATCGGATACATAGGAGTTCAGGCATAGGAAGACCGCCGCTACTGCGTAAGGCGGGACGGTGAGGATCTGCGCGATGGCATTGGCTGCGAAAATCAGTGTGAGCGGCCTGTGGGAAAGTGGATTGGTACTCACTGTACCCAAAGGTGGCTATGATTGTAGGCAAGAAAGCAGAGATGGATGCAAGAGCGCAGTTCGCTCCAAAGTATATCACACCGACGGCGTAGATCTGCAACGCAGATACCCTTGTCAGCGGGGTCCGTGAGATATTGTATGTTTCACCCACCCGCCAATCCAGGAATGCAGCCAATACATGCTCTGTGTCACAGATTCAGTGCCAAATGCAAGGCTTCATCGTGGGTTACGCACTTTTCTTCACTACTCTGCCCAGATCTCCGGAGATTCCCCTGTTCATCCGCTCAATTGCAAGGCTCTCTCATCCTCAGTGAGGTAGCTCGTTTCCTCCGGCCGGTTCGGCAACAAAACAGTGTCAAGAAGCCGATCAAAATCGTTGGCACCCCTCAATTAAGAACAACAGCCGCCAATTAGCTATAGCTGCATGGCATGCTGGACGCCGAACGCGATGAGGCCGCCGAATGCGCCTGCGACCGCCGCGAAGCCGAACCAGTAAGCCATGCGCAAGCCCATCTCCTCCTTTGTGTAGAAAAGTGCTGCGGGGCCATGAATCAGGATGCTGAGTGTATTGCGAAGCGTACGCACACATGTAGAGGGGGATCCCGGGGCCGAAACCTGCTTCGAATACTCCGAGCCCGAGACGGGCACAGACGAGGCCTGCGAAGTTGAACGCGGCGGCCTACGGTCGATTAGGACGTATATAGTACGAGTGGAGCTTAACTCACCGATAGAGACGAGCAGGCCCCCCAGCCTATGGCGAAGCAGCCTATCCATGTACGCGGGGGAACAGTTTTGAGATGACGGTAGCGGGGATTTGGCAGAGAATCTAGTACAAAAGGCAAACAGTTGGGTTTCGTCCATGTCTTCCGTTCGCAAACTACATAGGAAATGAAGAAAACAGAGTTGACCCACCGTACAGATTCCCCGTGGGATCGCCTCCCAGCGTGTCCTGTGGCAGCCCTTGCAGACGAGCATTCCCAAGGTTGCTTCGGTCCAAATCTGACGCAATTCGTTGAATAGGCCTGCCGGCTTCGCGAAAGCCTCTAAAAGCTCACATGCAAAGAGGTAGAGTATGCACGCTATTGGCATAATGCGCATGTCGAGTTTCCTGACGAGCCTCTTCTCCTCCAGTGCTTTCTCCGCGGCCGCCGCAACTCCTCGTGTGTCCTCGATCTCTGCAACTCGCTCTTCCTTGTTCAGGGAGCCTGCGTGGTCCATAGTCTTCTGCTCGGTGAGCGACATCGTGGGGAGCTGTCCTAGTGGGAGAACAAAATAGAGAGGGGAGAGTGCCGGTACATTTCGCGGGTTCCCGTGTGACCGTCTCCATTTGAACGTGCGCTCCGCCAAACAGCGCACAAGTCATAACCCACTCCGTCTCCCGAATTAGCCGTCATACTTCTGACTTTGCGCTCATGTGTCTGATGTTCCTCGCGCAGTGTCTGCGCTACCGAGATTATGACATGGCGAATGCTATGAACCAACCACCGTCTCGATTGTGCTCCTACAACATTAATGCATGTAAGTCCACACGGCTCTGGGAAAATATCGCGGTGCGTACCCAGTCATGGTGCATTGATGCGCGGCTTCAGTAAGGTCACGCTGGACAGGATGTCCCGTTGAATAAATGTATAACCTTCAAAAACATCAGCCCGCCACTGGCGCGGGTTGGGCACGGGCCGCCGGGAAGCACGGCGCTAGTCCTACACTGGCAGTGGGACGTACTCCGAGCCTGCCAGTATGGACAGCGACGTAGAAGGTACTTGGGCGAGCATGATGAAGGAACAGAGAGGGATGTCGGAGGGTGACCGACTGTAGGCTCAAGCAAGATATTTCGCTATATGTATAGACGTCGGTAGTCGGCCGACCCGACCGATCATACTATGTGCGGGGTAATTGCGGGGTAATTTGTTTCGTGAATATTTTGCGATGTGATGATTCTCTGCCCACAGCCTACGACGGATGAAGTAGATCGACAGTTGCCTGTCGTCTGTCACTGTAAGCTGTCTCTCACGTGGAGAATACGCGACTGAGGCGCGACTCGAACAAAGACTCGGACGCGTCGCGTTCGTTCGCGTGTCTATCATCCTTTCAGCCACCATCCTGCGTCATGACGGACGTTTTCGACGAGGCCCCTACCATTGTCGACGGCGATGTTCTCGAAGCTGCAAAGGAGAACATCCAGCCTCTCGCCAAAGGACGCCGCGTTACCGCTCTCGCAGGCATCCTCTCCACGCCACACGCCCAGCGCGAAAGCCGTCTCTCGGCTGCGCGCAATCGGCACCGTATCAATGTCGAGGTTGCTCTGGAAGATGAAGACGACGACCCCCTCGAGGCCTACTGTCGCTTCGTCAACTGGACCGTCGAGAACTACCCACAAGGCCACAGCGCCGAGTCCGGGCTGCTCGAGCTGTTGGAGGAGGCGACGCGTGTCTTGAAGGATGATAGAGAAAGGAAGTGGCGGGACGATATCAGGTACCTCAAGCTGTGGGTGCTGTATGCAAACTACGTCGAGAAACCCGCGATAATCTACAAGTTCTGTCTGGTGAACGACATTGGGACGAGCCACACGCTATTATACGAGGAGTACGCGACCGTGCTGGAGAGGGCGAGCAGGTGCGCTGCGTTGGCCTCACACGCGACCTTCGGCTGATTAGCCCGCAGACGCGCTGAGGCAGATGAGGTCTACCTGCTCGGCATCGCGCGCAAGGCCACGCCTCTCGACCGACTCGAGAACAAGCACCGCGAGTTCCAAAAGCGTATGATGGCCTCCATCAACCTGCCTCCTCCCGCGGCCGAATCTACAACCACATCATCCTCGTCCCGGCGCCCCGCCCTCGCCGAAACCGCATCTTCCTCGACATCCCGCACCCGCACCTCTCGTTCTGGCTCGACGCGCGCGCGTCCGGCAGAAGATGTGTTCTCTCCTCCAACTACTACTGCGCCCACCGTCCCCAATGGCCGCATCCCCGTCTTCGTTGACCCGGCCGGCGACGCGGAGAACGACCCGGAGCAGGCATCGCCCTGGCCGGAGCTCGGCACGCGCAAGGCACGTATCAAGGAAAACATCCCGGAGGTGCGGAAGGCGCAGGGGACCACCCTCAGGCAGCCGGGAAGATCGGCGCGCTCGGGGAGTGGCACATCGAGGATCGCTGTGTATCGCGATCCGGAGCCGGGCACCAGCGCTGGGAGTGAAGAGATGCCTCCGCCGCCTGCGCCGAGTGGCAAGAAGGAAAAGGGGAAGAGCTCCATCACGATCTTTAGGGACGAGGACGCTAGCGAGGGGAGTGGCACAGCGGATGCCGTAGTGAAGAAGGGGAAGGGCAAGAGCTCCATCGCTGTGTTCAGTGACGAAGATGCCGGCGAGTCAACGGGCGCACAAGCTGCCCCTGCGGGGAAGAAACCAGACAAGGGGAAGAGCTCCATCTCTGTCTTTAGGGATGAGGAGCAGTCGGAGAAAGGAACACCGTCGACTCCGAGCTTCACGCCGTATCGCGATGACGAGGTGCGTATACATCTACATGCCGTCGAACTCTGATTGAACGGCCTTTATTTATAGCCTGCCACCCCGAGCTCTTCCTCCGTCCCTACCAGTGTGATGAAGCCGCGCAGGGAGGCTCTTGGCCTCACCGAGTCTGAAGCCCTGCGCCGCGACCCTCTGAAGAATTATGCTCCTGAGGAGAGGCCGACGGAAGACTGAGATAGATGACTCATGCGAAGATATTACCTGTTAATTTGCTAGTATCTGGTTTACTGCTGCTCGGAGGCTGTTCCCGACGTGTACTACTATGCGATGTTAAGACTAATGAACAGGTTATTTGCTTATGATGCATCTTTGACGAACTCGTTTGCTTTATGCATGGTCTGCGTATGGGTGGGTTCTTTCCGGTTGAATCGCGCCCTTGCTGCCAGTGACACCGCGAACGCGCCGTTCAGGCATTATCCCACGTGACCGTTCCCCAGCGTGTCCAAATCGGGGGATCTATTGACGGTGGTCCACTGGCAGCGGTCGATGGGCGCAGTCAACTTGTCTCTGCCTCTTGCATTGTTGCACCTTTCCGGCTCCTGGGAACGCGGGTCCGGCCACGAGGAGAAGGTCTGGGTAGGGTACATAAACTGAAATGTTCGCCCGCTCTTCCTCTCGTCGCAGACATCATCCTATCCGACCGAGTGGCATTCTCCCGTCGATTTACAGGTTGACCATCGCTCTCGCGCTCGTCGAGACTCGACAATGCTCTTGACGGTGTTATTGTTCTGTGGGTGCCTTTTTCGTTGTCCTTCTGCACGTCAGCTCACTCGTCGTTATCGTTAGTGGCGAAACGTAGTCCGTCACTGCACTCACCATCCCTCCGGGTCGGCGGGTGACGGTGTCCTTCAGTGCCGTTTGCGCGCTCAGATGAGCGAGGGTTGGCCTTACGTTGAGCGCGTGGTCGAGGCGTATCAGGACAAGCGTAGTAGTACCCTGAAGCAGGGGAGTGTATGGTTCGTAAGTCTCCTTTGGGAATTGGTATACCTACCAGTGCATGTTACACCGTCGCATGCATCCCTCATCGAGTCATTATAATCAATGCCATTCGTCCCTGTAGAACAAAACTCATTGTGGTTCGGCTGCAGAGTTGCTCTGAGCCGTTACTCTTCAGTCACGGACGCACGAACGAGCGAGTCCTCTGTTCCTCTGCACATACGTGCGAGGGTAAGATTTGATTACTCTGCCACTCGAGGAAAATCACAATGCTGATAGTACAATCCCCAGATCAACAGGACAAAGAGAAGAAACTACGCGGCAAATACTGCAATATACAATACACAGATATACACGACACAAGCAGCACAGTAGCCTACCATCAACTGCGACGAGCGCGTTTGGGTGACGGGAACAGGCTCTCCCTTCTTCCAATAACCCGATATATGTCTCGCTCGTCGTAGGATCCTCCCCACGGATAGTCCGGTTCGGAGTCGTCGCCTTCGAAGCCGTTGTAACCTGGAACAGGCTTGGGGACATAGCCTCGCGGCTGGCTAGGACCCGCCGTCGGCTGAGAGATGGCACTGCGTCGAAGTCAGGGTGAGCGGACTGCGCGAAAGAATCAGATGTCATCAATGCTCACCTGTGTTCACTACCCTCAGAATCCGACTCCCGACCACTGTCGGAGCTCGCTTCGTTCTCGGCATCGTCCTCGTCGTCGCCTCGTCGTCGCTTCTTGAACTGAGAGATTGACGAACCATATTCCGCGACGAAGGACGGTCGGCCCGACTTGGGCGTAAAGCGTGCAGGCCGCAGCGCGAACGAGGCAGTCGGACCTGCCTCGGGAGTGTCAGCCCGCCGGGAGGGCCCTGCCTGGGGCTGAGCGCGAGTACCACGCTCGGCCTCGTCAACCATTTTCGATGGATGGAAAGCCTTCGGACGCCTTCCACTGTCAGGGGACTCGAAGGATTCGCCGTCGAGCTCGTCCGAATCGGGCTTCCGTCGCCGCGGTACAGCACCCCGAGTACGTCGAGGGGGGGTCACCGGCTCCGGGCTTTGCTCGATGGCAGGCAATGAATCCGAGATGGGAGGGGACGACGGTGGCAGGGGCGACAAGCTGAAGTCTCGACGAGGCCCCGTGGCCGGAACTCGAAGGCCGGCTGCAGGGGAGCCGGACTGGGGGGCTCGAAGTCTTCGGTGCAGAAGAATTCGGTGTCGTCGATGTCCACTGGTGGCCCCGGCCTCTGCGGCTCTTCCACCGAGGAAGGGATCTCGTCCCAGTAGAGCGCACTCTCGTCGTACTCGTCCGGCAGCAGCTCCCCTGCAGCCTGCATCATCTGGACAAGCGACGGCCTCCACTTCCCCTGCAGCCAGCCAGAAGCCGGGTCCTTCAGTTCCGCTATGAGTCTCTCGGTGACTATGCGCTTCGCATGCATCTCGATGACCCACTCTGCAACCAATTTCGACTGCGCCTTGAGGAAGTCAATCATCTCGTTGAGCTGCTTCCTCTTCGCCTTCAAACCGCGCAGCTTCTGAACAGCGGCACGGGCCTCATCCCTGAGCTTGAGTGCGATAGTCTTATTCATCCCCTTGGTCCGCACCGGAGGCTCCCCGTCGGCGGCGAAAGCGGCAACAACGGCGGCATCGTACACCGCCTTCACCTGCTTCTGCAACTCCGCGAGTCTGGCGTCCTCCACGTCCTCCTCATCCTCCGACTTGTCCGACTCGACGTCGTCGTCAAGGCGGTCGATGACTTCGCTGTGGAGCGTGGCGTATGCTCGCTTCTTGAGCTCGATGCCGTTGACAGGCTCGGGGGGTTCGTCTTGTGCCGCGAAGGCCAGGAAAGCATTATAAACGTCTCCGAGCGGGCTGGTGGGCTCGTCCTCATCGTCGGCAGCATTGCTGGGGTGGCCCGACGGACCGGCTTGTGCGGCGGGCACGGGCGCAAACGTGACTTGTGCGGCCGCCTCGTCGTTCTCGTCGTTCTCCTGGTCCTCGGACGAGGTCATCTCCGCAGGCGGAGGGACACGCTGAGGCCGAGACACGGAGTGGCGTGGCTGTCGCACTGCGACCTCTTCGTCGCTGAGAGCCACGAAGGCTATACATAACGGCAGGTGAGCAACTTGCAGTGACCTTCGAAGACACGAACACTTACGCTCGCGGCGTTCTCGGCGGACGTGCTCTGGCGTCTCGGGTAGCCTAAAACGGCCATCGTGTGGATCGAGGCGGAGCCTTGAAGGGCCGGCGACTGGCTGCAGCTGGGGGACAGGGCTCCGCGGTACCACTGGTTGCTTGTGGATATACGGCCCGAGCGCGCCCGTCGGGAAGGGCGAAGGCTCAGGAGTTGGGGTCCGACGGACGAAGAATGGGTTGTCGGACCCTTCCTCGGGCAGCTGCGACCACGACGGCGCGCGGCGATGCGAAGGCCCCGCCTGAGCAGGCAGCTTCGATGGGCCCGCTTCGGGTTGCGCGGGCGGCGGGGGAGGAGGAGGCCGCGTGAAGACGGGCGGCCGTGGTGGGAGTTCGACGTTGCGCGGCGTCGATTGGTACAGGCGCGGGCGCGGATTGGCGGGGGCGGGTCGGAGGTGGAACAACGGGGAGATGCGGAGTGGCGAGAGCTGGGGCCTGCGTCCAGGTAAGAAGTAGCTACGAGTGGGCCCAGCATCCGCCGCTGAGTCGGGCGGCACGTAGTTGGGGCTGAGGTCGTGCTCCCATTCCGTTCCGAGTGGCTGGGGTTTATCCCGAACTGGTCCATGACCTCCAAGAGGCCCCTAGTGCCGTAGGATATGCCGTCTGGCACTGTTTGGTATTGATTATCGGTGCTGCCGCGTTAGTGGGAACACCTGACATGAGGTGTTCCCGCTGGTGCTGCTGCACCGGTGCTTCGGTTCCAAAGAGTCTTGATGACCCTTGAACAAACCGAGGCACGGGTTGGGCCCGAGCCGCTGGAGAGTTGCGCGCCGCGCGCACGTCTTTGAGAGGCTCGTCAGTGGCGCACTACAACTAGAATCAGGTGAGCATACCTATTGAGCTAGCGGCCGGGACGCGGGTCGGGGCGACCGGAAGCTGTGCTTCCTCGCGACGTGGCCGCGACGGTGGCGGCGGCGGCGGCGGCGGCGATGTGGTGGTGTGGCTCGAGCTGCCGCCTGACAGTCTCCTCATCCTCCTCGTCGGACACATCCTCCTCGACGACGACCTTCGGCTTCTTTCTCAGCCTTGGCGGTCTATCTAAGAAAGGGTAAGTGACGCAACAAAGATGATGGGGATGATGACTTACATTGCGATATACTTTCGCCGTATATCGCTGGTTGAATCTCGACTTCCTCTTCTGCCTCCTCTTCTTTAGGCTCCGTGATGTCGAGACGTTTCGACCTCCTCACGGGCCCTTGTTCTTTTCTCAATCTAATGTGGCGTTAATTCCTCTGTCGGACAACACCGAGAAGAACGACTCACGGCTCAACGCCATCGGGATGCCTAGACACCAACGCGTCGATGATGTCTAAGGTCTTTCCGTTCGCGCGAAGCCCTCTCGCTGAACGCCACGATGGTCAGTAGCTGGAGAAGGCGCGAAAGGACGCGTAATTAAGACGCGTACCTTCGCCAGTTGTTGTATCTCAGCGCGCTTCAACGCGCGAAGGGCGTTTTCGTTCAAAAGGTTTGTGTTCATGGTGTTTAAGTTCGATGTAAAGTGTGCTAATGCTCGACTCAGACAGGGGATGGGGACCAAGTGGGTCGCAGGGGAGGGAGGAGCAAAGCGCAGGTGATGGGTAACTAACAAGAGTTGAACTTCGGACACGAGGACATGTGTGCGATTGATCACATTTGGAGAACAAAGGCTGCGGCTAATTGCCCACGGTCACCAATTCGGTCAAGTCTGTTCAGCCACGGGCTTCCGGGCCGGGACGCCGAAACCTGGAGAACCCAAGCGATGTTCCGACGAATATGGCAACTACAAACAAGAGTGTGGATCTGGTGCTGAAGTCGATTCGTAACCGAGCGATATACGTTGTAGGCATTATATGCAGCAGCAACATGCCCACTGCGCCTTCTGACATATATTGCGACTCTCAGATTGTATATGCACCTTATAACAGTTTATGCAATGCATGATGCGGTGATCATCAGCGACGAAGTAAGAAATAGATACAGCAAAACAACAAGAGAGCGGGACGTTCGTGTGACAAAGCTGAGGGTTGGACATCTAATTAGGAGCGGTAAGTATTAGGACTCCGTACGGCAAACGGTCCACATACCGTCTCGCGGGCCCGCAAAACGGTACAGACGACATGTTTTCTACCAAGATTTGCCACTCTTGTCCAGGGCTGCCTGCGCAGCGTGTGCGAGCGCGATCTCGTTCTCCTCGCTCTGCGCAATGCATTGTAGTGTCCGCTTCACAGAGCGTAATACACCTTACCTGCTTTTTCTTATTAGAGTTGGCTTCCTCAGGCTGCGATGCAAGGGCATGAACCCATGGCCGCCACATGCAACCTTTTGCCGTCGGCGCGCGCTGTTCTTGTCAGCATGCACTCCCGAAACCCGCCCATCGGCTGAGCAGTATCGACTGCGCGTCGTTCAGCCATCACTGATCCTCAGTCTGCATCTCAGGTATGCCGTAAAATGTCAGCTACTGCTCGCGCTTAGGCACATCTGCGTCGTAGCAATCTGGCCTAGAGGTTTATTTCGGGAGCCAAGGCCATAATCGCCCCCTTGTGGCAGACTGCAGTGCTGGCATCGCGAACGCGACCGTTCATGCATTATGCCACGTGACCGTTCCTCAGTGCGTCCAAATCGGGCGATCTATGGACGGTGGCGACCCGGCGGTCGATGGGCGCAGTAGTAGACTGCGCGACGCTTGGACTTAACCATTTGCTCCACTGTTGCGGCATTGACAAAGATAGCTACAGAAGCGACTAAGGATCGCGAACATGTCGTTCAAGAAAGGCGCTTTGTATCCGTGCAACCCCGCCACTGCGCGCGGCGAGTCGACCAAGCTTAGCTCCAACGGTGACAAGGTCGTATACGCGAACGGACGGACAGTTGTGGTGAGCTCGCAGCACGCCTTCACTTGGCAGATTGATACTAGAGAATCTCACTCTCAAATACTCGCAGATTCGCGACTTGAAGGTGCGTCTATCTAGGCATCCTCAGTGGGAACGCCCACAAAGCAATCTATAGACTCCGTCGACTGCGATTACCTACGCAGGGCACGTACAACCCACCACAGTCGCTCGCATCTCGCCCTCCGGATACTACTGTGCGTCGGCAGATATCACGGGCACAGGTGAGAACGCTTCGTCGTCCTTCGGGGTTGCTGTGGCTGAGGCGACTGTGGGCAGTACGTATCTGGGACACAGTCGGTGAGGACCAGAGTTTGAAGGGGGAGTACAAGGTTCTTTCGGGTGCTGTGTGAGTGCTCACGAAATGTGTCGGTATCATGATGCTGATAGGGGGATTTGCGGCTGGTGAAGGAAGGACCTCGAATGGGACGGCGAGAGCAAGCGGATCATTGCAGTAGGGGACGGGCGAGACAAGTGAGTGCTCATGTCTGACCAATACGAGACTGTTCAATGAGTGAGCATCGCAGGTTCGGCCATGCCTTCATGTTTGACACGGGCTCGTCTACGGGAGAGATTATTGGACACTCGAAGGTCAGCCAACCCCCTCACGCTTCATTCACATATTTGGACAAGGCATCACGATGTGTTTGCATATGTAGGTTGTCAATGCAGTGGCAATCCGACACCAACGTCCCTTCCGCGCTGCGACAGCTTCAGATGACACAACGATCGTCTTCCACCAGGGTAGGTGGACCCGCATGCCGTGTTCCAAGGCGAGCAACTGATGGCACACTCAGGTGCTCCTTACAAGTACGAGAAGGTGCGATTCCGCGTATCGCGATCATGAACGGTAATTTGACGCGCGCTGAACATTCCACAGAGCATCAAGACGCACACAAAGTTCATCCAAGACGTGCGCTACGCACCAACTGGCGATCACTTCGCTAGCGTAGGCTCAGACTCTAAGGTCTTTGTCTATGACGGGAAGACCGGTGAGACCCTCGGCGAGATCACAGACAGTCCGCACACAGGCAGCATTGTAAGTCTGAGCGTCGACTTGAGATTCGCGCTATGAATGCTCGGCTGACTGACCACGTAGATGGCTTGCAGTTGGAGCCCAGATAGCAAGTCACTCGCGACATCTTCCGCAGACCGCACTGTGAAGCTGTGTAAGTACGGTGGTGTCACTGAGCTCGTGCGGGACTGATGCACACGCGACGTAGGGGACGTAGAAGCTCGAAAAGCTGTGACAACCTGGACCGTCGGCTCGGGCGTTGCTTTCCAACAAGTCGGCAACACCTGGACGGGCGGGGACGCTATTGTTTCTCTTTCGATGTCTGGCGATCTCAACGTGTTCGACAAGCGTGTCGGCGACAAGCCCGCTAGCGTCCTCTATGTATGTTACCGCCCAGAGCGCCCTCGTAGCCCTGTCCTAGAACTGTCTGAATGCTCATCTGGTTTGTCTCTACAGGGCCCGCAGAAGTCGGTCACCGCTGCGGTCACACTGCCGTCCTCGAGCACCTTCCTCGCAGGCACCGCGGACGGAAAGATCCTCTCTTTCTCCGACAACTCCTACGCGCACCTCAGTGGCGACGGCCACGCCGCGCTCGTCTCAGGCCTCGCCTCGGCGGCGGATGGGAAGGCCTACTCCGTCGGCTACGACGACAAAGTCAAGGAGATCGAGGGCGGATCGAGCTTCGTGTGCGTCGTCTCCCCTCACACCGCCGCAATGTCGTCGGCGTAGGTAGGCTGATGGGTAGGCGTCGTTTGTAGCCCAGCATCGTGCCCAACATCTGCGCAGCCCAAGTCGGTGGCAGTTGCCGCCGACTCGACCGTGTTCGTCGCGGAGGCGAACGGCGTAGAGGCGATCCGGTCTAACCAGAAGGTCTTCGAGCTCAAGCCGAAGTTCACGCCGAGCGCGGTGGCTGCGTCGGGGTCCGTGGTTGCTGTCGGCGGCGAGGTCAGTCGCTGTCTTGTTGTATTTGGGTGATTCCTACTGACGCCGAAGATGCTGATGATGTGGAATGCGTGTAGGACATGAAAGTGCGCCTGTTTGACTGGGACGGAAAGAGCCTCACGGAGGCTGCGACGTTGGAAGGCAACAAGGGCGTCGTCAGCGCAATTGCGTTCAGTCCGGATGGGTCACTGTTGACTACAGGCGACGTGAGTACCCATGAACAGTTTGCCATCAGTGTATGTGCTGACCATGTCGTAGTCAACCGGCAAGATCGTACTCTTCGACGTGAAGGAACGCAAGGTAACATCGATCAGGTGCTCCTCGTCCTTCTGGCGATGCTAACGAGAGCGCTTTCCTCGTTCAGGCGGTCACCTCCCGCTGGTCCTTCCACACGGGGCGGATCAACTCCCTCTCCTGGACCGCCGACGGGAAGCACTGCGCGTCGGGCTCGCTGGACACGCATGTGTACGTATGGAGCGTGGAGAAGCCGATGCGCAACATCGCGGTCAAGAACGCTGGCCCTGGGGGCATCAGTGCGGTATTCTGGACCGGTGCGAAGACCCTGGCGAGCGCGGGCGCAGATGGTGTGTGAGGATTGGGAGATCACCTTCCACGCGTGAAGGATGGACCACGCGGTGTACGATGAAGCAGGCGAAAGCAAAGGTGTGCGCAATGTACTGTAGAACTGAAAGATACTGGATTGCTCTCTGGCTGTATTGCGTGGGTTCTGAAATTGCTGTATTGTGTGGTCTCTGAATTTGGACCGCGGCCGTTCATCCTCATCGGCGCATGTCTCTCGATCACATCCACGAGACGAAACTACAATGCGGTCATTCTGAATCGTGCAGAGGTACCAGTGATACACAGGGGACAGTGACTTGATCAAGCAAGCGAGACTAGCAAACCGAGCGCAAGACGTGCAAGACGCGGCGTCGGCGGTATTACAGTTTTGGTGGCAATGCGAAAGAGTAGCATGAACGTATCATAGCCCCACCCCTCGCAGGACGTCTCAGCACCCAGCACCCAGCACCACCCCACAACACACCTGCGACGCCCTGCCGTCTGTCCGCCCCGCGACGCCACCTAGTTGAGCTCCTCGAGCTCGCTCTTGTCCGCGGGCTTGTCCTCGACCGCGTCGAAGTTCTCCACGAGGTCGGCACGTCGTCGTCATCGTCATCAGCCGCGTTTGGTGGCCGCTGCTGGTTCTGCTGGATGGCCTGGTAGGACTCCGCGAGCTTACGCAGTGACGCGAGCGAGTCGGGGCCGAGCTGGTTGAGGATGCCGGGCACGAGCTCGGTGAGCTCCTTGACCTGGCCGGTGCCGTAGACCGCGAACGTGTTGGCGGTAACAGCAGCGTGGACTGGATAGCGTAAGCATCAGAACAGACGCCACCAACGCAGGTTACAGGATAACAACATGGCAGAGGCACCGGAGGTGGCAAACGCGTGGAAATGGTCGGATATAAAGCATAGGTGAGGACGCGTACCTTTGGGTGCGGAGAAGTGCAGCACGTTCCCATCTTCCCTAAACATGTTCACCTCCTCGACTCCGGGGATCGGCTGCACGTTCAGCTTCTTCAGCGCGCCCTGCAGCTTTTTGTCGTCCTGCGCGGTCGACGGCTTCGTCTTGCGCACGATTTTACGGCGCATGGTCCCCTTGCCACCTAACGTCCGGCACACCCACAGAACGCGTCAAAACGGCAAAAATCGCGGAAAATCGGTGTGGGCGCACCGATCCTGTTGGCCGCGGCCTGCGCCTGCAGCTTCGCCAATTTTGCGGGGTCCATGGTGCAGACGGTCGTGGATCGGGGACTGGCGAGTTTTCGTGTCGTGCGGCTTGGGCGTGATGAAGAAAATAAGGTTCAGACAGATACACGGCCACACAAACACCTCCAGACGCGCGCCTCTCGCGCTCTGGCGCCCATCCAACGCCCATCCGTCTCGAATTCTCAACAACTTGAACAAGAGTCCCGCTCGAGCTCATAAGTCCTGTTTACGGTGTTGCGTCGCAGGTGCAGTTCCTCTAGGAAACTGTAGATCGCAAGGTCTCGATTTGCACAGGGTGTGACCCTAGCTCGCGCCGGAAGCATCATACGAGTCGAGTAAGTTCAATTGTTATGCTATCACAGTTAGCAGCAAGCACCTTCGCTCCGTTACGCTCGACTCGAGTGGGTACTGCTTCGCAGAGACCTTGGATGCCGACATGAGCTACCAACGTTATCCGACACGCTCCACTGACACGAAGGTCGTCCAATCCTCGTCATTTGGTAGCCTGCAAGTGATCTTCAGAGAGCCAACAACTTGAAGAGCCGACAAATCGCTCTGTATCTCCTCAAATTTGGATGGCATCCTACCGACTACCAGCGACAGCGTGAAATCGCATGGGCATGTTTATACTCCATTGAATGTTGAGGGGCTCTAAGCGGGAGCCCCCGTCGAGGCACTGCTGGAACGCCGCAAGCAGAGCATCCAGCATCCAAGACGCGACGACCACTTCAACTTGTTCTGCTGCCTGCAGTAACTTATTCTCCCCTTGGAAACCCTTGGCAGGACCTCGACCTCTTTGAAGGTAGGAAGACGATTGTATAAGGGCGACAATCGCGCTGAGTACCACGCTTCACTTGTTGACAGTTCGATGCGTTTCTAGGAACGCTCAGCCCTGCCTGCCGTGGCGAGGTATGTGCAGTGTTATGTTTGAAACTGCACGATTACGGTTCGCCGTGGTCCAGGTGTACACCAGTCTACTGCCAATCCGTTTTCGGGAGCCTGGAGTTAGGAACCTGTGTCGCCGGCAGTCGTGTTGTCACTGCTGTGCTCAGTCCTGGAAGCGGGATTGAGCAATTGAACTATCGGGGTTGCTCAATTGACACGGAGACCCTAGGCCTAAGTTATTACTTAGAGCCTTGCCAATGGTAGGATCCCGTCCAAACCCGATTCTATTCATTGCAGCTGCTCCGCCTCTGGCCAGTGCCTCAGCGCCCACCCCACCCCCCAATGACGCGTTGCGCCGCTCCGCAGCCCGCCCCCGTCATCGCTTCGCCGGTACAATGTTTTACTTGGGACAGCTTCCGCAGCGTATAACAGTATATGATGCGGGTGCGGCGCATCAAGTTCTCTATTACGACTTCACGACTGCACGCCCACAGCACTAATACACAACACTCGATACCCCTTAACTCTGAATAATCTTGTCGTGTCGTTCAGATGGGTCTCTTAAGTCTTCTCTGCGGTGTAAGTTGTTGTCTATCCCTGGTTGTCAAATGTATCTGATAGTTGTCCCCAGCATCGTAGGAACCGCTCCTCAGCGGACTACGGCCAGGGCGGCTACTACGGCGGTGGCCAGCAGATGCAAGGCGGGTTCGGCGGCGGCGCACCGGGAGGGGGCGGGCATCACGGTGGCGGCGGTGGCTTTGGCGGGCACCACGGAGGAGGTGGTGGCTTTGGCGGGCCTCATGGCGGCGGGGGTGGCTTTGGCGGACCACCAGGAGGCGGAATGGGAGGGGTAAGTGTTTTGATTGTGTGCTCTTGTGATGCCACCTTATGAGGTCCATTTGCTAGGGGGGTTTGGAGGAGGCTCTGGCGGACACCATGCGGTATGGGTGGCGGACACCACAGTGGTATGGGTGGCGGTCATCACGGTGGTATGGGGGGTGGTCACCACGGCGGCATGGGTGGCGGTCACCACGGCGGTCGGGGAGGTTATTAGATGCACCCGCTCCAAACAGTGCGATGTATCATGCATTTCGGGCAGCGAAGGCTTTCAGTCTTCCACTTGTGTAGCCCTATTTCGGGCGTATATGATCACGCTAAGTAGTCGCAGCGAAAACACCGGCCTTACATAGTGCGACATAATCAACCTGTACATTCGTCCATTTGGCATGCGATTGTAGTTATAAACTATTTCCCTCTATATACGAAAAGACTCGTGGCGGAATGCAGATATGACGTCACTGTCCAGTTCTATAACTTCCTTAGTAGGCAGGTTGACTGCCCTATTTGGCACAGGTCAGACTGAAAGTACTTAAACTGTGAGACAGCTTACGCTACGAGTGTTGAGTCTGTCAACCTGGCCAGTACATGTTTTAAAACATGCTGGTGTCGTCTCGCTGCAGACTAAGCACGGACCATTTCAACAACATTCCAGTAAGTCTGGAGCCATGCGCATGTATGTACTATTATGCACATCCACACTGACGTACGGCGATTCCTATCCTATGCCAGATTCTATGGAGGCTTAGTGTAACAATCTACTTACGCCAGCTAGAAGACTAGAGTACTGCTAGAGAGCACTACTGTGACAGCATACACAACATACAAACGATGCTCACTGCGCGCGGCGATAATCCACACAGACCCTTCAATACCTACGGTCGCGATCCCTGCGGTCGCGGTCTCTTCGCGAGGACTCGTAGTCGTCGTCTCGACGGTCCCTCCGTCTGTCCTTCTCCTTGTCGTAGCCGTAGTCCTTGCCGTCTCGTGGGCGGTCCCTCTCCCTCTCCCTCCCGTAGTCCCTATCCCTGTCACGATTCCCGTCCCTGCCCTTGTCGTAGTCCCTGTCTCTCCGAACCGCGTCTCTGTCACGGTCTCTCCGCAGTTCAGGCGAAGGCGACCTCCTCCGCTCCCTATCTCCGCCTTCGCTCCCTTCCCTGGCCCGTTCCTTCTTGATAACCGGCACATACCGCCTCTCGGGCTTGCCCTTGCCCTTCTTGCCCTTGCTGCCATCGTCGAACACCTCCTTCTCCTTCGCGCCGATACCAAGCAGCGCCGGCCTAGCTTGCGGGAGGTATGGATCGACGGGGCCTTTGTTCTTCTTGCTTGCGGCCATGCCCTCCTTCCAGCCCATACCGCGCAGCAGCGCAGCGCCAAACTGCGAGACGGGCACGCGCTCGTAGTCTTCTAAGGAAGCGGACTCGGGAAGCTCGACGACATCCTGCTTGTAGACGTCGTCCTCGCTCGGAGTTGGAGCAGCGAGCGGAATGGCGTCGATATGCGCTGCGTCCGGGTCCTCGCCCGCCGACGACGCGAGAATGGCACGCAGCGCGCGCGCGTCCTCCGTCTCCTCTTCCTTCTTCATACCGGTGTCCGCGCCCTCGTCTTCGTCCGCGGGCGGGGTATTACGCACGGGCCCCTCGTCCTCCTCGAGTTCGCCCGCTTGGCGACCTGCAGCCCCGAGAGCTGCGGCCCAGAGTTGATCGCGTCGCGCGTGCCGAGCCCGCCGACGCTCCCGTCCGCGCCCGTCGCGGCGGCCTGCGGGGGGACGTACAGCGCCTTGCGCTTTCGCGCGAGCTCGCGCCAGTCCTTGTTCTGCAGCGCGGGGATGACGAGTGGGCCCTCGGGTGCCTTGGGCTTCTCATGTAGTCTGTATAATTGTGTATGAAGAAAAGCTGCTGTGAGCTGTGGCTCCGCTCTGGGGGCGAGTGGGGGAGGGGAAGGGGGACGCACCGCTGCACACCGAACTGGTCGAACCCTGTCACGAGCTCCTCGGCCTCCTCGTCTTCCTCGTCTGAGCTGTCTTTCTCATGAGAATTGTAGCTGCGTATGCGCGGCCGTGGAGAGGGCGCGGGCGAACCGAGGGGGCTGCCGCCGTTGCTGGACGCCGCGAGGTGTTTTGGGAGGGCGGGGACCTTGAAGGTGGCCTCGGGAGCGGAGTCTGTGCCGGAGTCCCCCCGCGAGACTGGAGTGGGCCGTCGGATGGTGAAGGAAGCTTGCCGACGACATTGCCGGCAGCCGATGTGACTGGGGGAGAGTGTGGCAAGAGTAAGACAGCTTGAGGACCTTGAGGCGCGGCGGGGTGTGATCTGAGCGCCACCCCGCACAATAGGGTCAAACAAAGGCGGGATATACCATTTCAAGCAGGGCGCGCTGCGATCGAGATTTTCTTTCCCGCCGCCATGTGACTGCCATCATAAGACTGGCCCGCCTCGCTTGTATCCATCGTATGCGACACCGACATGTATCTCAGGAGCTATCACTCGGACTATGTTTCCTGCTCGGCTCGTTGTCGCGAAAGTGAAGGTTCCATGCGCCGCGGCACTGCCTCCTCCTGAGCACTCGGATTTAATTTGCCCGGGCTAGCACTGCTTCGGATGCGGAAGCAAATTTCCAGCGAACATCCGAGTGTCTGTTCATAAGCGAGGCCTGCGAGAGGTCCCTTACCAACCTCCTCCTTCTCAGGGATTCGGAGCTCGGGAGAACTTGGTGGCGCAGTTATAGGTGCGTAGCAGCTCATCGCTCCTCTCAGCTCGTTCTCATACGCCATTGTGAAGTGACAGAAAATCAACATGGAGTTTATGGCTAGCTCAGTGGATGCAGAGGTGTCTTACCCTCATGTTCTTCCTTGGAACTGGTTTACGAAGTGAGCATGATCCTGCCTTTCCTGCATTCAATATGTATCTTATTCTACGTGTCCAGGGTGATTGGATCTCAAATCGTCTCAGACATTGTCAAGCATACTGATCCTACACCAGTATTCCTTCATGCATGCGTAGGAGACGCATCGTTCGCCGCATCGTTGTGCCTGGTCTGCAAGACCGCACACGAGTGGCTGAAGCCTGTCCTGTACCGCACGGTCGTCCTCTCCTCCTCGCGGCAAATCATCGCCTTCGAGCGCACCCTCCTACTCTCCCATCCCTCCATCGCTACGACCGTGCGGCACCTCTGGCTCGGCCCCAGCAGCTCGCACGTAGAGCGCGACCTCTCCTACGCCTCCACCGCCTGGCCCGTCACCCTGCTGCACCAGATCCTCGCGCGGTGCACCTCCCTCCAGAGCCTCGCCATCGTCAACTTCGCGCAGCACCTCATGTACCGCATCGCCGGCGTGATCCCCGCGAGCGTGATGTCCATCCACGCGGGGCCCGTGCACGGACACCTCGACGTCCGCCACCTGCGCTGCGCCGCGAACCTGCGGAGCGTGACGAGCATGGACACGTACCTCTCCGACTGGGAGGTGCAGGAGCTCGCGGGCGCGCCGTTCCTCAAGAGCCTCCGCAGGTTCTACAGCGCCCGCACGGCGATCGAGTACGCGTTTGACCAGCTCGCGGCGGTGCGCGGCGCGCCGGGCCTGGAGACGATGGAGGTCCTGTGCTGTACGGGAGCGGCGGATATCGGGGGCACGCTGGAGACCCTAAAGGGGATCGCGAAAGGCCGGGAGGGGAGCGATGACGAGCGGGTGGTCATCACTGCGCGGACGGGCCGTGGTAGAGATGGCCTTGCGGATGGTACCCGCGCGTTTTACGACGACTGGGTTGACAGCCTTGGCAACCATGGACCTAGCTGTCCCGCAAGCGGCCTATATCGCAGCGTGAGTGCTTCCTGAGGTAGGTCATGATTCGGTGCTCATCCCAACCGTCTTGCAGGTTTCGTGGAGGGTTGCGTCATCTTCTGACAAAGAACCTGATCCCCCTTTTGAGTGACGATGTTCTGCTACACGGTATGTTATTATAAAGCTATAGCATCTGGTTTTGCATCATGTTTTACTGTATCTTTGACTTCTTAATGACGAGTTGGCGGGTTTTGGATTGGGACTTCGCGCGCGATCCTACACAAGAATTCGTTTCGCAGTCGTGTTGCTGTAGTGTAATTCTGCTGCTCACTATCTGATGCCTGATGGGGCTGGCTTGGGGCTGGCTCATGATCGTATATACTGTCGAAGCTGTTGGGTTTGGGAACCCTCTGCCCGTCCCCAGACTGCATAGGCAAAGGGTCCGTGGATTCCTGTCATCTAACAACGCTGCGATGCACGAGGGACAGAGATGCGAAACGAACTCTGCTAATGGCCGCTTGGTACGATCGTACTTGCATATCTCGATCCTAACATCAAATCCGTGAGCCTGCCTGTCGCGTCCTGAAAGTGCCATGCCAACATCTAGCACAGTTGCACCAGTGGCACGCACCGGAATCAAGTCTTCCTCCGGAGACGGTATTCAAAGGGAACGGATAGAATGAATCGCAAGGAAATCGCAACGAGCTCGCGGGGTTGTTGCAGGCAATGAGGCGAATGACGAACACGAGCACGGCAGTCAGAGATACTTGACGTGAACTCAATATAAAGATCAGCAGAGTTCGGGCAGCGAATCAGAACTGACTATGTACTGTCGCTGGACACGTTGCTTGTTGAGACGAAGCGCACCGAAATCTATAGTCAACTGACGTGGCCCACCGCAGAGCCCGGAAGTTAGAGCGGGAGTTGACTTACCAAGATAGCTGAGGAGGCGGCGGATGAATTTCTGAATGAAGGTCCTGACAAGCGTCTCTTGCCGTAAGCACACTGATCACACGCACTCAGAGGACGCATTCTACTACTAGCCACTGGCAGAAGGTGAGCGCTGAGCTTTCGGGGGATGGCCCACTCTGACCGAGCTTGGGCCCTACCTGTCGCACTCGGAATGAGTCAACTTCAAAGTAGTATGAATCGAGCCCATGCCATGCGAAGATTGGTGTTCGTGTATTCGTGTATTATTGCTTCATCAAAAGAAGAAAAAACCCCTGTATATAAAGACCAGGTATATGACGCGGCTCATTCAACCACGCGAGGACGATTTGGTACAATCGCCCACAGACAGAATAGAAAACTTAACATCGATACCAAACTGCAAGGTCATCATCAGCATCTCCAACAAGTAGGACATTCAGTACGAGAACCACGTACAACGGCTGCAAACTTTTGATACCCTCCTTGCTCGCCAACAAACCTGTCAAGAATGGCAAGAACGCACTGCCCGCCTGGCCGAAGCCTGCGATCCAGCCAATGCAGCCCGTCAGGAGCCACGGCGGGAGAATCCGCCCCGAGTGGTTCATTACAATCGGGTAAATTGGTCCGAGGAAGACCCCGACGAAGGCGACCGCGACTGCGCCACCAATGAGCGAGGGGACCAGCCAGACGATGAGCTCCAGCGCGATGGCGAGAAGGACGTAGAGGAAGATGACATAGCGCTCGCCGATCTGGGTGACGAATTAACATGTAGACAAATATCTCGTCAGAGGTTTGGGGCGCTTACCGTTTTGTTCACCCATAGGAGGCCGACACGGCCGAGTGTCAGTCCTTCACGGATGATGCGCCTCAATCATTGACTTCACGTCTCAATAATAACTGTGACGTACCTCCGAAGAAACCGGATGAGATATACCCAGATGACGGGCCTCCAGCGCGTACGTCAATCACATATGTGACGATCCATCCTATGGCCCATGACAACGCAACTGATCAGCGTTCATCAAATCGAATCCACATGTAGAACTGACCTCCGACGGTGACTTCAATGCCAACGTAAATAAAAATAAAAATTGCAAGGAGATGCAGAGCACGCAGACGGAAGATCTGCTTGTATTTCCCTTCCGATTGGCTCCCTGACGTCTCTAGCGGTTTCTGGCCGATCTCCGCGAGACAGTCTAGATGGCAGCATGAATCAGCTCGCAGTCTGCGCAGTGACCATGCTCGGAGCTACTGACCATCCTGATTTCTAAACTTCAGAACGAGGCAAAGAATTACGGTGTTGATAAACGCGACGCCTAGCGACGTCAAGTAGTGGAATGACCAATGACGCTTCTCCGAGAACTGCGTTGCGACGAGGGGAGAGCATAGTGCGCCTACCCCTGCTTGGCATGTATCAGAGATCTATCCAATAGCACGGATGTGGCGGAGCTTGCCGTATACAGCATGCATGATGCCCATCTTGTTCTCGGTGCTTTCGTTCCAACTGCTGACATATCCATTTGCCCCTGCGTCCTGATACGTATGACGGTCAGACGAACGTTGTTGTTGCATAGCATAATCAAACCTACCTGGAGAGACATGCCAAACCCATTTATGCAATAGCCTAGCACAAAGACAGGAAACGGCGGGGCCGAGGCTTCAAATGCGTATCCTATCATCTGCGCGATCGACCCTAAGTGACCGAGTCCATTCAGATATAGGCGTCCGTGAGGCAGCCGCCGCGAGGCATGTACCTATCACCATCACCTGCGCACAGATGAATACCCATACAGACAAATAAGGGTAATATGCCTACCCAACCAAAGCCGAATCGGTCTGTCAAGGCAACGTTTGCAGCGGCGGCGGAAATGAAGCCCTGTCATGAGATGTAGGTCAGAGAACGCTGTGTCAAAAAACACCCAGAGCACAGACCAGACAGGCGAAGACGAAGATGAGGGATACTATTGTGAAGTTAACCTTCATGCAGGATTAATAGGGAACACATGGATTGAGATTCGTAGGCGCGTACATGGTAAACCTCCTGGATGCGGGGCAGCAACGGGCCAGTGGTTCCGTCGTTCCAACCAGCCAGGAATAAAGAGAAGCACATGGCGGCGAAGTGAATGTTCGCTTTCCGGCGTAGGATACGCGGGTCTACGTCTGCTTGAGAGTGGGCACTCTGTGCAGCTTGGGAAGTTGCGGACCCATCCTGCTTTGGATTGCCGTCCTCACCTGCGGAGATGTTCCGCAGCTCGATGGATTTAGAGTCATGGTCAACATCGATCGTCGGTGACTCTGCAGGATGCGGAGATCTCGCGCGTAGCGAACTCGAGGTGCCCCCAGACATCGTGCACGATGATTTTACAGTCTGTCAAAGCGGGGTCTTCAGCGATCTGAAACTTGCATGTCATTGCGTAGGGGAAACATTTACGGATTTGGTTTCCACTGGCTCCTGTTGTTACACAGCACAGACGAAGAGATCAAACACTGAGCGCCCTTTAGCAATTCATAGGGCTCGTTATATAGGAGCGATGTTAGCCAAGTCCCTGCAACGTGGTCCAACGAGACAAGTCCAACGTGGTCCTTCAACTCCTTGGTGCTGATCAATAATTCAATAATTGGCTAGTCGATGGCCAAGTCCAAGCCAAGTCCTGGGGCGATCGAACAAACTCCGAGTCAAACACGACGTTGAGTAACAGTCAATGCGCAGGGTTGGTAGCTTACCGTTATAACGGCAAAGAAGTTGCAACAGAGGATTTCAGAAGAACTACACAAGCTGCATATCAAGTTGCTGCCAGTAATTCATGAATGAATGAAGGGCGCACGGCGCCAATTACAACAAATGAGTGGGTCTGCACTTGCCTAATCGGATATTATTTCCTTAAGAGGAAGCCACGTACCATAGAAGATAATCAATACACGTATTGTTACCGACTTGCGTGCTGAACACGTCTCACTTCTGTCTCATTGGCTACTGGAACTCGTCACCTGCTTGGGAGGCGACGTCGAGCTCACACTTGGACTTGCGCTAAGTTATCTTCGACGAAAGGAGCCAGGAGCGAACAGCTGTGCCCGGTGACGTGTCGCCAATACACGCGCGTGGTATATCTGCCGACAATTCCTTCGACGCGAACCAGATCTTTCCTGCGCAGATGGCCTCTCCAGCACAACAACTACCACCTGGATGGGCAGCAGAATGGTGCGTCTAACCTCACTGCAATCTCGCGAAGTGTCTGACAAGTTCCAGGGATCCGACGAATCAACGGTATCTCTTCATAGGTACGCAGTAACGCGTCGATCTTGTGAGTGACGCACTCTGAACATATCTCGACCGTGGTCGTTTGCAGAGACCGCGACAGGCCACTCGCAATGGGAGGTACCCGTCATCAACCCTGAACTCGGTGGCATGCAGCCAGGAATGTCGCCCAGCATGTCACCGTCCATCTCTCCAGCACCCGCACACCACACGAAACGTCGACAGTATGCTGCCGGCCAGACACAAGCATACTATGGCGCTGCAGATGGCCTCACACCTCAGTACGGCGCGGCCGCACCACAGCCTGGCCCTCCTGGCCAGCCCGGTCAGCCTGCGCAGCTCTTCACGCCCGGTCTGGCAGCAGAGAACCAGTTTCAGCAGCAGCAAATGGCGCAACAGCAGTCTGGCTACTTCGGCGGCGCGCAGCCTCCACCAGAGCCGGAGTACATCAATGCACCTGGCTTCGGGCAGCAGCCGGCACCGGCGGTGGGCGCACTGGCGGACCAGTTTGGGCAGATGAACATGGGCGTGAAGCGGCCCCAGCTCTACACCACGAACCTCCTGACGGCGCCGCCAGACCCGCGGGAGCTGCACCGGCCTCCGCCCGAGATCTGCCTACCGCCGAACTCAAGCATCTCGCCGTCGCCGTACGCGAATGCGGACCCGTCGTATCAGCGGTGCACACTGAATGCCATCCCGGCTACGCACTCGCTACTGAATAAGTCCAAGGTCCCGCTTGCGCTCATTATCACGCCGTACCGCTCACTGGAAAAGGACGAGGAGCCGGTCCCGCTGGTAACGGACACGGTCATCGCGCGCTGCAGACGCTGCAGGACGTACATCAACCCATACGTACAGTTCATCGACGGTGGCAACCGGTGAGTCGCGTACATATACTCATTGGTACTTACTCAACGGCTGCAGGTGGCGTTGTTGCATGTGTAACATGTCGAACGAGGTCCCGCAGTTGTTCGACTGGGACCAGGTCCGGAACCAACCTGGCGACCGCTGGGCGCGTGCGGAGCTGAACCACTCCGTCGTGAGTTTGTTGCGCCCACCGAGTACATGATCCGGCCTCCCCAGGCGGCGGTGTACGTGTTCCTCATCGATGTGAGCCATGCGGCCATCCAGAACGGCATGCTCGCGACCGCCACGCGCACAATTCTCGAGAACCTCGACCGTATTCCGAACGAGGAGAACCGCACGAAGGTCGCGATCATCGCTTTCGATGTCTCGCTTTACTTCTTCTCCATGCCGGTGCGTAGCCCAGTGCGATCGCACGTTGACTATACCCCAACCTGATCGCATGTTCAGCCGGGCACGACGGATTCGTCTATGATGGTCGTCTCGGACCTCGACGACGTCTTCTTGCCCAAGCCCACGGATCTGCTTGTTAACCTGTCGGAGGCCCGTGCATCGCTGGAGGCACTGCTGGGGAGACTTGGCGACATGTTCACGGAAAACCACACGATCGGCAGTGCCCTTGGTCCTGCGTTGCAGGCAGGATTCAAGCTGATGGTTCGCCCCTCTCATTTACCATCTTGTTCTTCGGGTGATAACTGTTTGCGCTAGACACCGATCGGTGGGAAGATAATCGTTCTCTCCGCCAGCATTCCTTCCATCGGACCCGGTACGCTCAAAAATAGGGAAGACCCAAAAATTCTTGGTACTTCCAAGGTACATTCCCAATACAGTCAATATGTTCTATCTACTCACAACAACTATAGGAATCCGGTCTCCTTCAAGCTGCATCGCCCTTTTATAAGACCTTCGCCATCGAGTGCTCACGCGCCCAAGTCTCGGTGGACATGTTCCTCTTCAGCGCGTCCTACCAGGACGTTGCCACCCTTGGTGAGACACCGTCTGTCATGTGTCTTCAAGTTTGATCTAACATTGGACGCGTGTCAGCCTGCCTTCCCCACTACACCTCGGGTCAGACCTACTTCTACCCTGCGTTCAATGCCTCGCGCACGGAGGACGCGATGAAATTCGCACACGAGTTCGGCGAGGTCCTTGCGATGCCGATCATGCTGGAGGCGGTTATGCGCGTCCGTGCATCCAAGAGTGAGACAACAGCCCTTATGTTTGGATGTCTGCATCTGACCGTTTTTGTCCTAGATCTACGCATGTCATCGTTCCACGGCAACTTCTTTGTGCGCTCCACGGACCTTTTGGCGATGCCGGCAGTGCCTGAAGACCAGTCGTACGCCATCGAGGTCACGATTGAAGATACTCTCACAGCGCCATTCGTTGTCTTCCAAACTGCCGTCCTGCATACGACGTGTTATGGTATGCCCCCGGAACAGTCTACTTGAATGTCATTGTGACTCATCTTCCACACAGGCGAGCGTCGCATTCGTGTTATTACCCTCGCACTGCCCACGACGAGCAATCTTTCAGAGGTATTCGCGTCCGCAGACCAGATTGCCATCGCCACCCTACTCGCGAACAAAGCTGTCGAGCGCTCAATCACGCACAAACTCGAGGACGCACGGGACGCGTTGTTCAGCAAGACGGTGGAGATTTTGCAGGCGTACAAGCAGAGCATGACTGCTGGTGGTGCGGGCGCAAGTGCGCAGTTGGCGATCTCGGACAACATGAAGATGTTGCCAGTGCTGGTCCTAGGATTACTCAAGAATGTGAGTGATGCGAGAGTAACACTACATGACGCGTGGTTGAATGTCAATTTGTAGGTCGGCATCAGGCAGAGCGCGCAGATCCCTCCAGACCTCAGGGCATACGCTCAGGCTCTCCTCACGTCTCTTCCATCTCAGCTTCTCATCCCGTACTTGTACCCAACGTTCTATTCCCTGCACGGCATGCCACCAGAGGTATGTACATCTCAGTAGGCTCGTGCACAAGCGAACTAATATCTGGCTTCAGTGCGGCACTGTCGGCGAGCACGGCGTCATCTTGCCTCCCCCTCTTCCGCTTACCTCCGAGCGACTCGAGAGACATGGTCTGTTCCTCATCGAGGACGGCCAGACGATCTTCCTCTGGGTTGGTCGTGACGCAGTGCCTCAGCTCATCATGGACGTATTCAACCTGCCCAACTACGAGGTACTCCGTGGCGGGAAGGTAAGACGCTCTGCCACGTCATCTGCGGAACTTGCTCACTGTCCCTTCAGACGACGTTGCCATTGCTGGAGAACTCGTTCTCGCAGCGCGTCAACGCCATCGTGCAGAAGATCCGGGAGATGCGTCGTGGTGTCTACTATTCACACCTCTACATAGTAAAGGAAGATGGGGAGCCGCCACTGCGGTTGTGGGCCCTTAGCTGCCTCATCCAGGACCGCTCCGATGTCCTGCCAAGTTACCAGCAGTTCGTTGGCCAGCTCAGGGATAAGGTATAATCACAATGTGATCCCTCGGAATTGTACGATTCATGCTCACGTCGTGTGCAGGTTAACGGCTCGAGTTATTGAGCGGACTTCTTGTTGTGGAATGACGGGTTTGATGATCCTTCTCCTGCCTAACGTATTGGAACGATGACGTCTCTCGCAATGAAATGTAGAATAGCCCGTTGCGCGGAGGAACGTAATGATTTCTGTTATCTGCAAATACACAAGCAAGGAAAACATGGCGATTATTGAGAACGATGCTAATACATAGCGGTGCGGCAAATAACTATACAACAAGCACTCCTATCGAAACGTTCGGCTTGAGAGAGCATCTATCCTCGTTTCCTGCGTGAACTCTTAGTGGGCGCTGCTGCCGCCCCTGCGGTAGTAGACTTCCGCGTACTGCGTGTCTTCGTACTCGGTTTTGTGGGTGACGCGGGTTCCGGAGACGACTCGCCGACTGAAGGAGCCGTGGATAGGCGAGTAGACCGTCTCGGGCGCCTCAGCTCCTCCGCCGTCATCTCGTCCTTCTCGCTCGCCTTGGCCGTCCGCGGTTTACGGCTACCCTTCTTCGTTGCAGGTGTGGGCGGCGGTAAGGGCGGCACTGCATCCTCTTCTTCCTCTTCTTCCTCGTCCATCAAGGCCCCGGGAATGCTCTGTCGGAGATCTTTACGTTTTGCATTGCTGTTCGTCCGTGTCGTCCTCGTCTGCCGTGGAGGGGGCGGCGATGGCGACGCCCTTCTCCGCGCGGAGGTAGAGCCAGCACTCGTAGCACTGGCGCGCGGCTTCCGCGCCGTCGTCGCAGGCGGCGGGGCGGGGGCATGCTGATACGTTCCCGCTCGTTCTCGTCGTCCGTCACGGGGTCGAACGCGCCGGGTATGACCGGCGTGTCCGACTTTTCCTGGCGCAGCTTCCGCGCAGACACCCGCGGTCTGTCCGCGCGCGCGCCGAACACCGACGTGGAGAACCCCGCGGTCGGGCTTTCTGCCTCTCCCATTTCGGTGCGGTCCTCTGCACGCGACGTGTCCCCCTGGGTAAAGTCAGCGAGCTCGGCCGCGATGGCGTCCTCGTCCGTCTGCATCGTGACGTCGCCGTCGGGGGTCCTCGCGCCCGCGCTTACCGGCTCGGGTCGCTGAGGGCTCGTCGAAGCATGCCGTCCCATCGGGGCGTCCTGACCAAACGGACGCTTCCCACCAGCAGAGATCGACGGCGGCGGCTTGTAGAACGCGTTCGGCGCCTGGTTCGCACTCCCTGCGGTCTCGAAGAGCGAGCCTGGGCGCACACCCGGCGCTGGCGCGCGAGCAGCGCCGCTCGCAGAAGTCGATTGCGGCGTGCTTGAGCCGATGAGCGGGATCCGCCCGGCTGATATGCTCGGTGCGAAACCGGAACCAGCGTGCGCAGGGCTGGACGTGTTCGCTGGGAACGAAAGAGGCGCGAACATCTCCGTATGCGGGGTGGTACCCAGAGGGGCGCCGAACCGCGGTGCGCCCGAGCGCTGCGAGATCGTCGGGGCTGCGCTCGGTGTGCCGTTTGGCTTTTGTGCCGACGCAGCAGCAGCACCGGAGGCAGACTTGGCAGAGATGGACACAGGCGGGGCGCGCACGCTCTCCCAGCTCATGCTCATGTCCGTGCCGTTCGTCGCCTTGTTTGCCCACGACTGGGATGCGGCGAGGCTCGGTCGCGGCGCCGCCGTGAGGTGCTCGAGCTCTATCTCCAGGAGTTGCCGTTCCGCTACAGGCATCGACGCCATGAGTTCGTCCATCATTTGCCGTCGCTCCTTCGCAGCTGCACCACCTGGGGGCAGCTGACGGTCGAGCTTGATGGCGGAGGCGTATTCGCCGGCCTGGACGAGGCGAAGGCAGGCGAGATCCTGGATTGCGGACACGGATGCTACTGACAATTTGGGAGACGGGTCCATGACGTAGTCGTGCAGAAGGCTTTGTTCATACGCCGTCAGGTGCAGTGCGAGGAGGGTTTTAAGCTGCGCGAGACGAGGTTTCGCTGCGAAGTGGTTCAGAATTGTTTCCCACAGCACACGCAATCAATCCGACTTACGCGTAAGGCAGAAGTCGAGGATCCTCTTCACCAGCCGTGGCCGCGACTCACTTCGTTCAGAGAAAGACCTCTGGTAGCGCCATGCATCCGCGATGTTGGAGTCTGCTAGCGCGATCGCGTATGTGTCCATGTCGCGAGGCTCCGTGAGGAGGGGCTGGACTGTCCGGACATACTTCCGGATGTATGTATGTGGGTTGTTTGAGAGTGATAGCGCTTGCATAATCTTCGAGATGTAATCCCCAGACAGGCGTTGGTCTGACAGAAAGGAAACCGCTCTCTAGCAAGCATGAAGTCAGCTGATGCCGTAACAACAACAGAAAGCCAGTGTGCAAAGTGTGCCCTCCATAAACTTCCTAAGGTTGACAGTTCTGCATGCTAGACAGCTGCCAGAGGTATATGGCTGTCAAGGTGCTGCTTGAACAAAGAACATGCATTGCCTGATCATAGACATGGTCGCCGCCATATTCGAGGCCGAAGACACAGCCATCCAAACTCATTGGGCAAGTGAAAGAAGACACAGGCACACAAGATACATGGCGGCCACTCACCTCAACGTTGATGCCGGTATCCAGATGCCAGTACGCGTCCGCAAGGATGACAAACTGCGGCTGTATGCACCGTGACTCGCTGAAGTCCATCTCCCTCCCGTCCTGGTGCCACTTCAGCAGAAAGTAAATCAGGCTGTCCTGCTTGATCGCGTCGTACGTAGAGTTGCATATGGCCTCGAGGAGGCGATGGAGAGAATCGACGTCGGTAGGCGGATAGAGGGAGTTCGCGTGACGAATGCCGCCCTCAGCGAGAAGGATGTCGAAGATGAGCGTGTCCGACATCCGGACGCGTTGCTCCTCGATTTCGCGCGGAATGGGGTCGCGCCACGCAAACGACTCTGGTGTGGTGTCGAAGAGCGCGAGGAGGCCCACGGCTTCATCCTGAGTATCCTAGCGAGCGGGTCAGAAAGTATAGCTCCACACGTCAGACGGACTCACGATGTCCATAGGTGGCGATGAGGTCGAGGGAGGAGACAGCGACGAGGACGCCGAGCAGGGTGGACACGACGTCGAACAAGACTCGCGAAAGTGGCGAGCGCTCTGGTCACGTGCGCGTGTTTCCACTTGCAAGCCTGAGGCCTGACTGTCCCTTCACTGAGGCTTCGTGGTCCGCCTTGTACGGTTGCTAACGAAGCTGGCTCACACTTGCAGTATGCTCAGTTCAGCTGTTCGAGTGCCAGACTAATTTATTGCTAAGGGGATCACCGAGGACTACAGGGCAGAGCTTTTTTGTGCGTGCTATGACCGAGGCCCTCTTACATGCATCTTCTCGGGACCTGACTCTATCATACAGGACGTCGAGAGTGTCTCCGTCAAGAAAGATACTAGACACACGCACAGTAAAGTTCGACCACCACTCTTCGTACGTAGTTCGCCCATCCATTAAATCGAGCGAGGGCGAAGACGGAGAGTTCATCCCCACTCGTAAAGCAGCCCATCCACTCATGCAGCTCAGCATCCACCTCGAAGTCATCGTCGGGCAAAGCGGCATCCCACTGGACGCGGCGTGTGCGAAAGACCTCGGAGGCAGGCTCGTCGCGTGCGATGGCCCGCCTCAAGGTTGCCTCTTTGCCTGCTTCGAACCAAGTCCAGGAACCATCGTCAGCCGCGGTTCGCATGCCTATACAAACTATGTTTCAGCCAAGCAGTGTTGCGTATAATGAGGATAATGCGAGAAAGGCAGATGAGGGGTTGACTCGGACATTATTAGCGACGCATGGCGCCACTATAGGCCTACATTGCAAGAACGCCGCAAAACAACCCGGATTTAGCCCAAAAGACAACAAGCACAGTACGTACCTTGGTCGCACGAGTCGATTGTGAACACTATCCGGCGCAACGGTCTGTAGTCCTTCACGTTCAACGGTACTTTCGCCGTACAACAGAGCTCTTCTTGCACTTTCTCATTGTGAGCCCAGACTATAACGTCTCCACAGCTTCCAAGAGAGCGGACCCAGTACTCGGCAGTTTCAAGGATCTGCCAGACGAGTGGGAGAGGCAATCCCATATGGACGTGAAGTATGCTCTCCATTCGCAGGACATCGTCAGCGTCCCTGGGAGCATAGAGGCTGTCGTCAATGCAGTCAGGCTTGTGTGGACATCACAGCCTCACAGATAGGGTAACATACCAGCTTGCAAGTGCAGCCTTCAGGTTTGTGATGATGGCTTGCAAGTGATTGGCTACTTCCTGTGCTCTTTCGCTCGAGAGTCTGGACGACCCCATGTTGGCCCTGTGACGCCTCTCAAATGACTCGTTGTCCTCGTCATGCTTGTCCTCCGAGTTGTACTCTCCCCCATTGTACTCGTCATCATCCTCGTGGACATCGGTGACCTCGTTGATCTCCTCTTCTTCTGGGCCAAAGGCAATGCGCGAAACATTCGCAAGCCTTGACATTTCCACTGCGAGGGCATGGGCGGATGCTGGTAGCTCTCCCGCTAGTCGCCTGATCTCCGTCAGCATCTGGACTATCATCCCCTTGTGTTCGTCAGAGGGCGATTTACAGCGCAGCCCTGCAATGATCTGCGCAGCTATATCCTCGATGGATCTGTTGTTCATCTGAGTCACGGATGAGACGATGAGAGGGTGGACCAGATCGTACTGGCAGTGTGGTGTTATCCAAGAGAGACGTCTGCATTATGTATAAGGTCCGTTGACAAGCAGACGCCTAGCATAATACATGAAGCATGTATCTTTGCATTGCATAGGTCACATTGACATGGGAATGGTCGCCCTGCCACACAAAGCCTGACGTACTTACGCAGCGCCTGCGTGTAACCAAGAACTGCACGCACGTTTGTTTGGTTCACACCTGCGAGGACGAGTTCTCGTAGAGGTCTGACTGCCAATAGACTGGAAGTGGTAGGGTCAAAGAGAAGAGGAGCAACGACACTGTATGGAATGCTTGTCTGGCGTCCTGTGGTACGCGGCTAAGTAGTCAGCATATGTATTGAGCTCCCGATAACGGGAGAGAAGACACGGAAGCTTACATACGGACATCAAACGTCGAGCTTCCAGTAGGGCGACTAATGGCTGGATTCGATCCGCCAGCACCCGTTCTGGCCCCCTCGATATGCATGGAATCAAGGGACGAATGAACACCTGTGTAACTTGGATATCGCGCGCGAGTGTCACCCCAGTCTCATACGTTCCGCGAATTGTGGCTCGGGGGTTCAGCCGTTCCCAGCTCTTGGAACATCGAGGGCTGTAATAGCGGGAGATTACGTGCGGGCTCGGTGATTTTGAGTACTCACATTATTTCGAAGTGAACTGCCATCTTCCAGTTAAGTTGCCGGGATATATCGGATACCAATAGGCCTCCAAGATGTACACCTGTACACTGTCACTGGGTATTAGCAGACTTCGGCGGACGTGCACCGGATGTACGGCGGTCCGCCGAAACTTCCAGGTGACGCGCCGTGCCGCGCCGCATGAGTACACTGTCAGACTAGACATTGATATTGACCCTTGAAGCTAGATTAGCCCTCTGTCTAGACAGTAGTGTTGTAGCTACTAACCTAGTATAGAAAGGCAATCTGGGGGCATTTGCCTCGGCGCATGCTCCAGAAAGACGCTACACTCAGCCGGCCGGGGGACGAAGTATCTCAATGGTTCCAATCACGCTACGACCTGGAGGAGCACACACAGTGACCCTAGCATATATGACAGCAATATGAATTGTTCCTGTGCCAGCGTGAAGACAGCGTCAGACCTCAAAGTACTAAGGCCGGTCAAGGGTCTGCTCACCGTCATCATCAGTAGACTCGGAATAGCACTTGGTCGTCATCACCACCGAGAACACATATCTCAACGTTCAACGTTGTCAACATTCAACCTTTACATGTACCAAGCAGTACGCAAGCCGCATACGACGAATGCTTTAAATCAAAGAAAAAGTGTATAATTACGGTGAGCGTTGTCAACAAGTGAGTTTGGCGCCCGTACGTCCGCGTCAACGGCTGGTGCCAGTGGCTGAATCCGGGAGCCCTCCTTCTGTGCAGTACTTTTAATACTTTATGCTTGTCGCTGTGTTTTCATGGGCAGGCCGCGCTGTGTACTCGGTGGTGGACGTTCATTCCCGCCTAAATGCTGTCGTACCTGCTCCAATCTACTTATGTCCAACAGAACGTGGGGCCCGGACTCAACATGACGAAGCCTGGGGTACACAGGCACTTGCAGACAAGTTGACTCGCCAGTGTCTGGCCGAGCATATGCGTGCCAGTCGCATCCATCGGGGTAAGTACGTGCCCTCATCACTATGCAATGTCGAGGCCTCATTGTACATACTACTAGACGCAAGGAACTTGAATACAGCACTGACAGAGCCTATACCATCTGACCGCTCCTTCAGATTACCTTCACGGTTCGCCTTGTACCCCGGTCGTAATCGAAGTTGGCTCAGGTGAGCCACCATCTGTATGGATCTTCGTTACCGTCAAATCAAGGGGCCCTAGAGATGGATCGTGTGCTCCTTGTCCTCCGAATGGGTCTCCTTGCGAGCGAATCTGACTGATCGTTGCGGAATCCGGATCGGCTGGGAATACATAGGCGATGCATCGTGCATGACTGATAATGCTCACACGTCGAGGTTCGTGTTCCCGCGCACACAAAGGAAGGCCCGTATCCGTACGCATCACCGGAGAGCTTGTGTGCTACACTGTACGGGTGGATTCGGATGCACTTTGAGTCTATGCAGCTCTCGCAAGCTATCACAACGAGTCGCACTTTGTGGTCCCGGTTCATGTGGCCTTTTGACAGTAATCCCTGGTGCACTATGCTCACGACCATAGCATGCAAGGCCGTCCTTCCGACGTCTAAACGGTGTATGCATGCGATGCACTGACCTCCTCCACCAAGATGCGCAGAAGTCACTTCCATTCATGCTAGGTACCACCGGCGCGCGTTGTACCAGTGATACTCCCCATTATACACGCCCACTTGCAAGCTATGGATATAGCGTCGCCCGCCGTCTATCGGATGCTGTCCCGTATACCGACATCGCTTCTACTGACTCCCCGTAGGCCCGTACCTCACACCACCGCCCTGAATCGCACTGGCGCGGTCCTCTCCCGTGCGATGGTCGCCGCCCTCTCGTGGGGGATCCACTGTTCCATGTCGCAGATAAGGGTCTCTTGAAGACATTCCGAACATGCCCTCGAGGTCCAACGTACCTGGTCGCTCGCGCCCCCGCCCGTCTGGCCCGTCCTGCCTACGGAAACCTGTTCCATGCCCGCTCGCGGTTGAGAAGCCCGCGACGCCGGATTCGTTCACGCCCGATTCAAGCGAAGTGCTGGTCGCGCCGCCGGCTATGCACGGGAGGAAGCTCGTCAATACCGTGGCGCGTCGGTGTACTGGTGATGTGCGAAGATGCGTACGGTGAAAGCGTGCGCCGTGCTGGTATGGCTCTTCTCCTCGAGCGAGGCGGCCTGCTCGTTCAAGTTGATGCTGCGACCCTATCGAGTCCCTTGTCAGGCGCATGATGGGCTCAGAGGGAGCGAACTCACATTTGCTCCTCGCTCTTCCCTGCGTACGCGGCGTCAGTCATGGTGTCGCGGTTTAAGAAACACGCAGGTATTCAGGGAGTCGGTTCGTTGGACGATATTGAGGGGGAATGTTGGAGGTGCCACGCCGCGGCCGACGGTTGTGATATATGTCTCCACGACGTGAAGCGTAAGGGCAGGTAAGAATGACTTCACCAATGCGGCAGTCGCGCCACCTCACTTCCATCGCCCTCCACCGCCTGGCCAAACCTGATCTATGCGATGATCCAATGTATTCCACGTAACAATGCACTATGTACTACTACACAAAATTTCTGATCTTCCCCGTCAGCCTGCCCGTAGAGCCCGTCCCACTCCCACATATCACCACCACGCAGCTCAGGTCCAGGCCGGGCACGGAGCATACAGATCAGCTACCTATCCTCCATGTTTTCCTTTTCCTCCACAAACAAACAAAATGTCCCAAGATCGACTATGATACACAGGGGTATACGCGGCGGGGCGTTGGTATGCAAGATGAAGGGAGGGCGGTATGGATGGGGTCCGCGCTGCCGGAGGTCGAATGCGAATGGGTGGGCGGAGACGGAGATGCAAGAGAGCGAGGCGGGAAGCGAAAGGACGTGCGAATGACCGAGGGTTCGGTTGAGGCGACAATGCGATGCGAGATGCGAGACGAGAGACGAGCGAACGAGCGGATGTGCGACGAGTTGGACTGGCTAGTAGGATACTGTCTAGATGCGAATTCTAGCTGCGCCACCCACCGCCGTCGTCACCACACGATCGTCAGCACCGTCGTCACGTCAACTTCCCCTCACACTTCGACCCGCGAAGCTACGCACGTTACTGTGTTTCTTCTTCCTCCCTCCCCCAAGTTTTGGTACGGCCCACAGGACGCCGGGCGCGCTCAGAGCGCCTCCGACTTGTAGTCTGCGTAGTCGACGGGGCTGCCCACGTCCGTCTCCGAGCCCGCACTCTCGAGGTCAAGAGCCTTCGGGCGCAGGTTATCCGGCGCCTCCTCTACCGTGAACGTCTGCATCTGGAGATTCGTGACGTCAGCGCACAGGTCCTGATCACCATGTTTTCACGCACCTGGACGTGCACCCCCGCGCTGATGTCCTTCGTGTGCCCCGACCTTGGCCTGGTCGCGACGCCGTGAGAGCTCTGCACTTGGTTGGTCATACTCCGGAAGCCGACGACGCCGGAGTGGCTGCTCGCAGTGCTAAAGTCCATCTCAGCTCGAAGCACTACAGGAAGCACGGAATGAAGACGCACTAGATCTCCGGGCCGTTGTTGGAAAAGTTGGAGAGGCGGCGGACAGCGCGGCAGGCGACGATGGTAGACGCGATGGCTGCGGGCACGTTGAAGATGATCGCCATGATCGCGTTCAGGTTCAGCACCATGAACGACGTCGCGATCGCGTTCGCAATGAACCTGTGCCGTGTCAGACATACATGAGAAACAGGCGAACAACTCGGACTCACGCCACGAGGAAGTAGATCATGCCGTCCTTGAACAGGATCGAGACGAGCTGCGAGCGCTGCTTGCGCCCGTACAGCTTGATGACGCTCAGAACCATGACGAGCGCGTCGAAGCACATCGAGTAGATAAACGTCGCCGCGAGCGTGGTGTTGTTCGTCTTCGTGATCGCGCAGCCTTGGCCGGGGATCCACTCGGCCGTGAGCAGGACACCTTGGAGGATGAGAGACCAATGCCCGAGAATGACGAGGACGAGCGGAATGACAATCCAGAGGTTCTGTGACCATACCGCCATCCTGCGAAGTACGGTCAGGTTGATCCGCGTGCACTAAGATGTGTCTGTGACGTACGTCCGGATCGACAGGTTGATCGAGGCGAGGCCCACTGCAGCATCACCCGCGAGCTGGTCGAAGGTGTACAGAGCCTGGCAGTTGACCTCCGTTCTTGCGTCAAGGGCGATCAAGCTTCACAAAGAACGTGATAAGCGTGTCTCTTCACAGGTGCACACGATCGGACACTTACATGCCAATCAGGGCGAAGAACAAGCAGTATCGACCGAGCATGTAGAAGATCTGAGGAAGCATCAGCATGAGGCAGCAGGCCGATGCAGTGTCGGACCCACCAAAGGCCATTGGAACTTCTTCTTGCCAGAGATGAAGGCCCAGTCGAAGTCCAAGGATGTGAAGAACTCCCAGCTGTCAGGTAAAGGTATGTCAGTCAGTCGTTTCGGATTCCAGTTGATTTCATAGTGATAGATCCCAATTTCCCGAAAACGAGTGCACAGACGGAGGTCGTCGGGCCCTCTTCGCGTCGACCGATCCTCACCCTCTGCCGGCTGACCTCGGCCACAAACTCGCGCGGGACACATCCAAAGCTCGGTCCACATCGTTGGGCCCCGCACAAACAGCGTGTATAGAAGCGGAGGTCGTCGGACGTTGGCATGCAGTGATTGGTATACTTTGCCGCTCAACCTGGGCCGCCATAGCTAAGGTCGCGGCTCCCTGGCTCAGCCTGGCCGCCAAAGTCCACTGCGTTCGGCGTGATCCCACATCGGATCCGCTGGACTCCGCCTATGTGTGTTTGAAGGACGCGAGGCCCAACAATATGGACCTAGCTGTAAACCGTCCGCGGCCGACCTCCCTCGAATACGCGACGCTGGCCGCCGACGTTCAACGTCCTGGCCCTCTGGGCTCGAGGACCAGCGCAGGCCGCGCAGCAGATTCAAGGTCATGATGCATTCGTCGATATGGTCAAATCCTTATGGGAGCACCCCACAGATATGTACCATGACCGATACGCTCCGCCCATGCGCACATTTACACTCGAGGTGTAGTAATATGGAAATAGCGGTCAGACATAGCCACACTCACAAGTACACGCCAGCAAGGCAGTGCATCAACTTGATGAAGGCGTCTGGCAATCGACTGTAGTGAGCTACATAGGAACGATCGTCGCGACGACGGCACGCGACTTACCTTCATCAGTTGCGAGTTCCTCAGCAGTAGACCACTTTGCCGCAGGCATGACAAGGAATGAACTTCAATGAAGGAGTCGGCCAGGGTTGGGTGGGAGGCAGGCGCGCTGATCACAGAGGAGAAGCGGCGGTCGCTGGCCCTACCAATCGAGGACAACGGGGTACATATGTACTCTGGCGCCATGACAAGAGGAGGCCCGAAATCGGGCTAGACAGAGAAGACTGCCGTTTGCCGTTTGCCGTTACAGCGGAGCCCCTGGCTGGCGCGATCCATGTGGGAATCGTCAGCGGCATCCGAGAAGGCTGGACTGGGAGCTTACGTCTGCACAGATCAGAATAATTTGAGGATTCTGAGCCTTCGATATCATTTGAATGAGAGCCGGTGCAGGGTGGGTGCCAGACAGCGTCAATCACTGGCGCACGGCAGGCTGCCATCCCTGGCAGCACGTTTGTCTACGCGCTGGGCAAGGCCTAGGAAGCAAACAAACGCGCAATTTCGGGCATGGTTACCTTCAGTTGGAGAGGCTCTGCGCTAGGCCCACGCTTCCTTCCCGTGGTGAGTATTTGCGAACAAACGAACGGCCGTATATGGCAACTCCCAACTCAGCGAAATTGATTGCGCGAGCGGCAGAAGCCGTACAATACGCGTTAAGAAGCCGTGCGCGTGCCTTTTTCATTCTGTCTTTACGCAATCTTGGGAGATTCTCCGTTAATTCGCCACAAGGTCACCAGCAAATCCTTCGCGTTCCGAGACCGTCATGCGCCAATCCATAGTACACCCGGCCCAGTATCTCCAGCTTGGGCCTTACCGTGCGATGAACAAACCGACCGGCGTGCGTCGCACTCGGGCACGACGTGCCTCGCAGACCGGCCTGAACCGACGTCTCTCGTCGTCCGTACGCGTCTCGGATCTGCCAACCAATCTCCAGTGTGGGCACTCATATCTTTTCACTTTCGCCTTGACATGTTCTCGAAGTCTGACGCTCGCCTACCGATAGATTGTGTGAGAGCGCTCGGAAGGATGAGAGCCTCCGATATTGGTCGCGTGTTTACCAGTGGCTCATGACGAAGCATCCCGCATGAGCTGGCATATCTATACTGAGCGATGCGGAGCGCGGTAACGGATCGTCGCACCCGGGCTCGGAACATTGTCCTGGCCTCGAAATTGCCACTGGAAGCTCAGTGGCCCTCACAGCCTACGTAACTTAGCATCGCAGCAACTTTGCGGCAGCTCAAAGTTACCTACCAAGCTACTGACAGCCTCTCAAGACCACTCAGTCTCATAGGTTCGCGCCCGGGCAGTCCCCTCGAAATGGAATCGATATTACCAACCAGCCAGCCGACCCTCCTGCTCTTGACAGTCTTTACCGCCTTCTATGCTTATTGTTATGTTATACGTCGTCGAGGCAAAGACGTCCACCGGCTCCCTACCGCGGTGAGTCGAACCGAATAGCATTTTCCTTCTGAATACTCAACATGCGGTGGCGTCGGACGCATATGCATCACCAGCCGCGTGGAATTGCGCACTGGCTTTGGGGCCATGAATTGCTCGCATTCGAGGGCGAGGCAACCGAGATGTACACGAAGTGGGCGGCGCTGTGCGGGCCCGTATTCAAGATCAAGGCTGCGCTCTTTCACCCTGATGTCGTGCGTGCGCTAGATGTTTTCGATCGTGTCAGATCTGACAGGGAATCGAACGTAGGTTGTGGTCACGGATCATGCCGCCGTCCAGCACATCTTTCAGAACACGGATGATATGGTCAGTAGTGTGCATTTCAAGTTGCTTCCCGCGAGGACCACTGGTATAGCTAGTACTCCAGCTTCGCTGTATCAGTGGTCGTTGAAGCTTCGCGGGACACTCTTCTTTGATGTTTCTCGTGGACCAGTCACCCACTCATCTAACCATATCTAGTGAAGTCACCCGCCTTCCGACCGCCCGTTGCGAATGTGCTCGGAAAAGGAGTGGTTTGGGCCGAGGGCGATGACCACAAGAAGCAGCGGCACGTTCTGGCACCAGCATTCGCGTGAGTACTGACGACTCGCCTTTCCTTTTTGCTACCCGGCACTACGCCGCTTGTCTGCTCCTGTCTGCTCCCGCGCACGAATTGTGCGACGACATGTTGACTGCCCCTCTTTCGCCGCACGTGCTGCAATTGCACCTACTTCGCGCAAAAGACCCGAAGCGATCAAGGGCATGGCGGATGACATCTCTGAATGCTCCGAGAAGGTACGGGGATGCGTCTGCCGTCAGATTCGGATGGCCGAGTTGACATCCTCGCCTATAGTTAGAAAGTCGCCTCACAAACCAAATCTTAGTGCATGGTGGCGCCGCCACCGTCAATATCGTCGAGCACACCTCGACATGCACGTACGTGATCGTATTAACCAGCTTGATCACCGGATTCTCATATCCGCATTATCGCAGGCTGGACATCATCGGGCGCGTCGCGTTCGGGCACGACTTCCATGCAGGGCGGTCGACCGAGGCTCAACAGATCCGTGCCTCCTGGGAGTCCCACGTTAACAGTGGGATCACGTTTGGCGCGTTCATCGCGATGCTCGTCATCCGCGCCTGCCCGTCCGTGTTCCTCTTGCCCCTCCCGCGATCAAGGCCGGCGGGCGCATCCGCGAGATCGTGACACAGCTCTCGATGCGTCTCGTCCAGCGCGGCGCATTCAGCGAGCGCGGGCGAGACATTCTGAGCATCCTGATGACCGGGCGCCAGGAGGGCGTCAAGGCGGACGCGCTGACGCCCCAGCAAATTGTCGACAACGTGAGTGTCGAGTTCTTTACTATACGCTAGCCCCGCTTCTCGTGGCCTGTCAGAGGGCGCCGCCTTCGAATTCTGACGGGCTCTGCCAGGCGTGTGATGTGACGTGGCCTCTGAACGCTGTCGACAGTTTGCTGACTGCCTTCGCAGATCAACACTTTCCTGATGGTCGGTCACGAGACCACCGCGGGCTCGCTGAACTTCACGCTGCTCGAGCTCGCTAGGCGGCCTGACGTGCAGCAGCGGCTGCGGGACGAGGTGCGCGGAGCGGGGCGCGATCTTTCGTATGATGACATCCAGCACTTGGGGTTCCTGGACGCCGTAGTGAAAGAAGGGTGAGTGGTACTTTTCGTGTCTGCGTGCATACGACTTCCTCCGGATCGGACTATTGACGGTACCTCGCACCTACTCCAGACTTCGTCTCCACCCTGCGTCGCCCCAGACAGAGCGCGTCGTCCTCAAAGACGATGTGATCCCCCTCGCGAAGCCGGTACACACTCTGGACGGCAGGACGCTCACCTCGCTGCGCGTGAAAGCCGGCCAGGTACGGACACCTTCATCCGAGCCTGTCCTTGTCGGTAGCCTAACTAGTGCGCTACAGGTGTTCCACATCCCTTTCACGACGATGCACGTCAACCCTAGTGTGTGGGGCCAGAACGCAGCCGAATTCGTGCCCGAGCGGTGGACTGTCCCCGGAGGTGTCCCAGCACCATCGGACTTGCCCCACGGATGGAGCGGCCTGGTCACGTTCTGCGATGGCCCGCGAAATTGCATCGGCTACAGGCTCGGTACGTGTGCGCTCCTCCTGCTCCGCACACACGAGCGTGCCCGTTTGAGCTTACATAGTCGGCGAGCATGCGGCGAGTGCCATCGCCACCGTTCTCCTCGGTTCGACCAGTGCAGAACGGTCCGCTGACTGCCTTTGCCTTGTACAGCGATCTTCGAGTTCAAGGTCATCCTCGCCACCCTCATCCGCTCGCTCGAGTTCCGGGAGACCACCGCGGAAGTGCACGCCCGCATCTCCCCCACTCTACAGCCGGTCACCGACGGGCGAGGCGGGCTGCTGCCTCTCTACGTCTCTCTCGCTGTTTGAGCTCGCGCATACGTGCCTCATGTGGCACCAACCTACCACGGCGATCTGCTGCAGACGGCAGCTCAGAGGCTTATGCAGGCTTGTGCTCACACATTCCTTCTATAGCCGACGGAGTAGGCAGCTCCCCGACCTGTGACCCGAAAGCGCGCGTGTCGCACCATCACTTCCTATCATAACCACAAACGGTGTCCGACCCCTCCATCTATATCACCCCTAATGGCAGTTCCGACTGCTACTTGTGTAGGTACGAAGTAACAACCGCGTTGTAGGCTAAATCGCTGTCACATACCAGTCGTTCGGTGACATCGCTCTCCTATCGAAGAAACTCAATACAATCTCCTTGGTGCTCAGCGTCGCGTGCGTACAGTGTCCGGTCTGAACTGCATGACGGGATCATATCTCGTGTGGGTAAGTCGGACCATGCATCCCCGTAGCTATGGCGTAGGTATAGAACTACGGTGTTCAAGGTTACGAGGCAGCTAACTTAAACTCGGTCTCCTTGTAGCTCAGCAATGCCACCGCGAGCATAATTGAAGAAGGCCGGTGACCGAGTGTCTCAACCTTCGCTCAACGTTCCAAAAGCGTCTCAAGGGGAGGAACTGTTTCGTCGAGCTTCCCCCGCTCAACGCCCATATAGCCAGAGGCCGCGCGCCTGAACTGCTACTGGACTTTCAGTACAGTATAGGTCATCGTTGATTCTCTTCCCCGACGATTCGGCGGCTTCTTCACTCCCTAGAGGGGGCCCGCGGATGCATCATAAGAGCGCCATCCCGGTCAATCCTAAATGAAGAGGCCCCGAAGACGCCGTTCATCCAACGCCAATATCGGCGCGCATCCTTTCATACAAACCCAATCCTTCATGCGCACTCAAATCCCGGAGCGGGTCTCTTCATAGAGAAGCACCACGGCGTGGACCCGCTTTGTGCACTCGTTTGTGTGAGCGTGAGGAGCCGCACCTGCACGTGCGGTCGCCGACTCGGACGGTACGCTTATCGAGAAGCGGAGCCCCGTGTGGCCTTCTGCTCTTCGGGGGTTCGCAGTATACCCTACTCTAACTGAAGAGCGTGATGTGCACCCGGCGCGTGGCTTGAGTTGCAAACGAAGCGCGCCAGCAGGCGGCTTGTGGTGCAACTCCCACTTGCAGAAGGCGAAGCCACGAAGGACGCCTGATCAAGCGGTGTGCCTTGCGCGTCATCCTGCGTTACCAAAGGCTGATGAGTCTGAGAGGGTGGGCGGCTGCAGATGCGGCGATGGGCCGGTTGTTGCTGCGGCCTGCGGGTCGTTTGGATGTATGTCGTTGCGGCTGTAGTCAGTGCAGATCAATCAGGAAGTAACGATCCTTTGAACGCCTGGGCGTTTCCGTGCCGTTGCGGGGACGCCAGTAAGGTTCCTGTCATATGGGAGCGGGGCACTGGATGGATATTTGGTGCCTTTCATCTGATAGCACAGGTTCACCATCGACGATGAAGCTCGGGATCCACTGGGCCAAATGGAGATGCAGGGAAGGCGCCGTGCGCGCTGTCGAGCGTCGGGAGGTATATCCCTCTCGCATCTGTCCGTATTCAGGGATCTATGTAGCAACGGGTAACACGGTGAGCTGAGTGAATGATAGGCACTGAAGTCAGTACTCGGTACTCACTGGCGGGCGAAAGGCGGCCATAGGTGCCGTACTGGACGCTGCAGCCTGAACGGCAATCAACGATGGTTATTGCAGTCCCGTGCACGAGTTTTATGAGACCCTTGCGTACCGCCAGTAGCCTTCACTCAAGCTCCAGCTTCGTCAAAACTTCCGCGATCCTCCTCCTGCGGCGCTCTGAAAATTGTCCCCGACGAGCCTAGAAGCGTGGCGAGTAGGTATACCTTGCGAATCCAGTGAGCTGCATCCGGTCACGGCGCATCCGACCTCGAAGGGCATCATATCGTTCGTAATATCGTATGCCATTCCCGCCCAACACCATCGGCTCACTGGCATGCACATGGCTGATCACCCGCCTTCGATACTGTACTTCTGGCACGCAGATCCTCTGTCCCGACAAGACCGGAGACGCCGCATCTACGGGCGCGGGATGCGCCGGCGCCGCGCACCTCCGAGTCGCCTGGGCCTGGCAATGGCATGCACGTTCTCGACGCGCGTACGAAGTTCTGACCGGGGACCATCCCCGCCTCTCGGAAGCACCTCAGTGATCTGAAGGATCTCGTCGACTGCACGAGGGGGCCCAAATCAGCTGTTCCCGCCCTCCAGGCCCGCTGTCGGCGATTTGCGAGCCCCGCCAGCGCCGGCAGTCGAGTTGGATGAAGTGCAAAATTGCGATCAATCGCGCGGTGAGAGCGGCGGGCCCGGGCGAGGCCGCCGCGCGTAAGCACCAGCCGGAACGACGAACTCAGGAAGGAGCGTTAGCGTTTTGACTCGCAGCGGAGATACGGCTGATGGGGAAGATTCGATGGGCCGTGCGCGTGCGCCCGCAGCCATATGTGTGCTGCGGCTTGGTCTCCGAGGGACGAACGTCAGCGCGTCAACGGATAGCGTCGCGTATTCGAGGGAGGTCGGCGGCGGACGAGTCGGTGCCACCATCTGCCAGTGTCGCTGTCAGTGTCAAGGCGAGGCGGACGATCCGAGTCGTCGTGCAGCCCGGATGGGGCAGTTTGGGTCGCAATCGGTGGTGCCGGCTTACGGGAAATGCCTGGTATGGGCACACACGCGCCCACAGCTTGCGGAAGTCGCGCTCCCCTCCGCGGGGCCGCCTTGACAGCGCATGAGCTCGCAGGGCTCATCAAAAGATTTCGTACTGCAGGGTCGTCGGTCGACCGCTTGCCGGTTTCTCGAAGGCTGGGAGGTGCGCGTCGTGGCCTGGGCCGCCGGTGCTCAGCGACTCGGATTGCGAGGTGCGCCACGGCGGCATCGTGCAACCGTCCATTATAATACAGGTTAGCATGCTGGTCTTCCTGCGTCGGGGTGGCGAGGCCAGACGAGGCAGTCTGGAGGCGGTGGTCCGGCCAGAGTTCAAGTTCACGTCGCGGTTTCCCACAGCAAAGTCAACTGACGACACGAGCAACGAGAAGCGGCATGAGGCTGATGTCGCACGCACTGCCGCATTCGGTCTTCCGCTTGAACTCGAACCTTGGCGGGCGCGCGGTGGGGGTGCGTTTACATACGCACGAGACTGGGCTCTCCCACTCGCGAGCCGCCGGGGCCGCGGTGGCCCGGAAATCAGGGACTGACGGTAACCGGCCTGATTCTGGTATGCCTGGCCCATCTGCCATCTCGGCGCGCATGCGATCTTCGTGCAGGACTGGCCATCAGACATGAATTTGGATATGGTGAGACGTGGAGACGCAGGAAGGTTGCGCGGGTCTGCGATGCGGCGCCGGTCGTGGGGGTTGAACGCTGAATGTTGACTTCGCGCGCGAGAGGAGGAGGAGGATGGGTGTGGCCTGGTTAGTGTGCGACTGTGGCGAGCGCGAAAGGACCCGGTGGATGGTAGCCTCGTTGCTACCTGACTGAAGAGTTCACCCGACGTGTGCGCACGCAGAGAACGTGGGCGACAGCTGGAGCCCGCGCACCAGGCCACAGCTACGACAACGGACGTCTCTGCGTACGCTGACGCTTGTGTTGCCGGTCGCCAGCCCACTCTGAGCCCCGAATATCTATATCTAGCGCAGCACCATACACCCGAGTTTGCAAAGACGGAAAGTAACAGGCTCCGAGAAGACTTGGGGAAGCTCACGGGTACTTTTCTAGGACTCCAACGAGCTGGAGAGTTCTTACGTGACGCACTGATTCGACCGAGGGGCTCGTGCATGGCCATTTCGGACACGAAGGGAGCTGTCTGCCGTGGAAGGTTCCTGTTGCGGCACCCCAAAAAGAAGGATTCTTTACGGCTTTGTGGGCGGCTGCTTAGCTAAACCTGTGGGAGCTTCCTCTCGAGCGCGGTCGTACGAGCCGTGTAGGGTACCTGGCAGTCTGCGGTCAGCCAAGACACCATAGGCTGTCAGGAAAGCGAATACGAGTGCAAGCATAGGTGGACGAAGACATGCAGGCGGGAGGAAAGGAGAAGGGGAGAGGGAAGGGTGACAGGAGCATGAGGGCAGGTGGATCTTCGCAGGGTCGAGACAGAATGAGACAGAAGGACGCCCGGAGATGTTCGCAGCGAAGGCCGCCTCGGTCCCCACGCACGCCTCACTCTTCTCCGCATAACATGCCCAGGTGCCTACTATATAGCCCGCGTCTCCCCCCGCCGCTCGAGTCATCCCGCCCTCTTTCGGCGCGCCTGCCCCTCGATCGTCCCAGCCGCCCCGACCCCCGTAGCACGATCCCAGCATGGTCGATTGGCAATCCGAAGCCGAGATCGAGGCAGATTCAGGTTGGACCCCTCTTGGCCACTGTGGTTTTGTTGGACTTGGTGGGAGGACAGAGGCTCGCGGAACCAAAATGCGCGATCCCCTGCCCTGTCCCCAGATCAAATTCAAAATCGAAATCGCGTAGACCCCGTGCTGACGCCTGTGCGTACCAGTCGCCTTCGGCAACTTCATGCATGCGCTCCTTGGCCTGTATTGGTACGTGGTGTGACTATATGCTACCGTGGTTGTAGCTAACCGAGGAACCTTGTGCTAGTTGGGAGTTCTTCACCTCCCTCCCATTCGATTGGGATTACATCTCGGGCAAGCGCAAGTTCAGATGGCCCATGGTTAGTGTTCAATTCTGTACTGCTGTTTCTGTACATTCCGACACGAAGCGACGCGGCGCGCGACCTGTGATAGCCTTGAGGTAGCACAGTGGTGCATGGACGCGACGTATACCCCAGGCCGCCGTCGTCGGGGAGGTGCAAACATCGGCACTTTCGACGCGACTTATGGCACATACAGGCCTGAGGCCGTGTCGCATCGCGCTCTGCACGCATGACGCGGCGCTTTGCTTTGTACTATCATCAACACGTCGCGGCAAGCACCACATACAAAAATATGTGATGCGGTTGCTGGGGTGTATGACTGGCCCGCGGGTCATTATCTGGGATTCGTCTACTACCAGCGAAGCCGGCGCGCACCTGTTGTTTAGGCTGTGACCTTCTCAAGCTGGCCCTTGTCCAGACGCGTTTGACTTTCGACGTGTCTTCCGGGCTTTCTCGAGGCTTGATGAGGCCTCGATATATTGCAAGGGGCGCCGCGCGCTGTTTGTTGGGTTCTCTGATTCATGCCATAGCTCCGTGCTGTCTGGGTATCATGTCAGGCTCTACTGCAGACATCGTTCCGATGCCTTCATGTAGCCCGGATCCGCCGTTCGTCACATCATGATGACGGACTCCGGTCCGTATGATCGGACGGGCGGGATGAAGAGCTTCTTGCCCTTGTGCTCCTCGTCGCAGAGAGAACCAACGCTTGTCTGCCACGCCTGCTGCATCCACAATCTAAGAACTAGCGTGCTGATGCTTTACAGATATTCTATTTCGCCGGCAGATATTTCCTGCTGTTCGCGCTCATTGGCATGTAAGTCCGTCCGCGATGTCCCCCAAGTCCAGCCACTCATAGATGTTCCATTGCAGCGCGATCGCGCTTGACGTTACCAAGTATGCAAGTCATCTCGCTCGTAATCACCTCTAACACCGCTTGCAGGGAGGTCAATTGCCAGGCGTTGTACACCTACAACCAGGTGCGCATATAGTGACGTGTGGGCGGCGTGGTGTGGGCTGACTGCCCGTCGGATGTTCAGGTATTTGGTAACTCAGCGATTGGTCTCGCGAGCATCAACCTTTCCATTCGGACGTACGTGTTTCTTCGTTATGGTTCCGTTCATCATCTGCGTGGTGGTTGTTACACGTGGCTCCAGCTGGTATGCCGTGCCAAAGGCGCATTTCTGCGTTCGCTGAGAGCCTCGTGTCGCAAAGGCACGCGTGCGTCTATCCCCGTCGGATGTGACGACGACAAGAGGCAACGATAAGCCTGTGCTATGACAATCATGCATAAGGCTGTTACCGCATATACTCACACATACCCTTGTAGGATGGCTGTGTGGTCGCAGGCGTTGTACATAGTCATACCCCTCACCGCGGTCATCCTCGGACACTGGTCGCTCCTTTTGCATGGTGAGTCGTCAGCCCCTCCTCTCGATCTCACCCTCAACCGCGTCGGCAGGTATCTATATCAAGGCCGCATGGATCCCCGGCCAAGGGTGCGCGATCACGAACACGAACAACAAGCTCCTCGCCGCCACGTTCATCTACTCCATGGCCTTCGACTTTGCCGTGCTCATGCTGACCGGGTGGAAGCTCGCGTTCCCGGGCAACAGCCGCCGGAAGCAGAGCAAGATCATGCAGCTGATCTTTGGTGACGGCTTGATCTACTTCTTTGTTGCGTGAGTGGTCCCTGGGTGCACACGCGCTGCGGCTGCTGACCACGGCCGTGCGTAGCTTCCTGGCGAATCTGCTGGCGACGGTAGGTGCAGTTGTTGACCCGGCCTGATATAGCACTGAAGGCCGCTCGTAAGATATTCATGTTGTTGAACCTGAACCCCGTCATGTCGATCATCGCCAACGTCCCCGCGGCAATTGCGTCCACCGTGCGTAAATCTCACTGCATCGCCCATGCAACCTACTCACCGCGTCGATTGCGAAGATCGTGGCATGTCGTGTCGTGCGCCGGCTCGCGACGTACACGTCCTCTGGTGTCGAAGTTTACGGGTGCGTCGCTCTCGTCGTTCTGTCGCTGTCCTGCTCATGCGGATGCGGAACAGCTCCGGCGGAAATTCGACGATCGCGTTTAGCAGCGGGAATCGCAGCCGCACGGTCAACGCGACGGTGTCTCTGCCAGCCAAGAAGGACGTGGAGAGCGGTGTGCACGTGCAGGTGAGTCTGCCTTCCTGCGACTGGCTCCGTGGCTAACGCGCGGGGCAGATGGAGACGTTCGCGAACATCTCGGACGACGTGCAGTCGGACCCGAGCTTCCTGCAGTACGACGCGACGGGGAGGGTCGTGAAGAGCGACGTGGAGAGCTACATCGCGGACAGCCCGACGATCGCGGGGGACGACGAGTACAAGCGGCCGGAGTACTGAACATACTCCCGGGCCCACCCTCTGCTTCATTTCCCGCGCTGGCCGCATCTACGCACCGTGTGCGCGCATCCTCGCTCCCACTGCTTTCGTCATCCCCTCCCACATCGCATCCGCGCTCCTCGCACCCGCATCGCATCGTCGTTCTTGTTTTCGCATCGTCACCGTGCTCCCACTCTCACTCCCACCGTCGCCCGCCCATCATCCGCATCCACATCCGCACCCCCATCGCATTCACCCGTCGTGTGACTCTCGCTCGCTTTCGTCATGGTTGCGGGCCGCCCTCCCGCTGTACTACTAGCCTCACTCATCTTGCCGCTCCGGGGTCCGTCGTTGCGAAAAACGGTGCCTCCTCGTCCCCGCCGTGCTCTGCAGCCCGGCTAGGGCGAGGTGCGCCGCCAGTGCTCTCGTTGTCTCTCGGTCGCTCCACTTCGAACATTGTACTATAGCTTCACGCGACACATACATACATGCATACGCTGTACATAAGTTAGGCGGGGCTGGTGCCTTCCCCAACCCTCGCCTGCTCTGCTTCTTGGGTGCGGAGACGGACCGTTGGTAGGGAGAGTCCTGCGTAGATACCGGCTCCCGTACGGGGTGCTTTGTGGTTCGGTGCTCGGAGTAGGAGAAAAGAAGAAAAGAAGTCGGGAAATGTAGTATATAGACATACCCGCAGCAATCGATTGGTCGTTGCTGCTCCTTCTCTGGTCGCTTGGTGTGTGGGCTGGTGGTGGGTGGGTATATACTGTATACGGGTGGGCCGGGATGGTGGATTGTTAGGTGCTCGATTGTGGTACATACGACCCATGATGTGCGCGCGAACGTATGATTGTCCCCATGAGTGAATGTGTGGCATCTGACACGGACGGTATGTAGCACCGCTTACTTGAAGTACAGTGGCGTGCTATGGCCCGGGAGTGGCGATCGTTTGGCACTACATCAGGCAGTATGCGGAATGTCGTTCACTCGGAAGAGCCCTAGTACAGCTGACTGCATAGGCCAGTATCACAAAGCCGATAGCGCGTTGGAGAAGGAACGTGTCCTGCGAATCTATGTTGACATTCTAGCATTGCGATGATTCGTTGTGCGATAGATGGTACTCGACGGCTGACAGATATTGCCCAACGAACGAGCGCCCCCCAGTATATGAACTTGCAAAGTTCCTAGCACAATGCCAGTATGTGAGGGTCAGCTAGCAAGGCCCTCGATCCGGACTTACATGAGTGCGTGTGCTGCAGCCTGCACGGCTCGACGCCATTGGCACCGGGGTTGCCGCCAAGCGGTACGGCGAGACCTTGGTAGTTGTTGCCTGCACATTAAGGGGGTGACAGTTGTGAATCTCGTGAGCCTGTGAGACGAGATCTGTACCACTCACCATGATGTTGCACAAAGGTTAGTACCAGAGATGGGGTACAGTTCGTTGCTTGATATCCGTCGCCAGCCTCCGCCATACAGGAACTTCATCAAGACGTGCGACATATCGATATTACAAGCCCCGACGATACTACACGGACCGACAGAATAGCCTGACAGCACTGCAGCGTAAGTCGCCCAAAGCGAAAGGAGACATCTATGAGTGGCGCAGTGACGATGCACAAGCCGCCATCCCTAATTCTTCTTCAATATAACCGGTGGTATAAGCAATTCAATGGGCGGAATACTCTGAAGGATACCCGCAAGTCTGTCACGAGCCTCGATTACTGTCGGCCTCATGCTACTGTCCGTCCTGACAATGTGGGCAAGGGTTTCATCGAATTCTGGTATCGTGGACTGTATCGTGTTCGTTATCCGACGAGCAATGGCCAGATGCTCTACTCATGACTCACCCGGAAGTCCGAGAAGCTCTCAGCGAGCTGCCATACGTCCACTTTGAACGGATCGTACGGTTGTCCGGAGACAACCTCTGGCGGCACCGGACGTTTGTAGTCCCGTCCGGGTAACCCTGTGAGCAAGCACTGCTCAGGTGGGACGTCCGTCGAGAATTCGACAGCCATCTCGAAGTCGGTGAGGAATACGCGTGGTCTACAGATAGGCACTCGCTTGGTCGTCAAGGATTCTGGGAACCATTGAACACGGTAGTTGTTCCGGTGTGCATCCTGCGCCCGTTAATCACTATGTTACCGAGGGGATTCAAAGGAAATACTCACTCTGTGTGCGATGTTGTTATCGTGTATGAAACAGAGTGCCTAGAGTAGAGTATCAACGACGTTGAGCATGCGAGCGTGCGACAGAGTGGTCCGCGATTCACCTGAAATGTCTGCAAGACGATGTCAACGAGATCGCCGACAGAGTTCTTCGCCCAGAATCCATAGCACTCGAACAGACTGTGACCGATCCACGGCGTGACTACAAAGGTGAGGTCTTGAAAGTAAACTTCTTGCCACAGCGGCGCGATGTGGTTCTCCGTCAGTAGCCCTGTTGATCCTCGGGCCAGTTTACGCAGGATTTCGAGGTGTTGCGCGCCCTCGTTGCCTATGCGGACGATGCGTACCACAACATTATGGCCCTCTAGAGTCGTACCACAGCACGTGAGAGGATTCTAGTCCACGTCGCCAGAGTGTGAGTACCGCTTTTGTTGCTCGTCTTACTAAACAAGAATGAAACTCACAAAGCCACTGAATTTCCTCAAGTATGTCTCCCATTCTTCGCCACGCGTCGAAGTCAGGTATGCCAAGCCACCAGAGAGCATCGTCCGCCGAAGATCGTCCCTGAAGTATAGCCCGTCATACCGCCACAAATCTACACCAGCGGCGTAGAACGTCGCCCGAAGGGTTTCCCATATACGCGACTCCTCCTCCAATGTATACGGCTTGGGTGAGCGCCATGAGTCTAGGTCACGCGGCAGCTGAGGAGCCGTCTCAGTTTTCTATGACTCACAGGCAGGTCAAATGTTGACTAGTGACTTACAGTGTTCCTGATATTCACTGTCTTTGTAGCAGGTGATTTCTGAAGCTTCCTCGACAGTAGAAACTGCGCAATCATGCCAACTGCGGCGCCGACCCCGAGGAGTGCTGTGACCTGAATTGGCGACGACAACTTCAAAGTCATGATGGTTTGATGATACACAAAACACTGAGCGCGCGCAAGAGCCAAGCCACTTCAAGCTGGCGGGTGAAAAAGAGAAGGCAATAGTGACGCTAGCTAGAGAGTTACGTGCGCGTGAGGAGTCCTGAGGCCCAGAGAGGATCCAGCACTGAGCAGCCGCGTTGAACGATGAACGCGCGCCTACGCCAAGTCAGGTGACCGTGTCGCGCATCCGCTTGTAGTACCCTACGTACGTTGTATGTAAACCGACAGTGATTTCTCTTTGCACCAACAGCATCCAGCATTCATAGACGCAAAATCTACCTCCTGTTGTCCTCAAATTGACAACCTTCCGCCAAAGGAGAATCCCGACCATGCGCCACCGTGATACTCGGAGTCACCGCGACCGGTGAAGTGCAGTGAGGTGCCAGTGGCTGGCATAGCTGCCGCATCCGAGTCGGTGGTGACAGCGTCAATCATCGGATTCATCCTCACTTGCTTCATGCGAGAAGCGTCGTGGAGACATGATGCTCGAGCAGATATCCCATCCAATCGAATATACCTGCCAGTGCGAGTCCAGCACCCCTGCCGTTTCGGTCAGGAAAAGCGGCCAGGCGTGTTCTCAGGTACGACGACTCTACTCGCCTATCTATCCCATTTCACAATCCATCTGACTCATGATTTCAGGACGAAGTTCGGAACGCGGAAAGCCAATAGAGGCTGTGCTCAAATGGCGTGACAGCATATTTGTCCTGCTACTTATATAGGCGTCTCCATCTGTGTCACCAACATCTCTAGAGCCTTCTCTGCCCTCGTCGTCGCCCCAGCCCAGGATGTACCGGCGTACCATCGAGGAGTACGCTTCCTCGATCGCCGAGAAGATTCGCAAACATTTATATCCGGAATCTGACCGAGAGCCTCTGATCCACATACTAGAGAAGATCAGGCAATTGGCTAGAGAACGACCACTGGCCTCGGCTGGTGCCTTCGCAGTAGAGGCAGACAATATTAGGGATCTCGAGCGAGATGTTTGCAGACCGAATATGGCAGGACTCGTCCGGACTCGGAGTGGCCACTGGGGCTTCCGTTCACCATAGTTCCATACATCGGGGGCGAATGGGCCTTTAACGTAGCTAATCAACTACGAAGCATCGTCGCAAACCTCGAGACTGCATATGAGAACAGGTACGCTACGATTTCTGTGACAGTATCTATGTCATGTTCGAGAAGCCTGATGAATCGACTACAGCTACGCCCCCAGGAACGCCGACGACGTCTTTCGGGTGGAGAAAATACTCCATGAGCACATAGGATTGCCCCTCCCGCTCGTCTGGCAGATCATTGAGGACGCCGAATACTGGGTTCGCTCTGCGGGGAGCTGCGCACACCTGACCGTCACCTCAGACGATGATACAGTGCAGGAATCATTGTGCTGCAAGGCAATGATACCGTCCTACGTGAAGGACTACAAACCGCTGCGCAGGATCGTATTCACAATATACTCGCACGATCAAGGCATGTATTTTTTTCATCACGTCGTTGTCCGATTCCGAGTGGTTGCGCGGCGTTCTCAGAATGTTTGTGAGCCTTCGAGGCAATCATACTGGCGAACTGTGGGCACGTCTCTGTTATATGCCTTGGCGAAAGCGCAATCATTGTTGGCTAATATCATACGAAACTCTGTAGGTTGGCAAGACGATGATGATGATACTTCCTGGACCTGGTTCGAAGCAGGAAGCGAGGCCGCCGGGAGGCGGGTCATCGTACACAACGTTCTCGCTTCCCGGGACGTCTGCATGCACCGCATCCACTGGGATCTCACTTCGCCCGGCGGCACGAAGGGCTCCAAGCTACACGAGTGGATGAGTTGCTTCACGGGCGGACAGGAACTCTCCGTCTTCGCCTGCGCACAGTATGAGGAGTGGAAGAATCACGTTCGACAGGTGGTAGTGGAAGTTTACTGCGCTTGTGTGTAGTGGTGTCTATGTATCAAGTCTCCCCAGACAGACGTGACCATTTCTTTGACGTCGACGGTCATATTTCAGAGTATTCTTGTCTGACACTTGAGAACGACATTGAAATTCTTCGGTGGACATTTGCCAGACCCCGGGCCTCTTGTGACTCTAGCATACTTACGTAGTATGTACTAATCAGTACTCTGGTATTTTTGAACGATGCCATCACAGCAACCGTCTCTCTGAGTCTCTGTCATGTGCACGACTCGGTGGCGTTGACGTCATCTGGAAACTGGAGCATTGCCCCGCTACTTACACCATACACGCACTTGCATGCGCAACAGGCAGTACCAAGGCAGTACAAAAGTAAGTTAGACTGGTCTTGCTTGTAGGCGCCTCCGCTATGAGACATAAGTATAGTGTGGCTGTACTGACCCAGTGCATCTATTAGGATCCGGACTCATCATCACAGCACTAGTCTCCAATTCCCCCGGTTGCCGGTGACCGCCCTCAGCATGGATGGCCTACATAGCGTTGAGGATGCCGTTACCACGCTCTCTCAAACACTCCGTGCTCGATGGACCAATTGCGAGCCGCTGCTTCTGAAGCTGGAGGAGATCAACCGGCTCGTCCAAGGACTGCCCCCGGATGAACCGACTCTCCAAGCCAGTACACGCAGACTTGACTCTGTGCTGGCTGACCTCGAGATATCCGACAGCCTGAGCTCTCGATTTGCCAGGCTCATGCAGAGATGGCTTCCGCCTGCTCAACGCTCCGAACCAGATTGGGCACACGAATCTCCTGTGCCGCCGCCTGCAAACGAGCATCTCTCGACAGGGCGGATACAGGCGATAGCAAAGCAGTTGCAGAGCGTCATCACAGCACTCAAAGCCGCATACTCGTACGTCGTATCATCTTCGATCCCTCTGAGCCTGATCTCATGGATGTGCAACAGCTATGCTCCTAGGGACGTAGAAGACGTCCTACAGACAGAACGCATACTGCATGTCGACCTAGGACTTCCTCTCCCGCTCGTATGGACGATCTTCGACGAGGCAGAATACTGGGTCCGCTCCGTCGGACGTTGCGGAAGCCTGACAGTTACCGCAGAGACTGCTGCGATCCAAGAGTCGCTCTGTTGCACAGCGAGGATACCACCGGGTGTGAAGGATTACAGACCGCTGCGCCGGATCGTGTTCACGATCGAATCTCATGACCAAGGTACGCGGTGCACCTCTGCGCTGTCCGTGTTGTCGAAATGTCTCAACACGGCTCGACCAACTACGCTCCGGTCGTGTCTAATCGTTTTCACCGGTAGGTTGGCGAACCTCTGACGACGGCGGTTCCTGGACGTGGTTCGAAGTAGGCAGTGACACTGCTTCGAGGCGGTTCATCGCGAACAACACTGCTGCGACCCGTGACTTCCGAACGCACCGCGTACAATGGGACCTCATTCCGAATGACGAGGACCCCGAAGCAGACACTGAGTTGCACGAGTGGATGAGCCGCTTCGCTGGTGGAGAAGACATCTCCGTGTTCGCCAGAGCTCAGTTTGGAGGATGGAAGAATTACGTTCGAAGGGTGCTGGTGGAGGTTTATTGCGCTTGCGTCTAAGTAGCGGCGTGTCCCGTCTCAGTCGGATAGCAGGGTGGAGCTTGCCCATTGTTTTCAATGATACAACTCTATAAGAAGCGTGAACATTCGTGCGGGGGTAACAGGCGTTCGGATTGGCTGCAGACGAGAGACAAAGACAAAGACGAAGCGCACCTCGGGCAGTCAAGGCGGTTCTAGCGCTCCACGACATGTGGTCGCAGTGCGCGTTCGGCATTCGCCAACGTTCAACAAACCGTACGGCACCTTCGGGTTATGCACGGACATCTAAGTTACTTACCATAAGTATGGACACTGTCTTCTCGCAACTTCCGCGCTGATGCTCGAATTTGAGTGTCTAGTATCAAGTCAAGTACACAGCTGCGATGCATCACATTAGATATACATCCTCGAAGTCGGCATCTATGACGTACGTTTATGCACTATCTCCGGGCTGTAAGGTCAGAGGTATTGTGTCAACATAACAGTGTAGCCTGCTGCTGTCTAGGCCCCTATATCTTGAAGGAATTTGCCGCCCTTTGACTGATCACCATGTCGATCACAGACTCTGCAGGTCGCCCGTACGAACGTTCAATCTTGACTTTGCGTGTCTGCTTCAGGTGACTCGGCGCACAATCGAGCGGAGAAACATCCCTGAAAGGTTACAGCTGTCTCCAGATCGAAAAGTAGTTCCTCGTCCTGGAAGAAGGCTCCTTCAAACGTGAGCCAGAACGTCCCCGTCATGGGCTCGGGTCGAGCTCACCTCGGTATGGCCGAGGTCGAACGGCAGATGAAGTAAAAACCCGATGTTCTGCGCCCGTGTACACTTCTTTGGGAAGGGGCCTATCGGTTTGCAAACAGCTGTATGTAACAGCGCACGTCTGCTTCCCACTTAGCGCTCGTCTTCTCTAGCGACAGCTCCTACTTACCTGCGCGTTCCGTCGTCGAGGAGACCGTTGTCCTGCGCTGATCGGTGCCATATCTCCGCTGACGCACATGCCGTGGCTCCTGCAAGTTAGACCTAGTATTCTTCTCTCCCATGGTGCCGGGCCCGTACTTACGGTGGCTGACCTTCCTTCAAGCTTCACTGCTTGCCAAAACCGCCCCGATGCTTGTCATCACTCTCAGCGCGGTATTTCAGTGTACCTCGTCCAGGACCTTCGAAGCTGCGCAGCGGCGGAACCTCGTGACAAAAACCTCGGGGCAAACAGCAGCTTGGTGAAGGAGCGCAACGCCGGTGGCACTGCCTTTGGAGAACTCGCGACGAGTTTGCGAAACGCCCCAGGGAAGATGGCCCGGGACTAGCTGGTCATATGTCTGCAAAGTGTGCAGGCCAGTGATGGAGTGCTGGCACAAGGAGATGCGGTGAGGTCGGTGAGAAGGACGGCGGAGCGCGACTGTGCGGCTCTTGCATGATGGTGTCGAGCCGCGTGCGATGTCGACGTGATGAACGCACCATTCGGATTGAGAGTATGGCTGTGATGGCAGCCATTGAACTCGTTCGGTACGGACTTCATGTTGAACTTGCCCTATATCAATCTTGACGACTTGCTCTCGCTTCGAATAGGACGTATTACTGTACGAGTGGAGAGTATTGCATGCGAAGGGTGCACGCGAACCTTGGTCTGCAAACACGACCGCAATACATTGCGGACTTCACGACTGTCCATGTCTCGACTCCCAGTCTGATACCGATTCAACCTAGTCACTTGCGCACGTCTTGATAGCCTTAGAAGTACGAGCCTCTTCTTGAATCTGTAAAGCTTGGCGCCACGAGCCGGAGGCTCGACGCGCTGGAGACTCGGAGAGGCGTCGGATCGCCGAACACACCATAGCAGGCCCAATGCATCGCCGTGAATTATTGCCGCGAATTATTGCCAGCGGATTATTGCCAGTGAAGTAGGCAATTGCCTTATTGACGAGCGGGACACCATCGGTCCACGAGCGTCGTCGAGAGGCGTCTAGGGTATATGAGCTGCAGAACATGTAGAAGAAAAGCAGATTCCTCACCACCGAGAATCAGGTTACAGAAATTTCCTACGATGCAGTTCAAGCTCTCCTTTGCAGCCCTCTCCGCCATCGTCGCGGTCGTCGCTGCAATTCCTTCCGTCAGTACATAACTCCGTCCGCCCGCTAGTAGTGCTGACATCCCACACCCAGCCCGAGGTCACCACCGTTATCTTCACCGAAGCAGAGATGATTCAGTGGCTCAAGTCCACTGACGCCAACCTCACCTTCATCGGCGAACCAATTCCAGGTGTCAATGCGCCCGAGGGTCTTGTCTCGCGCTCCGCGCAGAACACGATAGTCACGTACTGCAGCCACCGCACCGACAACGTCTGCGGTGGCGGGTGCACCGTGTATAACGGAGGGTCGACGTGCCTCAGCACGCCGGGCACGAATTGCCTCGCCGCTATGAACAACGTCGGTTTCTGCGACCGCGGCGGGTACGTACGCAGATGGACGGCGAAGGCAAGGATCATTGATATATGCCTCTAGATGCGGAGGTAGCTGCCACCAGCTCTCGACTTGCGGGACTGAGCTGGATAACGGTTACTGCTACACGCCCGGCACTGCGTCGATCCTCGTTGGGAATTATTAGGCGCAGCTTGGGAATATGCTGCATGTACAACAGGCTGAGAACGCGATGGGAGATGGCGAGGTCTAAGAATGCGCCTGACTTTGTAGTAGCTCGAAAGCAGAGTAGAAGGCATGGCGTTCAATAACAAGTTAGCATGACCGCAGTGTGCACATAATGATAGTGTCCGCTGCTCCATGTCCCGAGGTAGTACCATGCACGAAGGTGAGCAGCAAAGCGGTCTCGACTTTTGTGGCCACATACCGTCCCAACCAGCAAACCCATTCCGTTGCATGAAGAACTACATATGATATGGTGAGCGAACATTCGGTGATACATTCCCACGACGAGCACTGAAGTACTTACTACTCACATACCAGTAAGCAACAGCCTGTACGTGACGTTGTCCGACTCGCGCGAGACATCCGACGAGCGAGGCTCAGCGTTCAACGTTCAGTGTTCACACTCAAGGCCTTCAAGCTTCCTCACAGTGAAGGTTTGAAGGGAACTGCTCAGCACTGCGCATTCAGATCACTTGTACAAGACCTCTATATCTTCTCGCTAAGCATGATGAGCTCCTCTCCCCGACGGGCCAGAACGCCTCTTCCAGTTCAACGACCCGAGCCCATATAGCCTCGGCACGTATCCATGCAGGAGATCCAGGTTCGATGCCAAGGCTGCGACACAACCAGAGGAAATGTCACACAAGGGCGCACATGAAGCGCAAGTGATGAGGCGAGACAAAGTGATTGCCTGTAGGTTCAGTCATACAGCAAAGGTCACCCAGGGCTTACCTGTTCACGATCTGAGCGAGTTCGTCGACGAACTTGACGAACTCTTGATTGGTCCAGTTGTTGACGAGCGACTTGACTGCGGGTGCAGTGCCGCCCTCGGCGTCGACTGGCTTCAGCGATCCAACGTATCGCCATGAGTCTAAGTAGACCTGCTCGGTGTTACGTCAGTCGGCATCTCACTACTAATTCAAGGGTAAACACACACCTGCTCCATCGCCCACAGGAACACCAATGCGTCTTCGATTCTGCCCTCTGCACCGACCTTAGCCATCTCCGCAGTGTAGTCTCTCGTCGCCTTCCGCTCCTTCCACCCGTCCGGCTTCAAACCGTGCTCTCGGGCAACATCGCCGAAGAAATTCACCTCCCGCACAACATTCGTGAGGGCGTAACTCAGTACGCGCACAATCTCCTTGTTCTGGCGCTCCCTCGGCGACTCCGCTTCGTCCAGCGACGAGAACGGGACAGCAGCCAGCGTTCTCCCGATGAACGCGGGATACCCGTGTGCTGCGTAAAGCCTGTCTTGCTCCAGCCAGAGTGAGAGTAGAGCAGGAGGGAGCGTGCCCAGCCCGGCGGCGGTGAGGAATGGGTGTTCAGTGACTGCTGAATATGGGCGCGGCGTCGAGAGGGAGAGAAGGTGCGCGGTGAGCGTCGTAGTACTTGCCGTCGGAGGCGTCGACATGGTCGTCGGTAGTGAAGATGCGATTCCTGGAAACCTCCTCCGATAGGCCTGTACTATCTTACAGTGACCTCGAATCCGAGTCGCTGGGTGGTTGTTTGGTCTTAATAGGATCAGGGGCCAATAGCCTTAACGCCCGTACCCTCCCCCTCCTCCTCCTCATTCTATTGTGGCAAGGCAAAATTGGCGCGGCACAATTAGACCAGCTGCTGTGTACCACTGTATGAACCAATGTCACTGCACTTCACGATGTTAAGTATTGAAGTGCACGGACTCTTGAGGCGCCGCGTTTAGGCGGGGTGGTGTTGCTATAGGCCACAGGTCCGTGGATGAAAATTTGAAAGTCTAAAATCCCGTTATCCGTACTTTTACACGCGCGAGGGCCCGAACAGAGGTATCGAAACTTGTAGTCAAAAGTCTTACACTAGCGTCCGAAAGCGATGCCAAGGTCCGTCATTCATACAACAACCCAATCGCACCATCCGTCCCAGCCCGCTCACTCCGTCGTGACCGACTTCGCGAGGTTCCGCGGGAAGTCGACGTCGAAGCCGTTCTTCACCGCGAGGTGGTAGCTGAGCAGCTGCAGGGGGATGATGTTGAGGATGCCCTGGAGGCAGTCCACCGTCCGCGGCACGCGGATCGTCCTCGCGCCCTCGGGGATGCCCTCGTCGCCCTCGTTGCAGATCACGATCGGCTGCGCCTTGCGCGCGGTGATCTGCGCGAACGCGCTCTGCACCTTCGGGTAGAGCGAGTCCTGCGTCATCACGATGATCACCGGCATGTTCTCGTCGATCAGCGCGAGCGGCCCGTGCTTGAGCTCGCCCGCGAGGATGCCCTCCGAGTGCATGTACGAGATCTCCTTGATCTTGAGCGCGCCCTCCAGGCACGTCGCGTACTGGTAGCCGCGGCCCATGAGCAGGAGACTGCGCTGGTTCGCGAGCACGCCGGTGGCAAACTCCTGCAGGCTCTTGTCGCCCTCGAGCACTTTGCGGATCTGGCCCGGGAGTGCGTGGAGGCCATCGATGATCTGTGTCCGGCGCTCCGTGAGCGAGATACGGTCCTCGGACAGCTGCAGAGCCACCATGAGCAGCGCGATGTACTGCGAGGTGTATGCCTACAGCCAACGTTAATGGGGTGAACTATAACTTCGAATGGATATAGCTCACCTTGGTCGACGCGACACCGATCTCGGGGCCGGCGTTGATGTGCACACCACAGTGCGTCTCACGCGACATCGTCGAGCCGACGACGTTGACGACACCAACGCACAGCGCGCCCCTCTCCAGGCAATACCGCAGGGCCAAGATCGTATCCGCCGTCTCACCGCTCTGGCTGACGAACACGCAGACATCGTCCCTGAAGATAGGGGTCTTCCTGTCGAGGAAGTCACTCGCAAGCTCGACGCTGACCGGGATCTCCGTGAGCTCCTCGAAGATCGCGCGCGTCGCGACCGCGGAGTGGTAACTCGTGCCGCACGCGCAGAACACGATGCGGCGGCCGCGGCGGATGATAGGGAGGTACTCGCGGAGCCCGCCCAGGGTGATCTGGCTCTTGTCGAAGTTGACACGCCCGCGCATCGTGTTGACGACGGACTCGGGCTGCTCGTAGATCTCCTTCTGCATGAAGTGGTCGAACTTGCCCTTCATGATCTCCGCGAGCTCGATCTCGAGCGTCTCGATGTTGCGCTGCGCCGGCGTCGCGCGCCCGCCCTCCTTGTTCGTGCTCCGCAGCCGGTGGATGTGCAGCTCGCCCTCGGAGATGTGCGCGATGTCGTCGTCCTCAAGGTAGAGCACGCGCTTCGTGTGCTCGATGATCGCCGACGCGTCAGATGCGACGAAGAACTCGATCGGCTGCGGCATGCCGTCCTCGGACATGAAAGCGCGCGATTGCGAGCGAAGCAGGTTGGGTGGGTTTGCTGCGGGAGGCGCCAGGAGACCGCCGGGGCGGTTCTGGACAGGGGACGCGACTGCAGGGCGGGTCAGATATACCAAGGACGCGTAAGTGCAAAGATCACCCACGAGCGTCAACAGTCTCCTCAGGGCCGGCAACCTCGACATCGACGAAGTCTACCTTGAGCTTTTTCTCGGTCTTCACACCAATGAGCAGCGGCGACCCACGACGGGCAGTCACAATCTCGTTGGGGTAGTGGCTCGACTTGAAGACGAATGCAAACGAACCCTCGAGCTCCTTCAGGACTGTCTTGACGAGCTCCGTGAAGTTCATGCGCTTTTCCGGCTGCGAGTCGTAGATGTATTTCGTGAGGATCGCGACGGCCTCCGTGTCCGTCTCGCTCTCAAACTTGTACCCGCGCTTCTGGAGGACGAGGCGGAGCGCGCTCGCGTTGGTGACGATGCCGTTGTGGACGACGGTGAACTCGGCCTTGGGGTCGCTCTTGAGCGGGTGGCAGTTCACGACGGACGGCGGGCCGTGCGTCGCCCAGCGCGTGTGCGCGATGGACACCTGCGAGAGGAACGTCTTGGATGTGTCGACACTCGACTCGGCGACCTTCTTGCGGAGCCCAGCGACCTTGCCGACTTCCTTGAAGAAGAGCATCTCACCGGGCTTGTCGCCGTCGATGCCCATGCCGGCGGAGTCGTAGCCGCGGTATTCTTGGCGCAAAAGCCCATTGCAAAGGATTTCGCAATCGTCTTGCGATCCTGAGGAAAGACAAAGAATTAGAATCTTCGTGGGAACGTCTCGCATGCAAGGCAACAGAATAGCTACGCGACCGCAAACACTGTCAAATTATCTTTGTCAATGACTTTGAGTTGCTTTAACTCAAAGCGCATATCATGAACTTTCATAGTAATCCTCTGGTCATCCTCGAGTGCGATACACTGTACGGTTGTACATCGCTTGCGAAGCTCGCCACAGATCGTGGGCCGACGTGTCTACAGCTTGCACGCACTGGCAGAGTGCCACGTCCGCACCAACGTGCGCGCTGCTTAGTGCGACAGACAGATTGATGCACTGCACGACTTCCAACTACCCGTCAAGAAGCCGAAACGCGTGTAGGCGCTCCGTCGCGCGTCTTGCAGCATGCACACTCGCGCAGAGATTTCGCCGACTGGTCTAGCGCACAACGCGACATTCTGCGCACCGCCATCGTGTCGACGCGGCTGCAGACCAAGAAGAATATACGAGAACATAATGACACACCTTCTCCTGGAGGTAGCTGCAGTACGCAAAGATCCCGCACATCTCGTCGGTCGTGTAAGGGTCGTGAACGTTCTAGGAAGCATACACACCGAGTCAGCATCGTTGGTATACAACAGCACACGCGTAGCGTACTCACTGGAAGGTAATGGATGATGTGAAAAGGAGAAGGCGAGGAGACGAAACGGGGGAGACGTCGACGAGGTTATATACGCACCACGGCGACTGCCTCCCGCGGTTGTCCTCCAGCGCGGATCGCGATGCGTGTCCAAACAGGGCCAAATACACGCGGTCGCGCTCACAGCCTGCGCGCCACCCACTTTTGCTCGGCCGCGCCTCTGCCACCGCTCTGCACCGCAGTCTCGGACACGCCCTGCCCCGCCCCCTTGGCCCCTCTCTTCTGGCTTGCTCCTTCACAGCGTCTCCCGTCTTGGCAGTACGCGGGCGTAGCGGAGACATTTGCGTCCGCCCCAGGTCGCGCGCGAGGCGGCTGTGCCGCGAGTGAGATCATCCCGTCGCGGACTCTGGGCTTTGCGTTCTACAGTCGAAGATCGTTCTCTCTGCCTTTCTATCCGCCCCGGGATTGGTGCCTTTCACAATGATGACGCACTCTGGGCAGCGGGCAGAAGCCTCCTCCTCCTGGAAAGCAGTCGCCAGGACCCTGCCAGAGGCTCGGCGGTACTGATTATCACCGTACCGACTTAGGCCATTTATCGCCTGCGCAAACACTGGACAAGAAGGCGCATTATCATGTTCTGGGCGTTCTGCGCTGTTAGAAGATCATTCTTCGCTTGTCGTACATGACGGCAAGATGTATATTTAGGGCATCACTGAACCCGACACCTGTGTTTAATTTGCTGGCTGCGGACGCTGGCTTGAAGCTTCTCCCCCTGGCTCTTCACACCACGGTGAGCTGGTCCGACCAAGCAGAGCGCTGATCATCGTTTGTCGTTGATCCTCAGTTCGTCTCATCGTCTGGTGGCTGACCAGTAATTCGGAGGCCGCCTGTGAACGAAATTGGCGACTGGACATTGCGATGCACCATCATTTGTGCTGTACACGTGCGTTCCTCTCTGACGCTGTATCTGCATGCTTTTAATAGCCACACAATTCGCCTGGCAAGAGTTGCTGTTGTCTGGCGGCCCCGCTCGCCGCCCAAGTTCTCGTAATATGCATCGAAGCACAGATATCGCACACAGAAGTTGTGGAAGTTTCGTTCGCAGCACGACTCACTCTCTCTGCCTCTAGTCCAGGCTTTCAATAACCCCCGCGCCTTCGTCTTCTTCCTGCATCACCGCCCACCGTCAGCATCACCCGAGGATGCCTCCACACCGCCTCTACGACATAGACAAGACATCCACGTCCCGGCATCAACTCTGAATGCGTACTTACTGTCGTCGACTACGTCTGTGACACTAGTAAGGCTCATACGCTTCACTGAACGCGACCCCCATGCTGTTCGACCTGTCCGAGCGCACCGACACATACATCGCTTCCGTTTGAACGTCGGGTTGTTCGCGCTCATACTGTTTCCGACACACATGCCAGGTGTCGAAGCGTTGGCAACGGAACCGATGCGTCGATGGTCGAAACCAGAATAGGCACTGCCACATACTTCGCGGCGTACTGCCAGTGGTATCTCGCGAACGTGTGTGCGAACCCGAAAGAGTACAAAGTACTCGCGAGGGCCCTCCGAGTCAGGGACCGCCGATGTCCTGGGTTGAGCATGAGACTATCTACCGACACGGATATACCGTGGCATAACGCGCCGAATTCGCTTCAGTGTACGCACTGAGGTTCAAGACATCGTACAGTACAGTACTAGTACTGCATTCTACTTTTCGGTACATTGGGTCTGCGGCGCACCGGCTGCTCCCTTCAAGTTTGTCAGCTCCCCGCAGGCCAATATCCTCACTCTCCGCGCTTCTGCGGTACGCAGCGCGTATGTACTGCAGTCATACTATTCTTTTGGTGCGCACTTCCTGGCGCTGTCTGTGTGCATATGGTGTACTAATTGTGACGGTGCAGCGCTCCGAATATCCAGATCATGTTTCCGACGTCGAGTCACGCCACACATGCATATCTGCCATGTCTCCTGGCAGTGCCAGTGGCAGGAAAGACGACAATCTCTACGGGTAGAAAAGAAGTGTCATGATATATGTATGACTCAAACTGTTGCATGCATCTATGTACTTGGGACTCAAACCTGCCAGTGTATCGTACGCTATGCCGTAGAGAAAATACTAGACACAAGCGCAGTAGAGCTCCACCACCACCTTTCGTGCGTGATTTGCCCCCGCTCTATACTGAGCTCGTGCGAAGACAGAGATCTCATCCCCTCTCGCGAAGCGGCCCATCCACTCATGCAGTTCAGCCGCATCCACCGCGAAGCCATCGTCTGACGCCGTGGTGTCCCACTGGATGCGATGTGTGCAGAAGTCCGCGGAGGCAGGGTCGTTGGTCACGATGGCCCGCCTCCAGGCGGCCTTGCTGTCTGCTTCGAACCAAGTCCAGGAATCGTCGCCGGTGGTGGTTCGCCAGCCTATGCAAAATGATCAGTTGTGTACCGCATGACATGTAATGCCCCGGAATCAGCCGAGAACGCGACAAGTAGAGTGCATACCTTGATCACGCGACTCGATCGTGAACACGATCCTGCGCAGAGGTCTGTACTTCTTCGCACCCGACGGAATGCTCGCCGTACAGCACAGCGACTCCCGTATCGCAACGTTGTCTGCGGCGACCGTTAGGTCTCCGCAGCTCGCTACAGATCGAACCCAATATTCCGCGGTTTCAAGAATCTGCCAGACGAGCGGGAGAGGCAGTCCCATACGATCGTGGAGTATACGTTCCGTTCGTAGGACGTCGCCGGCGTCTCTGGGGACGTAGCTGTCATAAATTCGTCAGGCCTCGATGAACGTGGCAGCCTCACATGGTGTAACATACCAGCCTGTATATGCCTCTAGGTTCATGATGACGGCCTGCAAGCGTTGAGCTATCTCCTGTGCTTGTTCGCTCGAGAGCCTGTCGTTGCGACGAGGACGGGGTATGTAGGCCCTGCTGTGCCAATGGAATGGATCGGAGTCCAACACAGCGCCCACTTCGCGCGCGATATCGCTGAGCTTGCGCGCCTGCGCCGTGAGGGATCCGTGGAGGCTGGTAGTTCTCTCGCCAGTCGCCGGATCTCCTCTAGCTTCTGTACGATCAACGCGTGCTCGACGGTGTGCAGTTTGCGACGAAGCCCCTCCGCGATCGAGGCAGCGGAATCCTCGATGGTGTATGTGGCTATTGTTTTCCGCATCCCGGGCTGAAGAGGTGAGGGGTAGATAAGGTGGTGAAGATGTTGCTGCAGGAAGAATTGCCATTATATGGACCACTGATACGAAGACGCCTGGCGGGACAAATGCGCTGACATACCTTGTCAGAACCGCCGCCCACCTGCCCCCACATCCCGTCGCAAGAGTGATAAGATGTTGCGATGTTCTAGGTCAGTGTCTTGGTGTCAACGAGTCGACACCCGTCTGCAAACTGCACGGACACGACTGTGGCGCTTTCGTGGATCTTTCAAGGGAACAAAATTCATCCTACGTGTCTGAGTCAGATGCATTGTCAGATGGGACTCTGGGGAGCGAGCAGGGCACAGACTGTACTCACTGAACATTACCCATACTCGATACAGAGCTTTCCACGGCCAGCGACAACCTGAGCGGCAGAGACAGGGTCTACAGGCGCGAGCAATACAGTTCAGCCCGTAAGGCTAGCGTCACCACTACATGATACCGCCACCCTGGTGCCACCATCAGAATAGTAGACGAACCCCCGGTCGGAGGCCTGGTAGGATGTATCAAATGTCCTTGTTGTCCTCGTCGTCGCCCGTTCGATATCACAGTCTGGGGCCGTAGTCGTAGCCTCCAGCGGAATACATGAACAGAAGGGTCTCCTGCTCTCAGAAGGTCCGGTTGTTACGGAGGGCGACAATCCTCCGAGACAGATCGCCGACTGTATGGATTTCGGACGATTCGCCATCCTGATCCGCAAAGGCTTCGTACACTGTATTAGACACGATAGTAGATTGTGCTTCGCGAATGGATGTCATGAGGTCATGAGGGATTATGCCAGCGAGGAAAGAACGCACATTTGCTTTATGTCCATAATTGCATTTGTACTAGGGATTGAAGCCCTTCGGATCGATCGACGGTACAGTCCAGGTGTCAGGTTCGTGTGAAGCATCTAGGGTTGAAGGGTCCAATATGTTTGCAGAAGATCGAGTTTCAGACGAAGACATCCGGGGCTATGACGCGAGAGCCACGTCTGCCTGGTGATATTAGACAGATACCACTAGACACAAGCGCAGTAAACTCCACTACCACCTGATCAACATGGTCAGTCCCATGCGAGCTAGGCGAAGACGGAGATTCCTGTCCCTCTGAAGCAGCGCATCCACTCGTCTAGCTGTGAACTCGGTTGGAGCCCTCGTTCATCGGGTGATGTGAGGTCCCATTGTATGCGATGGTGCAGTCGCGGATCGCGAAGGAAACGTGTGCACGACGACCCGCCTGTCGGCGCCTCGCCGCCTGCTTCGAACCAAGTCCAGGAATCGTCCTGAGGGTACGCATCGTCTCGGCAGCCTACAGCATTCCGATATCGTCAGCATCGTCAGCCAACAATGATTGGTTTTGACCAGAACTGGGCGGGTACAGTAGTATCCTGTGGTGACATACGATGCTCGACTCTGATCAGTGTTCCGAGAACCTCGGCATCCACTCGTTTCGGCACGGACGCATAATACCGTACGTACCTTGATGGTGCGAGTGGATTTGAACACAATCCTGCGCAGCGGTCTGTGTCCTTCCGTACGACGGATTTCACCGTACAGCACAGTGCCTCCTGCACTGCATCACCGTGCGAGGTGACTTCAAGTATCCGCAGCTCCCCATAGAGCGAACCCAATATTCGGCGTCCTCGAGGATCTGCCAGACGAGTGGAAGAGGAGCCTATCGGCCATGAAGTATATCTCTGTCCGAAAGACGTCGTCGGCGTTTCTGGGAGTGTACTGTCGTCGATGAAATGAGACTTGGTGGGAACAACGCATTGTCATAGAGATAGGAACATACCATCTTGCATGTGCAGCCTCGAGATTGGTGACGAAGTTTGCAATTGGCTAGCTGCATCCAGCACCTGCTCGCTCGAGATCATTGAGACCTCCGCGAACCCTGGCATACCCGACTCACGCCAAATTCCGTCACGTTCCTGTGCGCCACACAAGATCACAAGTTCCTCCCCTCCTCCACTTCGAGGGCTCCAACAAAGGCCGTGGTAGTTCCTAGCCAATGACTGATTCTCTCTATCATCTGGACTATCGGCTCGCATTCGGAAGCAGACGATACGTGGCGGCGAATATTCCAAGTGAGCATGCAGCGGTCCCTCAACAGGGCGGTACAACATGATCCTGGGCTAGGACGAGGAGGAGGGAGGAGAAGGCCAGTTAGAAATAGCACAGGTTCGGAGACGCCTATTAGTTCAAATGAGCTGTCACGCCCAGGTATGCATTCGAACACATCCTCCGATTGGCTTCCCGCGTTCCGTAGAAGTGGTACGCTGTTACCGAGCCTAAGTATCTGATAGGTCACCACTACGATATCGTCGCCGCTTGTTGATAGGGACTGCGCGGAGATACGCAGGCGCAATGACTATACAGTAAATATCAAGCCATGCGCCATCGTCCGTGCAACGATTCCGAGTCAGAATTGTATAACGGGATAGACAGGCGAGTGAAGTACAAACCCACCCGACTCCCGCTAAGTTATCCTAGACTCAATCTCGTCACAATCTTGAAGTTATAGCCAGGCCGTCTGCAGATAGGTACCAGGTCTATACACATGAGTAATACAGTTCCGTGCGTAGCATCACCACATGATCCCACCAGCCTCTATGACTCGGTGCCGTGATCGAGACGGTGAAATGGTCATTCGGGCGGAAGCTTCGTAGGGCCTGCTGCGTTTTCTTGTCGTCCTCGACATTGCCCATACTGACTCCATAGTCCCAGCGGAAGACATGGATAGGTGGGATCTCCTGCTCAAAATATGGTTGATGGTTGACGAAGGTGACGCTCCTGGAAGGTAGGTCGCCGCCTGTTTGGATCTCGAATGATTCCCAGCCTTGATCCGTCATGGCCTCGCGGTTTACTGGAGACGGGATAGCGATCAAAGAGCGGCGAACAAGAATGCAAACGTCAGGGATAATGCCTACAGTAGAGAAGAATAGAACGCACTCTGATTATGTCCAGCGACTGCCACGACCACTTTTCGCAGAAACCTGAAGCCCGCCGCACCCTGCGGGATGCTCAACGTCACAGCCCAGGTATCAGGTTCGTCTGAGCCAAGGTGTCTCGCAAATTCGACGTGGTCAACGATCTGTGCCCAGTACTCCGCGAGATCGAGTATCTGCCAGCAGACTGGAAGTGGTAGGCCCAAAGCGAAATGGAGAAACGCCTCCATGCGGAAGACTTGGTTGGCGGTCTGCGGCACATGGCTGGCCAGCGTGTAAACAGGGAGTTCGCGACAGTGGAAGAGATGTCACAGAAGCACGTACGGGCGCTGAGCTTCCAGCAGGGCAATCGTCGGCCGGATTCGATCTACCAGCTCCCACTGTCGCTCCCTAGAGATGTATGGATCGAAGGGCGCCGGCCCTATGTGCGTCCGTCGGAGTTTCTCAATGTCGTGCTCGAGTGTCTCGCCGATCTCGCGCATGTTGCGAATGATGGCTCGAGTCTCAGTCAGTTCCGACTCCTGAATCATCGAGGGCTCTAGCAGCGGAAGGTTACGCGCAAGCTCCGCGAGCTTGAGCACATGGTCCCTGAGTGGGCCGTCGTGCCATACCGATGACCAGGCTGTCTTCAGGATGTGCTGTGTAGCCACTTCGATGCTCGAGCCTTCCAGGAGAATGGGCGCGTTCTCGATAGTTTGTGTATTTTCGGGAGGAGGAAGGAGGTACTTTCGACGTATGCGGATTTGCCGCCAAAACTTCAGGCTGAAGCACGGCATGCGAGTGGGTGCTGAACTCACGTACATAGTAGAGCGCCCGTTATAAGACCGCTCTGAACAGCCTCTCAGAACGGAGCTATAATTCTTCCAGTCCTTGATCCCGCCGCTGTCAAGTCAATTACGTCGACCTGTGGATGTGTTCCCATGAACAGAGTCCAGACCGCAAGCCAATCTGCCGCGGTGATGTGACTAACAACTTGTTAGAACATGCACCGGTGTCAGCGGAGACAGACATAGGCATATTCTATATTCTGACTGTTCTGTTAGTTACGTCCCATCATCAGCGTCACGAATGGGCCTATGATGCGCTGGCAGAAGCAAGTTCAGCCTAATAGTACGGGGACACTGCTACCCACTTACTCAAGACCCAGACAGAGCGTAGGCATCAAACAGAGTACCTGAGAGAAAACATCATAAGCCAAGAGGTGGTGAGAATTAGGTGAATAAACGTCGATGATACTTCCGGCGAATCGGGAGTATATCGTGTCGTACTTTGGTGCGCACTGTGCACGTCAGGCCCAGATGGCTATTCCTGTTTGCCACCTATTTTAGGCCAATCAAGTATCGTGATGAACCCGGAACAAAATTATACATACAGCATAGACGTGCGAGCAGAGTAGTAAAGAACTCACCAGACCCCCGCTTTTCCCGAGACTCGATCTCGTCCCAAGCATGTTGTAGCCAAGGCTCGCAAATAAGTACCAGGTCTATACACATGAGTAATACAGCTCTGTGCGCAGCATCACCACATGATCCCACCAGCCTCTATGACCCGGTGCCGTGATCGAGACGGTGAAATGGTCATTCGGGCGGAAGCCTCGTAGGACCTGCTGCGTGTTCTTGTCGTCCTCGACATCGCCCATACTGACTCCATAGTCCCAGCGGAAGACATGGATAGGCGGGATGTCCCGCTCCAAGGAATCATAATGGTTGACGAAGGTGACGCTCCTGGAGGGTAGGTCGCCGCCTGTCTGAATCTCGAATGATTCCCATTCCATATCCATGTAGACCTCACGGTTCACTGAAAACGAGATAGCGAACGGAGCGTGGCGAACATGAACGCAAATGTGAAGACTGTGAGGGATGATGCCTGCAGTAGAGAAGGACAGAACGCACTCTTTTTATTTCCAGCAACTGCGACGACCACTTTTCGCAGAGACTTGAAGCCCTCTGCCGGGATGCTCAACGGCACAGCCCAGGTATCAGGTTCATGCGAGCCGAGCAGTCTCGCATGTTCGACGTGGTCAACGATCTGTACCCAATACTCCGCGAGGTCGAGTATCTGCCAACAGAGTGAAAATGGTAGGCCCAGTGAGAAATGGAGCAACGCCTCCGTGCGAAAGACTTGGTTGGCGGTTTGCGGCACATGGCTGGCTACCGTGTAAGCGGGGGAGATTGCGACAACGAAAGAGAAGTCACAGAAGCACGTACGGGCGTTGAGTTTCCAGCAGGGCAATCATCGGTTGGATCCGATCCGCCAGCACCCACTGTTGCTCCCTAGAGAGGTATGGATCGGATAGTCCGGTGTGCGTCCGTCGAAGTTCCCGGATCTCGTGCTCGAATGTCTCGGCGATCTCGCGCATGTCACGGATTATGGCTCGAGTCTCAGTCAGTTCCAACTCCTGGATCATCGAGGGTTCAGAAGAGGAAGGTTACGCGCGAGCTCCGCGAGCTTGAGTACATGGTCTCTCAGTGGGCCGTCGTGCCATATCGGTGACCGGGCTATCCTCAGGATGCGCCGTGTAGCCACTTCGATGCTTGAACCTTCCAGGTAAATGGGTGCTTTCTCGATGGTTTCTGGGCTATCGGGAGGAGGAGGAGGAGGAGGAGACTTTCGGCGTATGCGGATTTTCCGCCAAAACTTCAGGCTGAAGCGCGGCATGCGAATATGTGCTGGACTCACATATTACGGTGCCCGTTATAAGATTGCTCTGAACAGTCTCTTGAAACGGCGCTATACCTACTTTCAGTGATTAAACCCACCGCTGTCAAGTCCATCACGTCGACCTGCGGATTGTTCCCATGAACAGAGTCCAGACCGGGAGTCAATCCGCCACTGACCTGGTGATGTGACTCGACAACTCTGGTCAGAACATGCACTGGTGTCAGCGGAGACAGATAAACTTAGGCATATTCTGACGTTCTGTTAGTAAAGTCCCATCATCAAGGTCACAGATGGCCGGCTGTGATGCACCCGCAGAAGCAAACTCGACGTGAATTGATATGAGTACGGGGACAAGTACTGCCATCCACTTATTCAGGGCTGGGAGGCGGTATAGACATCAGATTCAGATAGTAGCTGAGAGGGTGCACCATAAGCGCTCGAGCCTCGGCGGAGGAGGAGTGGCGTTTAATTGTTTACTGTTGTTGTCCAAAGGCTTTGACGCTCGCTGCTACGCCAGGTGGCACTGCAACGCCACGATGACACCCTGACATCCCGCGCGTCATTGGCCTGACGTCACCATGGTGCGCACCCCACCAGCCGTCCTGTATATATACAGACCGCATCCTGGTTTCTCCTAAACATCGTTTCCCTCCATCTCACGACTTGCTACGACTTACGACACACGACATATTCCCCGCTGTTTCGAATTATTTGACACGATGCCTTTGTTCAAGAGCAAGGTCAGTGACTCGTTGATTCTCGGTGGCGCAAGATTGACACTCTTGTGCATCAGGCTCAAAAGGCTGAGCAGGCCCGTGCCGCCGATGCTCAACACCACCATCACGACGTGAATGACCACAACACCGCTCATCAAGGCGCTGGTGTTCCCCAAGGTGCTGTTGCTCCTCAGGGTGCTGGAGGTCTCCAGGGTGCCGGTGCTCCTCAGGGCGCTGGTGTTCCTCAGGGCGCTGGTGTCTCTCAAGGTGCTGGTGGTCGCGGTGTCGGTGCGAACGACTACGCGCAAGACAATACTGGTGCTGGCCAGCGTCACGGAGGTGGGGGCTACAATGTTAGTTGACGCCTGGCTGTCGCTCCATACTCAATCTGACGACGACACTCAGCAGGACAACGTCAACCAACACCAAGCTGGTGCCGGTCACACCGGCACTGGCCACCACCACCAAAGCAGGCCCGTCGACCGCGCAGAGCAGCATGTCGAGAACGCCATCGGCGCGCGTGCCATACGCAACCAGGTCGGTGACAAGCAGCATGAAGTCAATGCCATACAGGCCCAGAGCGCGGAGCTCTCGGAGGCTGAGCGCCTTGAGCGTGAGGCGAAGATGCACCGTGACCGCGCCGTAGCTGGTGGTGAGTACATTCGCGTTTCATCACACCGCAACGATGGATGCTGACGTGGGAATAGGCGCACACCCTGGCAACCAGCAACTCGGCGCTGGCTGGGTGAACTGAGCAACTTGATGGAAATACATTGAATGGAAGGCCGTTGTATGATATTGTAGCCTTGTAGCATACTCAAACGAACCATGTACTATTCGTACCTTGACTGTGCGATTTGGCCGATCCCAAACTTAAGTACGCGTGGATCGTATGTAAACTGAAGGCGTGTTGGGCAGCAAGCGTGTTATAATGAGCGCTACACGCCGGTGCGTTCTCGTCAGTATTCGAGTTCCTCAACAGGACCACCCCACTTGTGTGCAGCATCTGGATCGTATTTGTAGCGATCCGTCCCATAACCCATGAAGAATTCCACCACCCGAGGCAAATCTTCCTTCATGTTGGCATTGTAGTAACGCATGCAGTACGTCAGGGGTTTCTCGGACCTCCGCGCGAGAATGTTCCCTGCCCAGCTGTGGGGTGCCATCCTCCGTGTCAAGGATTGGATGCAACGGTTTAGGGGAGAGCCATTGACGAGGGAATTGTCGTCGTATGCGATATCAAGGTTGTACCCAGGACCGGGAAGCCTCATGACGGCTCCGCCACCAAGGTCCATTGGACGTACGAATGTGTCGCCTTTTAGGTCGAACCACTCCTCCATATTCAGGCGGTGCACGGTGGAGAATGCAGGTATATCTGGTTCCTCGTCTCGCATCACCTCGCATGGTACCTTGACGATGCGAGGTCTGTCCTCGTCGACGGGAAAGAGGATGGCGTCCATCGTGATGGGACGCGCTTGGACGCCCTCTGCGGGTATGCAGAGTCGCTTATGGCGTTTCCAGTCCTGGCAAGACGTAGGTAAGCCCTCGATGCGTCCATAATTCGGTGACTGAGGGACTTACGCTGGCGATATGCTCCTTGCAGCAGTAGAACTCGTCTTTGCAGCGAGAGCACCTGGTGGACGCTTCTGCGCCGCACATACGGCAAGAACCGGAGGACGTGGCTGTGTTGGGCTTCGACATAGTAGTAGGTCGGTTGAAGGGAATTGGAGGTAGTGCGAGAGGGAGAGCCATCTATAACATCGATGAGTCTGACCAGCTGAGTTGAGACGAACTCTAACCTTAAGCTTAAGCACTCGCGCGTGTGCAGAGTGCATCCCCGTATGCCAGTGACGGACCAAACTCTCGCATAGTCTTAAACAGACGATTCAGAGGTGTCACATACGCAGTCAGAGTTTCCCCTGCATTTATGGAAGTTATTAATGGGGCTACGTGGCATCGAATTGCGCCGACTGTAAGGTGGTTGACGGGCAGACCAGCGTCCCAGCGTACGCGTTCCTACTACAATCAGCTCCCGCTGCACGTCAGTACACTGCAAACAGGAAGCACTATCCGTATTCACGCGTTGGCAGCCGAGTATCGCAAGCCTGTGCGATGCTCCAGGCTCGATAGGCAATGTAAATTAGTCCGAGAAACTTCGTTCGACAACATTTGTGGTTTCGGAGCGTTGAATTGAGTATGGCTCCTCGCCTTCACGAGTGTCGCGGTGACTCTAACCTTCGTTGCAGACCATGAAAGCCGGTACGGTGACTTCAGCAAGTTGACTGGATCATGCGAATAAAATGTCAGGAAGCCGCGTGACTGGTCGACGCGTTTGTGGCGAACCGGCAGATGCCGGACGACGCGTTACACAATGTATCACGACCACCACGACCGCGTACTTTGACCTCAGCAGCGTTCAGACGTCCTTCAACATCTACTGCTAGCCCAGGTGATGTACTTACAGGTAAGCTATTGTGATCAGTTTTCTTGAACCTCTAATGTCGCTGATTTCTAGATTCCAGTTAAGCCGGTGCCAGTGTCGAAAGCACCAGGGCGTCTTTACCTGTGCATTGGCAGCGTATTGGTGTTGTCACAAGATGCGCATGGTGAAAGTATGTCTAAACAGTTTTTGCTGCTATTTGAGTGTCGCTTATAAGAGTTATCATGGCTGTTCACAGAAAGAACACCGCGACGCCAGTGGCAGTATGGCAGCTATGCCAACAGAGACTGCCTGGCGCCGACGCTTACCTCCGGAAACATGGGACAGCATCGTTGAATATCTCCGGGATGACCATGACGCGCTTATGGCATGCAGTCTTACCAGCTGTACCCTGCTTCCCTCATCTCGACGCCACACGTTCCATCTTGTCTCTCTCCACAATGCCAGCCGTTACCACTCGTTGAAAGCTATACTTAGCAAACCCAACTACGTGGAGCAATATGTCCGTGCACTCGCCGTTCATGGTAATGGCAGGAGGGACAGCAAGCATACAAGGTTCCGGCCAATGGCGAATGGCTATTACTCCTGTCGAAGCTGGATCGTCTCGCGCACCTGAAGCTATATCGATTCTCGTTCTCCATTCCTTACAAGCTGAAGAAGGATATATGCGCCCTTGTTCCATGTTACGAACGCTGGACCTACGGACGATGGACTCCAAAACCGACTGCCTGCATCGTTGATTCGTGCCTCTGGTTCCCTGTCGACCTTGATCCTCCGCTCCACGTCTATTTCAAAGGAACCTCGTCGTCTAAAGCGTCCCAACAAATGACTTGCTCGACCACCAGATCAGCACGTTTATCTGGGATCCCGACACCGCCTCTGCGGCACAAAGCTCGTCCTTGGTCATGCTCACCGAATGGTTCGCGAGAGCGCAGTGGCGCCTACGGAGAATTGCCATCGGTCAGATTCATTCGAAGTCTACTCCACTGATCCACGCACAAAGGGTGGTCAGCGACGCAGGCGACTCCCTAGAGCACCTGTTTCTCGAGTTCGCGGACGGTCGTAATGTCCCAGCTGTCTCTCTCGACCTTCGCAACAACGCTCGTCTCAGGACGCTTCACCTCGTGGTCCCTATCCGTCGCTGTGCAACGTCGCCTACATGTTGGTCGCAGCGAGCACCCGCGACACGCTGGGTGACCTCAATCCATCGTTATGCGCCTCATTATCCATAGGGAGACTATAGTCGACCTACTAGACCAATGGCTGCGATTTGCGTCGAGCTCCGCGACCTCTGCGTCACCCGTCCCCTCATCAAGTTCACGTTCTGCTTCGATCTCAGGATCAGCATCTTGTCGGCCTTGCCGCTCACGCATTTCCCTGAAGAGCTGCGTGCGGAGGCTTCATCTATCGTGGCCCTCTGTGCGACCATGGTCTCCGAACTCGCAGCGAAACTCCCGTGTCTTCAGGGACAGGAGGAAGGGCGCGGTTTGGGGTTGCGTGGACCGGCGGAGATCCCTCTCTAGAGCAACTCCCGATGGACAGTGCTATTCGTCGCAACACTTGCTTGGTGACCCGAATGGTATCATCAGGAACAAGCTCCATGGAACTCCTGAGACGGGTGAGTCGTATGGTTTGTATCCTCGCATCCGTCTCAATACTGTAACTAACGAGACCTGTCGCCGCTAGAGCCTTCACGCAGCAGCGAAGATGCAAGTGCCTTTTCAGAGTGACGCGAAGGCCAAGGGAACGCAAGATGCGACGTTTCTTCGCAAATGATTGCACAGAATGGATTGTAACATATGTACCATGCGTTCGCTAATACTTACTATACCTGCGAGTCTCAATCCATTCTAGCCCAAACATATATCAGTATTCTGCAGTAGAACGAGCCTTTGGAGAGTGACGGTACATACTGGTCTCCGAACTATGCCAGGCATCGGCAAATTGTTGTCAATATTCGAGTTCTTGTACCCGGCCACCCCAGTTTTGCGCAGCGTCCGGGTCATACTCAAAGAGATCCGTCCCATAAAACATGAAGAACGCCTCCAGCCGAGGTAGGTCTTCCCTCATGTTGGCGTTGTAGTAACGCGTACAGTGCGTCAGGGGCCTCTCGAGCCGCAGCGCAAGCATATTACCTCGCCAACCACGGGTTCCAACCCTCGAGTTAGGGCTTGAATGCAACGGTTGAGGGGAGAGCCGTTAATGAGGAAATTGTCGTCGTAGAAGATGACGAGGTTATATCCAGGACCCGGGAGGTCTATGACGGCTCCACCGCCGGATGCATGGGGCGCGCATATGTGTCGCTTTCCGGGTTGAACCACTTGCGTAGGTCCGCTCTGTGCTCGGCCGACCCGTATTCGCCAGAGCGGACATCACAGGGGATCATGACCATACGAGGTTGGTCTTCATCGACGGGGAAGAGGATGGCGTCAATCGCGATGGGGCGGACTCCAACGCCCTGTGCTGGTACGCAGAGTCGTTTATGACGTTTCCAATCCTGAGAGACGCTAAGTTCTGAATGCATATGTGGCCGCTGTGGTGACCGAGGACTCACACTCGCAATATGCTCTTCGCTGCAGTAGTACTCGTTTTTGCAACGAGCGCACCTGGTGGACCGTGGATACCTGTTTGTGGCACAAGCGGCATGCCCCCGGCGTGGGACGGGCTGCGCCGATTTCCAGCACGGTGGGTTGAAGGAGGCGAGGGGATTGGGAGGCGCAAGAGACAGCCACATATATATCGATCTATGCACGCGTGGAGCTCTTTCGGTGCAGAGACTTGAGAGGGGACTAATGGGAGGTGGCTGTTGACGTTCTTGGATGTGCCAGTCCAAGACGAAGCGGAGCATACAGCCGCGCTCGTACATTGGCAGATTGTGTGGAATGTCAGGGACCTTGCGAGATTAGTGAATGACCACGCACCAAGTTGGGCATGACTGGAAGGTGGCGTACTATAACACGGACGCAAAGGCGCAGTAGGTGACGTGGTCCATCGTTCGGCATTATGTGCCGACTTGACTGGCTGAAGGGAATGTTGGCACGCATTCTCTGTGAGCCAGAACCTGCGATAGAGGGATCGTATACACGGAGCAGTCGGTACGTGTCCGATTGAATATTTGCGAGCTTATCTGTCGGTGCAGCTCCGATGGTCTTGCCAATGGCTCAGCTCGCGACACAGCGTACCCACACGAGGTTGTCAGCATTAGCTGCGTTACGCACAGGCATTCTCCGTAGTATGGGATACAGTCCTTCCTCTATCGACAGATGTCTCCAGTCTACGAGCGTGCTCGATAAATGCTACCAATACGTTGTTCCTGGGTCACCGTCGCTCGTTCAGGACGCCTAACTGCGGTGACAGCATATCAAGGAGCGATGCCAAAGTGCATGATCGCTTTTGCAATGAGACACTCATCGTGCAACCATTACATACTATGCATGAGGGACGCAAGCCAACATTCAGCCTTCAGTTTGGGCAACCAAGGACGGTACAATGCATCACATGTGACTAGCACAAGTTTGTCTAAATAGAAGGTGTTCGAGCTCATACCATCCCGTCCTGTCGGACCGCGCACCCATCTATGGATGTGCAGGTCGAAGCAATGCGCCTTCGTCAGATGCCGCAGAAACGAGTCCCGCCGGCTGTACGTCTTCATACAACCCCCGACCATCCTCCTCCCACCATGCTCATAACTTCCCCCATGTCCGGAGCGTCCTCCTCCGGCACACCGCAGCAAACCCACTCAGGTCCGCGATGAGAGCGAAGTGCGTGCGGACGTGGCGCTCGAAGTCGCCCTTCCGGCGAGTCAGGAAGTCCAATGCGAACAGGTGAACCAGCCAGCGTGCTTCTCGCGCTGCGTGGTCGAAGTGAAGTCAACCTGCTTATTGCGGGGAGACGTCGTGCGGACCCGGCCGAGGAGCGTCGACGTGAAAGATTGGGGGACGAGATAGGGTGCACTTGATCGCGCGCGCTTGGCTCGGGTGGTGCCCTTGCGCGACGACGGACCTCCTCGCGGCTTCGAGGGGCCGGCAGTGGCAACATCGACGCATCATGGGAAGCCACGGACGGGGAGGCTGCGAGAGAGGCTATCTCGCCTGAAGCCTCGGAGTGCGATGCAGGGGAGGAAGCAGGCCACTCCCAGGATGGGCTGGAGGACGGGGTCGAAGACGAGGCACCCGCAGAGCTGCCACTAGGGCTCGAATATGAGCTCCCAGCGCCGAAGGCGAAGGGAGGAATGTGGGGCGAATCTGCGACGCTCATCGGTAGCGCTTCCGAGAGCCACGGGGCTGGAGGAGGGTAGCCGCAGAGAGAGTTGGCCTCATTGAAGGTTGCGGGTAGGGTGTCTGCGGAATCCCAGGTTGTATCCGTGCCGAAATATGGTGGTCTAGGTATACAGGTGTCAGTCATGGACATAGTGACAAGGACGTAGTCAACGTACGGCATAGGCGCACGGAAGGGGTCCGAAAGCTCGCTGATGAGAGCTTCGAGTTCGGGTCGAGGATAATCGTCGGGCGTCGCAGCTAGCAGCCCTGTTTGCTCCAGGTCTCATGGGTAAAGCCCTCGTAGAGCCCCTTGGAGGCAGAGGGGAAGAGATCGGTGTGAATATCATCGAGGAGGTTGTACGTTGGGTGTGCGGTGAAATCCATTGCAGGATATCGGGTTTGGGCAGTGCTGGTAGGCAATGGGGACATCATGGCGGTCATTGCCACTGGCTTTATACCTGTGGGGACAAAAGGCGTCTCGCCGTCCTGCAGCGCAAGGCGGCAAGGTCGAGGGAGTTCAGTGCACCTTTACAAGCACCAAGAAGCGCGCCGCTATACCTTATATGGTGCAAACGGGGTGTCGTGATGTGAAAGAAGTGTACCTTTACAAGCACCACGGTGTTAGCGGGTGTAACGGCGAGATTATCGTGGCGAATCAGCGTACCTCTACAAGCACTATCCATACTGAGTAGGTGCGGTACTTGCCAGTGGCCTGGGCTACCTGCACCATTGTCCGCTTACCTCTGCCAGTACTTGCCCCGTCGACGATAACAGGTGACCGGGAAAATTCATCGCGCGTACTTCTCAACGTACTGCCGCTAGTAGCAGCCTCGGGCCTCCACTCCTTGGGTTGTTGGGATAAAACTGTAAGTGTGTAGCACAAAAGACAGGCCGCTGTGATTCCAAGAGGTGGTCGGTGTTGATTCCGCTGGAGTACTTCTTCAGGTGAGTGTTGCAACCAGTGTTATCATGACGAGAATGGTAGCAACCTTAAGTTGACGGCACAAAGTTGAAGAACGGTGACGGCACCCATCTGAAGAGTACCGAGCCGTATGTCGTCCGCGCAGACATCACGCTACTTGCTAGTAGCCTCGGACCGCAGTTGGGGGTGCGCGTTCGTGCGGTGTCCACTGTCGGAGCAATGAACGTACGTTCTACTACGGCCCGCATTGTTGATACGAGGATGTTGTCGCGAAGCATGCTTTCGAGCTCAGCGGCAGCGCAAGCCAGTGCCAGGGAGTCCAATTGAGTAAAAAGGTCCATTTCAAGACTCAAGTTGCCTCCGCCATCTCTAATCGCTGGCCACGTGACGTATCTACCGTTCCTGATCTTCAAGCCCTTTCCTCTAGCTCTCGTTGGCCTCAATCCTTGTCAAAATGTGTGGCCTTTGAGGTAAGATCACTCTCAAACCATGTATCCGACTGTTATACATCTCACCAGAGCGCTAATTGCAATACTCACAGAAGTCGAAGTCCTACCAGGGTCTCTCAGGCTGGTCGAATATCTCAGTGTATCAGCTTCAACGAGCGGATAAAATCTGTGTAGGATATACGGGCACAATTATCGCGTGCGTATGCATGAAATCGGTTTGAACCTGCTGCTCATTGTCACTGCAGCGTCACGACACAAACTTGCCCGAGTTATGGCAGCAGAAGCTACATTACACGGACGCTTACCCCATGAAGTATGGGACCACGTCGTCGACTGTCTCCAAGACGACAGAGACACGCTCGTGGCGTGTAGCCTCACTTGTCATACCCTACTTCCTTCGTCGCGACGGCATGCGTTCTACGCCGTCTCTCTGTACAGTGCGGACGATTCCATTCATTCGAAGCCATCCTCAGCGAACGCAATTACGCCGGGCAATACGTTCGCGTGCTCACTGTTCATGGAGATGGGCAGAAGGACCACGAGCACACGACATTCCCGTCTAACGGAGAATGGCTACAACTCCTCCCGAAGCTGGATTACCTTGCGTCCCTGAGGCTTCGTCAGCTATCTTTCTTCATTCCTAACGAACTGAAGAGCAACATGCACACCCTCGTTCCACGCCTACAGACGCTGGATTTGAAGACAATGGATTTCAGAGCAGACGACCTCGCATCGTTGATTCGTGCCTCTAGTGCCCTTTCCACCCTCATCCTCCGCTCAGCGTCTGCAATATCGGGATCCTTGTCATCTTCAGTGGCCCCAACAAACGACATGCTTGTCAACACCGTCAATACGCTGGTCTGGGATCCCAGCGCTGCTACGGGGCAAACCTCACCCTTGATTCCGGTTACCCAGTGGCTCGAGGGAGCACAACGACGCCTACGGAGGCTCGCCATAACGCGAATTGACTCGGAGCCTACTCCGTTGATGCTCGTGCAAAAACTGCTCAGTGACTCGGGAGATTCACTGGAAGACTTATTTCTCGAGTTCACGGACACGACGGACGCCAACGGATTAGCACCCCTTCTCAATCTTGGCGGCAACACTCGTCTCAGGACGCTGCACATCGCAGTCCATTCTGACCCTGCCCTACATCACTCGCATGTTGGTCGCGCCGAGCACTCGCGACGCGTTCGGTGACCTTACATCCCTCGTCATCCGCATCGTCGCCCGGAGTGACACTGTCGTCGACATGCCCCCCAAATGGGAGCACTTTTGCGACGAGCTACCCCATCTCTGCGCAACCCATCCCATATCAACTTCACGTTATGTTTCGACCTCAGGATAAGCGCCTTCTTCTCAGCAGCTCTGTTCGTCCCAGTGATCGAGGAATACTTCCATGAAGAGGTATCGTTCATGACGGTGGATTCGCGATCGTAGTCTCCGAACTCGCATCAAAACTTCCACCTCTCCATAGGACTGGGGAAGGGCGCGTTTCGGGCTTGCCTGGCTGTGGACCACCCTGGATTCGTTCTTCAGCCCAGTTTCCGGAGAACAACTCCTTCCGCCGGAGACTTTCCTCGGTGATCCGGAGTGGTATCATAATATACAAGATGTCAAATTTATTAGGTGAGTCATATCAGCCTTTCTTACTTCGGCGTAGCCTGGAGCCTAGTTACCTTATGGACAGCCGAGGACGCGGACTTATCGCGTGCCACACCTTTGTGGAGCCAGCGTGACCGATGGCGCCCCCCACCAGGCACCAGGACTACTTATATGCTTCAAATATGCTTCATCAGTCAGCGTAGCGTCAACGACTCTCAGCTTTGAATCGCATATTGCCATCACAGGCAGCGCGCTGAACATTCATTAGCATATGGTTTATTGAGTATCTAGGGCCTCATCGACAGCGTGTAAATGCATGAGCAAGTCCAACCAAACTACGCACTAGTAGATACGCGTCCCCGAGCGAAACGAAGCGAAGGAAACACATCGCTTCTACCGCACACCCCCAATCCGCGCCCAGAACATGTCTTCCCGAAGCCGCGTCAATTCCTTCCACGTCCGTTCCTCCCAGGTCGCATCGCCCACATAGAGTGCTGGGTCATCTACCTCCCCATTCATCTCCGGCTCAGGTATATCGGCCACCTCGCGATCCTTGAGAGACTGGCCCTCAACCCCGTCGACAACACCGTTCGTTGAGGGCGCGAGAGGTGACAGTGGCGCCGCATCCGAGTCTTCGTGTTGGTCAGCGTTCAACTGGGCAGCGTCAGACTCAGAGCCCGCCTTGACAGGTCAGCATGATCTACCGCGTTCGGTTCTGCACGTGTCTCCTCTTGTCCTTGCGCTGAAGGGTCTTCTGACGGGCAGCGCCATCCACGGCTGCAGGAGCTCTGCCGCAGGTTCGGTCTTCTCGCCTCGTTCTGGCCTTCTGTCACCGCCCCCGATGCGTGACGGTCTCACTATCAGACGCTTTACATCCATTGTCGATGCCGCGGTCGCCTCTTCCTTGGGCTGCGTGTCCTCACAGGCGCGGGAGTGCTGCGTCAGCGGACACATCGCTGTGTTCTCCGGTGCTACATGCTCCGGAGCTGGGCTACTATAGACACAGGTCGAGGCGTGCAGCCGCACGGCGTGGAAGAGGGGGCGGCACGGGGGAGGCACTGCGTGAGCTCGGTTGTCTGGACGCCGGCCGCAGCGACGCAGATAGCGGCGCGCGGGCTCGTCGTGGAGGTCGCGCAGACGATGACTCCCTTCACCCGCCGGTGCTGGCGAGCTAGGCTGTTCGGGCTGGACGGACGGTTGCTGGGTTCAGGCGTGGAGGGGGCAGTGGGCGGGAGAGGCACGGCCGTGGGGTCGGAGGTGATGAATGCCGTCGGCTCCTCAGCAGGCGTCGCGAAGTGATCTGTCGAGGTGCGTTCCAAGGCGGGCGGTCAGCGGCTGGTCAGCGGTCGTAGTCGCTGGCTCTGACGGCGAGATCTCCTTGATCGCGCTTCCCTGCCGCGATTGCGCTTGGGCAGAGGCGGCGGGATCGTCGGGGCCTGTTGGGCGAGGGCGCGGACATCGAGGGGTGCACGGCGGGGGTATGGGGAGCTTCTTGGGAGACTGGGCAGCGGTTTCCCGTGTCCTTCTTCTCGTGCTCATTCTCGTGCTCCTTCTCCCCCTCGATCTCCTTGCCGCTGCTTAAACTGCGCTGTACAGAGCCCCACAGCGCACCTATCCCCATCCTCGTTCTCCTCGGGGAACGGAGGTTTCCTGTCCGCCTCTGCCGCACCAAACCCATCATGTTTGTGCCATTGATGTCGCTGGAGGTGGCTGCGCAGCGCGGAGGCTCGCAGGGGGCATGTACACGCCGTCGTCCCATATCTTCTCGACGATGCCCGTGCGGACGAACGCCCACATCGAGCATGTAGCGCGCAGGCGCGTGAGGCACCAGTGCGCCGTGCAGAGCGGGTATATCGTCGGTTTTGCTTGGGTATTGTTCTGCGGAGACAGTGGGAGGGACACGGGCAGCCCCGTGGACGTCGTCGCGATGCGGAAGATATATACTGTGGTGGGGGGCTCGCTGGCCAGCGCGGGCGGGGCAGGGGATTGGCTACGCGATTGCACGAGCGCGCCGGGGCCGGAGGAGAGGGTGTGGACGAGGGAGTTTTTGAAGCGGGATGCGGACCAGGTGTTGTTGATGGATGGTCGGTGGGATGTCGGAGACGGAAAGTTGGCTGTGGTGGGCGAACCTGAGGCACTGTTGGACGGAGAGATAATGCTCGTCCCGCAGAGAGCACATGAGATGTGGGTATTGTGTGATTGGCCAGGTATGGCGGAGGGCGCGAGTTCTTGCAGGAGCGCAAGGGTAGGCATGGGTTCGATGGAGAGTTCTCCGCCGTGGATGGCTGAAATAACGGATCTCCGCGACAGCCAGTTCAGTGAGGGCGCAAGGTCCAGCCGGACCGTCGGATCACTGCAAGCAGGTGTCAGCGTTATATGCATGTATACAGACGAATGACGCACGAGTCTTCAGTCACTAGCCGAGCTAAGAAAGGCAATGGGAGCAGCGTCGACATCGCTGGTGGATGTTGAGTCGCCGGCCGTATTGAACGCAGGTGCGCGATGAAGGACAAGTACTCTTGGTATGGTGCATGCGAAGACAACAGACGTCGAATGGCTGGACTTGGCTCATGCACCCGGTCGACCCACTTGCCCTTACCCATCGTAGCACGCATATCCTCCATCCGCCGGTCCGCACGCTCCTTCTCCGCCTGCAGTGTCTGCATCTGCGTCTGCAGCATCCCGACTACCTCCTCGGCCTCGTGAAGCGCACGCTCCGTCCCCTCCGCCTTCCGTTCACTCCTTGCCTGCGCGATGCGCGCCTCCGCTACCATGCTGTTCGCCTGGTTGAAGAGCCCCGCGCTGAGGTCGTCGAGCTCCTTCTCGATCTGCGCACGCGCACTCTCCGCCTGGCCGCGCTGCGCCGCCTCATCCGTCGCGCGCTCCATGAGGCGGTTCAACTCCGTTGTGACGTGGTCCTTCTCGACGAGCAGTCCGGAGCTCAGCGCGGAGAGGTGTTGCGCACGCTCGAGCTCGAGCTCGCCAATCTTGAGCGTCGCGCTGCGCAGGTTCGAGGTCGTGACGTGCAGCTCGTCCTCAACGTCGGACATGCGGTCGTACGACTTGACGAGCTTGTTGTTCAGCTGCGACACCTGCGAGAAGAGGTCCTGCACCTGCGACCGCAGCGACTCGATGACCATCGCCTGCGCGTCGGGGTCGCTGTTGTGCCGCTGCAGCTTGACGTCGGTCCCGTTGGGCCCGTGCGCCACGACGTGCGTCTTCTCGTCGAGGTAGTCCGCTTCGTGGTTGAGCTCGTGCATCTCGGTGTCGATGGAGTGCGCGGGCGACGGGGCCCGCGAATGCGATGGTTGTGACATGGCACTCACTGTCTTCGCTGGGTAACAAGTAGACTAGCTAGCACGGGGAATTGTTCCGGACAGTTATTGCAGCATGAGCTAGGGTGATCTGTGAATAACGATATGTCTGCGGGTGCTTTCCTGCGGTCAGCAGTCTACAATGTGGTGGCGGCCAAATGCGAAGACGGTGGGCGTCTAGCCGTGAAATGCGCGACCTGCCTTCCGCCTCATCCGCGTATGCGTCGTCACAGAAGAAATATCCATCCGTTGCGTGATTCACGTCTCCCTGGTGATGCACTGGAACTCGGGACATGTACTAATTTTTTTTTTGCTTGGGCTAACTCAGGTTCGACGACGACACTGATAGATAGGAGAGACTGCAGCTGATTATAGACTGTTCTACATCATAGCTTGTTCATGAAGCTTTGAAGCTTTGGACTTTCCGCACTGCTCTGAATCTGTCTTGCTAATACCTCATGTGTCTTATGATCAACAGACATTCCACGTCCTCCGGCCATACAAGTACACCGCAAAACTTGTGCTAGTTCAAGTTATCTACGCATTCTATATCTTCTCGCTAAGCGCAGGGTGAGCTCCTCTCCCCCGGCGGGCCAAAACGCCTCTTCCAATTCAACGACCCGAGCCCATATAGCCTCGGCACGTATCCATGCAGGAGTACCAGGTTCGATGCCAAGACTGCCCCACAGCATGCACGACCAGGCGTATCACCAGAAGGGATGCCGCACAGAAAGCGTGAATGGTGGGACGAGACACCGTGATTATCTGTGGCTTCGGTGATACAGCAAATATCACGTAGAACTTACCTGTTCACAATCTGAGCGAGTTCGTCGACGAACTTGACGAACTCCGGATTGGTCCAGTTGTTGACGAGCGACTTGACTGCGGGTGCAGTGCCGCCCTCGGCGTTGACTGGCTTCAACGACCCAACGTATCGCCACGAGTCCAAGTAGATCTGCTCGGTGTAAGATCAGTCGACATCTCACTACTGCACCAGGTAAACGTGTACCTGCTCCATCGCCCAAAGAACACCAACGCGTCTTCGATTCTGCCCTCTACACCGACCCTAGCCATTTCAGCCGTGTAGTCTCTCGTCGCCTTGCGCTCCTTCCACCCCTCCGCTTGCAAGCCATGCTCACGGGCGATATCGCCGAAGTAGTCCACCTCCCGTACTACATTCGCTAGGCCGTAGCTCAGTGCGCGCACAATCTCCTTGTTCTTGCGCTCCCTCGGCGACTCCGTTCGTCCAGCGACGAGAACGGGACAGCAGCCAACGTTCTACCGATAAACGCGGGACCACCGTGTGCGGCGAACAGCCTATCTTGCTCCAGCCAGAGTGCGAGCAACGCGGGAGGGAGCGTGCCCACCCGGCGCGGTGAGGAATGGGTGTTCGGTGGCTGCTGATATGGGCGCGGCGTCGAGAGGGAGAGAAGGTGGCGTGAGCGTCGTAGCACTTGCCGTCGGAGGCGACGTCGACATGGTCGCCAGTAGTGAGAACGCGATTCCTGGGAACCCCTCCGATACTATTATAAGTACTATCTCACGGTGACATCATTGCTGGGTGGTTGTTTGGTCTTGTTAGGATCAGAGGCCGATAGCTTTGACGCCAGACCCCCCCTTCCTCCTCCTCCTCCTCCTGCTGTCACCAATGCAAAGTTCTTCTGGCACGACTCTATAATCACTGCACTTCGCGACGTTACTTGAGGTGGACAGACTCGCCCAGTTAGAATTCTCATACCATACACATGGGAGTCATGACGCGCGCCGAGTTACCCGCAGAACTCATACGTGAAGTACGCGTTTGTCAAACATCCTAGGTTGATATGCATGTTGACATATGCAGGGTGAGCGTCGCCACTTCGCGTCGCAGACTCACTGAGCGTGCTCAACGCCTTCGCAGTTCTGATACATGCGGCGGCAAGCGACAAGAAGGCTGCTGTCGAGCTCTTGTGCATCAGCAAGGCAGCGCACCTCTGGGTGCTCCCGGTCTTACTCCGCACGGTGGTGCTCACCACACGACGCCAGGTCAATGCCTTTGCGCGTGCACTCAGGTCGCCTCAGCGGACCGTGGCCGTAGACACGCCTTCCGACCAAAAGCTCGGCTCTTACGTGCAACACCTCTGGATCGGCCCCAATGACAGCTCGTCCGCGAATCCCCTGCAAAGCTCCATAGTCAGTGTCTGGCCCATAGACAACATACGCGCGATTCTACCGCACTGCACATCCCTAAAGGCACTCGCGGTCGCCAATTTTCCTGAGGAGCTATGGCCCCGCATGGGCCCGCTCCTCCCCTTCTCACTCGAGTCCATCCACCTAGGGAGCGTCTGCGCGTACATGCATTGGAATTGGACGGAGATGCCGTGTTACCCAACTCTACGGAGCATCACGAGCATGGAACTGGGCAGCGTCTGGTCGCTGCGCATGTATAAGGCTGTCGCGACGCTGCCCAACATACGCACCCTCCGCCGATTCTTTCCCCCGATTCTGCGCAACACGCATCGAACTGCCCTGCAACGCGCTGCGGCGCTCGAGCCTGCGGCGACTATGGAGCGCATGGAAATCATTCAGTGTAAATTTCATATGTATGAGGTGACACCAATATGCTTGGACCTTTCGAGTGCCGAGGCAGACAGGACCAGGCCGTTTTGTGTTTCTGACGGTAGACGGTATGGGCACTTGGACAATCTTCTTTGAGACTGGTTGGATCGTCTTTATAGATCCGAAAGGGCGATGAATGGTGAGCTTCACGAGTCTGACTGGCATTGTTGATCGTCACTCACATGGGCAACCGTCAGTTGACTGACAGTCCATCGAAGGGGCTTCGAGAGCGTTGGCGACGTTCACCCAGCGTTAGTAGCATGGCAGCTCGGAGTGTCGAAACAATGACTTGTCTTATGGCGAGCATAGTTAATCTGTATACCACGATTTAACACCTCTGCGTTGCGTTTGCAATCGTAAGGCCGACAGGTAAGTCAATGAGGTGTGAATCTCGCCCCGTCGTCAGTGGAGGCTCAGGCTGCCACGGCAGCGCGCGCGAGAAGTACACGCGACGAGACTTTGCGGTCACCTGCTATCGTCGACCGGGCAAGTACTGACAGACGTAAGCGGACAATGGATGCAGTAGCTCAGGGCCACTGGCAAGCTACCCCATGTACCGGACCTACTCAGTATCATGGACCGGGTACGCAGATTGCCACGATAATCTCGCCGCTACGTCCGCTAACACCGTGGTGCTTGTAAAGGTACACTTCTTTCACATCACGACACCCCGTTTGCACCATATAAGGTATAGCGGCGCGCTTCTTGGTGCTTGTAAAGGTGCACTGAACTCCCTCGACCTTGCCGCCTTGCGCTGCAGGACGGCGAGACGCCTTTTGTCCCCACAGGTATAAACCAGTGGCAATGACCGCCATGATGTCCCCATTGCCTACCAGCACTGCCCAGAAACCCGATATCCTGCAATGGATTTCACCGCACACCCAACGTACAACCTCCTCGATGATATTCACACCGATCTCTTCCCCTCTGCCTCCAAGGGGCTCTACGAGGGCTTTACCCATGGAGACCTGGAGCAAACAGGGCTGCTAGCTGCGACGCCCGACGATTATCCTCGACCCGAACTCGAAGCTCTCATCAGCGAGCTTTCGGACCCCTTCCGTGCGCCTATGCCGTACGTTGACTACGTCCTTGTCACTATGTTCCAGTCACTGACCCTGTATACTAGACCACCATATTTCGGCACGGATACAACCTGGGATTCCGCAGACACCCTACCCGCAACCTTCAATGAGGCCAACTCTCTCTGCGGCTACCCTCCTCCAGCCCCGTGGCTCTCGGAAGCGCTACCGATGAGCGTCGCAGATTCGCCCCACATTCCTCCCTTCGCCTTCGGCGCTGGGAGCTCATATTCGAGCCCTAGTGGCAGCTCTGCGGGTGCCTCGTCTTCGACCCCGTCCTCAGCCCATCCTGGGAGTGGCCTGCTTCCTCCCCTGCATCGCACTCCGAGGCTTCAGGCGAGATAGCCTCTCTCGCAGCCTCCCCGTCCGTGGCTTCCCGTGACGGGTTGAGGTTGCCACTGCCGGCCCCTCAAAGCCGCGAGGAGGTCCGTCGTCGCGCAAGGGCACCACCCGAGCCAGGCGCGCGCGATCAAGTGCACCCTATCTCGTCCCCCAATCTTTCACGTCGACGCTCCTCGGCCGGGTCCGCACGACGTCTCCCCGCAATAAGCAGGTTGGCTTCACTTCGACCACGCAGCGCGAGAAGCACGCTGGTTGGTTCACTTGTTCGCATTGCGACTTCCTGACGCGACGGAAGGGCGACTTCGAGCGCCACGTCCGCACGCACTTCGCTCTCAGTCGCGGACCTGAGTGGGTTTGCTGCGGTGTGCCGGAGGAGGACGCTCCCGGACATGCGGGGGGAAGTTATGAGCATGGTGGGAGGAGGATGGTCGGGGGTTGTATGAAGACGTTCAGTCGCCGGGACTCGTTTCTGCGGCATCTGACGACGAAGGTGGAATGCTTGCGACCTGCAAATCCGTAGATTGAGTGCGCGGTTCGGCAGGACGGGATCTGTATGAGTACGTATACCTTGAGTCCGAGTAGCTTCTGTTTAGACGAGCTTGTGTTAGCCACATATTGATGCATTTGTATCGTCGTCGGTGACCCAAACTGAAGGCTGAGCGTTCGGCTTGCGTCCCTCATATATGGCTGAACGGTTAGTATGATTGATTTCGTGTCTCACTGGTAGTACAAGTGATCACGCACTTTGGCATCACGCCCTTCCAAAGTAGTGCCGTCACCGCAGCAGGCGTCCCACGACGAGGTGAGCTGCTCACAGTATTCTGGGAGCAGCGTATGGGCGGGCATGGCCGTGACAAGGTATATGCAGCAATAGGAACTGCATGACGGCGTTGAGCATTTGTCAAACACTGACCACGAGGCATGTAGACTCGGGACGTCTGTCAATGAGTTAGGAGGAAGGACGGTACTCCCGCCCTCCGTACGGAGACTGCCAATGCGTAATGCTGCGTAAGCTCGGAAATGTTCAAATCGTACTGCCGAGTCGGACTACGGAGTGCTCTGCGTATGTCAATCCTCTATCGCAGATTATCATGGCTCGGAGGATCCCCGGCAACGTTCCCTGCAGCTAGTCAAGCGGACTACATCATTTCCACTTATTTTGTGTCCCTTGCCTCTGTGTTCAGTACGCTCCTTCATATTCGAGGTTTGTGGTCGTTTACTAGCCTCGCAAGATCCCTGCTGTTCGGTATAATCCGCAGACCTTCGAAAGTACAGCTGTATGGACCGCCTCGTCCTGGACCGGCACAACCAAGAACTCCAACAACCACCTCCCGTTCTCAAGTATCCGCGTCGAACGGGCTCCACGCACGCGTGTACGAGATGCGCGGGGACGTTGAGCTAGTTGTCGCAAATGACCGACTGCATGCATGGAGGAGCTGTGGGTTGCACCTGCGTGAATTTAGATCTAGATGTATGAAAGGACAGATATTGGCGCATATCAACTCACTTAGAAGTCCCAGGGAGCTTGAGCCTCGTAGTACCATTCCGGATCACCGAGAAAGTACTCTGGCGGATAGCGCCGTCCATGGTCGGTCGTCCAAAACACAGATTCCCCAGCGGCCCACAACCAGACGATACCAAACCGCACTCTCCCTCCCGTCTTATCGGGCGGTGGGAGATCGTCTACGAGTGTGGCGGTTAGATCTGCGTAGATCTCCGTAATCGAGGCCACTTCGTCATCTGGGATAACACCGTCCAAGTCTGGATTTTCTGCGGGGACGGACACGCCATCCCTGTATCTGAAATCGAAGCAAACTGTGAAGTTGATTAGGGGATGGGTGACACAGATGTCACCGAGGTGTGAACAGAATCGCAGCCAGTTTACGAATTGATGAGCAGTCCCCTCGCGGGAGATGAGACGGATGACGATGGAAGTGAGGCTCCTTAACATGTCTTGAGAGAGCGGTCCAACTAACGCGTTCGTTAGATCCGGCAGGAGGCAGAGTGGAAGGGCAATGTGTAGTGTTTCGAGGCCGCTGTTGGTGCTAAAGTCGAGGTGGAAAGCTGTGTCGAGGTCATCTTCCAGGTCCACGAAGTCGAGAAACAAGTGCTCCAGCGAGTCTCCTGAATCGCTGAGCAGTTTCTGCGCGAGCGCCGCTGGAGTGAAATCTGGATAGATCTGCGTTATGGCCAGTCTCCGCAGGCACCGCCGCGCTTCCATGGGCCAGTCCATGAGCATGGTCACGGGAATGACTTCACCAATGGCAGCCGCACTCGTGTTCCAGACCAATGTCCTGATGGCGCTGTTAGACGGTCCCGGTGAGGCAGGCGTTGAGAAGAGTATCAGGATCGACAGGTTGGCACTGCAGGCAGATATCAACCAATCCAGGTCGTCTGACCTGCTTTCCATCCACGCGAAATCTAGTGTTCGCATGCATTTGACGAGGGTGCCCGTGTGCCGTCTCAATTCTCGAGGAAGGGAGCAAGAGAAATCACGTAGTCGAAGGTGCGCAAGGCGTTCCAGCTCTATCAAGAGGTGTGTCCATTTGCCGTTAGACGGAAACCTCATGTATTCGCTGTCCTCCTTGCCGTCTCCGCAGATAGAGAGCACCCGGACGTATTGCTTCACGTAGTTGCGCTCGGCGAGGATCTTGTTGAATGAGTAGTAACGGGTTTCGTTGTCGAGACAGACATGATAGAACATCTGACGCTGAGATGCGGGAAGCAATGTGCGGCAAGTAAGGCTGCATGTCATGAGCGCTTGCCGGTCGTTCCGGAGAAAATCGACGATGTTGTCCCATGTTTCAACAGGTAATGTTCGACACGACGTAACTTCTGCTGGCATAACTGAGGCTCGTATCACGGTATCAGTTCAATTTATGACAATCCGTAAGAGCCAAGTCTCACCGAGAATCGTTTTGACGTACTTCCACCGTATAGACGTCACTGTGCCAATGCGTCACACACGGAGGTGTTTTCGCCAAGATGGACTGAACATAGAAAAAAATCAGCTACGAGGCTGAAAGAGTGCGGCTAGCGTATGGGAACGTTTCGGTTGAGAATTGCTTACGAAAGGATGCAGTTGCTGGCAAGCCGAGGTATAGAGGTCGAGCCTGAGGAACGTTTCAGTTGTTGAGGAGGGTCGCGACGTGCAGTGGCAGGCGCCGAACGCGTCGTCCGGCTTCTGCCGGTTATGTACTTGATGCAAACGTGAACGTGACTTAGGACTTCGATGCTATTGGAACAGTTTGAGTCCACCACTGGATAGTCCTCTTACAAGCCATGTCACTCAGGTGTTGACTGAGTGTCACGCTGTTTCAACGAAACCTCCACTGGTAAGTATCTTAGGAGCATCCGGCGCAAGTGATTTTGATCCCGAGCACTTGGAAGAGCTTGGAAGACGCGCTTGTGGCAAAATGAACCCGTAGATCAACGGTAGATGCCGGCATGCGCGTGCCACGCGTATTACACCGCTATTATGCGACCAAGTACCGGCCAGACTGCGGCAGCCATCTCCCAGAGTCCTCCCTGAGGCTGAGGCTCCACTCGGGTAACAGCTGTTCATCTTGGTGTTTTCTACGCCAGCTCAGTACGTCTCGTAGTCCCGACATTGTAACCCGGGACGAGAAAACGACGTGTTGAGCGCGCCTAGGTGCAAGACTGGACAAGGACACCAAACGGGGCGACATTTGCCAGTGGGCAACGCCAATCTCTGTAAGTCAACGACGCTCACTGCCCTGAAGCACTCCTGTTTGCAGTACTTGACTTTAGTTTCTAGGCACAAGCCATGTCGATGAAAGCCACACCGGGTAGGCCATTCCCTGCCGAAACCTGGGATAACATCATCGACCACCTCTGGAACGACCGAGATGCGCTTGCGGCATGCAGTCTTACATGTCTATTTGGAGGGGTTCACTTGTCGCATTCCTGAAGAATTCAGGAGCGATCTCAGGCTGCGCTCCCTTATACCGCGCTTGAGGACACTGAACATCTCGGCGATGAAGAGCGACGGAGATGACCTAGCTTCATTGATCTGTACTTCGGGCGCGTTGTCAACCTTAATCCTTCACGATTCGTCCGATATCTCATCGGAGGGCAAATGGTCTTCAGCACTTTCCGTGGACGGCTCGCTCGAATGCAACGCCGATACGTTCATCTGGGACCCTTACGTTGGACTCAGGGCCAATCCGAACCTGGATATGCTCACCAGATGGTTCGAGGGCGGGAAGCGATGCATACAGAGACTGGCTACAACGGAGATCGGCTCAGAGGGCACTCCGCATTGGTTGGTGCAGAAGCTGCTCGACGCGTCAGGTGACTCTTTGGAACACTTGTTCCTTCACTTCCCTGGTGTACACTCGAGGGTCGACTATGACGAGCTGGTGTCCATCCCTAATCTCGACAACAACACTCGTCTCAAAACGCTACACATCGCATTCCACCACTGTCGCCCTGACGTAACCAACATTTTGTACACACCGAGCGCCCGCAACGCGTTCGGTAACCTGACACTGATGGTCATCCGTGTAATGGCTTACGACATGTGCCCGGATATAGAGTCGCAGGATCTCTGGATCGGACGCTGTGATCTCTGTCTTATCCACCCTCTGCTCAACTTGGTCTTCTGCTTTCAATTCACAGTCATTCAACCACCCATTGCCGGGGCCCCACGTGAGACTGCGATACCGTCGGGGGCTGACCGAACGCGGCAGAAAGTCATCCGCTTCGTACAACTGCTCCCAACTCTTCATCGCACAGGAGGAAGAGTGCGTTTTGGCATTGTCTGGCAGACGCCTCACAGTGGGTCCTTTTTCAAGAAGGGCCTCGATGGAGAGCACCATCTGCCGGACTACTTTCTTGGTGATCCGGAATGGTACCACCCGGTCCAGGCTCCCTGGGATCGCTTATACTAGGTGCGCTGAGATTGTACCAGGTGCCGTCCTCGCTAGACATCTGACACCAACGACTACATCCATATAAGCTTATTCAATCCTCCAGAATGCATGTAGCCCATTTTCCGTGATGTACTCCACTTGCGACTTCCCTTCCGACGCCGTGTCACAATGTATACGCTGTAGTTATTGATTTCGCCAGATCTCCTGACCATGACTTTCGCTCGTCATAACTTTACCATCGCTCATATGTATACCCTGCATCAACGAGGCCCTCTGGCACTCGAAGCGATCATATTTCGAGCGTGAGTCCTCAGTCATCACAGCGTCCACGAATGCATTTAGAACTTAGCTTTTCTCAGGCTGGAAACGTCATAAACGACTCTGCGTGCCAGCACAGGGCGGTTTAGTCCGCCCCGTCCCGATTGAAACTTGACGCCATCCTGTTCTCCGTGATGAAGCTTTGAAGCCTGAAGCTTGAAGCCCAACCTCGTATGGTCAAGATGCCCTGTGATGTTCGGTTTGGCGAATACGGTTCCGCAGCACAAAGCGGACCTACGCAGGTGTTTCAACCCAGGATTCGAACTTGAAGGCGACTTATTCCTATGCTTGAAAAACATAGTCTGGTCGCTGCCAGATTAGCTTGCTCCAGTCTCCAGCTCTCCAGGAACGACACCCCCATGCAATGGCTGCTCCGTGGTACTCAGGTATGACATGACCCATATTATACCACTTCCCGATGATACATCCACCGCCTCAGCACCGTGACTGCGGCGCAGGGCCTCACAGGGGAGGAGTAAGGACGCGGACGTCAGCATGCTGCGGTCCCGTGCCGGATGTCATTCAGATCCCGGCCGGCCAGTCCGCGACTGACGTCAGATCCGTCCGATCGAGGAACTCATTTAACATGTCCTCGACGCCTCCCCCGCAGCCACAGCCCGCAGCCCACGACCACCATGACTGAGGCACACCCCGACGACCCCGCCACGACGACGGCCGTCGCACCCACCGTCCCGGACGCCGCCCGCGAAAGGTCCCCGCGACGCAGCACGACGACCACGGCTATGGCGACATCTCCGAGCGGCCGTCCATGGAGTCCCGCATATCCATAGACGACCCTGTCGCGGACGACCTGCCCGACGCCGACCATCCGACCGTCGCGCTGCTCGTTCCGTTCCCCCAGCTTCTACGCCCGCCGTCGAAGAAGCACGCAAAGGTCCCGCCGTTCTTGATGTATGCGCCGTTGGCGGCACCGCTCCCGCCGACGACGGAGGGCGAGAAGGTGAGCTGGAAGGACAAGGCGATCCGGAAGTGGCAGAAGGAGGAGGCCGAGGCGAGGGAGAAGAAGACGGGCTTCAAGGCCAAGGCCGTCGGGGTGAGTGACGGATGATTACTGCTACATATGGGCATCACGTCCGCCGAAGCTAATCTCGAAGGGCATGTCAGCGACGAAGAACTCGCGCATCGAGTTCCTTGTGCGGACACCCAACAAAAGAAACTGAAGGAGGTGCGTCCAACGACTCCCCTGCTCCGGGCATGTTCCGTGGCCTGGGCCGTCCACCTGAGGGGCTAGAGCCTTGGCGTTCTTCGCTCCTACTACGCTCCTCAACTCCTGGCCTGCAGAGAACGTGCGGCAGGAATTCACCGAGCTCGTAAAGTCGGCGAAGAAGGGCGCCATCATGAACGGCGTCATCTCCACCTGTCTCGCGCCCTTCGCGCTCGCCTTCGACACTCTCACCTTCATACCCGGGGTGCGTGCTCATCATACCTCTGATGCCCCTCACGCAGACCGCGCACACAGCCCTTCGAGATCACAGCCGTATGGTCCGCCTCGTCCTGGACCGGCGCCGCGCGCGCAACCGGGATCGCCAACCGCATAACCTCCTCTTCCCTCCCGATCAACTTCACCACCGACCCTACGCTAGACGTGCTTCGTACGCGAATGCACGAGATGTGCTGGGCCGTCGCACCGCGCGGGGCGATCCCGCCGCCCGGCCAGGGCTCCGGCGGCGTACCGCTTTCCGCAGGGGAGCATGCCGCTGGTATCAAGCGCGGCCCGGAGCTGGCGGGCGTCGTGCTGGCGTCCTTCCGCGCGCATGGCGAGGACATGAGCGACGTGCAGACGGATCGGATGGTTGTAGCGGAGGACCTGGAGAGGTGTATGAAGAAGGCGGTCAAGGAGTGGGCGAAGGCGATTCATTGAGTCTCTGGATTTCTGACGTAGCGGCTAATATATACCTTAATGCACGAAATATTGTGGCGCTATCAATTGTGTTGTATCAATCGTACTTTTGTGGGTTTCGAGGTGTGTACCAACTTTCGATCTGGCCAACGGCGATGTCGAGACTGCTACTCACCCACTGGGGCGCGTTGTACGTGAACGTCATCGGATCCTTGGCTTTGAGGTTTATCTGCTACGCGGTTCTGCCCCGTCCCCAGCTCATCGGCTCACTACAGAAATGCTACCTGATATGACCGCGTTTCTGAAGGTCTATCGAATAAGTTGACGCGTATACATGTCGCATCTATGAAACCACGTGATCGCGTCAGGCCTACTGTGTTACTGCGCGAAATTGTAGGTAGTCGTTGGGTAATCGCTTGAATGCTAGAGGGCATCGTCGATGTATGATATATATACAAGCAATGGCAGGGTTACGACGAGCGAAAGCTATGGTCAAGAGATCTGGCGCGAACAAAAACTACAGCGTATACGTTGTGACACGGCGTCGGAAGGGAAGTCGCAAGTGGAGTACATCACGGATAATGCGCTACATGCATTTTGGAAGATTGAATAAGCCTATATGGGTGTAGTCATTGGTGTCAAATGTCTAGCGAGGACGGCACCTGGTACAATCTCAGCGCTCCTATAAGCGATCCCAAGGGCTAGTGGTACCATTCCGGATCACCGAGAAAGTACTCCGGCGCATGGTACTTGCCATCGAGGCCTCTCGTAAAGAATGAGTCACTGTGACCCATCCAGACAATGCCAAAACGCACTCTCCCTCCTGTCCGATGAAGAGTTGGGAGCCGTTGTACGAAGCGAATGACCTTCCGCGCAAAGGTTGATGCATCAGCCCGGCCTCTGAATTCAAAGCAGATGACCAAGTTGAGGAGAGGATGGTCAAGACAGAGATCGCCGAGTTCAATACAGGGGTCCTGCCAGTCTATCTCCCGGTAATCTTCATGAACCACGATACGGATGACCACCAGTGCCAGACTACCGAACGCGTCACGGGCGCTCGGTGTACACAGCTTGCTAGTTATGTCAGGGGGACAGTGGCCGAATGCCATGTGTAGCGTTTTGAGACGAGTGTTGTTGCCAAGATCAGGGATGGACACCGGCTTCGGAGAGTCATCCCCCGAGAGCGGCCGGTCAGGGAAGTGAAGGAACAAGTGTTCCAGGAAGTCACCTGACGCGTCGAGCAGCTTCTGCACCAACCAATGCGGAGTGAACTCTGAGCCGATCTCCGTTGTAGCCAGTCTCCGTAGGCATCGCTGCCCGCCCTCGAACCACCTGGTGAGCATATCCAGGTTCGGTTTGGCTGTGAATCCATGGTGAGGAACCCAAATGAACGTATCGACGTTGCATCCGAGCGAGCCGTCCACGGAAAGAGCTGATGACCATCTATCCTCCGATGAGATAGACGAATCGAGAAGGGTTAAAGTTGACAACGCGCCCGAAGCACAGATCAATGAAGCTAGGTCATCTCCGTCGCTCTGCATCGCACAGATCTTCAGCGTCCTCAAGTGCGGTATGAGGGAGCGCAGCCTGAGATCGCTCCTGAATTCTTCGGGAATGCGAAAAGGGAACCCCTCCAAAGTGAGGTGCGAAAGGCGACATAGCTTCTGGAGGAGGTAGAGCCATCCCGAAGGGTTATTCCGATACGACCCAGAGATGTAAAGCACGCGGACGTATTGGGCCACGTATTGACACTCAACGAGCAGGGTTTCGAAGGAATGGTAATGATGACTTCTGTAGAGGCTGACGCAGTGGAACCTATGATAACGAGACGCGGGAAGCAGGGCATGGCAAGTATAACTACATGCCGCAAGCGCGTTTCGGTCGTTCCACAAGTGGTCGACGATGTTGTCCCAGGTTTCGGCAGGGAATGGCCCACCCGGTGTGGCCTTCATCGACATGGCTTGTGCCTAAAACTAACATCAAGTACTGCAAACAGGAGTGCTTCAAAGCAATGAGCATCGTTGACTTACAAAAATTGGCGTTGCCCAAACGTCGCCCCGTTTGGTGTCCTTGTCCTTGCACCTAAGCGTGGCAAGTAATCAACACGTCGTCTTCTCGTCCTGTGTTACGATCTCAGGACTACGAGACGTAGGTTAGCTGGCGGAGAAAACAACAAAATGTACAGCTGTTGCTCGGGTGGAGGGAAGTGGCGGCGTACGCGCGGCACGCGCGTGTAGCATACCGGCATCTACCGTTGATCGTATGTACCGGTTCATTTCGCCACAAGCGCGTCCTCGAAGTGCTCGGGATCAAACTCACTTGTTCTCTACATACTTTCTAGTAATTGACTCCTCAGTCAATCTTGACAACAAGGAGACGGTCGACAGCTCGGATGTGGGACCTCCGCAGGAAAATGCGACCGACATCGACATTTCAAAGGACAAATATCTGCACATCGCGCATGCGAACACTGTCAGTCCTGAAGATCTGATGCAGTGGACACGCGTACGGTACGTGTTGTTGAGCTTTCTGTTCGCTGCAATCAGGAGGCTTCCCAGTCTGGACCCACTAAGGTTAGAGTTCGCTGGCGGGGAAGCCACGATGGAAAATGAAGTACTTCATGTAGCTTTAAGTCTGAGCTCACCTTCGCCGCATGTCCGCTCTGTCGACCATGGCGGAGTCCAACGCAGCTCAATCCGCAGAATTGTGCCGCCTTTGCGGCGTAAAGGCATCTATGAAGTGCCCTCGTTGCTGCGACGTCTCCTATTGCTGCGACGAGCATATCACTGAGGTGAGCACTTCGTCACCGATCTGTTGTATCTAGGACATACTCAAATATTTCAGGATTTGCCCCAACACAAAAGACTCTGTGCAGCCCCGACGGGTGTTCGACCGCGCACTGTCAAGATCAGCGCCATCCTTTTCCCCGTCAACGAAGACGCACCTCGCATAGTCAAGGTTCTCTGCAAGGTGCAGCGCGAAGACCCGACGTATCCCGGGGACCTCGGCATCGCACACTCCCCGAACCTCAGGAAATGGTTCGAGATCAGGTCTGTGCGACCTACGATCGTACTCCCGATGGTGTTCAGCGGTGGTCCACCTGTGGACGGCTCTGCGCCCGCATACGACCTCGTTGTCTCATATGACGCCTGTTACCTCTTCAACGGTTCCCGGATTAATCGTTGTCTCCGGGAATTGACGGGAGGCTGGGTATGGTCATGCCGACCATGGGCAGGGAACATTGTGGTGATGAGGAAGGAGACGCCGCCAGCTGGCTGCCGCTCCTTGCGATTCCATGACGCGGATATGGAGGAGGACCTGCCCAAGTTAATGCGCTTCTTCGCGACACCATGCACGCATCCTTCGCATTCGACTAGTACATCCCCGGCAGGTACAGGTTATGTAAAATCCTTTATGGTACTTCTTGTCGTCTTAGTTGCTTGTGTCGTCTTGCGATACGTTCGCTGACCATGCAGAAGCCTCTCGAGTGGTAGCCAATGATCCTGTTTTCTGTAAATGCTTTACGATTGCGGCGGAAAATGCTACGTCTGTTTGTTGATTGTATCCTGATGACAACTCGCAACTCAACTACTCAGTGAGTGACACGCCGCGCACTATGATAACCGACATCGTCAATGCCGTACATGATATGCACATGATGTGGGGAGCACGTACCGAGAGAAAGCCCTCCGGTGCCAGTTTGGATATATATACGAACTTCAGAACATATCCCAACAGCGGTGAAGTCAATGATGATAAAAGTACTGAAAGCGTGTCCTCGGGTTGGAAAGCGTCAATGCATTCGCTTGCGATGTACGGCCGCGAAACATAATAACGAGGCATTCTGGACGATTACTTGGCTCGAAAATGATTGTCACGTATCTTCGACCCCGTATTTCTCTTCACAGTATGAATCACATCCTGATAAGCAACCATTGAGCCGCCCGTAGGTACTATATCCAGGCATAGTGACATGCCTAGCCCTGTGCATGTCTTAAGACGTATACGAGAGACGGGAGTCAGTTCAACTCACCTAGAATTCCCAGGGCGCCTGAGCCTTGTAATACCATTCCGGATCGCCGAGGAAGTACTCCGGCGGGTACCACCGTCCGTTGGGGGCCTTCTGGAAGAACGCATCGCCGCCGGCCCACATCCAGACCACACCGAACCGTAATCTCCCGGGGCCTCCTACCCGACTGAGGCGCGGGAGCGACAGCATAAGGCTGCAGACCAACTGTGTCTGAAGTCCCGTTATGCTCTGGCTTAGTTCCGGAAGGGACGCGGAGGGGATGGCATGTCGCCATAGATTGCGGAGATCGATGCCAAGTGTGCAGTTGAGAAGGGGATAGGTGAGACAGAGGTCGTTGAGCCCGATGCAGAATCGCACCCAGTCTGAGGCTAATTGGTCCATGGAGTCCTTGTGGGTGACGATGCGGAAGTTGAGAGAGGTGAGGTGACCCAACGCGTCGCGGGAGCTAGGTATGGACAACATGTGGGTGATGTCGAGCAGGTTGGGGCTCTGGACTGCAAGGTGCAACGTCTTGAGACGAGTGTTGTTTCTGAGGTCAATGAGGGGTGGGGTGCTGTGGTCGTCTATCAAGTCAGCGAACTCGAGGAATAGGTGTTCCAGCGAGTCGCCAGAGGCATCGAGTACTTTTTGCACCACCACAAGGGGCGAGGATTTTGCATGGATCCGCGTCACTGCCAGTCTCCGTAAGGGCTGCTTCCCCCGCTCAAGCCATTCGGTGAGCGCAGCCAGGGAACTGCGCTGTCCTGTGGGAGTGGTTTCGGGCTGCCAGATCAACGTACCGATGGTGCAGTCCCGCACGTCGTGCGTTGGGGATGCTAGAGCCGACATGTCGCATGGTGAGGCAGGTGAGCGGTGTATCAGGGTGGACAGGGCACCACAGGCACGGATCAGCGAAGCGAGATCGTCTGCTTCACTTGCCATCAACGTCAGATCCAGCGCCCGTATACCCCGTACGAGGGAGCCTGTCGTGCCCCTCAGTTCAGGAGGGATGTAGAAAGTAAACTGACGCAGCCAAAGGTGCCAGAGCCGATCCAGCTTTGGAAGGAGGTCGAGCCACTTTCCGTTAGACGGAAACATCTGATGTTCGCTGTCGGTCCAGCCGTAACCGTGCACGGCGAGCGCACGGACGTATCGTTGCACGTAGTTGTTCTCGGAGAGAAGGGCTACAAAGGAATGGTAACGAGCCGCATCGTGGAGGCAGACGTAGTAGAACGCATGATATCGAGAAGCGGGCAGCAGGGCGTGGCAGGTAAGGCTACATGCCGTGAGCGCCCGGCGATCGTTCCAGAGATGGTCGACGACGTTGTCCCATGTTTCGAGTGGAAGCCTTCCGTGCAACGTCGCTTCTGTTGGCATAGTTGCAGGTTGAGTTGTAGCGCACGATCGAGCCCTGTGGCAGCACCAACCCGCGAGTTCAGTACTTCCAGCTGCTTCCAAAACGATACCAACTAATTCCACATCACTAGACCCCAAACACAAGGGATATAAGGGCTAGCTAGACCGGGGTTTATGGCCGAGGTCAGTCGGGGGAGGGTACGAATCGCTCGACCAGAAGGTGAGTCAATCGACGACCTCCGCCCAAGCACGCTTTTTCGGGAAGGGTATAGCAATATGGAATTAGCTAACATAGGCCCTCACCAAAAGCGCGTACACGGGCGGGGAGCGTCGGATCTTGCCTTCGAGGTGATCCGCACCTTCTGCCGTTCGACCACCCGCTGCCAGTGTAGTCTGGTTCGCCCTCGATGCTGCGGTCCAACCTTGATGGGAACAGCAAGATCGACACACTCCTGAGTGCACCTTCTTGATATGGGCCTATAGTCGTGGAAACAACTGTCAAGGAATAGCACCCTAACGCGGTTCAGACATACCGAAGTGAGTCCCCTCTCTATGGGCTACTAGTATCGCCCAGTATGACTTGTATACTGTGAGATCTAGTTATCCGGTGGTAAGGAGTATGAGAGCAATCTGAGAGTAAGCAAGAGCTGCACACTGAAGCAGTCACGATGCCAGCCTGAGGCGTGATCATGAATGCCACACCAATGCCACACGCACGCGCCGGGCGCCAGTCTCCAGAGTAAAAGTGATTATTTCACTTGCTGCAGCTCGCTGTCGGTTGCATGATACATCGACTTGGTGACAGGGCTATCATGAGTTTACTGTGTCGATCTGCCTGGTCATCCGTGACTCCTATGCTATACACGACCGTCGTCCAGTGCAAACAGCGAACTTCGAGCACACTTTGATATACTCGTGTTCGGACGCCGATAGGCTCAATAATCGCACCAAGAGACCCCACCCATCCGTCCTGTGGTCAGACACAAATAGTTCTCACAAATCACTCGTGAATCTACTTGTACGAGACCCCGGACTAACACCTGTAAGCGTAGATTCAGGGGACTGACTCAAAGACTTCATCCACCCAATATTTGGTTCAATGCCAGCGTCGCTTTCACCGACCTTCCTGCGATCTACACCTTCCAGCCCTGGGACACGGTGGACGCCATCGCGCTGAAGACCGCACGTCGCGGTGGACCAGCTGGATCGGACCAGAGCGGTCCATTTATATAAGGGCTGGCTAGCAGAGCTTGACTGGGGCTGCGTAAATTCTGTCCGGAAGGTCAGTCTCCGCTGGATACATTGAACTGGTTCAATTCACTAACCTCGGAATTTTCAAGAGTTTTGGGAACTGCAGGTGACAGATACCTGTGAGCCTGAGTATTCGTGGTAGCCACGATGGATAGCGGCACACCGCCTGCTGTGCCACCTGCGGTACCGTTTCTCCTACACTGTATGAGATTGGGACTGAGACATACGGTAGTTGACTCTGCACTGAGTGCATGCATAGTGTCGATAAGCCCGTCTTCAGTCTGCGGTCCTCAGCGTACCGACACCTTCCCGTACGGCTAGATCGTCTGTCTTCCCAAAGTTCTATGACAGCGCCGTTGATCCACAAAATGTATCGCGTGCAAGACTCGGGACCTGGCTTCTGAGCAGAAGCGCACAAACGGCCTCTCACGAGAAGTATCTCCGCTGGTATACACAGATAGCGGTGGGGCGATATGACTCTTCGCGATCGCAGGGCCAGACACCGTACGACACGAGAATGCAGGAGCGCATCGACAACAGGGGTCGAGCTGTCTTCAGGAGGTTATTGTCACCTGTAACCCTATCTATGAGGGGAGGTAGAGCAATTCGTGGATAGTCCAGAGTGACACACGCTCGATTCAAGTGTATTGTGTCGTCCACCACGATCGAGGACATTGAATAGGCACGAGGCGGTGTGCCTTAATGTTACGGTAGCGTGGTCCGCGATGTTCCCAGCACATTAAGTACCGCATACCGGTGGGCCGCGCTGTGGCACGGCGACTATCCTGCAGTTGAGGTGTAGAGACTACATACGGAGATGTGGTGATCTCGGTGTTGCGTTCTCTGTGCAAGTGCACGGCCAGAGGTCTTCGTGTCCGGCGCGAGTCTGGGCTGTCGTGATTCTGATAAATACAAGGATGAGAGCTTAGGGGGGGCGATGAACGTATGACGCATTGTCAGGACCTGGACTTCGCACATTATCTGCTTTTATTGGCACAAAACGGAGGCCAGCGACTCGCAAGTGGGCCTCGACCATCGAATGAAAGTCTCCAAAGCCTACCTTCAACAGCCAGCGTCGAGGATACCCGCAAGCTCATTATGAGAAGACGTACGTGGCAGTTGTCAACGGGACGTTCACGCCGTGTTGCGAGTTTCCTGATGCTTGTCGAAGCTGTCATAGCCGGGGCGGTGATGCCAGCGCCGTAAGCCGTCCGACGTGAATTGCCAAGTCCCTCCGGGCCTGCAGTCCGTGAAACTTTCGGACACGCAGATAAGGGTCTATAAGAATAGGATTCATAGAGAGAGGACTGCAGTGGCCTAAGAAATAAACACTGAGGGGCTGATGAGGCACTCGCTGTAGGCCAAATGCCGACGGCGAGAAGGAGATGATGGTGGCTGAGGGCCTGAGGCTGAGGCGCCTGCCGCCGACGTGAAGTCGTGAACCCGGCAGGGGTCACGTGCGGGCGATATGCCGTGTCGGTCGAGCGCGTAGAAAACGGGCATCGACTCCTTTCCTCCGCCCTTCATCCTCCCGGCGGTCGTCGCGACCTCCTGTCTGGCTTGTTCGGTTCCTAAGGCACCATCCCACTCATAGTCCCTCCTTTTTGCCTCGCTGCACTTAACTCGAGCCTGTCCATCTTCCGACACCTCGCACCTACCTGCCACAGCAGCTCTATCACCTCTTGCCAGCGACCTCAACAAGCTAGTCATGTCCAGCAAAGACTACGAGAAGGCCTTGTCCTCTGACGAGCAGAGTGGCTCTCAGATGCTTGCAGTCCACGAAGAGAAGACCTCTAACGACCCACTGCCGTCGCCCGTTACTGCGCAGGCCGCCCGGCCAGCCAACAAGCCGAAGCTCTCTGCAGCAGCTATCATTCCTATTTGGATCATCCTCAGCTCGACTGTCATCATCTACAATAACTACGTGTACAATACGCTACAGTTCCGATTCCCCGTGTTCCTGGTGACATGGCACCTTACGTTCGCGGTGAGTGGTCTTCGTTGTCCTTGAGAAAATCGACATAAGATAGTGCGGTCCCGGGTGTTGGCCGCAAGGATGGATACTTATAGGTGGGAGAACAGTGGTTCTGAGGCGATTCGTACAATACGATTGAACGAGCTGTCTGTACATTGCCCGCTTCAGGTGTCTCATCCACGTTGGTGTTTGAGGTTCCTGAAAGGGCGCTGTTCTAGCCAGTAACATGTCTATACTCTAGCAGAGTGGCGATAGGCGTCACCTTACACTTCGATGGTAAACGTACTTGCTACGGAAGCCTCTCAGTATTGCGTTTTCTCACCATTGAGAGGAATCATTGTCTTTGCCCATTTCTGAGCTTGCCCGCACCCGAGATGCAGTACAGATGTACGCGCCGTAGCGCGTTGTCGAATGTGACCAACTTCTTCACTGTCTAGTCACTTCGCAGAACACTGCTTACTGTTTCTCTAGGCAATCGGCACCCGTGTCCTACAACGCACGACACACCTCCTTGACGGCGCTAAGGACATCCACGTCTCGAAAGATCTGTTCGTCCGCTCCATACTACCCATCGGCATCCTCTTCAGCGCTTCCCTCATTCTGAGCAACACTGCATACCTGTACTTGAGCGTGGCGTACATCCAGATGCTCAAGGTTAGTCCGCCGCTGTCATCACAGCATCGAATGCGATCTGATGATCCGTTTTACAGGCCTTCGTGCCCGTCGCGATCCTGCTCATCTCATGGATCTTCCGGATTGCAGAGCCCAACAAGAAGCTAGCCGTCATCGTCATCATGATCTCGTCAGGCGTAGCGCTTGCTTCGCAGGGCGAGCTCAAGTTCAACCTCGTTGGATTCCTCACGCAGGCCGCTGCCGTCGTGGTACGTCCCCCCTCACGATTGATTTTTATGTCAGGTCACTGATGTAGGCCTTCCCGCAGTTCGAGGCATCGCGCCTGGTCATGATACAGATTCTTCTGCACAGCCTCAAGATGGACCCGCTTGTGTCGCTGCACTACTATGCCCCCGTGTGCGCCGTCATCAACCTCGCCGTGCTCCCGTTCACGGAAGGTCTCGCGCCCTTCTACGAAGTGCTCCGCATCGGGTGCGTCTTCCCTCCTGCCCTATGCTGCCCACACTAACCGCTTGCCGCTTCTGGCGACAGACCACTGATCCTGATAAGCAACGCAGCGATTGCGTTCCTCTTGAACGTCGCGGCCGTGTTCCTCGTCGGTGCAGGCAGCGGCCTCGTACTCACGCTCGCGGGCGTCTTCAAGGACATCCTGCTCATCTCCGGCTCCGTCCTCATCTTCGGCACGCCGATCACGCCGCTCCAGGTGTTCGGCTACTCCATCGCGCTCGGCGGCCTCGTCCTCTACAAGACGTCCGGCAGCAAGTAGAACGCCGCATTCACCCCGGAATCGAACCTCCCCCACCGGTACCCAAGACCCGAGTCTTGGTTCGGCGTAGCATACGTACGTGTGATTGTTCAGTGGATATTTGAATACCAATCTCGAACGATATGTCCCTCCCTTGTCATCTTGGGTCCGTGCGCTCCTTTGTACATATGTAATGGCGTTAGACGGCGATGCTGGCTTCTTCTCTGGACAATGCCTCCCCCCCTTTTGTAGAGCATCCCTATTACAGTACTGCAATCCATCCGTAGACTCGTCGTGTGTGGAGCTTGAGCGCCTATTCATACCCACAGGGAGTTGAGTGCGCTGAGTGCCGAGTGTTTGTCGTGGTTCGATCACTAGGACGTTTTGACCATCTGTGTGATTTGCTTGCATTACCGGAATTTGAACGCTAACACGATTATACATACACACGTCTCCACTGGTGTCTATCGGTCATACAGATGTTTGATGCTACGTTGCTTATGCGTGTCCCAGGAATCTATGCATTCGCTGACTCTTCGGTCATTTAACTGTCAGTCTTTTTCTCCTCTTCCTGCTGTTCGCGCGCTAGATCCGCCTCGCGACGGGCCTTGCCATCCCCCAGTCCATATCCGATCTGTCGGACGACCAGCCAGGCGGGGAACAAGGAGATGGCCCACATGCCAAAGTTCAAGTACACCCCGCCGACCGAGGCAAAGATGGGCACACTATTCAGTCCGTACTGCGAATGAATCGCGTCAGCACGGTGTCTTGTGGCGGGGTGGGTGTGGGTGTGGGCATGGCTTACACTAACAGCTTGTGCGGCCGACTCGGTGCCTCGAAGCAACCCGGCGATGCGCACGACCTCGGCCTCGCTGTCGGCGAGGGTGCCGACGACGAAGTACCTGCGCTGGCATCAGTCCCGTCTCCAATTCTGTGAGACGTTCGCTTACAGATACAAATACTGGACCTGGAAGCCGATGACGAGGAACAGGAAGAGCCCGAAGCCTTTGCCAAAGCCCGCGTCGACCCAGTCGTACGTCGGCTGCGTTCTCCGGAACTCGGTGACGAGGATCGTCGCCCAGATCCACCACGCGCCCTGCAGGCCGAAGACGGTGAAGAAGGCCCAGCGGGCGCGCGTGTGCAGCCTGAGCTTCGTGTGGTCGAGGAAGGCGCCAAGCAGATTGCCCGCGATCATGGCGACGATGCCGGAGACGAACGAGCCGAGGGCGCGCACGCGCACGGTGAACCAGAGGGACTGGTAGGTGTATGTGACGGCCTCGGAGTAGACGGCCTGCGCGATGAGGGGGGCGATGAGCAGGAAGTTCTTGCTGAAGAAGAGCCTTGTCGTGTCCTTCAGTTCCGCGATGCTGCCGTTCGTGATCTTCAGCCGGACGGGGACGCCGTCCTTCCGCTGCACCTGCTCTGGCTTGCTCAGCAAGAGACCCGCGAACGGCCCCAGAGCTTGCAGCGCGATGATTATGAGGTACACCTTGTACGAGATGCTACCGGCCTCGTTTCTCGTTGAGTTGATTCCGAGGTTGATGGCGCCCCCGAGGATCTGTCCGCCGACCCGGAAGCTGAGCCAAAGCCCCAAGAAACGGCCCTGATTGTATGGCTCGGGGTACGCCAACGCGATTGCTGCCTCCGACATCCAGAAGACGCCTGCCGACAAGCCACAGAGGGCGGCACCGAAGAGGACAAACCACTCGGTGCCATACCTGTTGTTGGTGTACAGCCCGGCGGCGTACGGTACGTATCCCATCGTGCCTATGATGAGCGTCCACTTGATCCCGATCGCTTTAACCACGATACTTGAGAGCATGCAGGTGACAACCATAAGACAGAATGTGAGCGCGTTGCCCGCGTTGACCAAGTATGGTTTCTGCGCCCCTCCCGCTCCGAGGGAGTTCAGAGCGCCCCAGAGGCCCGGAGCCAGCAGGTTGCAGACTCCGAGGATGACGGCGTTGTAGATCGTCGAGCGGTACCATTTCGCTGCCATTCATTAATTCATTAGGAGCGATCGCGAGATCGACCATGACATGAATAGGCTCACGCTTCACCACCACCTTGGCGTCCGCGCTCTGGACCTCGATGTCGGTGGCGTCCAGGTCCTCTTTGAAATCCGCCATCGCTGGGTCCGTTATCGAGGTGCTGTCTCGGTCAGTGCAAGATTTTGCGGACTCGGGTCAGGCTTAAAGGTAATCGTGCAAACCTTCCGGGAGCGCCGTAAAGAGCCGGAAAGGCGCTCGTCTCGTATCGCGTCACATTGCTTCCGTATGTCCTTCGCGGCTCAATGGCTATGGTGATGGCGGGCTACATTTGTTTGGCGGGCTCATGCTGCAGGTACATTCAACAGTCAGTCCATACACAGCGACCGTCCGGGAGAGCTCTTACCTCAGATGTTCAAACGACCATGGATATTGAACCGTGTCCCAGCGACGTCTTGCCGCAGCAGCGATTCTCACTGCGAGGCCGCCGTTGATTATCTGTGGAACTCTGAAGTGACGTCGAAGGGGAGCTTGTGAGAGTATTGTGAGAGTAGATAGCAAAGTGTTGCCACGGTCAGACGCGCGTTGGCGTGACGTCGAAAGAAATCGCAACTCAGGCCCAGCGCTTCCATCATTGAAGCTCAGAATTGGGTCAAGATGTCGATTCCACCCCACAGACCGGCTATGATAGGCAATTCTGCAGGCGGGTCGCCCGGACGCCCGGAAGGAACGCAGGGTCAATGATGAATTGTGCACCTTCCTCAAACCTTCCTGTTGGCTTTCTTAGAAGTTAGAACCAGCCTGAGGGCCGCCGTAAGATCGACGCATGGATTATGCTCCGCAGTAAGGCAACAGAGACTGGCTAGGATGCATCGTGACTGTTCTGCGTTATTGGGCGCGAGGCCAATGACTCCTTTATTGATGAGTCCAACTCGCACCGGAACCAATCAGCGATGACGTCCAGGCATCTCAGGCAAGACGGACCGTGCGGAGCCGCGCGCCCAGACAGGTAGACCACAACCAATTGCAAGCATATGGACCCACTTCATGGGCAAGCCAAGCGCGGACGAGCTCGAATGCAGCGAGTTGCAAGATCGACGGGGCCTAACGACAGTGTCAGCCGGAAAGAGAACTGATATTGAATCTTCGCACCGAGTAATGATGGGTAGTCCGAGTCTTCCGCTCAGAGCTATGAGTCCACATAGTGAACGAACCGCCCAGTTGTTCTCTCCACCATATGGCTTGCTGATCTTTTGGGCGTACTCGTCACGCAGCGGACCCTGTCCGCCACGATCGCTAGCAATTTTGAATGTCTTCTTCGTGGTGCATCTGCCAGAGGCTCCTGATGCGTTCACGGGTGCGCCTTGCGTGTCCGATGAAAGCCGGCATGGGTTCAGTGCGCATCGTCAGTCGGTCTCCACCTTCCTCCGCGTCTGGATCTGAATTCAAGCTGATGCTGCTGCTCGTCAGAGGGGCATCCATGCTCTGAAGTCAGCAAATTGAAGCACGGCATTGAGGGGAAGCGCGGTACGTATGGCAAACTGGTTGAATAAGTCAACACTGGAATCACCAAGATGCTGCGTAGTTTGAGGAAGAGCTCGTGCGTCTCGCACAGAGGGGCGGTGACGGCGGTCGGTCGAGCACCACATATGACCTGGGGACGAGGGTTAGACATGCCATGGACCGGTACGAGTGACTCACCCCAGCCCTCGATCCCTCACCAATCAATCCCGCGTCGTTCGTGAATGCTTGTGAGCAAGGCTAAATGGGCTTTGAGGTTCAAAACGGGTGATTTTTCATTTCCCTAGTACTCTGACATGGAGCTTCATTGAGCTTCAGAGCAAGAAAACTGCGGTCCAATTGTATCAGTCAACACTTGGCCAATTGCGAGGAAATTGGCGTGGATAGCCACGAGGCGATGTGCCCGGGCCACTGAGATGACAGCAAGGAGCGGACGTGTGGGGAGAAGAGTAATGATGGGCCACCGAGCTTTGGCATTAGAAGAGCGTTCACTGACGTTCATTCCTCGGAAGAGATGTGTCGCTTTCGCTGCAAGTGCTCACCGGTCGTAACACTGGCCCGGCGCAGCAGCGGCGCCACAAAACGTCCCATTTAGGCAAGTGTGCAGAGGTCAATCGGAATCAGATCTGGTATACAAGGGACGCCATCGCTACGCTCCGGCGGTTGAGTGAACATCAATGTCATCAAAGTCATAAACCATCATAGTAGAAGTTCGTCATAGGTTACATTGATAGTAGTGGATTCGTCGTGTTTGAGCAAAATTCTTGCGTGGTCACGGTGACATATGCGCGAAAGGGCGGTGTACAGCTGTCCATGTGAAAACACGTGTCTCGTAAGGTCTACTCACACTGCGTCAAGAGTTAGCCCTTGGTAAGTAGCTGTTGAATGTCATTGCATATGCCGGCGGCCGCGCAAGAGGAAACTGACGACGGAGGAGTGTATGGCCCGAGGAAAGGGTGGTAGAGAATGTGATCCGAGGTATGAGGACGTCTTCTTCATCGATGACACTGACACCTGCAATACCCGGTAGAATGCGGACTGTGACGAGACGGGGGCCGACCGCAATGACAACAACGCGAATGTTCTTGACCAAGCCACGGTCGAGGGAGAAATTGCGCAGCAAGCATTAGACGGCGTTAACCTTCACGGTCAACGAGTGGGGAGGAAAACCTGCGGGATTCTGGCGGGCAACGTAGTTAACTATGCTGTCGGGGGAGTCGATGCCGGCGTCGTCTGCCTCCCAACACGCCATCTGAATGCACGCGCGAGCATCGGCCGTGGAAAGATACGGTAGAATTGGGGGCAGGAGCAGGAACGGTAGCCCATCGCGGCGAAGCGTCGTATATGCACCTAGTAAGTGGGAGATTTAATGAAAGCGCGAAGACAGTGTTGTAATTACACTTACTGAATAGTAGACGTTTTACTTTCGTCGCGCACGCGCTCATGGGCGATAACAGGGAATGACTTTGATTGGCCGTCTGCAAGCACATCATACGCGGACGCAACCGTTCCGATGCCGATGATGGTGGGCGGGAAGGACAGAATGCTCTGATCATATTCGTCCCCGAGAGATGGATCGCCGTAGAAAGGTGTGAGCTGAATAGCATCAAGCAAAGCCATGCCGGCAGAAGGACAGTAGGCACGCGCGATGACGTAAGCAATAGTATTGTCAGCTAAGACAGTGTCGTTTGGAGGGCTGTATGGTTACACGCGCAGCTCAGCCGGAATGTCGCTGCCGTTCGAGCATTCGATCAAGGTGGCGTAGTAGTTGTGGAACGTCGAAGTACCGCGTTGGCGGTTAGTGCTTCAAGTGATGAACGACGGCCGTCGGTGAGGGATACAAAGCCGAAGAGAAGAAGGTTGGTCATCGCGGGAGTTGCGGGACAGCACGTCAAAAACGGCGGGCAGGCAGCGGGCAGAAATACAGTGGAACACATAACAATAACACGTTAGATCTGATCGACACAAAGACAACAGGCAGCCTTACCATTTTGGGAGACAATAACGAAGACAGGGGTAGAGGCACAGAATGCATGACACAGGAGGTACAGACGCAGAGAGGGGAAGGGCGTCGTGCAACACTGCATGTAACCATGCGCTGAGCGGGCGGGGACAACGACTTGATTGGAACCGAGTTGGAGGGCGGTAGTGTGACAAAGCAGCTCAATGAGGCAATAGCCAGTTGCTGTATTCGGGAAGGCAGTCGGGATGCGTCGCGCTTCCGCAGACTTACAGTCAATTGGTAGCGATGGTCTACATAAAACACAGAAAAAAGACATAGATTACTGCAGCTTGGTAACGGCTAATGGCGCATCGAGGCATAACGAGGCATAACGGCGCATCGGCCACATCGACTTTTACTCAGCCACAGACGTAGACAGAAGCGCTGGTCCAAACAGGTGCAAACGAATTCACCGGATCTGCTTTAGTATACGAGTAATAACCGTCTCCGCGACCAGCGGCAGCACGAGACGCTGTTTTGGTGCACCATTGGTGGACTTCTCGAAGCACGACGGTATTGATACCTCCGTGGGCTCTCATAACCAGTAGCGCAGCGGATGGTGCAAAGTACGATCACCAGGTGCGGCGTACTAAGCCTGACGTTCTGTGTCAGTACATATCAGGTTGGTCCGAATGCATCGCGTAGGTGTCATGCCAGTGCTCATCCTGGTGTCTCCAGGTTACCGAATTGTGGCCTCGATGGACCAACCAAGTACAGTAGCACTAGTCATCATTGCAGGGCGCCTCGTGCAAGCCTTCTCTGCATTAAACATCTCTGCAATCAGACCTCGTACTGTGTCTCATCATTCTGTCGTAGCCTAAGTAGCCTGAGTCTTTTTACGTCCATGCTGTTCCAGATATACGGTCACAGCGCGCCCAGCGCTTACGAAGGCGCAGTGCAGTTGAAGTCAAGCTATGCAACGCGTACTCCATCAGCTCATGAATGACCACGGACGGTGGTCCGACACGTACCTCGTTCAAGGTTGCGATGTTCGCGCAGACGTACGTCGCGGTGCCGTTCGGCGCGGTCAACTGCGTGCCAGTCGCCGTGATGTCCTCGCATTCGGCTGAGCACTCCAGGTCGACGACGACGCTGCCCTCTTCGCCGGACGAGGTCCCCGTCACATTGATGTCTACGAGATTGGAGGTGAAGAACTGCGCAGGAGTGAAGGGTTGTATGAACGTACAGTGGACATCGGAGATAGAGAGAGTGCTCGGATACTCCTCACAGGTGGCCGCAGGCGTCGAGTAACACTGGAACAAAGACTTAGCTTCAGTCACGCTCATGAGTAAGGATATTGTACCTGGTTGAGATACATCGGATTGTCGACGTTGTACACTGCAACGGCACGATGAGACATGGTTGGGCCTACACTCTAACACTCACCGTAGAAGTTTTGGAAGGTGATGTTCTTCACGTATCCACTGCCACCACCCGCGGTACTGTCTGTTTCAATTATTGAGAAGCGCCCTTCGACAGAATCGACGAAAATCATACGCACTGGCGTAGGGGCTACCACCGAACACTTTGATGCGTGCACCGTTCTCCGCATTACGCATTGTAATGTTGTTCACGAACACATTTGCGACGATGTCAGTCTCGCCCGCGTACTAAGAGGCAAACAGAGTTAATTCATTGTTTTGTATCTGAACAGATGCGTAACGCACCTGCCCGAGACTGCCGACGGAAATGCCGTGCGAGCCATTGCACCACATGTTCTGTACGACCATGTTGGTCGAATTCGGCTTGAAAGCTATGTCAAGTTTTAGGATGGAAAGCATCGTTGTAGTGGATTCTCTGGTCTACTTACAGACACAGTCATCGTCGTTATTGACAGTGGAGTCTTGAATAGTGACATATGAGGACCTATATATGTCCCACCCGTCTAGACGCATCTTCAGTCATATTGTCCACTGTTCGTTGGGATTGGATCTACCTGAGTTTGCCGTCGGAGCACTTGAATACGACACCGAGCTGATGCTGAGGGTTCTGTCAGTGAATGAGCTCTTTGATGGGACGACAGAAGGAAACTGACTTGATACGGCTGTAGGTAATATTTGTGCTCTGATACACGAACTAAGAATGGAAAGTGAGTGGATTACGGGTATTTACTTTGCCCATCCTTACGTTGTTCTATGCACGACATTTAGCGTACTGTATCAGAAGCAAACGCGTACGATTGAACGTACCCAGAACGGCGAGCCAATCTCAGTGATATCCTCAACTATGACGTGCGATGCATTCCCGACGGTAAGTGGAATCGGCCGGGCGAAGGTCCTAGACGAGCCGCCAGCAGTACCCGAGTTCTAGTCCGAGAACCAGTTAGTTCCTCTTGCAGCATGCGAGATGATGCCTACATTACCCCAGTGGTATTGAACGTGTCCCACCATACTTGCCCGTTGCCATCAATCGTACCGCCGCCGTAGAGGTGAATATACTCTCCGGACAAGAACCAGAAAGTTGTCCTGTAGAAAGGTCAGTTGAGAGACTGCATTACGAAGTACACACGTACGCATTCTGGAAAGTCAAATACAGACTGTTCGGGGACCAGTAAGCGATGTTAGGCGTGTATTGCACTGTAGCATGTGTCCATGTAAGGACGTCAATGCGTAGAACCGACAAATCATCCCTTACCTGTTCCGCTCAAGACAATGTCAACATAACTCAGGCCCTCCGCCAGGAGCAAGGTGTTGACACTGTAGTATCCGTCGAGGATGATTGCTGCATTGTTCGAGCACTCCTCGAACGCGGCATTGATGTTCGGTCCGTCATCCTGTCCTCCACCAAGGGGCTTCACTGCGCAAACGGTGTCCCATGCGAGCGCGCTCGCAGCGAGGGATATGAGTGTCAGCGCTGCTTTGAACATAGTGGATACCTCGGCAGACGACGTCGACGCGTCGGAAGGGCGAGGATGCAGCTCAGTCCTTCCTCGACGAGGTGTGCTATTTATTGATTGTGAATGAAGGCCCCTACTGTCACGCGGATCCCCATGACGGGACTGCCGTATACCATGAGAGCGCTCATCGAGCGGCCCGCGCAGGGGTTGGACGACGAGGACCGTGGTAGCGCGAAGGATCCCCTGCACGCCCAGCCGGACTAATGTGTGCGAAGCAGTGGAATGCAGCGGGGATGCGGCGGCCCGGGCGCGTCGCGTCGCCGTCACGTGGGGACGTGTCCCTGTGCAACACGTCCCAGGACCAACGCGCGGCAGCAAACATAGCTCATCTGCATTGTCACAATCACTGCGTACCACAGGTTTACTCAAGTGTGTTAACATAAGCTGTGGTTCAGCGCCTGGCTTGTGGGCACGCCCCATGTCAAGGTGACAAGGCCAGCTGAGTGACCTTCAGGCGCAATTGGTCCAGCCGAGCATGTGCGGATTCTGAGCCCCTAGTAGTGATCAGTGTCAGCTCACCTTACGAGCGGGACGCACAAAATCTAGCGACTCACACTGTGTTTGAGCCAAAGGTTTGCTCCTTGGACGAGGCGGAGCCCTCCGAGAGGGATACGCTGGGAGATTGTCCGGAATCTCCGAGTCGGCGCACTCAATGAAGTGACTGGTTTCATATCACTCTCCTCCACTTATTATAGACAGCAGTGAGGACGGACACGCATCAAATAACGCGGACATGAATCCACTTCAAACCCGGATCCGCGATCCTTGTCATGCCGAGGCTGCTACGGTGCTAAACGCCGACGGCAATACATCAGCCTTAGCTCGCCGGGGCAGTACAGTTGAAGCCCAACTGTGCAAGACAGTCAGTTGGCAATCTCGTGTAGACCCCGATAGCACAACCTACCTCGTTCTCACTCGCGATGTTCTGGCAAACATACGTAGCCGGCCCCTTCGGCGACGTTATGTCGATACCACTCGCGGTAATGTCTTCACATTCCTGCGAACATTCTAGGTCCACGACGACGGTCCCTTCATCTCCAGACGATGTTCCCGTCACATTTGAGTCTGCGCGATGCGACGTGACTACATGAGCATAATGGTTTGATGAAGGCGCCTACAGTGTATATCCGAGATGGAGAGCTGACTTGGGTATTCAGCGCAGACAGAAGCGTCTGTCTCGTAGCACTAGATGAAGGTATCAGGCTTGCGTGGGTGTGTTGTGACATAGTGGCGACTGACCTGGTCAATAACGACCGGGTCGTCGACGACATAAACTTTCAGGAGGATTCAACGTCGACGGCATACGATCGACGGTTTGAGTACCCTACCGTAGAAGTCCTCGAACGTCACGTTCCTGACGTAGCCCGTACCTCCACCAGCCGTGCTGTCTGTAATACCGTTGCGCACATGTAGCGATGCAATCGAAATGGGAGGAATTGAACTACGTACTCGCGTCAGGGCTACCGCCAAAGACCTTGATACGAGCGCCATTCTCAGCGTAACGCATAGTGATGTTCTTGACGAAGACGTTTGCGACAATGTCGGTCTCACCAGCGTACTGGCCAAGGCTACCGATGGAGATGCCATGAGAGCCGTTGCACCACATGTTGGTCACAATAATCTCGGTAGCGTTCGGTTTCAGGGCTGCCAGACGTACGTTCAATGAGATGCTCAAGCCCGACAAACGGAGGACTCACAGACACAATCGTCACCGTTGTTGATTGTTGAGTCGGTGATGGTGACCTGGGAGGAACGGTAGATGTCCCATCCATCTACGAAATGAGACCATTCAGTAGACGTTCAAATCGTGTCTAAAAATGAGCTTACCGGTGTTCTTAGCTGGCGCGCTGGAGTATGAGAAGGAGTCGATACTAGGGTGATACATTAGGAGCAGTAGAAGCAATCGCGCTCTGATAACGTACTAGATGTTGCGATACGTGACGTTCGTGCTTTGGTACACGAACTGCTCGCACACATTGGTCAGTCTCACTTGAGAACCATTTGATAGAGCTCATACATTGTTCTAAACATGAGCATGGGTTCCAAGCTGAAATTAATGACGGCGATGAAATAACGGTTTAACCACTCACCCAGTTCGGTGACTGCCACTGCGTGATGTTTTCAACAACAACATTCGAGGCGTTACCGACCGTCAGAGGTATGGGGCGTGCAAAGGACCGCGTGGAAGCCCCTGCCGTTGCAGAATTCTACATAGCGATGACACGTCAATCTGGTTATCGGATAACATTGGAGAGAACTTACTCCGGTGATGTTGAAGGTGTCGTACCAAACCTGACCGTTGCCATCGATGGTTCCTCCTCCGTAGAGGTGGATATCGTCTCCTGAGAGGAACCAGAATGTCGTCCTACGTGGTACTGACAAGTCAGCATATGGCACTGGTAACACATTTAAGCATAAGACCACGAACGCATTCTGGAAAGTCAAGTAAAGACTGTTTGGAGACCAATACGCGATGTCCGGAGTGTATTGCACTGCATTGAGAGTTAGACTGGAGTCGTCATACAGAAGTGTCCATGCGATCAACGCTGACCTGTTCCACTTAGCAAGATGTCCACATGACTGAGACCCTCGGTCAGAAGTAGAGTGTTCACGCTGTAGTAGCCGTCCAAGACGATCGTGGCTTCGGACGCACACTCTGCGAAGACACTATTGATATTCGGGCCATCGTCTTGACCGCCGCCAAGTGGCGTTACTCTGCACACCTTCTCGTACGCAGAGGCTACGGCGACGAGCAAGAGTAATGCCGTCAGGATCGTAAACATCTTGTGTGATCACCGTCGACTCTGCAGATGCAGCAGCCTTGAATGGCGACAGCATGCGCGGACGCACTGCCAATTTATAGGGTTTCTTATTGTAATATTACGCGAGGCGGGCCGCGATGGATACCACATCACAGATGTGTGGGAGCATATCCTCACTGAGTAAAAACTATCAATGGCCAGCAGCTTCGCTGTGAGAGGAAGGCTACCAGGCGGTCCGGCGGAGAGCATGTTGTCTGGGTCATGAGATCAAAGCTTGCCAGACCGTTACAGGAGTTGGAAGCTAACCGGGTGAGCATCGATGAGTGTAAATATGGTGGTAGAGAAGAGAGAAATGCCGGTAGGAAAGTTGAAGTACAGCGGGTTTGAGTCTTGGGAGCTAAATCACGTGAAGCCTATTCCGCCTCGACGCCACCGACCGCATCGCGCGTGTAAGGCGGCGACCCTTCGCGTTCGACCACTACAACCGTCTGCCGGCCTTGCAAACCATGGCCACACTGCAGGGCTATGTTGACCGTAAGTTGCACTACATGCGCCGCTTTCATTCTGAATCATCAGTTGTGAAGTGGTCGAAGGAACGTCGTCTCATTCACTCTCCGCTTCTCAGATCGCGTTCTCCTCATTCTGCAGGATGGACGCGCCATAGTGGTGCGTGTCTTACCTGCATTGTCGTTTGACTCACGTTAATCATGATATGTCTATTCTCCGGCGTCCAGGGTGTCATGGCTGGTTACGACCAAAAATCAAACGTCGTCCTCTCCGACTCGAAAGAGCGCGTATACAGCATGGACGACGGCGTAGAAGAGATACCGCTGGGCTTGTATCTTGTGAAGGGCGATCAAATGTATGTGTTCTCATCTCTATCTCTTCACTGCTAACAGAGGCGCCACTGTAGAGTTCTCATCGGCGAGCTCGACGAAGCCCTTGAGCAATCAGTTGACCTATCCACGATTCGAGCCGAACCTCTCCCTCCTATTCGATACTAAACCGCCGAAATGACCTTCTTATGGGACTCGGGAAAAGACATAATCGCCCCAGCTGCATGTCATGCATTGCGCCTCCCGCATAGGGCGCGCCATGTACATCTATGGGCGTCCTAGAGCGGCGGCGCCAACGCCGGTGCCGGGATGCTGGGAGGATCACTCGCTTGCGAACGCGGATGGTTGAGAATGGGCGGACCCCATCAACGTGTCGCATTCGGTCGCTGAATTCCAAAGCATGTAGTACGAAGTGGACACGAGTGAATGAATACACACGTTCGGCACGGCCGATACAGCTATTGGGACTGTTTCAGTGCCTGTCAAAAAGATGGGTTGAATGGTTGCGTGCAATCGGAATGCAGTCCGTCAAATGTCTAAGCTCCCTAATCGTAATCGTATTTCGTCATGAAAGTCGTCAAGAACTACAAGCTACCGCAAGTTACTGATCAATGTAAACTTCCTCAATCGAGCTCGTCTTCAATGGATCGCCCACAAAACGCAAAGCCAGTGTGGCACGCAGGGATGTTCGCCCTAGAAACAGTCACGGTCAGTTCAGTAGTTGCAGAACATCCCCAGACCGATCGGAGGACGTACGCTGCCTTCGAGAAGACCACGAACGGGGAGCGCTTGTACCTGTTGGCCACAACCCCGATTCTCAGCCTGTTCAGGTTGACGGGCTCCCTGTGCAAAGTTGTCAGCTTCACGCTTCAGTCGTTACAACAGTGATATAATCTACCTGCGAGAGAGCAACATGTCGTCCTCATCACGGGCGTAGAAGCTCTCAACCATATCCGCTGACCGGCGGTTCCTATTCATACGCACTCAGTTTTCGCATCGTCTTCAAGATACGAGACGGACTCACTGTAAGGCACGCGCAGCGATGCCGAACTCGGTCCCGCTTCAAGTGTTCCGTTCAGATTCATCTGAACGGACTAGAATGCAGATACATACATTGGGAGTGCAACAGCCGGACCGGTAGCGGCAAGGAGAGCAACAGCGACGACAGCAGAGAAACGCATCGTAGACCAGTCGTGAAGTAGCAAAATAAGTCGTTGACGAAGGTGAAAGTGAGTAGCGTGACGAAATATAGATTAAAACGAAACAAGCAAGGCTAGAGAGCAAACGCGGCATTCAGACGACCACCAGATTGCAGTAGGGATGGGGTACTCACTAGCCAGTACCTGTACCCGTGAAACTTGGCTCGAAGAAGATGAGGAGCTCAAGCACGAACGAACGCGGGGGTCGCGCTTTTATAACACAGCCCGTACGTTGATAGACGCCCATCGTCGCGCCCGGCAACAGCGGTTATGGCGCCCAGGCAAAGAGGCGGGTACTTGCACAGCACTGACACTGCTCTGGACCGAATAGGATAATTCTGCTGAGACGTGATGTCAAGATCTGCAGTACGACTACACATAATCTGTGTGAGGCTGTCAACAAGATAGTATACCGCCAAGCACAGCAAAGTTACTAGCAAGGCGGAATGGGGCAGAGTGCGAACCTCAGCCGGCAATGCATCGAGAGCAAAGGCACTGGCTACACAAAGAACGATGACACCGCTGCTGAATACATCCTACCGGTGTAGATATTGACCAACTACCTACGGCGCCGCCAGGAGCTTGACTGACTACGTCTATCCGCATCCTCGTCTTCATCGCCACCATCCGACTCCTGACCAGCGTCGTCGAACGAATATGGCAGCGGGACCTCGCGCGTCACGCGGTATTGATCCATATTACCCAGGTGTTCGTTCTCCAGCCGGACTGCTCGCGAAACGGTGTCAGGTCCTAGCCTCTCTAGACGTCGGTTGCACGGAAAGCACTTACAGAAGTTCCACTGCCATCTCCTGAGCATCTCTAACATAGCTGCGATGAACGTGCGTATTGTGTAATTAATGCCGCTCCGCGGGATGTACATGACGAATTCGAATCGAATGATTATGTTGGTGATCTACAGACGAGGTCAGCTGTGCGGGTAAAGTGAAAATGATGTTTAACACTCACCATGGCTATGTAGTAAACCTGCACCACACGATAAATATACGTGTTGAACACGAGAGATGTGAAATGCTCACGGGTAGCCAGGAGGTATATAAGATCTCTGATCGCAATAGAGGGTATTTCGCGTGAGGTTGAAAGAATGACCAATCCATGAGGAAGTCCTTCACAGACATGAGACTCAGACGGCGCATCTTTTGTAATGCAATTGTGCTGAACTCACCCATGCGGTGGCGTATGTGGCATAGAGTATGCCCATGATACACCAAGGAACAAACCTCGGGCCATATGAACCGCCTACACCCCGGATGATAAGCGTACGCCATGTAGAAAACCCACCCGGCTAGCCAACTCACCTTCGGCTCTCCATAAGTAGTATGTCATGTAGTATATAACGCCCGTTGCGTACTTTCCAGCCTTCCGTCGCCATGTCAGCAACGGACATCCGCAGAGACCTGTCAAACGCCACTCACATTGACTAGATGCGTCCACTGCCGCGAATCGACCCACCGTCGGATGCTCTGAACGAATCGAATGAAGAGGGGTAGAGCGCCGAGGGCAAACATCGGGCCCCAATTGCTCCCCGCCGTGCAGACACGCCAGTTCTTCAGTTCGTGGCTGTACGCGCATCCCGCGAACCACAAGTCGGCAAGCGTGAACACTAGGCTACAGAATTGGTCGCTGAGCGCCATTATGAAGATGTTTAGTCCAGAGTCCGAGTAAGGAGAGTTAGAAGACTTTACCCCATCCAGAAGTCTTGGAACTAACAACAGCAGTGAACGTTATTTGGAGTTCCATGCGTTCGCTGTGAGGAAGAGAAACGCACCTCGACACGTCGTACTCCTGACGTAAGTTGTCTATAAAGGTTCTTGACCAGCCAATATCGCGAAGGTCTGAAGAGGATAGGTAGCGGGTTCAACCAGACGAACAACGCCCACACGAGCCATAGAAGTGCCCAGTATGAAGGTCCGACGGCATGTGAACCGACACGCGCGAACGAGAGCCATAATGCGTAGCAGAGGGTGGACAGTAGCAATGCAGGTATCTGCAGCAGTACACGCTCAGGATCTGTGAATGCAGCAAATGTCTTCCACGCACCTCGAAGTATTCTCTATGGTCTAGTTTTGTCCGTACATCCAGTTCTTGAGAAGACGACAAGACATCAGCACGCCACCAGCAGGATAAGTATATCAATGCATCCGTCAAACGCACCAAAGATGAAGACATAATTTATCCGTGCATTGTGCCAGACAAGCAAATTGATACCAATAAGATACGAAAATATGACAGGCACGGCCAAGATGCCGTAGACGAAGAGCAGGCCGTCCCACGACGGTATCGCTGCTCGCGTGTCAGGTTGAAAGCCTGTAGGTAGTGGACATCAGTGATACTTGTTCACGTGCTCGAGGCAGCTAACACACTCACTTCGATAGAGGCCATCGACAAGAGCAGGGACTCCTAGGCCGAGAAGTAGCCCAGACCTGAAGGTGCTGAAATGATGGCTCTTGTGGATCGCCCCGCTGCGTAGACGTGCTTGGGCACGTTTCTTGTCGCCGCGAGCTATGACAACTGTGATAAGTCATGATGATGCTATGGGCACACTGTCCTCACCAAATCGAGCCGCGAAGAGATCCTCCATTTCACGAAGCATGGCATCGAGTCGCGCACCCGAGGATATCGCACTCGGCTCGATCTTCTCGATTGTATACGCTTGCATGGCAGGAATCTACGAGAACGGAAGATATGATGAGACGAAGATCAGTGTAGCCCATAGAACGTAACATACGTGCGTGACCTTTTCAAACTTCTTCAAAGCCTTCCTGAACCCAATGAGGTTCAACGTCTGCAATACAGGCACGTCAACTCTCCACTGGGCACCACGAACCGTATTACACTCACCCTATAGTTGTTCAGCACCTCAAGACCTCTGCACAAATTGGTCAGGCCTTTGCACGCTCAACCAGATTCGCACTACACACCGATAGCACTCCTGCATCGCCTTCTTCAGTTTCTTCTTCGCCTCGTGGTACTCCTCCGGGTCATGCCTCGCGCCCGCCGACCCCTCATGCAGGCGCACGCTGGGGCGCTGCGCCTCACCCTCGCTCTTCCGCGCACTAGGCCCTGCACCAGCACCTTCCACGCGCTCCGTAGCCCGCACGGATGCCTTCTTCCCCGCATCGTCCTCGTGCTCGAGGTCATTCAGCGTCGTCGTCGCCGTCGTCGGCGGGCTCATCACGCGCGCCTCGATCGTGATCGCCTTCTCTACCCCTGCATCTTCGTCGCTCCCCTGCCGGGGCGTAGACGGCGCGTCGTGCTCCCGGGCGCGCTGCCCGAGGTGCGAGATCGGCGTTCGGAAACGCACGGGCATGGTGAACCACGCGGGGCCCATGCCTGCTTTCGGATGTGCTTCCTGGTAGCCAGAAGAGCGAGCAGAGTCAGAGCGCGTGAGAGACGGGAGAGAGTGGCGACGTACGTAGAAGGCCCGCCTGTGGTCCTTGAGCTCTTGCAGCTGCTGCTTCAGCATTTCGTACCTGCCATCCAAGCCGTCAGTTGACTGATACGCACACAGTCGACCCTGCGCAGACCCACCTCGTCATCAGCTCGCGCTCCCTGGCGCAATAGAAGCTCTCCACCTTGTCCAGCTCCCCGTCCAGCATATTAAAGAACGACCGTGCCACGGGCGGCAGCATGGGCAGTAGCTCTCGTAACGGCGGGTGCACGCCCACGGCCCACGGCCAGGTCTTCTTCGCCGAGCCCGGCGTAACAGGGATGGACGTGGCGGGCGTCCTCGGGTGACCTTCGTGCGCGATCGATTGAGAGCCAGAGACACTGCGTGCGTGCGCCGTCACGGAGAGGCCCGTCGTCGTCCGCCTGCGGAGACGCGGGAGGACGCTGCTGGCGCGGCCCGGGCTCGCACTGGTGTGGATCTGCACCGGACTCTGCCTGGCGTCGTCAGGTTCTGAGTCGGGGAAGGACTCTCTGCGCATGTCCTCGTCGCCTTCAGGAGGCGGGGATGACGAGGGCATGCTCGCCCCCGCGGCGTCCGAGCTGAAGCGCGTAGTGCGAAGTGGGCTGGATGTCGAAGGCCCCTTTTCGGCATCGGGGTGACGGCTCTGTGAGGGAGTGAGCGGGAGGAGGGGTGTGGCGCCATCGATGCTTGTGTCCAGTTCGGACTCTTGCGCACGCCTGATGAGGGTGATCTTCTTCTTGAGACCACGGTAGTCACTATACACACAATTCAGTTTTCAATGCTTCGTGCTTGCCATATTCGCTGGAGGATCGAATGGCGACATGTACACAATGTCGCAGCAAATGCACAATGCCCGTACACTACGACCCAGCCAGTGGCAAATCAACAGACATCCCTCGCGCAACCTCCGCATAGCTGGATCTCTCCAACCTCCAGTGCAACAAGGTCTGTACTGTCGCGGCCTGGAGCCGCGACAAACGCAAGCGCTCCAGCTCAAGCATAGTATCAAGTTTGGAATGGATGCTGCGCGGGGGTGTCTAGGGGTGCCTGTTGACTTGCGACCACCTGTCAGTGACAGGCGATGCTCTGCTACCGGTCGATCCATCTTCGTGACAGACGCCACAGCTTAGGCAGCATGTCAAAGGATCCCTGATGATTGGGGAGAACACCTTGATCGAATCCGGGCATTATTGGGGGTCTCGGAGGCGGTAGGCCTGAGTTTTGTCTGGACCTCGGAAGGGCGAGGATTCCGCGACGATAGGCCCTTGCCAAAACCCTGTACGCAGGCAGAAGACATGGAACCTTGACTTCAGGTGATCCGCACCCTCTGCCGTTGGACCTCAGCCACCCGCCACGGTCTGCTGCCCCTAGACAGTGTTGTTTTTGACGGGAATGTCAAGACCGGCACACTCCGCGTTTGTGCAGGTCTGGATATAGAGGCCTATTGATTTGGCAACAGTTAAAATGACGGGCCCACCGGTAGAGCCCTAAGGAAAAGTCAAGACATCTCGTGCAATCTTTGGGCAAGCCTTGGGCGTAAGATCGCCATTTTTGTCCGGACATGATCCTGGAAGGTCCCCACATAGAATCAGGGGTCCTCATGTCAATGTCGAGAGCTGCGCAGTGATCGTGCTACCAGCCGGGACAGAAGGCCGCTGGCGCACAAAGAATTTGAACGATTGTACGCACATATACGCCTTTTTCCACTCAGGAGTCTATTCATGTGCTGAGGTGGGCCACCCAAACTAGTGTACGATACAGCACACACCTGAGTCTCCTCCAGATACCTGACATTGTTTCGAACTGAAGTCAGCATGGAGGACAACACAGACTGCCAGTGACTAGGCAGCACGCTCATGTCAGGGCTCATACAATGACGCACCTAGCAAATTTCATGGCTGGTCGTAATTAGGATCATGCACGTTCGTCACAGAGAGATAGGATAGGTGGGAAGAGGCGAGGGTGGGAATGCGTGCAGACCCTGCAATGCGTCCGAAGTTAGATTTTGTCGCTGCCCCTCGCGAGTCCGACCGTCGACGCGCCTCTTGTTGCCTCGTGCTCTTCGCGTCTCGATCACGTGGTCTAATGAAGGGAGGGATGCGTAAAGCCAGAGATCACCCGCTCAAATCTGTTTCCGAATACTGTTTCCAACATCGCAGATCCGTCGCAGCAACAACCGCACAGGGTGAACAGTAGTCTTCTACTTCTACTTAGTGAGTCACCTTGACTCTGGGCTGAATGTGCGCTCGGTACCTTGACGAGTCCGAGCGCTGAGCGCTGAGCCCGGACCCGGAAGCGCGTAATCGACTCCGAGAGCAATGAAGAACTCGGATATAAACTGACGGTGAGATCATGTAGGACCAAAGACAGCCTACTACTGTCTCGCGCAGCTCACCTCCGCTGTTGAAGAACATCCACGCTATCACTATGTCTAGTACGCCCAGTCTTACTGACTACAAGGTCATCATGTTCGACGTCTACGGAACGCTCGTTGTACGTACCCCATCTCTACGCCTTCTTACTTCTCTTGCCAGCTTTTGGCGTATGTATCGCTCATGTATGTCACAGGATTGGGAGTCAGGCATCGTGCACGGTCTCAAGCCCATCCTCGCGGGCACGCCCCTCGCCTCCCGCGAAGCCGCCCTGACAGCGTACCAGAACGTCGAACGCGACCTCCAAACCCGCTACCCGACCATGCGCTACAGCGAGCTCCTCACCCGAGTCCACGCCGAGCTCGACGCGCGCGCCCACAACCTCTCCGCACCCGCCGAACCCTCCGGGAGCACCGCCGCAACCGTCGAGAGCAGCACCGGCGCGGTCGTCGAAGGTACTACAGTCGGGTCCTCCGCGTCCGCGTCGGAGTCCCCGGACGCGCACACCGCGTTCGGACAGAGCATCGGCGGGTGGCCGCCCTTCCCGGACACGATCGCCGCGCTCACGACGCTCAGCAAGCACTTCAAGCTCACGGTCCTGTCCAACGTCGACCGCGCGTCCTTCGCACACACCCAGCGCGCGCTCGAGGGCCCGTCCGACGCGCCGCACTTCCGCTTCTCGGCCGTCTACACCGCGGAGGACGCCGGCGCGTACAAGCCCGATCCGCGTGCGCGCGAGTACGCGCTGCGCCGCGTGGAGGCAGAGCTCGGCGTCCCGCGGGAGCAGGTCCTCGTCGTCGCGGTGAGCGTGTCGCATGACGTGCAGCCGTCGAGGGAGATAGGCTTGGCGACGGCGTGGATCTCGAGGAAGGGGTCGCTCATTGGCTGGGATGGGGACGAGGGGTCGAAGGCGACGTTCAGGTTCGACACTCTGGGTGAGATGGCGGAGGCGGTCGAGCACGAGGCGAATGGGGCATAGGCGATTGCCTACGTTGTGTTCGCATGTATACCTACAGAGTGGGGTATGATGAAGCAATGATGTATGTTGTTGGCAGTCTCCCATCCCTGCTGGGTAAAAGTAATACGACACTGCACTTGCTGCGTTGGAATTTCTCTGGGAAGCGTCAAGATTCGGCATATCCAGACGTGATCCAGAGAGATGGAGAGTGCATTATGGATCCATCCCGTGTCATGGCGAGTAAAGGACGTACACTAATTCTCGTACATTATCGTCGCACATCCACCGTCTAGCACAAGGTGAACTCGCCGAATACTACGCTACATCAAAGCCCAAGTCAAAAGTCCACAAGTGAAAACCCCACGCCCTACGACGGCGGCGCGAGACACCGGTCCGCCGACAGGTTGAAGTCGTTCCCCCACCACTGCGGGAAGACCACCGTCTTGCCCGCCGCGCCGAAGATGGCGAAGTTGAGGATGAAGACGATGACCTGCGTGCCGCCGTCGAGCGCGGCCGCGACGATGTAGTTGTACTTCGTGAACCAGCGCGGGTAGCGCGTGCGCACCCACCACTGCGACAGTATCCCGAGCGCCATCGACGTGTTCACGGATGTGTTCACGCCGACGGACAGGTAGCACGAGTACTGCATGATGATCGACGTGTTCAGGTTCTCGAAGCCGGCCTTGGGCCAGATGCGGTACTGCACGCGCCACGTCAGTTTCGTATCATAGCAATCCAACACGGAGGAACACGCACGCAGAGGTAGAACGGCAGCGGGAGGAAGAGCCCGATCGCGAGCGAGATGGGGACCATCTTGTACGTCGAGTGCGCGCCGAACATCTGCGGGGCGAGCGCGCCCCACGCGATCGCGTTCGAGTTGTAGCTCTGCGCGTTCTGGCCGGACCACAGACGCGTGCCCGCGATCGACAGGAGCGCGTCGCGCTGCGCATTGATGATCGACAGCATCATGACGTAGTTGAGGATCGCGCCGACGACCGTGCCCGCCATCTGCATGCAGAACGTCACGCGCGGCGCGAGCTTGCAATACTGCCCGAGCTTCAGGTCCTGCAGGAACGCGATGCCCTGCTGCAGAGGGTGCGCGCCGTACATTGCGCCGTACATGTTCGCGACGGGGCGCCCGGGGACCATGTACGCTGGAAGATTCGCCAGTCAGCAATCCTGCAGAATCCAACAGGGCATAAAAGACAGCTCACCGGTGATCATCTGGAAGAAGCCGTTACCCGATGTGTTGAACTCCGAGAAGCCGATGGTGGCTGCAAGGGTGGAGTACAGCGCACAAAAGATGAAGCCGATGAAGAGGAGGATCGTAAGGGCCCACCACGGCAGACCGGAGTCGCCAGTGTAGTTGGTCGCCTGCGCGATGCCGTACGCGGCGAGGAGGATGGCGAGGTACCACCAGCGCGGGATCTGCTTGTACGCCTTCATCTTCTCCCAGTGCACGTCGTGAACGAGGTACTCCTCCTTGTTCCACGGGTTCAGCGACATGACGAACGGCTTGAGGTCGTTCCAGTGGTACAGCGCAATGTGCGTCACGACCGCGCCGAGCGAGAGGTTCGACGTGATCAGGTAGAGCGCGTTCGTCGAGGAGAAGTACGCGGGCCCGAGCTCCTCGTACTTGGTCGCGTTGAACTTGCCGTTGCTCAGCAGCGCGGTCTGGTCGTACACGGACCCGTTCGCCGCGAAGATGTCCTGGCTCATGAACGGGAAGTCCTTGGCATTCCAGAGGTTGCCATAGTACACGGCAGACATGAGGGCATACGTCAGGAAGATACCGATGTCCTGGTTGAGCTGCAGCCAGAGCGGCGAATAGAGGCAGTTGGATCCGACCAGGTTCCAGTCGAAGCATACTGCGAGTAGACCCATGCCCTCGTTGTTGGACGCGCCACCGAAGACGTTCCGCACGACGGACGAGTGGTTATCCGCCAAGCAGAAGATTGAGACACCGCTGAGGACAGGGAAGATCCCTGTCATATCGGCAAGAAACCATCAGTATCAAGGATCACGGACTAAACATTGGCTTGGACCCACATTCAGGAAAGATTTCCCAGCAGAACATGATAGCGAAGACAGTCCAGAACAGGCGGACACGCTTAGAGGTCATCTGTCTGTCATAATGGAGGGCCTGGAACAGGTTGGCGATGTAGACTGGGCAAGACGAACGTCAGTGACCGTGCCAGTGCGCAACATGCGGTCAACTCGAACGCACTGTTATTGGGCCAGAAGCACTTGGTCGGACGGACAAGTGCCTCAGAGAGCAGACCGGCATAACCATATCCAATCAGCTGCGAACCGATCAACGTGAATATCGCAATTCCGGGATTCTGCGCGACAGTGAGCGTCTGGTAACTGCGGAGTGCTTGACGTGGGACCCACCATGTCATTGTTGTAGTACACTATTGCAAACGGCATCAGTGAAATTCACTCAGCGATAACTGTCTGCAATCTGACTTACAGTTCTGCACGGAGATGACCTGAATCGCGACGGCGGAAGTGGCAGCCGTGGAAGACATGATAATGATGGCCGTGTGCTCCTTGACTACAGAAGAGCACATGAGCCACTGGTTTCCGCCCCACGACGATATCACTATACGCACTGTTGAAAGGACCAGGGTTCACCCAGCGCCACCAGCCACGAGATGGCAGAGCCATGTGCATTCCATTACCGAACCAGTATGACAGGATGAGCAGGAGTAGCACCGATACGTTGAGCGTCTGGGGCTTGAAGTAATAAATCTGCGCCAACACACTATAGTGGCATCAAAGTCAGGCGTGCGTCTTTGTCAGACCGGCGGTGATGCTTACGCTCCGAATGCAGAGAAGCCAAGACCAAGGAAGATTGTGCGGAAGGTTACCGCCTGTAGCTCGGGGTCGTCCCTCGCCGATAAGACCTAGGGTAGAGGACGTGAGTGAACGCGTACGAGAGACGGTATGGCTGTGCGCTACCTTGACGGCGACTTCGTAGGCCTCCTCAACTCGGTACTCAGCCTCGGTGGCCTCGTCGTTGGCGATGCGGTCCTCCATCGCCTCGACCTCCTTGGTAAGCTCAACGTCGTCGACGGCGACATCGTCCTCGAGCTTCTTCTCGAGAGAAGAGTCGGAGAGATGCTTGTCGCCGTCGTACATGGCAAGGTGAGACGCCATGGCTGGGATGCTGGTGGCGGACTAAACCTGGGACGCGAACGTCGACGTGCAAGGGATTCGTCGAGAAGCCGGACTGGGTGACGCTGGGTATTTATCCAGAGTGTGGCTACGCGGGTCATGGCAATATCATAGAGATGCGCGGACGAGAAGTGGAACCTGTGGCGGCGCGTTGGCGCATGCGCCCGTCGTTCGCATCTGGCAGGCTGCTGTCAACTGTGCACCAACGAAGCATGCGCGCGAGGCTACCTGCAGTCGCAGATGGCTGTATCTACCGCACGGCGAGCGTGCACACGACCCCTTGCGGCGGTAGTCGGAGTACCCGTGACTGTAAGCGCCGAGGCCGTGCCTGGGGATCGTCGCTCGAGGAAGGATCGATCGAGATTGGTTGGCGGGGCCACGTCGCATGCGAGTCTATCCTGCTCTCTTGCGCCGTGCGCCGTGCTCTCTCTTGCACCGCGCGTGCTCTCTCTTGCGCTCATCCACACGCGCTCCGTGGCGTCGTGCGCTCTGGCGTCCCCGCGTGCCGCGGCGTCTGCTCCGAGCGCGCGACAGCCTCTGCGGGCATGTCCAGCGACCGGGCAGAAAGCCTGAGTATGCGTCCAATTTACTCGCTCAAGGGCGACACCCAGCTGTCCCCTTCCTGTGTGCTGCCCAGCGTAGGCGCCCGTCCCTTCCCCCTCTCCGCGCACAAGGGCATCCTATGTACATGCTCTCTCCAAGTGACTCGTATGGCCCCCCCGCGCAGTCCCGTCCGAGCCGCCAAGTGAGCTCCGCACGAGAGGCACTGAACACGACGAGCAGCGCTCAGATCCAGTCCGCCCCACCGTACGTCCCCTCCAGCATCCGTCTCCCTACTACACGCTTGCCCTCGCACCCAGAACCCCGCGTGCTCCGCATTCCGGACGTCTACGCAGCCACACGGTAAGTGGAACACTAAGTGATCCCGAATGAGCACTCACCATAACGCGGCAGACGAGTACGGCTCGCGTGCAGGAACACGCCGCCGCTCGCCGGAACGCGATGTGTCGTGTCTTCGTCGATCTTCATGTCCACCGCCCCGCCCCGCCCAGAACCTCGCTACCACCTCCACATTCAAGTCGCAATGGACGCTAGCACCTGCCAAGTAGAGCTGCACGCGAATCTAGAGCAAACACTTACCGAACCGTCGCCAACGCGACAGACGAGTAGGGCCAGGGTGTGGGAACCTAAACCCGACCACTCCGCTCGCCGGAACCCTATGCGTCGTGTCGTCTTCGGTCATCACCCTGCCAGCGTCTCTCGCCTGGACACCCCGGTCGAACCCGGCACCACTACACACGGTCAGTACAGCTCCGCGGGATGCAGTACACTCACTCACCACTTACTGAGACAGACCCTGCTCGCCGGATCGCGATACGTCGTGTCTTCTTCGCCAGTCAACCTTGCGTTCCGCGAACATCCGCGTTTCGCGGCACCGAGCACAATCCGCTGAACAGATCGGCTGCTGCTCGCTCGCACTCATCGCTGACTTGACGGGATCGTCGTTGATCTGGTGACGCGGTCGTCACTTGCCTGTGACCGTCCCGCAACTCGGCCTCACGACCGGAGCCCGACCCGCGTTCCACCACGCAAGACCGCAAGGCCATGTCCTGGAACATGGAGGTGGAAAACTGCGTGGGCGTGAGTGGATGCACCATCCGTCTGCAATGTCCGCGTACCGATTGTGTCGACAGATCCGCCTCGCGGGGCCTTCCAGTCCGGCGACACGCAAGTCACCCCCGGCGCACATGAGAGTCGGACGGCCACCGGGCACGTCGATTTGCCCAACCAGCACGCGGGGAGCTGCGACCGGGAGTGGTCGCTTACGAGCTGATCCCCGCCGACCACGTACGTCGGCGGCATGTCGGTTCCAGCCCGCTTTTCCAACTCGGACGCGCACAAGACGCCCGACGAGATTGTCGTCGTCCGGCGGCGGTCGACGGCAAGCACGTGAGTGACGTGCGGATCGTCCGAGACCCGGAACTTCACTCACTCACTCCTCTGCCACCCGCGCTGGTGCTTGTTCACCGCGTACAGCTGCAGGCTGCCTGGCGAGCCTGGGACTCAGCCGGGCGCATCCAGGAACCGGCTACCATCGTCGTCCTCCGGGTTCCGGCTCACCGTCGACCACAGCAGCCGCGTCGTCGACCGAACGCGTGGAGGAACTGGAGATCGCCGTCGTCTGACAGGCGGGCAGCAGGACGGAAATGGCTCGGTGAGTGTCGAGCAGATTTGTGGTCACCAGATCCAGCGCGCACTCGCGGTCGTTGACGGGGAGGCTATTCCGCCATTGGACGAGCCCGGCGAGTGCGCTGCCAGGCGTGTCGAGGGGCGGACCGCGACGTGTGACCGAGGACGTCCAGCGTCGACGCAAGACAACCCGGATACCTGAGACAGCTGTACCATGTGCAAGTAAGTACGCTGTGTCACGGCAGGTTCTTGCGGACTATGTGCTCACTTCGAATGGCTTGCAGGCTGTCGTCGTCAGTGACGATCGCAGACGGTGACGCCGTTTCGCTGGCTGTTGCCGTTGGACGGTCCGAGAAGCCTTCCGTCCACGACACTGCCTCGGGAGACGAGGAACTGGAGATCGTCGCCGTTCGGCGACGTTCGATAGACGGTGAGTCGCGAGACAGCTACATTCAGTGGAGAACGGCGGGTGAGTGGCGTGTAGGCTTGTATGAACCGCGTACTCACTTGCGCTGCCCAGGACTGCTCACGCTGAAGACTCGCTGGACAGAGTCCAGCTCGTCGTCGTCTTGGACGGGCTGTGCTTGTCTCACGGTTGGAGTCCAAAACCATCCCGGCGCGGCGAGGAACTGGAGATCGTCGCCGTCTGGCGGCGGTCACCTGGACAGCAGATGGGTGAGTGCTGATCGAGGACGCCCTGAGTGACCAGGCACCCACTCAAGCAATGCATGACCTGCTGATGGTCACCGGTGTCGACGTCGAACACCTGTCGGTCGTGACGGCTATCGGTTGGAGCCGGTAAGCCGTACAAGGAGCGAGAGCGGGCTCCGCCCGCGACGCCGGGCTGAGGGTGGCGATGGTCAGGGAAACACGAGGAGTTGCGGGTTCGCTGAGGGCCTGGTGACTGCGGATACGGCGTTGACGTGGCCGCGTCGTTGCGGCCGCGAAGTGCATTGACGGCGAAGGTGGGCTGCGAATCACCATTGTGAGTGGGTCTGCTGTCGCCATGGTGCTGAGAGGGATGATCGTCGTCGTCGGGTGCACGAAACTGCTCAGAGGATGGCTACGACGGAGTGGTCGAGTTCCGGGAAATGTAAGTGTCGGCTGGGAACATGTCTCGGCTACTGTAGCTATGTGCGACGTGGACACCACAAGAAGGCAGACCCTGGCCCGACGAGTCGGCGACAACTCGGATCAGCGCGCGCCAGGGCATGTACATGAGGCGATGAGGATGCTCGTACCTAGCCAATACTGAGACGAGAAATGGGTAGTGTGAGTGTTGAGCTCTGTAGCAATCAACAAGTGTCATGCATGCCCATGAACAATCTGGCTGGCCTGTGTCAGTAATAAAGGCTGGACTGTCTTGACCTGAAGTATGTGAGTGAATGATCACGATGTACTAGTGAATCTTGCGCGCTTGCATTCAATTCCGAAGCAAGTCGACAATGTGAGATCAGACGAGAAAGCTTGGCCTGATCGAACTGATGTGGCCTGTAGTAAACAGGATGGCTCTGTACGAATCACAGGGTTATTACATTCTGTTTCCTGAGTCGAAAGCTAAGTCTCCGAGAATGGTCTGTATAGCTTCAGCATCTATACTACACTGCACGGCCCTATTCCAGCTCTTGCAGCAGCCAATGATCCTTCGGACCACTTATGGCCATAGACGAACCATCACGAGCTCATCCATGGACCACATGTGTGTCTCAGGAAGCTGCTATATCATGTAAGAGGTACCAAGGATCACCCTGAAGCTCTAGAGCGTGCAGAAAAATCCCCGTCTTTTGCCCCCAAGAGATCATGCGGAATGTCCTCATTTAGACTTACTAGCGAGTAGCGACATCAAATGCAGTCACACCGGGGAAACCATCATCTCCGAAGCTGATCGCCGCCCTAGCACCCGATGCTGTTTGGTTTGTTGACAGGCTGCGGGATGCCATATAGTACACTTCCCTGCCAGTCTTGCTCTTCACTGTTTCGGGTCGTCGGCGCCTTCTTTCGCTCGCTCATTGGTGTCGTAACTTGAAGTATCCACTTCACTTCTCGCCCGCTCAGGACTGCCATCGACGTGTTCGTGGCCGCATCACATCCAACACTCCTACCGACATGTACCAATTGTCTGGCCAACCCACCTCGCTGTACAGTCCCTGTCGACGTTCCTCTCTGCTCCGTCACGCACCAGTACTGTCGAAGGCACACATGATCTGCCGCGGCCTTCTCTCGACCGCGGCCTTCTATAGTACCCGCGCGCTGACCTGCATTGCCCTCAGCCTCGTCTTTCCGCGGTCCGCGGTCACGATAGATCCACATGTTACACCACTTCCAGATACCGAGCTTGCCAACATCACTGGCAGCTCTGCGGCGGCAGCGTCACTGAGGTCGGATCAAGCCGCAGAGTGGGACTCGTTGACGGGCTACGCGGTACGTGCCGCGCGTCCCGTCTCTTGCTCGCTCTGACCCACCTGTCGTCCAGCCGCAGCAGCTCGTTGCATTGTGTGCGGCCAGTTTGCCGATCCGGGTGAAGTCCAAGGCGGGAAGGCGATGTGCTCGCAGGTACGCGAGTCGAGTCGATCGTAGATGCGCGCGCCTGTCTGGAGCGATATGAGTAAAGACGGCACAACAGTCGAGGCAGACGGGGCATACCTGGCCAGTCTAAGACACGGTTCGGAGGGTTCTGCCCTCCCCACATTGGGGCAGGCATCCGCCGAGCCATTCGACACAGACCTGTAGCCGGTAAGTAGCACTACGGCAGCCAGCCAGCGACGGGCGGATATGTGGCCTCAAAGGAGCGGGGCGAGGAGAGGGAGAAGCCACGCTTTGGCTCGTCGCTTACAGCGGGAGAACGTGTCGGCTGTCGCAGAGGTGACGGAAACGACGAACGGCGGTAGGAGACGTCGGGGCCGAACAGTTGGTGACGGCATGATGAGAACGTCGTATGTAATGAGAGCATGTAATGGTACTTACATACGGATGAACTCGTTGTCGCCGTGTCGTGCGCGGTCGGTCCGCTGATGGTGAGCCCAACACGTGCCCGCTCTAGGCGTTGTTTCATTGACAGACTCGAACTGAAAGGCATATGAGTCGAGTCAATTGTAGTCGAGAGGACCATTCGTAGAGCGAGAACAGTAGACGAGCGAGGAGGGCGTACTGGGCCGGATCAGCCTGGGAATGGTTCAGAGTGTTTGGACTTGCGCACTGATCAGAGCAGACAGCCGACGAGACATTCCATACAGACCTGTACGAATAGCCCGGTAGCAGTATATCCGAAACCTGTTTCCCGGGACAACATGCAAAGCTAGCAAAATCGAAATGTTCCGTCAGCTCGTATCGGCTCTGATTAGTAGAGTGACAGCCCGATCAGTGGCGTCCAGAGCGGCGCGCGCAGATTCGGAGAGATCGCGCGGTGGCTTGCCGCTTACAGTCGAAGAATGTGTCCGCTGTCGCAGAGCTGACGAGAGCGAGGAACCGACCGGCGGCAGGGCGTGTCCGTGACGTCAGGACTGGACAGTATGTGATGAGAGCGTCGTTTGCAAAAGTGTAATGGTACTTACACGCGGATGAGCTCGTTACTCGGCGGAGGCCCGGTTGGTTCAGCAACCAACGGCTGTGCTCGTGTTATGCATATGACCGGGACTCGGACGAGCCCGTATGTCAGTGCGATTTCTTCGTAATCCACGCCTCGCACGGCCTCAGAGCTAGCATTCAGTACATACCCATTTCGCGTGGTCATTCGACGGCCACCGGTGTCCAGACGACGCACGAGGGAGGCGGTCCGGGGTGCTCTGGAGTAGTGGCGAGCAGACCATCGCCGAATACGACATTCCGTACCCGGATTCGTCCCGGACGACCTCGGACGGAGTTTCGCAGCGTATCATTGCATTCTCGTAGCAATAAACCTGGTAAATACGGGGTGAGGAGGTGGCGTGAAGGCGAGGGGAAGCGGGACTCGAGGTGGCAGGTCAGATGGTGGATCCCGAGCAAAAACGCGCGCCCAGAAGTGTAGACATAGCAGTACCCGGGCATTGCGCGTATCGACGGACTCGTCTCTGCAGCCCAAATCTATCTGTGCAGACAGAATTGGCGGGACGGGCGGAGGGAGCAGGTGGCAGAGGTAGGACGACAAAGACAAGTCGAGACGGAGGGAACGGAGGCTCAGAGTGGCTGGAGATCGTCTGGCCGATCGCCAAACACGAGGCTCTCAACCGCTGCAGACGGGCGCCTAGTTTCGTGCGTCTGTGCGATCGTCTCTCCTGCTGCTCTCGGGCTGGCTATGCTTTCTGCTCTGGTGTGGTACGTGAGTTGAGTCATGATATCCTCGTTTAATGCCTCTGAATGACTTAGACGCAGTAAGTGCTCAAACGTGCGCCGAAATGCAGCAAAAGGGCCTGTGTCGTATTTGCGAGAAGGTCTACTAGTCCTACAAGAGGTACGTCCGCGGGAAATGCGTTGCTTGCGATCAACAGCCGAGCGGCGCTTCCAAGGGCGCCCGTACGTGATGCATCAATCAGAACGCGCGCGTTGCCTCCCGACGATTGGAAAGTCGGTAGGCAGACTCGGAAATTGGTGCGGCTCAGGTACTAGCTTGGAAGCCGGTAAGCGACGCCAGCGCACGACGGGGTGCGGGGACACGAGGCCGCGCTGGGTACGCGCCACGGCAAGGTGCGATACACACGTAGCGCGCTTGAGCACGCACGGACCAGCTCTGCCAAGGCACGAGCTATATAAGCTGGGCTTGTTGGCCTTCTACCGCCATCATCCCCCTCGCCGCTTTCTATCGCTCGAATACCACCTCTGCTCTCTCATTATACCCTGCTTGCTATGCGTCTTGTATGTATAGAACAGAGTCTGTTTCCGTCATTGTGAGTCGAGTCAATTCGCCGCACGTAACAATTGCTAACACGGTTATACTCGCAGTCTACTACGTTGGCCCGAACGTGCGTTTCCTTGCCCAGTTTCAGTGCTCATCTCAGCTGACGCGGTTTGCGAGGAAATGTCATGCCACGTCAACTGTCGTCAGCTCTTTAGAGGTGAGACATGGGCCGATTCCGCATTTTGGTACTACACTAACATTTCTCTTCAGTGCATGTGTACATAACTGAATGTGTGAGTGTCGCTTTGCTGCTCGTCGGTATGCCTTCCTAATACCTGTCGTTAGAGCCAAATGGAATCGTTTTGCTGTCCACAGCAGATACCGTCACGGTGGCAGGCGAGGCGATGCTCAGGGGTCTCGCAAGTAAACCTGCCGGTATCAAATTGCTGCGCGAAGAGACGGACTGTTCGTCTCCGCAGTCTTGTCTTAGTGAGCCGGTTCCGCGTGGTGCGCATGACTTGGCGCGACGTGGATCAGAACTGACAAGTCCTTACGGGAAGGAGTCCAGTTGCTAGCCTGGCCCTACTCGTCTGTCGCGTTTGCGACACACGTGCTGGTGAGTAGCTTTTCGCAGTCATTGTTGGAGTTGTTGCTGACGTCGTACGTATTGCTAACAGACGACGGTCGTGATGCTGCTGTATAGCTGATGTCGGTATGTACGGAGGCACCCGGTCACTGTCATCCCGACATCGCACATTGGGTATATTGTCTTGGTATTC